CAGGTCCTGTCACATTGCCGCGGACTATTTAACTTGTCTGTCTGGTTTGGGACAGGATTGTTGAAAGAAACCAGCATCGGCGTCTTGGGATCACGGACGACGTACCCGCTTGCTGGATTCTCTAGATTTGTGTCGTCGGAAGGCAGCATCGTTGCTGAGGTTTTGCGCTTATAATTCCCGGCACCTCCTCGGCCTTGTCTAATAACGGCACTCGTACTCACACCCGCGGTCGTCACAGTCTCATTAGTCATAGACCGTGATGAAAGAAACGTATTTGGGTCGTCTATATTACGATCGCCTACGTTACGACCCGCGCCGATAGAGAGCATCAGGTCTGATGGGCAGTCTGATACGTCGCCCCATATTGACTTGGCCTCATAATGGGCAATCAATACTGGGCATGAGTAACGGAGATCGTTATTGGCGTATTCCTGACTGGTCTCGGGTTTGAGAAATGGTTTAAAGAAAGGGGGCGTTGCAGATGTCGCGCGGGCGCTATCTCGAGGGTTTGGTCAGCTTGATGTTCACTGTTAAGTCATTAGCTGTAGGGAGTAAGGGGCTTACGCTTCCCATATGCGCATTTCCTTTGATGGCGTATCCGATCTAACAAACTTATACGGAAGTCCTAGTATTTTTATTAGACAATTTCCCAATGATATATCAGGGCACACTCACTCTTTTCAGGTAGGTCCGGGCGGTTATAGTTGGCAAAGACAACAGCTTGTCTCTCAATGCCTGTCGAGGCGGCGACAGCAACCTTCATTGAAGTTGCAACGAGAGACCTATGGGTTGCGGTGCCAAAGAAAGGTAGATCAGATAAGTGTTTTCTCAGTGCCTTCGTAAAAGGTTGCGTCTTGTATAGACTACCATGGTAAAGACTTGATAGTGTACTGAAAACAGGCATGCTGGTCATCTCTCGAGGTACGAAAGCTTCCTTACATAGGTCCTTGAATTTCCGTATTGTCGCCTCGACGGTCCATTTCTTAACCCCTAATCCAATTGCGATGACACCACCAGAGCTTAACTTCGTTAACAAAACCTCTAATTAAATAATAATCCGGAAACTTACTTAGTACCAACGATCAAGTCGAAGAACAATTGAATAGGTAAATCTGGACCCAAGACTTTTTCTATCTCGGCGAGAACTTGTAAAATTATAATGCCCCTCACGCCACCACTGTAGTCATTTAGTTAGCATATCCCTTCGCTATGACGTGGATCGCGTACCCATCGAGACAAAGCACTCGGCTGCCTGCATAACGTGGTTTCGTCACGATAACCCAAGGTGGATTGGCAATAATATCCCGTACGTGTAGAGGGCATCGGCTGATCTCGATAGTGGTCCTCGATGTTCTGGTCCCATATATCTCGGCGCAAGGAAGGCAAAGAACATGACCACATGGCAATGCGCACTCCGGCAATTCTCTCAAGCAGCAAAGGCAGGAAGAGTAGCTGATATAGTCTGTCGCGACGCCCAGTACGTTAGAGTAGAGTTCGTTCAAGCGTTCCTGGTGAATAAGAGCTGCAATCTGAAGCTCGCTCCTATCTGGAAATTCCTGCCCGAGCTTGAAGCTAGAGGCTTGAACTTGAGCTAGACTTGTTTTCAGTAGTTCTTCCCAGACTGGCCGAAACGCATCGACATCAAAGCTAGATTCGTAGTCTCCGTTGCCGATGATTTTTCCTTGCTTGTTTTGATGCCCTTTGGGATTATGGCCCGATCTGACGTTATAGCATCGACCAAGATCTCCGCTAAAAGACGGGTTCGTGAAGCTGCATGGGCAGTACACGTCGGCAAACGTTTGTAGCGCACCAGCACAAGGCTGGGCATAACGGTCATCCAGGAGACGATTTGCGGTACCTATATAGTAATTAGCCACGTTGTGTCGAACCAGCCAAGGCAGGTCTAAATTCACCTGGTAAATTCTGACGAACAGCATCCAGCATCACGCACGATGCTATCATCGGCCCCATCGCCCGAAAGATCTGTTCAGTGTCGCTGCTAAGAATCAAATTACTAGATTTCTGCTTGATCGCTAATGCTAGGTTCAATATGTTACCCTCAAAATTTCTGGAGACAGGGCTATGCCGAAGAGTCTCCTTCACAAAGTCAAACGGCATGTTGAGGTCTCTAGTAAAATGATCGTATGCTGCTTGAAGATAGAACTGGAGCTTCTCCGTATTAGCTAGCATGCGCACTTCCCTTTTCCTCAGGTATGAAGCCTTGCAACGGTCTTTCAACAAGCTAGAAAGCTTGCCAACTTGTTCGTCTATCAACACTAGATAACTTTGTGTTAGCAGCAGTCAACTAATTGTTATGCTAGAGGTAAGGCCCAGAATATCGAAATCTTCGCCTAGGAGGTAGCCCAAAAGGTTGGTTTTAGGGGTAAAGGGCGAAGGAATAGACCGAGTCAAAACATCTTACTATACGACCCCTTATATGGGATCCTGATGACATTTATAGAGCCATAATAGCACTCCAGAAGCTCTTTGGTGCTTCTTATGAGCTTTCCGCGCCTCCGCCATGTTTGGACCTATTGAATATCAGTACCGTGTAAAATTCACTTATCTTTGACAATTGGCAAAAGAAAGAGTGTGATGGGTGTAAGACTAATACTTAAACATACTGTGAATTGGTTAGTTTTGTTTCCGATAGATGCAGTGACGGGATATTAGGTGCTCACCATGTTCCTGCAAGGTGGGCTCACGAATTACAGCGTCGTGAATATCTGCCATCAGCAATTTCGTAGCCGTCGTGATATCCCACTCCCTTTCATCGACGTTGATATCCGTGGCATTGAATACGATTATCGCATGAGGAAGTACGGGTTGGTTGAGTGATTTATCAACTGAAATATGAAAAGTAAGTGACTGTACATAATAGTCAACGTAATATAAGATGCGAACACGACACTTCCCAACGGGTGTATGCCACTTAGAGAAAGGGGGAAAATTGGAAAGCAGAAGCGAATAAGATAAAAAAGTACATACTAGAGGCTGCGCCCCAACGTATTAGTTTATCAAGAACCATTGATTCAAACGATCTTGGATTTCGCAGAACAAAAACTACAACGTCAGAGAAAGTGTATAGAATTCGAGGATATAACTGGCTGACGGCGAACTCTCTCTTTTGGGTGTGAGGCGTATCTGCCCACAGGATCTTTCTAGTCAAACAGTGTTTGCTGGTACTAGTATTGTTCGACTCTGCATTTGAACCTTGTGGATGATGTCGCAACTGCTTTGGGATGGCTTCTCCTCCACTCAGACCTTCACAATCCACTAATAACAATGGGTGGCTGCTATATAGAGTTGATGGATCTGCGTACAGATGGACATCGCCTGTGGTGGAAATGCGGTCATGACTAGATGATGTTACCGGGGCATAGTAATTGGAACCTTCAGGCGCCGTCAGATCGTGACGGTCGATGAGGAGTTTGATCAGGGTGCTTTTTCCAGCGCCTGTGATATAATCAGTTACGATGTAGATATAGGAGTAACACGCCTTACCAGTTTCCCCAATGAACGTTGCTAGCTGGGGATATCGCTCGACTGTTTCGTCAGTAACAGTCTCGCTCATTATGGCAGCGAACCGCCCAAAATCGTGGAATAGGGGGTAGCCGGAGGCATCGCGACCGAACCCGAACCAAGTCGTATCGCGATCCTCAAGAAGCTCGGATTCGTGTTCAGCTTCCGTACGTGTCGGCTCTAAGATCTGACGTAACCGGTGGACAACGAGGGGGTCTGCCTTCTCGTGCGGCTTGCCGTTCCTGTTGATCATCCATAGTGATTAGTTTCGTTCTTGCGATTATGAATATAACTTTTTCACAGATATAATATAGTGGTATGATTTTCAGGGGTAAAAGCTTCTAAGATTTATCTACTGACCAACCAACAGCGCCCGGAGTGTGTAAGAACCACTTTGGCCAACACACATCGCAGAAAGCAAAGTTATTGCACTGGATGCAAGTAAACGTCTTTTCGGCATTTGTTCCACATGTCTGGCAGGGTTGCGATGATGATAAACGCCCCGCCATGGTATTTGAAGGTCATGGTAATAGCAGAGACCCTTGAATAGCAAGCATTTAGTCGTTTCTGGTACGTAATCGCTTCTTGGAGAGTTAGTCGGAACTCCTCGGAGCTCGAGAAATAGAGACCCTCGAGCTTTGGGGGACTCGCTTCCCCTCATCAGCAGCATCAGCCGCAGAGGGGTGTCGATTGTTACAGAACGGTGCATTGGTGAAACCTGAATAATCTATGCTTGGCAGGCTGAACGACACCTAAGAAGGCGGGTAGATAAATGAGGTATCAGATAATCTAAGACATGAATATAACATCTTCTCGAGAGCCGATTCCATGCATAATTTCATAGTGAGTACGTATCTCCTAATAACTCTATACTGACGGCGTATTCTTCCTATCCCTATTCCCTACTTGAAGATATTAAAACAATAGTTAGCTGTGGCTGAGATCAATTGGCAATAGTGAATTTGATTTTCATATGATTGGTTCAAACTGATTGTATGAAGATTTGATTTGTCTTGATGCTGGGTTACATGTGCGTACGTCACGGACATTTTTTTAAGAACTTCGGGCCTGGTACGTATTCGTACGTACGTACATATTAGCCAAGTTGCTGGGCTAGCCCTCAGGTCTTCGCATAAGGTATCAAAATTTGGCGAGATATATATACCGTAGTAACATCTACGGCACGCGTCGTATCGTGTGGGCGCGTGGCATTCCTTGGGGATTATTTCGTAGTGGGGTATTCCGCAGGGAAAATACTCCATATCATAACTCGATGCCTGACGCGAAAACTTGATGCCTTATACCATCTTTTCAGAGCTGCGCCCCGGCAAGCTGAACTATTTGCAAAACTGCTGCCCTTGAATGACCAACCGAACTAAGCGATAACCTACTTCATGACGCGCATTTCAACTTAACGGTCAGAGTTATACTCATCAAAAATAGCAATCTGATCAACATTAATTATAACATGATCCAATTAAGATGTTACTAGAGGGGCAGTGCTGCTAACTCAAGCTAGGCTATGGAGTCAAGCTGTCTAGAAGTAAGGACTCAAAAATCCCTTAAGGAACGAGCAAAGGTAAAATATATAATGAAGTCTTGGCCCCGTCTCTTATGAGGGAACCAAGCTCTCTTACTTTAGATCTGTTCTACGTAGATTCATTACGTATTTCTCAATCAGAGTAGTCATCACATATCTTTCTAGTTTTCATACCATGGCCTCTCCAGCGGCTCTGCCTGTTGCCCTCCTGGTCATATATCTTACAATATCTCCATCCTTAATCTATATTGCCATAAAGCATGGCTTGAAGCATGGAGCAGTCATAGGCTGGTCCTTTCTTTTCATATTCTGCACTCTAAGAATTGTCGCGAGTGCTATTGAGATACACGATCCTCACAGTTCAGGCGCCGCACTGGTTGCTAGCATTGGGCTGTCTCCCCTCCTTGCTGCTGCTTGTGGCATTCTGCATGAATCGTAAGTCCTATACGGTCTCAATTACTTCCAATCTTCTCTCTAAAACTTATTGTATTACAGGCGCGCTTATATCCTTCCGAAATCACGACGACCTTTTGACACCCCATACCTCATTTTCTTTCATATCCTTGTTTCGACTGCAATTGCTCTTGTGGCTGCCGGTGCCTCAAAACTCGACAATGATACGCTGCCACCAGATCAGATTAAGAAAAGTTACGCTCTAGTGAAGGGGGGCATGATTCTTTTACTCTTGGGCTGGCTTTCACTTGCAGTAGTCACTCTCATCACATTTCGAGACTCCCTACTCCGCGAGTCAAGGAAACCAAAGGAGAGTGCGGCAGAGAAGAGACTACTTCTGGCTGTCGCGATTTCTATACCGTTTCTAGGTATTCGAGTACTGGAGAGGGTTATTTACTTCTTTACTCTGAACCAGGAGTTGAACCCAGTAACGGGCAGCCTTGGTCTAAGGGTTGGCCTAGAAGTTATAGAGGAGATAATTGTAACCTTACTCTTTGTCTTCACAGGTATCATTACACGAAATATTAAAAGAACAGCTGCGGTGGAGCAATTTTAGACATACGGAAATTTTCCAAGATGGATAAGTACATGGCTGGAGCAGAAGATCATATTGATAAGGATACATTTCGGAACGTTATACCCATAGTCCCCATAGTTTAGCAGCATACCCATGAGTTGATATCACCAAATTCTGTTTGCTCTTTCAAAATTAAAGCATTAATAGGCGGCTCAGGCCATGGCTATCGCAGAGATAAGCTAAAAGTAAAGTGAACTCGTGCAGTTCTCCCATTCCCAACACAATACGATAGAATATATAGGTGGCAAGTAAGGTTGATGAGACCTACAGATATTCATAAAAGGGCATTGACGTACCCGTCTATCTACCTGTTAAATATATAAAAATCATGAGCATCTGCTATCTTACCAATGAAAATCATCAAACCAATACTGAGAAGATCTAACACGACAGGTTCTAGTCGGCCCCAAAGATCTGTCGGCCCTCAAAAACTTACCGATTTTACTATGACAAAAAGCCTCATCCGAGAAGCTGAAAGAATTTGTGGGATATATTACTAATCTACCTACCAAGGTAGGGAGGTGTACACTCCTCGTAGAGCATCTAGAATTAATGTTGTCGAGCCGTGTCCTTTTTCCCGTTGCCATCGACCTTGGGTGCTGATACAGACTTTTCCTCAGCGCCGCTACCATCCAGATCTCTGCCGTTCTCCTTCACATCTTCTACATCATCGTCTGCAACACTTTCGACTTCGTCGTAATCTGCATCTTCGTCCACGTCTACCTCTTCCCTTTCCTCTTCATCTTCATCTTCATTCTCATCAACGTCCCCTTCATTTTTATCATCATTTTCTTCGTCGGATACGTCTTGCTGTTCCTTTTTTTGTTTTTTGTTGGTTCCCTCGCCGCCCTTCTTCATATCTTCGCCCTGTTTATTCTTCGTATAGGGCCCCACGTCGACCCCGTCCGAGGTATCGTCGATCTCTTCCTCCTCGCATTCCTTGTCATCATATTTTTCAGGATCTTGACCGTTGGCCTTTCGTTTGGTACTACCCCGACCCCCTTTTTTCTTTTCTTCGATTGTCAATTCCGAGGCTCTTTTAACGACATCATTACCCAAACGTTCAACTCGGACTGCAGGGTTACTCGCGTCGGCTTTTCTTTTGACAGTGTTCCCGCGCTGCGTCTTGATCTCAATCGCCCCTTGCTCCTTCGTTTCTGCCACTGTACCCCCGGGAGCGCCGCCACCCCATTTCCAAGAGACTACAGTGAATATCATAATTAGCCGCCGAGCTCTAACAAATACTATTTTTGGCCTACCTTTGTCTCCCTCTTCTGGCTTGTCGTTTTGGGCCATAATGTTATGTCCAAGACTAGAACATAAAGGTAATATGGATGACAAGACGCAATCGATTGCTTGTAGAGCGTTAGTTTTGGGCTCTAAAATGGGTTATATGAAAATCGAAGATCTAAGATAAGCGGGAAGAGTGAAATCTTATTAAAATAAAGTCGTGATTGTTGTCCTTATAACTGCTTCGTTGCGTCATGTCGATGATTCATTATCCCTTTAGTGCCAGATTCCTATGTTAAGACTAGGCTCAGCAATCTAAAGGGATAGGAAGCTGATGTGCGCCACTTACGTGCCTAGAGTGGCTCGGTATTAGAGCACAATGTCATCGTAGAGATGCAGTAGGTTCTGTCTCTCTCTAGAGTCCAGTAGTTATACACTGCTTAGGGGAAGGCTGAATATTTTTTGACAATAATATGAAGCATATACCAGCCTTGATAGGTCCATAGTTTTCTCACACTGCACTTGCCTCAAATAAGACAAGATATTTGAAGTATTTGAAGTATTTAAATACCTGTTAAAACTAGTGTGGATATTGTATCGAGGCTTCTATCACAGAGTGCTAAAGACTTTCCGATATCGACTTCCATGGCACTTACCTAGGTAGGTATCACCAAATCCGTATTAAATTCTCGGAATAATAGTCCAACATAAGTTCTTCATCTCCTAGTTGTCTTGTCTGCCACACACGTAAGTCATACGTCTAGCACGCCACTCATGGCCAAGCCAGATCGCCTTAGATAGGTTTAAAATAGGAAGCCTACCGTTAATTCCATTGATTTACCGTCCTTTAAATACAGGCTTCCTCTTCTCCTTGAAAGCCTCTAAAGCCTCATCTCGGTCCTCGCTTTTCACCACGCGCTCGTACATAGCGTTTTCTATTTCCTCTCTAGCCCAGTTCACTGCCTGGAGGGCAGATCTAACAGCAATCGGACCTCCCTCGCAGATCTCACCTGCTAACCTCACCGCCTCTGAGAGAACTTCGTTTCGTGCTCTAGCTGGCAGTCCATCTTCAGCTCCGTTATCCCTCTGCGCGACACCATCCCGCTCGTCTTCGGGCAGCACCTCGACTAACCGGTCGGCAAGTCCTAAAAAGTACGCCTCAGGGGCGGAAACACGCCGACCTGTTAAAATGATATCCCTGGCGCGAGAGAGTCCGATTAATGCTGGCAATCGATACGTGCCGCCTGCGCCGGGAATTATGCCCAGTCGCGTCTCCGGGAGGCCCACTGTCGCAGTTGAGGCCAATACTCGAAAGTGGGTGCAGAGGGCGAGCTCAAGGCCGCCGCCTAGCGCAAGGGAAGAGACAGCCGAAATTGTAGGGATTGGGAGAGATGAAAGGGATGAAAACGTGCCGCGGAGATCTGCTAGGAATTGCGCGGTCCTGGAGCAGGTCAAACCTCAGGTATTAGTTTAAGATGTTAAACCCCTCTCCGAAATAACTATATTAGGTACTGACTCCTCTTGCGTAAAGCCGCGCCGCTCTTTAAGATCGGCGCCTGCGCAGAAGCTCGCATCAACGGCGCTGGCTAGGATCAGAGCTCTGGTAGGCCCTTTCTGATCTATACCAGCAGCTCCTCCAAATCGTGGGGGAGGTGGCACTTCTTGGCCATCTACGGTATATTGCGATTGAACATCTTCGACTTCGGCTCGTAAGGCAGCTAAGAGGGCTTTTGATATGGCATTGCGCGCGGATGGTCTATTGAGCTCGAGAATGCGAATATGACCGGAATTCGGAGCTTTGAGGTTAGTAACTCGAACAAGAGGACCGGCGTCAGTCGAGTAAAGACGGAGGATACGGATGGCTGAAGGTGCCAATCGAGTATTTAATCGTGGTGGCATTGCGATATATAAGTGGTATATCCGTATAGACGAGTCGCTGATAAAAAGACGGATATTAAAAGAGTGAGGTAAGAGGTAAGGTATGGAAATGCGCACAGGTGCTTTCGACGTCAGAGTCGACGCTATCTCGGCTCGATAACGGGATTACGGCGGCTATCAACGGGTATTATATTTAAATATATCGGCTACGAGGATGTAAGAAGCTTAATAATATTAATTTATCAGTGTCTTGTACCAATTGAGGTTATCTACAATTACCTTTATGTAAACACATCATTTGCCGAATAGACTCGGGAGTTTCGGAGGCCCGTCCAATCAACAGAAACGGGAATTATGGATTATGAGGTACCGGAGTTAATCGAAAGGGCAAGTGGGAAATATCCCCACTTCATGCCGACCCGGGGCATATTCAAACGCTTTAAGGAAGTGTCCATTTAGGAACCTTAGCTATTATCTTCCCGTATTTCCAGTTTGATATTTATTCGGCCTCAAAAATGGCCAGTGATTCAGCGCCAACGTCCCTTCCTCCGGAGGCTATCGAGTTCGCAGGGCGCATGTACAACGCCGCACGAGCCGGGGAGATCGAGGTATTTCAGCAGGCCTTACCAGCTGGCCTCCCTCCTAATTTAACTAACGAAAAGGGGGATTCACTTGTATGAAACCATTAATTAACAACTTTTCTTAATGAGAAGACTTGACGATTCAATGTTTACGTACACATAATACTAATGATAGATTGCTTATTTCTAGCTTATGCTGGCGGCTTACCATGGGCACGCCGACCTCGTCAAACTTCTTATTCAACATGGAGCCGATCCGAATCGTATTAACGATAAGGGTCAAAGCCCCTTAGCCGGTGCCGTTTTTAAAAAGGAGGATAGTGTGATCGAGGTTCGACCTCCATGTCCAGTAATCGCAGGCTTGTATGATCTAACTTCGTGACGATGTAGGCGCTATTGGAAGGCGGTGCTGATCCAGAGCATGGTTCGCCGTCTGCATTTGCCTGTCTAGCCCTGTTTCAACAGGAGGAAGTGTGGGAAAACATATTTTTATCGGCTCCAGGGAGAGGGAAAGCCGGAAACCCCGCATCTTTACCCAACGCCGATGTCAACTAGGCAAGGTAACACTGTGGGTAAACGGGGCTGTGAAACGCTGTAGGATCCCAAATGTCAGGCGATACCTTAGCTCTGTTTCCTTGAAGGGGGTCCTCTGAACATCGATGTTGTGCATCTGTGGCTTTTAATATCAAACCCGAAAGCCTCAGATCCTTCGATATTTTACAGTTACTAGGTATTGCAACGGATGGGGGGCTAACTTATATATATACGCTCTTGCTAATATACTACATACTATACCTAACAGCAGTTCCCTGACCACTTGTTTCAGCGAGAAGGAGTGTCAATTCATAATTGAGGCGCGCCGACTGCACGGAGTGTGAAGTGTACGGTGATACGTGCACGGTTTCTCACGTGTAAACCGCCGGCTATAGCGTCACTATAGTAGAGTTAGACTCGAGCTCCCGTACGAGACCACGAAAATCGGGAGCTGTTGCCCAGCACAGCACAGCGTACCACCAGTCATCACTTCCGTTACCTTGAAGTTCGACGCCGATGGCTAGAAAGCCACAGCTAACGTGCCAGGTTATCTTTCCGACTGGGCTGATATTCTGTCTTAGGTAGGTTGAGTTGCTCGTCGAGACCGACACTTCAACTTGAAACCACAAGACATACTACTGCGATAATTACTTTGGAATCAGCTTATCCCAGAAACCCAATCATTCGCCCTACCACCAATACAGACCATCCAACAGCGGCTGCCCAGTCAACCGGCCCTACGTCAACCCTAGCCGGAAGCAGTGGGACGTCAATGATATTTGGGCGTGGGCCTATGGCTATTCGCTTCCTATTAATATTGTTTATATCACGACTCTAAACTTTGAAAGACAGAATTTCATGGGGATTTCAGAAATTATTACGTGCTTGCCTAGAAAGTTGTCAATCCACGTCCTCCTAAATAAGTTGTCTGATATAGTTATTCAACTATTCAAAGAATTAAGCTGAAAGGGTCTAGAAGTCTGACAAATATCGACGCATTTGAGTTTCTCAACCTCAATGTTATATTAACCAGGTTCTCCGCATTTAGTTGTAATGTCGCTCGGAGCCAAATACCCCTATCTTCGCCAAGTCTACGCGCACCTTGTCTACCTACCTAATACAGCAGGTAGCAGTGATAAGAGCCAACATATTCTAACTAATTTCGGGTTGTCTCCCTAGTATTCGACCACAATGATGGAACGAGGCTAGATTGTTGATCGGATTGCCGGGCTGAATAGGGACGTCCCCATCAACGCGCCAAGCCATTCTACGGTCAGCGAATACGATCGACGTGAGCGTACCTTATGTCATGCTCACCGTAGTCGCATTAATACCTGCCATGCCCCGAAAATCAGGGTCTTCTTTTTTTGACCCCCTTTCCCTCACGTCCTTCGTTATTGAGGGCGCGAAGACACCTGGTCGAATTTGCTTCGGAGCTGAGCCCAGCGTCGTATAAACAATGCAGCTTAAGAAAGCTAGCAAAGGCCACCAGGCGGTCGTAATGGCCGCCTTGGTCAGCGCTGTTCTGCCGGGTCATACCTGGGCTGCGCCGTATACTCCGCAGGGCGATCCGTTCAAGGTGTTGGATCCGCAGAATTGGGTAAATCCTGATAACATGACCTGGGCAGACTACAAAACACCTCCAGGGACGTCCTGGTCTGATCCAGGCCGTAAAGGCTCCGTTCGAAACTTCAACATTGCCCTCGTGGCTGTTGACTACCCGGACAAGCCCTTCGTCATTACGCAGGCGCCAAACTCGACCGTTTTCGGCAACCCGCTACCGATCGTATCTGGTCTCAACCGTACGGAGGTCCCGGCCTTTTATCGCGATTTTCTAAACAAGCCCAGCGATCTCAATCATAACCACACTCTCCATGAGTATTGGATGGAGGATTCGGGTGGGCGATTTGGAGTGGATTTGACAGCTTTTGGTGCTTACCGACTGCCCAGCCGTTCATATCAGTACGGTATTGATGATGAGCGAGGCGGGTTCAACGAGGGTGCTTGCCCATCTGAGGGGCCGTGTTCTATAGATCTACGAACAGACGCTCTAGGAGCCTGGCGTGCGGACGTGGGTAACGACACCGCCGATTCCTTTGAGCTAGTTTTTATTCTCTCGGCTGGTCAGGATGAATCTTCCACCTGGCAGGAGTTTGGCGAGATGAAATTTCTCACTCCGGAGGATGTACCAGACGAGTTCGGGCCGCCGAGTAATGACAGTCTACCCAATTATGCTGCAACAAGATACGTGAATTGGACGTCCTGGCAGGCGGCGAGCTCAATCTGGCCAAATGCGGGCGGCGGCTCATCCACGCAGGCAGAAAGTTCGGGCATGTCCACCTACGCCCATGAACTAACCCACTTGCTAGGAATCGGTGATAATTATAACAACCCGTACAGTGACCCGCCGCGTCGCGCTTACACGGGCCCTTGGTCGATGTTGTCCAGAGGCAGCTTTAATGGTCCGGGAGGCCCGCACACACGATGGCAGATTCCAGCAACTCTTGGCGGAAGCTTGGGCTCCCTTCATACCATTTCGGATAAGCTGCGCATCAACCTAGCTGACAACTCGAGCGTGCTTACGGTCTCGCGTGAGGCTTTATCCAGCTCTGGTCCCGTAGTCGCTGAGATCACCGCGAGATGCATCAATCCAGGAGCAGGAGAATTGTTAGGTTTACACGTCATTCTCGGCAAGGATCTTTCCCCGTTCTGTAACGTCAGTACGGATGCTCTTTGCGATGGTGGCGGTTACAACAACTACGATATCGAAGTCATTGACAGAATGGGTGCCGACTCGTTTACCCCTGACTCGGGAGTCATGATCAGTAAGACTAAGGACGTTGACAATTCTCCCTTCCAGTGGACAATCGATGCCAACCCGCAGGACATCGATGTCGTTGACTTCTACCGACCCGACGGCACAGCCTCCAAGCTGACTATTGGCGACTATCGTCAACTAGCCGATGCCTTGTTCCACGCAGGTACGCGATCAGGTAGTGAGTATGAATACACCGACGAAGCGAATCGTCTACATTTCTATATCCTTGACATCCGTCGTGACGACGTTGGCATCCTTCATTACACTGTAGGTGTACGATCGCTGGACGGTAGCGGGTCTAGCACCTACAGCGTGGATCTAAGTGAAGGTCAAATTGCAGAGGGGCCGAGAGCTAGGGCGAGCATCAAGGGGGTAACATGCACGTTCCGCCTAACCAATTCTGGCACATACGTGGACGGCAACGCGACGCATCCCCAAGATCTGACCGCATATCTGAACTCAGATATCTATCGACTCAGCGCCGAGGTGGATAGCGAGGGGTGGCGGGTCGAGGTACCAAACGCGCTTACGGCTACTAAATTTGGCTCATCAAGTACGGTCAATGTGGCTGTTGATGCTGCTGCAGAGGCTGCGGATAGTGCAGTTGTTAGATTAACAGCTACTTCTGAGTCCGACCCGACTATTTCCATCACCAAGGAGTGCCAGGTCAAGAAGTGAGACAGCCCATTGAATAAGTATAGGAGGTACTTACTTAGTGATTCTCCTTTACGTATAGATAAGTATAATATAAACTTCATTACCGTACCATTGCTGCATACTGAGAATAAGCGTAATATTCTTCTATCATAACCCCTCATCTGTATGATCATCGTTACATTAAACGCTTTCAACTTAAGAAATACGTCATGAACTAACATTATAAACATCATATAACCTACCTAACGTCCCTTCTATGACTGAGATTATTTGTCCTAGTTGAAGTCATTATCCTCACGTCATGAATTTATACCTGGCAAACCATCAAGACCATGACATCGTCGAACAAAGACTTGTGCAGGTTACACAGTCCTGTATTAATTTAGCATCTTCTACAAATCCAATATTAGTATCTCATATTAGCGATAATGTTCGGTTCAAGCAACACATTCGATCCCAATACTGACGTACCAGACCTGAGCGGGAAGGTCTTCGTAGTGACGGGCGGCAGTGCGGGCATCGGTTATGGAATATCAGCACATATTTTGCAACACGGTCCCGCAAAGCTTTATCTTCTCGGAAAGAAAGAGGAGCATCTGGCTGAAGCTGAAGAGGATCTCAAAAATTACGGCGATGTCTCGCGTGTCGACTTTATCAAATGCGAGCTCGAGGATCTTAGACACACCGATGAGGTGGCGCGAAACTTGGCATCTAAACTCGATCGGCTAGATGCCCTTATTCTCAATGCCGGGCTCGGTGTTGGGAAATACAACGAGACCAAGGACGCTCTTGACAGTCATATGCAAGTCAACGTGATCGCACAACATCACCTCGCCCGAGTTTTACTTCCGATGCTTATCGCAACACGTAACAGCCGACTATGTTTCCAGTCTTCCGAGATGCACCGCATGGGCACCAGCGGTGTCGAGTTTAGAGATGTCGCGGAGATAAATCAGGATATTGGGCCTACTAAGCTATACTCGCGCTCCAAACTCGCGCAGGTACTGCTATGCAGGGCGTTCAACCGACGCAAGCAGCGTGGCGAGCTAGGTTTCGTGCCTGGGATGGGACCGTGGATTAATGCTACGCACCCTGGCGGCGTGAATACGGATCAGCCAGAGCAGGCTCTCGATGCATACGGAACCGTCCGCAGGATGCTTATTCAGGCCGCGAGGCCGTTCATGAAGGATCCAGTTGAGGAAGGCTGTCGGCCTATATTGTTCGCTGCGACGAGCGATGCCGTTGCGGAGGAGAAGATCGATGGGCAGTATATCATACCAGACAGGAAGGTTTCGGATGTTAGCAATCAGGCTAAGGATGAGCAACTCCAGGAGAGGTGCTGGAGATTAGTAGAAGGAATTTTGAAGGATAAATTAGGAAATCTACCTTATGATACGAATTAGAGGCTAGGCCAAGTAAAAATTGATGATTATTATGTGTTGCACGCATACCTTACCGGTAGTTTTATTGTGTCGTTAAACGTATGAGAAATAGCTTATTGAATGCTACCCAAGTACCCACTAGCTATATCATCGATGGACAGGTATAATTCTACATTCAATAAACCTTACGTTTGGAATAATGATATACCTAGGCAATTTAATCGACGGATGTAGCTAATTCCCACCTCCTCACACGTTATACACGGCCCCAGGGGGCGCATATCCAACAAGACGATCAGAGGATTGACTCGGCTGAAACTTCTTCTCCTTATACCACTCCTGGGCGGTCTGCGATAACTTCTCAACTTCCTCAAAGTCGAAGTCCTTCTTGGGAAGCATTTCATACACACCCCGCGACCACTCAGGTGCGACGTTGTAGATTTGAGCCAGATACTTTTTCTAAAGATAACATTAGCAGTATTTAGCAAATATGTGTTGCAGTTAAATTTAAAACGTACCTGAATTAAGGAGTACTTGACAAGCTTCAAGTTCCGGGCCGTATTGTAGCAGGTATGTTTCCTCTGCTCCTTGGTCATCACACGTTCCCAGAGCTCAGTCGCTTGTGCGTAGTCGTTCTTCTTGCCTTCGTGCCACTATAGAAGTTAAAGTTAGAAAATAGTCGTTCAGTATACAATTAGTCGTAAGGGCCAACTCACGTAGTGGCTCTTGCGGCTACAAATGTTATCCGAAACCTGGAAAGCCGGCTCCGCGGCGTCCGGGCGGAACTTGTGCACAAAACTGTTCGGCACGTATGGAGGGTTTCCCCCGTGATTAGCATCGGCACGCATCTGTCCATCGAAGTTAACCGACGAGAAAGACTGGGCCATAAATGGGCAGTTGACAGGAATCTGGTGCAGGTTGACGCCGATACGATGATACTGGGCATCCCTATAGAAGAACATGCGGAACTGGAGCAGTGGGTCAGGAGAATCGCCGATCCCGGGCACCATGCTGCCCGGTGAAAAGGCCGCTTGCTCCACATCCCGGTGGAAGTCTTCCGGGTTTTTGTTCAGAACAAGGCGTCCGAATTCCTCCATCGGGAACTTGTCGCGCGGCCAAACTTTGGTCACGTCAAACGGATCAAAACCTAACTTGTCTGCATCCGCGTCTTCCGGCTTCATGATTTGAACCTTGGCCGTCCATTCGACTTGCTCGCCGTGCTCGATAGTTTCCCAGAGGTCGCGCTTTGAATAGTCCGGGTCCTCCCCCATCTTTTTCAAAGCCTCGTTATAGGTAAACTGTTTCTGCCCGTGTTTGGCGATAAAGTGATACTTGATATACACAAATTGACCCTGTTGGTTGATCCACTTGAAAGTGTGGCATCCATAACCGTGATTGAATCTCCATCCCACCGGAGTTCCGTGGTCGCTGAATAACATTAATCCCGCATGGTTCGCCTCGGGTGTATTAGCGAGCAGATCAAACGTGGCATCCTGGTCAAGAAGGAAGCTCTTGGGATCGCGAAACTGCGAACGGATTACGTCCGGTCCCTGAATGGGGTCGCGACAGAAGAAGACCGGCCAGTTGAGTCCCACGATATCATAGTTCCCCTCTTTGGTATAGAATTTGATCGCGAAGCCTCGTGGGTTTCGCGCCTCGTCAGGGTACTCCCTACCAAGGGTTACAGTAGAGAAGCGGATGAAAATAGGGGTCTTCTCGCCAGGCTTCTGAAGGAAATCGGCTTTCTACTCTCTTGTTAACCATATCGTTCCCAGTCACCCATATAATTATTACCTATTTAGTTAGATACATACCGTCAGACTCGATACGTTCTTGGTACATTCGAAAAATCCAAATGCGCCGCTTCCGCAAGCATGCACCATTCCTAGTAACATATTAGTTACATATCAAATCTTCTTCTCGATGTCTAATAGCTTACGTTCTAGATTCTTCGAACGGTTGAAGGTCTGTTGCTTCCTATAAGCTGGATCAGTGATCTGTATTCCCTCACAGATCGTCTGAACAAGGTATACTTACTGAAAAAGAAACACGTCGCTAGCCACAGGAATACCACCAACGGTCCTACTATGGCATCTAAGATATAAATTAGCCCCGCATCGTGTCGACGGGAAACTTATACATACGCGTCTGGAAACGGAATTGCCTCGTTGTTGGTGAAATAGGGGGCATCATCGGTACGAATTCCGCCTGGAACGCGGCCTGAAATCTTGGCTGCGATATCCGCGGGTCCCTCATTGGCGCTCATCATATGGGTTTCGCGGTCACCACGCAATTCTCCCGTAGTGAAACTCTGAATACCCGTTTTGATAGCTTCCAACGGATGCTGGGTAATGCTCCATTGCTTACTGTTCACCGCGCCGCTGAGAGTGCTGGATGCCATCTTAGATGTTAGGTGCGATTATAATTCGTACGATAGTAGCATAGATCACAGGGCAATCAGAGGTAAAAAGGGCTCTCGATAGATTGAGCTATGTATACCATTTCGAGATATAGCAGAGGATCACTATGGTTCTTACATATTAGGCCCTCATCCGCCCAGGCCCTCGGCTTCGTCACTTCTGTTGATGTAAACCTGACGATACTTTCACAGTGTATGGAATATTTACCCGATCAAAGTTGAAAATCGTATGCTCATTAACCAATACAAGTCCGTTCACCATCTCCAATGCCCCTAAGCATATAGTTGCCGGACATACCTAGACTCTAGACATGGTTATGATAGTGAGAAGTGAATCATGATATATATAACAAGATTGATTGACTTAGACTTTGGTTTGGTATTTATAATATAGCGGAAATGATGACGATTCTAAGAAGCTAATTTCCGAGATTCCAGTTCTATATACTATCCCAATATTTCTCAACAGGGATACCATCATAATATTGGGTTCATCTAAGGTGAACCCCGCGTACTCTTATGTCATTACACCTCATCAAAATCATGAAATCAAATTATGAGCCTTGACAAACCGGAGTAAATATAGCATGAGCACTATATGCATAGGACATGACTTCGAAAAAAAACAAACATACACTAGATCATGCAGCTATGTTAAAAATAGTAGTGTATGATAGCTATGTCACAGTTAACATAGGTTTGAATTATCTACGACTCCCCAAGATCTATTATCAAAATCGATATGCTAGAAATATTGAGATTACCAATCTAGCACTAATCATACTTCATCAAACAGGCTTAATCCTTCAGTCAACTCATCAATATCTCAATACCTTCATTTCTCTAATCGCACGGTGATTAAAAGAGACGCTACGATTATTTACGATAAAAATAACAACATACTACAAAAGGGGTAAATAAAAACAAAGGTCTTGGAACTAAAATTGGTCGACAAGGCCGATTATTTAAAATTCTACAGTCAAATCATGATTGAATTTTGTACGCTATCATAACGCGATAGAGAAGTACAAACGTAGCAGTAAGTTAAAACAGTTAACGGAGAACGCCCTCATGTACCATTTATAAATCACTTAAGTTACTTCGGAAGAAGAAATGAACTCACAATAAAAACAGCAAAAGTTACCAAAATGGGTTTCTTATAATTTTATATGCGAAGATTACAACAAATGAATCATGAAATTAAATAAATAGCTATATAACTGGTGGCTGAACCCCTTTTCTAAGCCATTCTAACCTATTCCTAATCATGTATTCTCATCCAAACCTGCTTAAAACAAAGCAATCTCACCAAACCTTAAAACACCCTTTTGTATGCAAGCCTTTATATGCACCTAAGTCGCTTACAGAAGAGCAGCGGCGACAGCGGCGGCGACCACGAATCCGAAACCACGCTCTACGTGAGCAGCTGCCGCGGTCGGGATTGTAGGATAGCCGGTGGTGGTGGTGGAAGACTGGGCCGGAGGAGAAACGGGGCTACCAGTGCCGACAGAGGACTGAGGTACCTCAGTGCTGACGCTGGGCACAATGGTAGGGTACGGCACCGGGGTGATGACGGAAGTAATCAAGCTGCTGGGGCCGGTCGGGTATCCAGTGGGGAAAGGCGTGGAGGTGAAAGTCGGGAAGGGCGAGAAAGACTTGGTCGGGTACGGGGTGAGAGTCACAGTCGGGTAAGGAGTGAAAGTCTCGCTTGGGGAAGGAGTCTCACCCGGAGTCTCAACCGGACCGGTAGGGTAGGGAGTTTCACCGGGGGTCTCAACCGGGCTAGTGGCGGAGGGAGTCTCGCCGGGTGTTTCGACCGGACTGGTAGGGTAAGGTGTCTCACCAGGGGTCTCAACTGGGCTGGTTTCGGCTGGGCCAGTAGGAGAAGGGGTCTCTCCAGGGGTCTCAATTGGGCCTGTAGCAGAGGGGGTTTCGCCCGGAGTCTCAACCGGGCTAGTGGGGGAGGGAGTCTCGCCAGGGGTCTCGACGGGACCAGTGGGGTAAGGGGTGAGAGTCTTGGTAACGGTAGGAATCTCAGTCTCGGTCACAGGGCAGATGGTGGTACCAACAGAGATAGTCTCAGTGGTAGTATGCGGCTGACCAGGCTTGCCGGGGCAGTTGGTAACCTCAGGTCCGCAAGAAGTGATAGTGCGGGTAGCGGTAGAGTAGATGGTCGAGGTGGAGTACTTCGTAGTAGGGACAGATGTAGGGTATCCAGGAGCAGTGGGGGTGGAAGAAGGGTATCCCTCGGTCGCGCTGGTGGTCGGTAGCTCCCCGGATGTGTTGGAGGTGGGATATCCGGGAGCAGTGGGGCTGGAAGACGGATATCCCTCAGTTGCGCTGGTGGTCGGTTGCACCTCAGTTGCGCTGGTTGTCGGTTGCACTTCGGATGTGCTGGAGATGGGATATCCAGGAGCGGTGGGGCTGGAAGACGGGGATCCTTCGGTTGCGCTGGTGGTCGGTAGCTCCCCGGATGTGTTGGAGGTGGGATACCCGGGAGCAGTGGCAGTCTCCGAAGTTACGGGGCATACTGTAGTAGTGATGGGGATGGTCTCAGTAGTGACAGTACCCGGGCAGTTGGTAACAGTAGGTGCGCAAGAAGTAACGGTGTACCTGGTCGTCGTGTAGATAGTGGAGGTAGTGTACTTGGTTGTGGAGGTGCGCGTGGAGGTGAGCGTTGTTGTGCTGCCGGGAACGCTGGTGGGGTACTCTACTCCAGTGCTTGAGACGAAGGTAGAAGTGGAGATAGTAGGAACCGAAGAGCTGGATACACCAGTTGAGACAGAGGTGGAACCAATAGGGACCGACGTGCTGTAAGAGGAAGAGTGACCAATGGGAACAGAGGTAGAACCGGTAGGAACTGATGCACTGTAGGAAGACGCGCCAGTCGGAACAGAGGTGGAACCAGTAGAAACCGATACGCTGGAGGAAGACACACCGGTAGGCAGAGTTGTAGGGGCAGTACCCGCAGTGGTGCTGGAAACGCCAGTGGAAAGCGTTGTAGGAGCAGTGGGGTAAGAGATCACAACGGAGCTGCTGCTGGGGACAAGGGTAGAGGAAGAACTGCTGCTAGCCTCAAAGCTTGAAGTGGAGCTAATCTCAGACGAAGAGCTGGCACCGCCGGTAGGGTAAGTTGGGTACGACGGAACAGACGAAGTCGGCAGAGTGATAGCACTGGAGGAAGAGGGAATGCTGCTCTCGGAGCTCGAGACTGAGATCGAGATTGAGACTGAGCTTGAGCTACCCGGGTAGGTTGGGAACGAGGGGACGGATGTGGAAGAAATCGCCTCGCTGGAGCTAGAGCTGGAAACCTCGAAGGAAGAGGTAGAGGCAGAGCTAGAGCTGACCGGGTAAGAAGACGACGAAGCTGAGCTCGTCGCTTCGAAACTCGAAGTGGAGCTCGACTCCGGGAACGTTGGGTATCCCGGAACGGACGTAGAAGAGCTGACAACAGACGAGGTCGAGGCCGAAGCGGAGCTTGTCGCTTCGAAGCTTGAAGTGGAGCTTGACTCAGGGTATGTCGGGTATCCTGGAATAGACGCAGAGCTGATGGCTGACGAGGTGGAGACCGAGACCGAGGCGGAAGCGGAGCTTGTCACCTCAAAACTTGACGTAGAGCTCGACTCGGGGTATGTCGGGTATCCAGGAACGGACGTAGAAGAGCTGACAGCAGAAGACGAAGCTGAGCTGGAGCTGACGACGTATGAAGACGAAGCCAAAGCAGAGCTGGTTACCTCGAAGCTTGAAGTGGAACTTGACTCAGGGTACGATGGGTATCCTGGAATAGACGTAGAGGAGCTGATGGCTGACGAGGTCGAGGGCAAAGCGGAGCTTGTCACCTCGAAACTCGACGTAGAGCTCGACTCGGGGTATGTGGGGTATCCTGGAACTGGGACGGACGTAGAGGAGCTCACGGGGTAAGGTGACGAAGACGGAGTGCCAACTTCAGTCGAAGTTGAGCTCTCGGGATACGTTGGGTAACCCGGGTATGTTGGGTATGGCTCAGGTGCAACGGGGTAGTCGCGCTTAGAGTCAGCGCTGGCAGAGCCGGCGAGGGCGAGAGCCCCCAGGCTCAGTAATAGACCTTGCATTTAGGTAACTTGATGTGTACTCGTCCGAGTATTATATTAGGTATTAAAAATATATTCCTAGCGAAGGACAAGAAACGACCGTGATCTGAAGCGACTGTGGTTGCGCAAGTCAAAGCGAGTGAACTTGGCTGTTTATACAGTTGAGCAAGCCAGAAGCCGATGAGGAGACCAAAACATCTGGGCGGCGAGGGACTCTTTAATATCCATACAATTGAGTGACATCGCTCTGCTGGTAGGCCTTAAGGAGAGTGAAAGACCGGGGCGTCGATACCAGTCAATCTTAGGGTTCCACAGAGAACCAAGGCCCCGTAAATCCCATAAAGCCATGATCCATCGCCTATCGTCTCCGCAGAGACGGCGGGTGGGCTGACGTTGAGGCTGGCACAGGTTGTACCTCTCGTAAACCCCAATACGACACAGACACGAGCAAAGCAAGTGGAGCTGCGTTAAAGCTCGACTCGCATTGGTGTAGATCCTGCGAAGGGTGCCATGCCAAGTTGCCGTCTTTACTGTCCACCAATGAGCCCAGCCGCGGGCGCTTTGGCCGCGACACTGTATATACTGTCACCTAACTACTCTTATTGGAATGGTATGTAGAAATGATTGGCTATCATCTTCAGATGCCCCTTGAAAATCCTAACCTAACGTTAGCGCACGCTCCAAGTATTCCCAAATTTAGCATCTTTAATCTCCAATCAAATACGATAGATAATACCTAATTCACACGCGTAGAATATGATAAGTTGTTCTAAATGGCGGTCATGTCCTCTTTCGTAGAAAAGAGCGGAGATCATCGAGAACCCAACCCCGTACGTACATGCATAGCCTTTGTCGTGTGTGGACCAACATCCTATCGTGATGCTAGCGTAGTCCCAAGATCTCGTTCAGCGTTTCTTTGTTACATATTGTTTATGCATAAGTATACATAATATTCACAAAATGCTACGTAGTAGCTGAATAAAGAGATCTCGGTAGTAGATCCGGGTGGTGCCGGAGTGGTGTCTTCCCAATCTGGAATAGGAATAGGAATAGGGGCCGTTAGGAAACGCTAGAAATACTACTAACTTGCGGCTTTCGGCTCGTGCTTTGTAGTGTATAAGGCTGTCTTTCTGTCATAGTATCCTGTTTCTCCATGCTTCACGGTGCTCAGTAGAATTTTTCAGAAGTTTTCGGGTCTCTGGTTTAAGCGTACACCCGTTAGCGGGCCACTATCACGGTGATAGCCCATGCCATGACGCTGACTTGCATTGGCCTGACCTGCATATCACCCGGGCCGAGGGGTTTGTTACTCGCGAAGGAATTTCTCAGTAGGTAGGTACCTAGGTATGTATTGTGTATTTCAAAGCGTGCTCAACTATGTACATCTCGGTCCAGTGAAAATTTTCATATGCAACCAAACTTTTGGTTCCGCTGTTGTTGAGTCTTATTTCTCAATCTAGATACATTTCAGGGGCACGGAGACTGAGGTCATCATAATAAGGGGTATAGGGGTATCTCACTCATCCTACATAAAAATACATGTAAACAACCCGCGGTTTTTGTTCTTGTCCTATTTTAATTCTAGTTCACCTCTGCGCAATTAATAGGCGACTACACGCAATTCCCCTTGCACCGACGCTAGGGGACCATGTGAGAGAGCGGCTCAGTATCGACAACAGTATTGGCCCGATTTGCGACGACCGGCTTTGTCGGATAAGGGGGCTTGTGATTACCAAGGTACGCAATTTCAATACCGAAGGGGTTAGTGGACAAGGTACCTTGGGAGCCTGGGGAAACTATTTAGGTGAAATAAATTGTTACGAGATGTTGATGTTCAAACTAGTGGAAAAAAGAAAGAAAAACGAATCTCGATGACAAGAACGAGAGAATTTGTTACCTATTGCTGAAGCAATTCTCTTAGTTCTCAACTCCTTACATCCGTCCTGGGCCTTTATTTCGTACTCGTTTTCATGACGTCACCTTTACACTACCAGAACTCCATATAATAACTTGTATGTTGCCGAGAAGCAGTCCAGTAATACGCTTTAGTAGACTTCTTAGCTTCATTGAATGAAAAGATTCCAACTCGATCCACTTCTTAAAAAAAAGAAAACTTGCCAGCACGAATAATATATACATAAACATCGCCTTCACTCTCTTTGACGATCATACAGCTAGTTGCTGTTACCTAAAGTAGCGCAATAAATACGAGCCGCAAGTCCTAATTGGTTGCTGAAGGAGCCTAGAAGCCATGGCATCAAATCCGCTTAACGGTATGGAGTGAACACCTGCATGCTTTAACAACTCACCCGCCTAAGCCTCTCCGCAATTACGAGCTTTCATGCTGTAGTGCTTACTTACTCACACTTTTGGGGATCGTCCGATCACAGTATTCAAAGAACCGCTTAAGCTGTTCTCCCAGCAGCCTATGACTGGTTTCTTCCGTGACGGCTACTGTCGCACCGGCGGAGGCATCGATCCGGGCCATCATGCCGTGGCCGGTATCGTTACTGACGAATTCCTTGATTTCTCCGCTTCACGCGGGAACGACTTACGCCAGGTCGGCTTGAAAGGTGGCTGCAGATGGTGTCTGTGCACTGCCCGCTGGCTTGAGGCCTATCAGGCATATCGTGGCGGTAGGGTTACGAATCTGGGCGTTCCCCGCGTCGACATGGACGCCACGGAAGACAGTGCGCTGGGGATGGTCGACATGGATACCTTTAGGCAGTTTGCCGTCCGGCATGATCAGTGGAATGTGAATGGGAGCGGAAGCGGTGCTACATAAGCTAACTTCTCCACGCTGTCGGCCCTGTGTATGTTTACGTTAGCAGGGGTGAGTACTTGAATATGGCTACTTGTTACACATAACCTGTATGATAACCTGTTCAGGAGCATAATCATAACCTTGACTTAAACTCTTAGTAGATGCGAGGTAACCAGAGGCCACTAGAGTCTAGCTTTGTAATATATTAAATAAAATCACTTGACTTCGAAGCGTGAGTAGTGAAGAAAAAATCCTATAAAATACTAAAGTGGAGGGTAAATAAGCCTCTCCTCAAGGAAGACAGATAAGAAAGATTCGCAACTCCTCTTTTTCATCTCAGTACTTCCCTAACCTTCGTTCCACAACAGACAAAATGTCACCGGAACTATTGCCGAGACGTCGTCACACTGCAAATCGCGGATAACCGCTCTCCAGGCCAATTCGGCTATCCCTCGGGTTTGTCTAGTTTGATTGAAACTAGATAATGTTGATGACGGCTCTCTAGCTAACGGTGATTGAAGAATCAATTGTGAGCCCGCAATTTTTGGTGTGGTTCAATTTAGACGCGAAATGTCTAAAAGGGGAAGTTAGATCTGCGCGCGATACGCTCGAATCTCAACAAACGGCGTTTAATCCTAAATTGGGAGTGTGAGGAAAAGATCTACCTGAATCTCGGCGGCAAAATTGGAAGAGCGCTAGAAATTCCAATGCCGCGGGAGAGTTACTAGAAATAGATCTCGTGGCGGAAATAAAATACCGCATTCCGGTAGATCTTATTTACCTACCCACCGAGATAGATACGATTGAATACGCAGCAAAATCCGGTAAAATAAATAGGGGCTATGATTCCTGTAGGACCGTAGATCGCTTGATAAGGATTTCCCTATTGCATTTTATCGGATGATCAGCCTAGCCGCATTTTACATCCAGAGTTAATACTTGGCGACAGAGTCATCAACATGAATTGGCATTGGATGCACTGCGTCTGCAGTATAACAGCTTGAGTCAACTGCATAAGGTAGTGAAACATCCGTCAATCATTATGATCATCTATCAATCTGCCAACTTTTAGGGGACACTCTCGGACGTTCTTCTCGATACGTCTTTTCTCAACTGCTTAAGAGATGTTTAGGAAAGAAGCCATTATCAGCTTTTCTTCGCCTAGTCATTGGTTTATGGGTAATTAAGTAAAAGCGCTACAATAAGTGCCGATGATACCATGAGCGTGCTCTTGTCAACTTGTCGCCCCTGATTTCTTCTAGAGAGATCCGATCCGGATGCTGTCCTAGGCCTTTTTGGTCACATTATGCAAGGTGGAAGCGCTTGGTAGGTGAAGCCGTTTCTATTGTCTATGATTGGCTATAGAAATCCTACTTTGGCAAATGCTTGGTGGCGGGTATGGTGTTTTTATTCCTATTATGGCAAATACTTAGCTTACGTAGTATTTCGATTTAGGACAAGCGCGAGTGCAACTTCGAGCGAGGGATCGAGGTTTATAGGTAATTTACGTAGATAGGTAGGTAAGTTTCACCACGAAAAAAAAAAGCAAAAGTCGGGGATTTGTAGATAGGAACTTGGGCTTGGGTGACAGGTCGGTGGAATGCAGGTAAAAGGACACTACATGGGCCAATTCCACGCGGCTGCAAGGATTCAGGGGAGAAATCCCGATAGTCGGCGCCTGGTCTTAACGGTAATTATGTGGCGTTTGCCCGAGTTGAATGTTGATATATGGTATGTAGGTAGTTAATATATATCGATGGCTACGAAGTGTCTTCTTATCCGTCTTCCCCAAGGCCACCAACCCAGTTAAACATTAACAGTTTATTTTACGTCTTACTAAGTGAGGGGCATCTGCAAATCAACATGCAAGTCAACAAAGTGAGGGTCACGAGTTGAGGCAACCAGTCGCGTTGTTAATTTGGCACTGTAGTGTTATCCATAGTGCTACGGACTATAAACTACCTACCTACCTCACCTACCTACCTCTTGGGCGTATAGATCATTTATATTATAAGCTCTTTCTTCACCTCAATCATAAATCTTTCTATTTGATACTTATACTCATATATGTATGAGGTAAGGATAGGTCGTTTAAATGCAATCTATATAACACATGACAATTCATGTGTTATTGAGGCTTGACCTTACTTGGTAAGCTTTAGCAAGGATCAAGTATATAATACGGCATTAGAACGCCTTTACTTTTTATTTGAAATAGGTCGTTAATCAAACATTAAAGATCAATCACAGAAATTTAATGTCTAAACGTATCTTCGTTAAAGACATTCCATTGATTGTCCGTTTATCAGATTTTATCTAGGAGAAAAGGTGACAATGCCGAGCTTTACGTAGCAATTAAGATCTTACACGCTAGGTACCTCTGTAGCTTTGTAGCTTCATTGGTTGATTGCCCGTAGGTCGGTAGGTACTTGATATACACGCAATCATACAGTAATCTTGTGCGGGGGAATGTATTCCTACAAGGTACCTGACTTAACCTAATCGAATCAGATTCGACCACTTAGGTGTTGTAGGTACCTGAAAACCCCACCACTAAAACCATTAGCCTCTGAATTAGCCTCTGAAACTTAACGCGAATTCCCCAAAACATCGTTCTTGGCTTCCAACTCCCGCAGGATTGAGAAAGTCTCGGGTCCCCTAAATCCTCCACTGTCCATTGTCTCTCTTTTTTCCCCTTGACTCTGTATAGATCTGATTCGCGTCGCGCTGCTTTAATCCCAATACCTAAACTTACCAACTTCAACTACTATCGAACCATTGGAGGCTTTGGAAGTCTTGATCGGATTGATATCCCTCTTTTTATTTTTTTATAGCATTTCTCCTTCAATCTTCGTTATCGCTCGTTCCCTATCGCCTAATCTGGTACCTAATCCGCGAGCGGTGCTCCTCATACGTTTTCTAACCCCTTTAATACTTTAATACCTATCTACACACGGTGCTGTTTCTAATTACGGATACACATCTCCCCGATTCGTCGTACCTTACATGCTGCGAACTCCAGCCCACTTTGATAATTACCTGCTTTGTCACTCAAGTCGTTTCTCTGACTGCCCGTCCAAGTACGAATTCGGTCAAACAGTGACGTGTGTGGACGAATCAAACCTCAGTCGCGATATTTTAGGTGTGCCGAAGGCCGGCAGATGTTGGTAGTAGCCAGTTTGACCTGAATATTGGGGGGATCGATTCAGAAGCGAATTCTCTATATTCTTGTCTCTGTGCTGCGTATGGCAGCCCCCATCTTGGCTGTCGTCCAACCTGCCCTGTTTAACCTAAATCGACCAATCGACGCCCTGCGATGCACTCGTCCGACAACAATCGACGGGGCCAGCGCCGTCGGCCGGATTTAAATATTAATACCTCGAGTCCTGCTAGTAGGGATCGCGATTCTATGCCTTCTACGCCGCCGGCAAGGTCGAAAACGAAACCACCCGTATCCAGTCGAGCATATCGAGTGCCTTCTAACTTACCACCTTCACGCGATTCGGACGATTCTTTTCTAGATAATGGTTCTGACGAAATTAGAGGGAACGAACATGATCTGCCTGACCTGCCCAGAGGTAGGAATGTGAGAGATTCGCACGACTTGTCCCTACCCTCCCGCCAGTTCACGCGCGACTCGCTCGTGACTAATATGTTGACGTCTCTTGATCAATTCTCCCTGGGACAAATCAACACGCCTGTGAATAATTTGTTTGACGACGATGATCCTCTTAGTCCGCCGAGGGGAGACGAGTACTCGAGGTCTATGACGGCTAGTTCCCGACCGGGACGCATGTGGAACTCTGGCGCTGGACACGGCCACGGATACTCGTACAGTTCTGACTTCGAGGGTACTGATGACGGATCTAGCAGGATGTCAGGCCAATTCTCGAGAGGGCGGCGTAGCAACAGCAGTTCAGGCTTTCAGTCTGGCTTGGGTAGGATCAATAGTTTGCGAGAACGTAGCCACCCTAACGCAACTGGTGGGCGAGGGTTGCATTCGAGAGGAGGTAAGACTAGCAAGAGCAGTAGCACCAACAGTATTGATACCAGTGGTTATGCCCAAGTCCTAACCACTCAGCGGTGGGCCCACGATATCGGTGGGAGGTCATCAAGTTTTGACTACGGACAAAGACCATCTATGAATTCTCCTAGTGCTTGGAAGGCAGGTTTTTCTAACACGTTCCTTGTTGATGATTACGAAGCAGCGCCGACGCCAACGATACCTGTTGGGCCCCGTCGCCTGAATATGCCGTCCAGTCCCGTTGGCCCCCTGCCTATGCCTCCGCCGGAGCCCGAGGCGAAGACTCCCGATCGCAAGAAAGCTGCTGCAAGATCGAGAAGTGGCACTACGAGAACGACGCAATCAAAGCATGGTGCTCCGCGCGAAGTGCCGCCTCCGCTACCATCGGCCGATCTAGATGCTGCACCCGCACCACATATCGGGTACGAGAAGTCCAAGGAAGTCTTGCATAGCGCTCCCAACCCAACGCCGCAGGTGAAGCAGGGATTTTTCAGTAGGATATTTGGCTATCGGAATAGCACGAATGTCCCGGAGGCTAAACCGGCGCAAACTACATCGACTCCAGCAGAAAGCGCTGAGCAATCTAACAAGTTACAGCTTATAGCATCGCAGACGAAAGCCCAATCGACCCCTCCATCAAGGGATTCGCAACGACCGTCCAACCCGCCTCAGATTCTCCATAAGAAGTCGTCGTTCTTTAGAAGACGGAAGAAGTCTGAACCTCCAGTACCGCCACCCCCGGTACCTACGCCGATGGAAATTAACCGAATCAAAGAACAGACTATTCAACGTGAAGATAGTCCTGTTAGCAGCTTGCGCGAAATCATGAATCCATATCTACAAGAGAACGTATCGTCTGTGCCCAGCGCGCTTTTATCTCCAGGACCTGAGGGTTCGCCGCGGGTACGAGGTTACGAGTCGCAGGATGACGAACATGCTCGTAAGACCCGAGGCTTTTCTCCCGACTACGAACCCAGTCCAAATGCTACTATTCGGACTGTAAAATCTACCTCGGCCTTAAGAAGTCAGAACGCTGCCCATAGACGGTCCCAAATGGAAATGGAAATGCGAGACCTCCCTGAAATACCTCCTATGAAATCAACCGAGGTTCGTGACGCGACATTTTTCAACGATAGCAGTGATGAGGGTGAAAAGTCGTGGCCTAGTGGAACGCGCAAGGAACAACAGCAACGAAGTAGCAAATCTTCTCCAAAAATGGACGATTCAAAAGGCGGATTCGAGGGAACTGAAAGCCACGAAGATTCTAGACCCACTCCATCACCTAACTTGCTGCTTCAACAGAATACCACACCTGAAGAGAGCCACAAAGTTGCCGGCAGTCGCCAGGGTCCTAAGAGGATGTCTACTTTCCCCGGTTCGCTTAACAAGTCCGCCAATGGCTTACCTAGTGTCACGGTAGACAGTGCTGAAAGTAGCCCAAAGGTCATGGGTTCGCCTTTAGATGAGCCTGAGGTGTCGGTAGGGGAGCCGACGGAGGACGACCGACAGAAAGCCCAGAAGATATTCGACGGAAACGAGGATTTCATCCAAAAGGAGAAAGCAGCGGCTTGGATGGGAGAGGAGGGTCTCGTGAGACAAAGGACCCTGAAGGCATATATGGATCTCTATGACTTCACGAACGAAAGTGTTCTTGCCAGTTTGCGACAAATATGTAGTCGTCTCGTCCTCAGGGCCGAGACACAGCAGGTTGATCGGATATTGGTCGCATTTTCAAATCGGTGGTGTGATTGTAACCCCAACCACGGTTTCAAGACTACTGGTAAGCAAACTGGATTACATCGTTGTTTTCTGACTAACGCATTGCAGACGTAATACATACTTTGTGTTATTCAATCATGCTCTTGAACACCGATCTCCACGTGGCAGACATTGACCAGAAGATGACCAAGAGCCAATTTGTCAAGAATACCATGACTACTGTTAAGCATGCGATAGCCGACTCTGTCCCTGAAGCGTTTGACAGGGCTAGCATCTTGCCTGGTAAGAATAGCTTACTGAATCCCTCCGATTCGGATATCGGAACTGCCTTTGAACCGGAACCGGAGCGGCCCAGCTGGAGATCATCATTCATGCCGATACCACGATCAGAGTCGTCGATGGGTAACTACTCAAACGATCCGGTCGACACGTGCGGACCTCTAGTGAAGACTCCATTTGAAGGCTCCATGAAGGCATGGGTGCAGCAGATGGAGCTTGTATTAAAAGATATTTATATTTCAATTCGCGACGAAAGTCTCCCTCTCTTTGGAGCTGAGCCGGGTCAATCACAGAGCCTATCGCAAGGTAGCCTCTCGGTCATGGGCATGCTCAAGCGCAGCCCAAGCGTCTTGTCAAAGACACCGTCCGAGGGTTACATCTCTGTGCGCGGTAGGATCGCTGACCCGACCCGCAATCCTGGAAGTAGATGGAATTCAAAGAGTCGGTCTAGGCCGAGGTTCCCTGGCAATGGACTCTCTTCTAGCCGTACAAGTTTCGAAGATGGCAATTCACTCTGGAGTCCTACTACCTCATCTGCTACATGGAGCCGTTACTCGTTGGGTAGGACGCAGACTTCGATGTCTATGGACTCGTTCGGTTCATACCCGCACGGTGACTACCAGCAATCAATTGGGTTTGCTAATGCTCTAAGTCAAGCTATAATACGTGAAGATGTCCCCCCAGGCACCAGTGGACAATCCATCATGAGCGAGGAGGTGCAAAATAATCAACTCCTCGATGATGAATCGCTCGAGCTTGCTGGCTCGCCCTGGGTGAAAGAAGGTCTTCTCATTCATAAGCATCATCTAGATGGCGTAGATAAGAAAGCTAAAGAGAGGAATTGGGTCGAGGTTTTTGCCGTCGTCCAAAAGGGCACAATGAGCCTCTTCTCCTTCTCCACCAAGTCGATGCGCCAAAAGGCTCGCGTTGGCCGCAAGCCCCCTCCTGGTGCGGTTGTTGGCGGTGGAAACTGGCAAGAGAATGCTACCAGTGTCGGGTCTTTCTCGCTTCGCCAAACACTCGCATCTGCCCTCCCCCCGCCCGGTTATTCTCGTAGCAGGCCAAATGTTTGGGCCCTCAGCTTACCCAGCGGCGCTGTACACCTCTTCCAGGTTGGCACTCCCGAGATTAGCAAGGAGTTCGTTCTCGCGGTCAACTACTGGAGTGCCCGATTAAGCACACACCCGCTAGTCGGCGGTGTTAGCAATATGGAATACGGCTGGAGTGATGCAATTATCAATAACGCTCTTATAACAGCCATCAACGAGCCACCCCCGCCTGCTCGCCCAGGTAGCGCAGCAGCAGGTCGCGCCAGCATGCATAGTCGCCAAGGTAGCTTCCAGAGCAGTATTCGTTCGTCGTTTGACGTCAGTGGTGGCTCGCGTGCTAAACTACCGGGCGATCGAATCCATATCGCTGAATGGTCCGCCCCAGCACAATCTCTGCGTCCTAGCAACGCCTCCGAAGAGGAGCAGTTAGAAATCCTAGAGGCTTACGTCAAATCTATCGAAGAAGACCTACAGAAACACAATCAACTCAGATCACCTATGCTTTTAGCATTTACACCGCGTGGCCATAACGCTGGCAAGGCGATGGCAAACTGGGAGCGGAAGAGCAGCTATTTGCTGCGTGAGATCGTTAAGTTTAGGACATATGTCGATAGCTTACAGCACGCCAAGACGAAGCGTATGGAAATCTACGCCGAGCGCGAAAACGCAAACCGCGCTCTGCACGGTGAGGACCTCATCGACGACGACGATGGCGTCCATGACCCGGAGGGTGCTTTGGCCATTCAGGTCGAATAAAACCCAAAAATCATTAGGCCAGACGATACACGAAAGTTATATCATACATAATCTCAATTTTCCAGTTCGGGTTCGGTGCTAGCGATTCAATGTAACAAAAGTGAAGTGGTGGATAAGAAGGGTTACTTTGTATTACCTTAGAAGATCACGGGGATAACTCGATACCCGCAAACCGGCGCGCGCTTGGCTCCCTGTTTTCACTATGCTATGCTGTAAATATCACATCTGTTCTATAGTTCGGAGAGAGCTTGCTCCTTGTTGTGAATATCCATATTGTACGAGTAGACGATTGTACGTTGCAACATTTTGATGTTTGAGATGGTTGCTGGACTAAGCAATATCCGCTGATGCTTGTGCGGCGAAATGCCATGCTGATAGCTTCTAATTTTGTACACCTTATAGACCTTGTACTTGATTAATTTTATCGACTATGAGGCGGGACAATGCCTATTAATATGTATAGAGGTAGTTAAGAAAATGTCCAAGCTCAATAACCCAAGGCCGAGACTACAGTAAATTTGCGATACTTTACCCCTTATGCGACCTTCTCATTTATATCATCACCTACCCTCTTTTCCCTACCAATTCCTTTTCCGTTTTCCACCACACATACCGGTTCTATCTATGCTCATTCGCCCCTCATCTTTGTGAAACCCGCTCTTTCGCTTACCTCGCTATAATTCCGTGCACAGCACAAGATCTCCCGCGTCCGGTATCAAGTCTTGGAGACCCCAGCCTATGACGATGAGGGTAGTGCGGATGGGCCAACGCCAGAATAGTTCCCAGTGCGATATCAGCAGCTCAGCGGGGTCCATGCTAAAGAGCCTGAGGAATCGGCCCTGGAGACGTAAGTAAGGTTCTGACGTAGAGTCGTAATTCTTACCCATGTTGGGGAAGGGGGAAGGAGAAGATGGTAATAGACGGGTAGCGGGGCAATATGAGGAGAGGCGTAGTATGATAGACATGTGTAGAATTTCTAAAGGACTTGTTACACTCCTTCGGCGAAGGACTGGTTTGACGAAAACCTATAGGTTGGTATATTAGTTACTTTGATACGATTGTTGAGCTTAAAGAAGGTGTTGTGGAAGATAGGTACCTTTTATATATTGACAAAAATGTCTCCACGTCGAATAAAGAGGCTTCTCAAGAACAATTGAATTACGATGTAACAATGTGCCTTTGTTAAGACATCTTGCTTCTTTTCACTGTTAAGTCTAAATCGAGGAGGCACTCTCATGCTTCATTTTCCGTCATCTCCTTTACGCAACAAAAGGACGTCTATGCAAGCAGTAAAGGAGGGTATGATAAGAAATTGCAGACTATGAGAGCCTTATGAGATATTACTAACGACCATAGCAATAGAGATATATAGGGGTATCTAAAGATTTATGCCCGCCCAGCTTCAAGAAAAGAGAATCCGATAACCAAGTCCCTCTCTGTATATAACGCCACCGTATATAGTAAACCAAGTCCAGAAAATGACTGCTTAAACATTATGCATGTACTTCCACGAGCCCCTTGCACATATCTAAAAACCTGCTTCGGTACTCCTCGCTATCTGTGGTGATGCTCATCGGCCCTTGGTCGTCAATGAGGTTATAGCCTCGGACTAACGTAGTCATCGCCTTTGCATGGACTGTGTGCTTGGCCCAGAAGAAATCCAGGATGGAAGCTCTATAAATTTCTCTACCGTCGCTCGATACGACTCCCGTCCTCCAGCTCGGTGGATTTGGTGGTGTAAAAGGGGGCTGGACGGACGGGGTGGATTCATCGCCGGTCTCTTCCAACTGGATCAGGAGTTCCGGTTCGACCGCCGGAGCGTCCGGTGCGGATATCCGAACGAGAAAGAGCGAATAGTCGACAGCATTACGTTTCGCAAGAAGAAGAGTGTCATTTTCGATCTGGCGGTGAAATTCGGTAGCCTGTGCCTCGGAGAGCCGAATCTTGTCTTTGAATTCATCGGCAAGCTTGGACTTGGTAGCGTCGGAAGCTAATGCTCCTCCGGCGATATCTCTCTCGGGGAAGAAATAGGAGATAGGCTTCAAATCCCACGACTCCCATTTCGAGTTTGGGACTTGGTCCTGTCCGTACAATATATTTTCCATGACGATGTGATGGTCTGGCGCGAGGCCTAACAGCGTGCCTATAGTCTTGTGGGTGCTCTCGAGAAAGTTGGTGATGCGCACTAGTAGACTGGAACGATTGACGCGCATATGATCGGCGTAGGGTATAAGCAATTCATTCTTGAAGAAGTCATGTTCGAAGTGTCGAGGAATTGATTTCACCACATAGGCATTGTCGTGAGTGCGGAAGAATGTCGAGCCACTGTAGCCCATATCACCCATTGGTATTAGAATGAGACCTTTATTCTTCTTGTCCATCTGTTTCCTGACATTGAAGCTGGCTTTATAGCTGTCTTCATTGATCATCCATACGCCACGTAAAAGGCTGAACAGATCTTCCCGTACTAGTCGGAAGGATAGCCAATAAATATGGAAGAGGCGAAGAGCTCTTCTTAAGAGAGAAGGTTTCCGAGCAGGTCTGCCATCGTCTTTCGCCGTTAGAATGGCATAGACTATGGAGCGGGCGATTAGAGTTTCACGTCGAGTCATGTTGAAGATAGACTCATTTTTTTATACCCGACGGGCAAGACGACGACAAGGGTGAATGGTGTTGATGTTAAGCCAAAGTTTACGAAAAGTCTAGATTAAAATAGATTTTGGACTAGATTTGGAGCAATGCTCCGGCAGAATAGCAAGTAAGTGACGTCATAAAAAACGCCAAGACTCGTGTCATTGGCCCTACGAAATATGTACCTATTAATTAATCGATAATTCATTTATTTTTTAAAAAAAAGAAAAGCTAATCATCATCTTATGTCCGTTTCGCCATAAGGTTCTTTCACTCTTCGAATCATTGTTTACCCCTTTTCTTTGTATCCCTCATTCATCTTCATTCAAAAATCTGAGTTGAGAATTTCGTTATTCAATACTTCGTACACGATGTAAGCGAGTTAATCATTCAGAACTTGTAAATATCCAGGCATGTCACGGACTTGATCGCATCAGCCTTCGTGCTCCGCTATCCACCAACGCCCGGGCATAGTATCGATGAAGCAATTCGACAACGAAAGGGGATGGCATTTTCCCATCGCGTACGGGCGCCATGCCATTAAAGAATGCCGTCTTTATACCGACTTCAACCGTCCTGTCTTCCCTATTCACTTTAGCGCTCAAGATGAGTATCCCGTCGAATTCGCGTGGACCGGGCTCGAGTGGTGACCCTCCCGCTCTTATTGTGACGGAATTGCTTGTCCTCTCTACTACTTCGAACTGGTCTGAAAAGCGTGCCCCGAGCTCGTATTCAGACGATGCCAATTGTTGTCGGTCGAAGAGTTGATCTATCGTCTTGGGACCTTTTAAAGAAAGCGTTGTGAGAATGCGCTGTGGTACGTATGCTGGAAGTAAAGCGACTGATTAGCTCGGATGCTTTTCAAGTCCATCCAACCTACCTATACGAGAATACTCGACGTACCGTATCCAGCCCATACCCCACGACAAAACTCAGTTGCTATAGCTTCTTCGTCGTCCCCAAGATCAGGTCTGACTTTAGATAGAGGTAGACGCTTCCAAGCATAATCCTGAATCGTCGGGTTACGATGACGATTCAAATGAACAAAACTCCTGCTGGACCATACATCGTCGTCTGCCGGTAGTGTTGATATCAAGTTCGTCGTCATAGTCAAGTAGGCGCCGCCTCCACCAACAACCACCAGGGCCGTTCCTACACTTTTCCGAATCCAATTCATGATTGTTGTTTACGTCAAGGTATATACTGGTATTCGTTTAAACTGCAAATGAGAATGCTCATGGTCTTGGATATGGAGTACATCGGTAGGTTCCTAAATATCTGTAGCCAATACGCCAAGAGGGCTCGTATAAGAGGGCTCGTATACAATAGAACTGGCGGGAGCTAAGAGCATGGGTCTTAAGCCGAACGCGCGAGCACCAATGCCATGAGCCATGCGATGAAACGCCGTGCCACTTCTTTTCTCGAATGTCCCCGCTGGTCTCTTTAATATAATGCTCACTAATCCATGCTTTGGCTGCTAGCCTCCGAGTCCGGGTGTTGCTATCGAGCATCGCATTGATTGATTCGGGCCGGGGATCGTCTTACGGCATACTACCGGGTAAGCTAGAAAACTAGTATTGATAGTCTAGACTCCTAGAGCTTGCTAGGCCCAGGTACCCGCTCTTCAGGAACCCTCTCTGCCTCTATATATAGTAGTTGCTAGTGCTATGGTCAAATAAAATAATTATATCAGTATCGATTTGGCAGTTGAATTCATGTCGCACACAGAATACTTATGAGAAGCTAGAAGTTAGTTCGATAAATACACATGAGTCCTAACTCTCAAATCTATTCTCAACATGACTTATTTATATATGGCTGCTGCCCCACGTGTTTTCCGGTTCATAAGGGGTCCCTTCGTATAAAGGGTGTAAAGCTTAACCACTTCACCTCTTCCGATCCCATTCCAGACCGTCATACAAGGGTGTAACCAACTCGACTACAACTAAAAGCGCCTCATACACAAAACGTCCACCACCATTACAACTATCTAATTACCTCTGATCGGAAGGAAGCCCGTTGCCACTAACATTAAAACCCCGTTAGTCATATTAAGGAGTTAGTAACGGCGCAAAACACTTACCCCCGACCTCAGATGTCAGGTCTTGAAGGCTATCGTGAGACAAGAGTTCCAACCAAATTATAGTTTCCAAGATATTCCGTTCGAATCTCTCACGTCGACGGCGGCTCTGACGGTATAGCCGCCCTTCGCCGCGTATACATTCCCGCGTTGACATTAGTTAAGATATAAGGTTCGTGGTTGTCAAGACTAGGGTCTAACAAGTTGGCTACGCTAGGATCTCGCTCATGACCGAGGTGATCTCGTATACTGTGAGTTTAATATTCGATTTCATAGTCAGTGAGAATTATTCTGGTGTGTGGGGGTATTTGGAGGGAAATGGCCGATGAGTAGAGACGTTGGGGGTTGTAGACGCAACTATATCTTCGTTTAACACTCTTTGTTGCGCTACCTTTAGGCGTAAGTGTAATGTGACCCCTATAGAAAGAGTTATCAGTAGAATGGGGTCAAACTACTAACGTGGTTGGTCGTTCAAATGATAGAAATAGGTTTGAGTATTATGTTTACTTGGATCAGCATGTTGTTTCTCTTTGTTACTTATCTGTTTGTCTAGGATACCTCGCCCTTTCGCCCTTTGATTACCGGCCTTAGTCATCTCTTCCCATATTCAAAGGTCTCTTTGCGTCGTAATACTTGGGATACGTCTATGGCTGCATATCTTCTGCGTGATGAGAAATTAGAATAGAAACCCCGACTCGAAGAGCAGGGGGTTACACTTACTCTAGAACTTGAATATTACTTGGGGACGAAACGAATCTAATAAGTCACGTATTACAATACAATAAATTGCTCGTTTTATAATCTGACTCTATTTATTATATCTTTGTCTAATCCGCTGGGTATATATAAATCTCTGAAGATCATACTATACCTGTGTAGTGTAGTGACAAGACTGAGTTGGGTATCGTTTATCTTATGCCAATCTAACGCCCCTAAATGCATTACTTATTTTATCATTCATTAATATTGGGCTCTATTAACGCTGGGCCCTTTCCATGAGCATAGATAGCTTCGTAAGACCTCATAGTAAGAAACACTCAGGCAAAATCGGTTGCTCCGTTTGTCCGTTAATCCTTTTAGTTTCGTATTTAGATCTTGGTGATCTTGAAGCCGACTTGTATGGTCCTGGAGGCAATAAACCAGCACATCGATATGGTCATCACAATGCCACAGAATAGCTGAAGGCCTAGGAAGCTGCCGCCGTTGGCATTCACGATAGCGCCAGCGATGGGCGAGCCTGTCAAGGCACCGAGTGAAGACACGAATAATGCAATACCACTGCGTATGCCGATCTCGCGGATGTCGCTGATTTGCGCAATAACGGCTGGCAACAGCGAAATGAAACCACCCGATGCGAATCCAAACACGGCTCCGTACGCGACCGTCGTGGCTGTCGATTTGCCCGGTACCCATAGAGCCAGTGTAATGATGCCTGATAGTCCCGAGATGAAAATCATAACGTTGAAACGTCCGAATCGATCGCCTAGGAAACCAGGTACGATACGCCCTGGAATACTAACGGCGTTGATGATAGGTAGGAGGTATGGCACAATAGACGCGTCGATCCCTTGCTGTCGGGCTTGCAACTGGATATAATTAAACGGTAGAAACATGCCAAAGAAGAAGAAGAAACCGGCAAGAATGATACACACAAAGGCCGGTTCGTGAAGAGGCCGTAGGTATTCCGCGAACTCAAATGGTCTCTTACGAGGCGGGAGGCGGGACTTGATGGTGCAGCAGGCGAAGGTACACAAGGCAAGGAGCATGAAGCCGATAGCCCGTACAGTCCAGGGGAAGCCGATCCGCGGGATAAGGTTGTTCATCATGATGGGCAGGACTACACCTCCGAGTGACGAGCCTGACACCATCAGCCCTAAGGCCGCAGCGCGCTTCTTGAAAAACCAGCCCATGACCGAGTTCATTGCCGAGTTAAACACGGCGCTCAAGCCCACGGCGGTTACGATGCCTTGCGAGAGGAGAATCTGATAGTATTGCGTCGAGAGGGACAGCATCATCAACCCGAAGCAGAACACCAGGGTTCCAATGATGAGTAGCCACCGAGGGCCGTAACTATCGAACAGTCGGCCCATCTATAAGTATTAAGAATATGTCAGCCATCGTCTCTTCACCTATAAGTCGAGAAGGAAATCAGGGGCGCGAGTCAGGGTTACTTACCACCGCGTTCAGGCCAGACATCATAAATACTTGAATTGAAGTGATCCAAGTGACAGTCGACACGTCGTAGTTAGATAGCGGTCCCGAGACGTAGTAATTGACGAACGATCCGACACAATTTACTAGTCCGAAGGTACTGAAAAGGGCACAGAAGCCACCAGCGACCACAAGCCAGGCCTCGAGGCCGCCATCCGGGAAGTCGGCCGGGCTGAAGCCGGGCGGCGCACCGGGAGTATGTGGTGCCACGCCGCCTTTCTCCACTATAGCATCTCGGGTTAGTACGAAGTCATTGTGACTGTTTACATAGTAGAGGGGTCTCGAAATCTTACTATCTGCTTCGATGACATTTTCCGGATCGGGGAATATATTGGCATTGGTGGATTTAGTTTGGGACGGGATGCGCTCGAGGGAGTGGCGCGTGGACTCGTAAGGAGTCGGCTCGCCAGAGGTTTTGGGTAGATCCGATGGCGCACCCTTCATCGTCGACGCCTCTGAGTCGTAGCCGGGGGTTCTGGCCTGGGAGACGTTGTGGGATAACGAGACCGGCGCCTCTTGGGTGTGGTGAGTCGGCGCTTGCATCTCGGGAGACTAAAGGGGGAGAAGATATCGATCGCGCTGTCTGGATACAGAGACCCAAGGGCAGGGGCTCAAGAGGCGTAGAGAGTAGGTGATTTAATACCGTAGAATACACGCTACTCTAACAGGATATCTCTATTTTGTCTATTATAGTACGAATAATCTATTGACGAGGGTTATGCAAACTCTTATATTGAACAGCAACCACACAGAATATGTAATTAAGCCCGAGAAACTCGGGGTATATAAGGGTCTCGGTTTTAAAGCCCAATGACTAGGGCATTGTCAGGGCTCTTCGCATACACTACATACCTAGTCATTGAGTCAACGGGATGAGCTTGTCTCCACTATCCCCCTGTACATATAACAAAATCTTAGTACGGGGTATGGTTGAGTGGGACTGCTCCCAGCTGAAAGGAGGAGACTTGACCTTATTGATGACTGCGTACGGTTGCTATACCCCGAGGCTGCTACCCACATGTGATAATCAAAGCCTATGTTCTTCTATACGTGATATTGCGTGAGTTCGGCACCTATGTAGGTATGATACCGACATATGTAAGAGAAAGCAGGGGGAAGTATACAAGCATCTATTCTCAAACAAGTCGAATCATACCTAGTGAAGAAAAGCTAGTTACCGGCACTTTTTTAGTCAACTACCTAGTTAATTGCCTGATTATCTTAAGTTATATCTATGAGGTTCCTCCTACTAATATGTATATCAAAACACAACCCCTATTTAATACCGTATTGTACTACATAGGCTATCAGCATATGACTTTAGCAACTACATAACTAAAGAGATAATTATCACTATTATTACTGGTCTTTACGAAGGAAACATCTCGATAATTAGGTAGTCTACCGATTTTGCGTGATGATAGATAACCAATCAACCTAGTTGATGTCGGTGTGTAACGAAGCGCGAAAGCCGAATTTCTTACAAAGCATAACCCGTAGATTTCTGGGCACGCAGCTGCGTAAATGCACGCCAAGACCCGACGGGTTGGTATGGAGCTAATGCAAAGCGTAGAACCAATGGGATGAGCCAAACGGTCTGGCGCGTTTGAAGATTCCTGGTCCACACTAACGAAATAGGGTTAAGATCGGATCTTATCTATATCATCTAACGTTACCAAGATCTCGCTAGCAATACGGGTTTGCTCGGAGATGGGAATTTAAGCTACTCGGATTTAAATACCTAGTCTAGAGAACTACCTCCTAATAAGAATTTCATGATCTAGGCCTTGAACCACATCTTTGCAAATTTGGTAATGTGCAAATTGTAAAGACATTAAGGTTTAAAGTTAAAAATATTCCATGTCGAATAACTATACGACAGGTATTTAATTGTTAGTGGCTTGACATACAGTTAAGTATGGTACGGACGTTAAAAATAAATCGGCCGATAATTCTCGATAGTGCCCCGATAGAAATGTCCGACGCTACGCGAGTTTCTCGGGGTTCTAATATAATTTGTCACGTATGTTAACAAGTGTTAAGTAACTAGCAAAATACCGACCTAATTATTCGGGTTTTTGTTTATGCTGCAGCTTCGATGGTAGTGTATATCGTGCAATACCTCCTAAATTTCACCAAGGGAACTAGGAGGAAACTACATAACCCCTAGTAGTCATTGTGCTATGACCGGCTGTATGGTACAATAACTTATTTAATTTTGAATGGTGGTAGAACTGCAAATCTATCATGACTTCTCAAAGTCTTTCAGATTTTTGGCGTCGGCAAACGAGACCTTTCCGTCTTGTCCAACGCTTGCTACATTTATCTTGACCGCGGCCGCATCTTTCGTCTTCGGTGTGACGTCGGGCTTCGGCTTCGTTGCTAACTCCACGGTAGCGGGGACCTCTCCCATAGGGGCGTCGGCAAGCTCATTGACGTCTGCGCTCGTGAGCACGTCGCTAATCCGAGTGCCTCTGCTCGACATGAGTATCGTGGTTGGGCCCCGGAATTGTAAGAATAGCCTATCACCCCATATCGTGCGTCTCGCTGCCGTGCGGAGGCTGAATAGGACTCGGGAAAGGAACTTGTAAGTTTCGGTTCCGCGCATTGTCTTCAGGAACTTGGTATCTCCCAGCCATGTCGTAATCGAAGGTACCTGGAATCTAATGCCCGAGCTCTTGAATCTGAAGGGCAGAGGTGGGTGCTTTGTCACCGTATAAGCTACCACGTTCGAGGGATGAACTACGAATTCCTCCTCTTCCGCCAAAGTAAGTTGGTATATGTGTCCTGGTGCAGATAATGCAGCAAGTCCCCGGCCGGTCAACTCGGATGAGCCCCAGTGGGCAACTGGGAGTCGATATTGGATTCGGGGAGTTACGCTTAGCGAATGTCCAGTCCACGCAAGAAGCGCCGATCTTTGCGCCACCATCCAATCTGTTGTCCCATCAAGATGCAGTACGGAAAACGTGGTCGTAGGCGACTTGGTAGATATTAATGCCGTGAGCGGAGTTGTGGAAGTTATGCGTTGGTAGAGGAAGGGGATGCCGGTGACGGCTCGCGTAAAAGGTGAGAGTAAGGAGAGGGTTGATTGCGCCTAATCCTGCTGATTAGTTTTGTTTTCTATAAGCTATTAAATATTGCGCTATCTCACATTTTGCGCTTTGCCCGATACTGCGACTAATGTTCCACGGCGTGTGTATAACCTCTGCGAAGCCGACAGAGACACCGAGAGGAGGGAATACGGCGTCCCTAACACTTCAAATCTAGCATCTAAAGCACCGTATAAGCATTATTGCTCAAAAACAGGTCGAAAAGCTGGTAAAGGTACCCGCAACATCTTTAGAGACGTCGATGGACGTGCCGAAGATATCTCCCCCGAGGCGAGGGGACCCGGTAGTGGGCGAGGAACTGAGCTGAATAGCTCTACATTGGCAACAAATGTAGCCTCTCCGAAGCCCCAATTGATCTATGCGCCCTCTTCTAGCTAGGAGGGAGACGCCGCGCATGGTGGCGGTCTCGAAGGGAGGTGGTTAATATGACCGTGGCTCGCGGGAACTTATGACGAATGAGCAAAAAATCAAAAACATCAAATATTCGAGCTTCAAAGAGGTACTTTATCTGATGTACCTAGGTACCTAATCGAGGTAACCTTCAGCCCGATTGCCGATCATTACATAATCGTGTACGAAGTTATGGCTAATAATGTACGTGGCTCGTGCATTTTACATTCTAAGAGGTACCTAGGTACATAAGTCTAGTCTACCTCATAGATCCATGGATATAAGACTCATCATACCTCTGGATATCACAAGCAGCTACTCTAGAAATCACAACATGTAAGACGTCCAAGTAAATCAACCAATCTGTAATATTTCACCTATCTACTCAAATCCTGCCTTGACCTAGCATCTCTCTAGATGCATCCACTTAAATTTTGGTCCTATGGACGCTCAATTCTAAGTGAAAGGTCTCCCTCCACTGGCATCCACATTCCTCCGAATGACGCAAAGAAGCCTTTTAGAAAATAATCGAAACCGGTACTTGTAACCCTACCAGATGCTACCGTCCCTATAACGCCACGCCTATGCAAGCTTGGTTTGGCCCGAGCCTGAATGCAAAGAGAACCGCCAGCCGATATATGCAGTCTAAGGTGATTAGACCAAAGAAAATGCCCTTTTAACAAGCAACGCCGGAAGATGCAAGCAAGCCTTCGTACGCGCGGTCTACCGTGCGACCGCCCATCCCAGGGACAGCTCTAAGCTGTTCTAGTGAATCGATACGACCGCCATCCTCTTCAGATAGTAGCTCTAAGTAGTCTACTAAATCCCGAGCCTTCTTGGGTCCAAAGCCTTGTAGGCTCCTGATCAGAGCGACATCTCGCGAGTTCACGATTTCTAACAAACTCTGTGATACGGGACCTTCTTCTACCGCAGAAAATTCCCCTGCAGGTGCCTTTGTAGCCTTGGACTTCTTTCCCTGCTTACGTCCTTTATCCATATGGATCTCGTCATCGTCTGCCTCCAGGCCGTTGAAATCATCGTCATCCATGGTCTGTCGGTCGAGCTTCTTATGCTTCTTCTCAACTAGGTATTCGTCGACTTCGGTTCCCATTTCGCCGGGGGCCTCGCGTCTTGCCTGCAGCCGAGCCTTAAGCTTCTCAATCTTCCCAAGAAGCTTGGCCTGACCAGGGAAGTAAGGTAACGCCAACTCATACATCTTAAGAGCGCTAGCTTCTTCGCCACGTTCCTTATGTTGCCGTGCCATGAGCAAGAATCGCAACCCATCCGAGCGCGAGTCGTCCTGGCGCGTGTCCTCGATACGCTTCTCGAGAGCCTCTAGGCGTCTCTGAACGGCTTCGTTAATCTCGGGTGGTGCAGGAGCAGCCTGGGCTCGAGATGCGAGGATCTCGCTAACCTTCTGTTCTACTATCGCCTCTATCTGATCAGCAGATATGGATGGATGAGCTGGTTGTGAAGGTTTAGCCGATCGGGGTACCAATGCTGGGCGGGTAATCTTAGATGGCCGACTACCACCATCGGAATCCGAAGGACGCTTATGCTGGGGTGGCGACCGCTTCATCGTGGTATTTGCTGTCGGTCGTGAAGTAGGTTGCGGCTTCGATCGATCAGAAAAGACACTAAATGCCTTGACGGGGCGATCTGGCTTGTCTGCTGCCTTATTTGCCGCCACTGTCCCGGAATGGATGTTATGCGCATTCGCGAGGGGCCGCAGGGGCTGACGGGCTGTTCCTGAGCCAGAGTTGGAGCTAGAACGAGGAGGTTGTTTGAATACAACCTCATTTTCGATTTCTCGGACTTCGATTCGTTTAGCTCTCGAACTAACGTTCAAGCTGCTGAGTGTGTCAAGATGGTAGCTTCGGATTGGTGCAAGATTCAGAATCATGATGGTAATGCCGTTGTTTTGGCCGAGGGAGAGGATTCGCGTCATCTTCGACTCCCGAAAAGGTATCCGACGATCTCCTCTCGAGATGGCATCAATGCATTGACTCAGCACAAACAAGCTTTTGTTGATAGCAGCAGATTCGACCAGCCGCTCCTTGCCATTATCTGTCCGCCGGTTGTCTTCCGAACCAGCTAAGTCAATGGCAGATGCCGTGCTCTCCTTGACCATATCGCCCGTTGTCTGGGTAAGCTTGACACGCAAAATAGCATGACTTCTACTGCTATGAGCATTGAGCTTTGTAGCTGCGGTGATACGGTTATTGTTAGACTCGATATATAGTCGCTCAAAGTCCTTTAGGTCCTGGCAAGGGCGTTCAGATAACCCAGCAACGACAGTCTTGCCGTTAGCCTCTGCACGGAGAGGCAAACCTGACGGCGTCCGTTTCTCAGGGGGTTCGAGGAGGTCGAAGACTTTATCGTTATAAATCTCGTAGTATGAAAGTGCAACGTCTACCGTTGTCTCGCCATCGGAATCTTTGGCAATCTTCTTAGCTCTACGGAAGACGCCGCTAAGAAGTCTCGGGATAACACCACGCTCGGCCAATTTTAATCCACCACGCATTGTATGAGTCTTTCCAGTTCCGGTGACACCATAAGCAAATATCGTAAGATCGAGGCCTTGGAAGAGGGATTTGAGAAGAGGGGAGACTATAAATCAATATGGTTAAGCCATGAGAATATCTTCCACGTGAAGAGCAACGAGAGCGGTGAAGGAAAGGAACTAAGATAGAATTTTACCTTCGGCTGCGAATAGCTCCTCTTGAGTTGTCAATTGATCGTACACGCTGTTGAACGTGAAAGAGAACTCTTCTGATTCATTCTTGGGATTGGGGATCTTGACGACATTGCTTGTCTTGCCATCATCGTTGCTAGCAGCATGTACGATCACGTCCTTGTCCAATTCCTTGTCCAAAAGCGGACGTATCCGCGCGACAACTCTCACAGACATGGCTGTATTTCAAGCCAATAAGACCTATGAGCTTATATGGAAAGTAACAGATATAAGAAGCAAGAAGAATGATGCAATAGGGATCAAATGTGAGGTTCTGTAGCTTGCCTAGATGTTTAATAACGGTGATGTTATTAGGATATGGACAGTTTCAAGGCTTTGTTTAGAAGATGGCACAAGCTTTTAGCAATTGAGCAATGGGAAAGCTTTCCCTGAAAACTTAATATGGGTCTGTGGGACGTCCCGTTGTAAGGGAGCAACGGCGCATGTCACGCTAGCAATTCCACTAACTCCTGTCCCTGACGCATCTAGTGTGGTACAATACATTACAGCTGTACAGCTGGAGAGCGCTAAATTCATCAAACCAGCAAACTTAAAGCCAAAGTTTTGTCCCTGACGAAAGTATAATCTAAAATAAAAGTGATTCATTTCTTCTTCAAAGAATTCATCTCTTAATATATTGTTACAAATTGTTTGCAGTGCTAGGAATAGCCCATATCACAGCACAGCAGATAACAAAGTACGAGATATTCACTTCAACATAATGCATTGCTCACAGAATTACACGTCACCTTCAAGGAACATGATAGCAAATAAGGTCTTACTCTATTACAATTCATATGCTACCTACTGATCCCAAAAAGATATTACAGGTCTTATAATAGTGCTACCTACCCTACCTAAGATACTTAAATAATAAACATCTATTCTCAAAACAGGCATCTACAAAATAGTATATATAGGCCGCAAGTTATTATCTAACCCATCCCAGCCTTCCCTTGTCCAAGATGCCTTGGCATTTGTGAAGGTTCATTTGTGTTTACTCTGTACCGAACCTTCCATCCCGGGTGACAAAAACCGGCACGGCAAGAAACCCCGCACCTTCCACCGAAAGCTCCGAGTAGGGGTTCCACTCCGGCATAATTCTCCGCATGATATGGAATTGATCCAAGCAGGCCTAGGTATTCCGCTACACCAAGAGGTCTATGCTGCCTGACACTTGTACCTCTACAACGGCCAATACCAGGCCCTCCCACAAAATTGCCTGGCTAGCAATGCTGATGTGGCACCATAGGGTATCACCAAGAGGATTAAAAGAAATTGTCTCAGATAAGATTGTCATATCTTTACCGATAAATAGCAGGCCCCTACTTCACTAACAACTCTCTTAAACATAAAAGAAAAGAAAAAAGAGAAGATAAAAATAAAATAAAATAAAGGGGGGGACAGCTATCAAAATAGAATTACTATATTAGGCAATCCGGTGGGGCAGCTCACAAGCAAGCAGAGTCCTTGAAAGCTTTGAAAAATGAACTAACCTCATTGGTTCACTGGCGCACCTTGTACCTGAGCCGCAAGCAGTTGCTGCATTCACCTCTTACAAGACGACAATAACGAAATATGAAACCACATACTGTAAAAATATGATATACACCTTTTGATAAGGTGTCCTTTGATATAATTGTCAATAACATGTAAAGTTGGAAGGTATAGGAAACTGTATTCGTTGAAAAGAGGTGGTGTTGTACTCTTAAGTTTTATTCTGAAAATTTTTTCTTTTTTTTCTCCATGCTCTTTTTTTTTTTTTTTTTTTTCATTCGGTTTTTTTTTTCTTCCTTTCCTTTTTCTTCCTCCTATAGTCCTTTCTACCTACCTACCCCCCTATTATCTATACACTTTTATCTCATCAACCAGATTATCGACTCCATGTGCTTAGTTTCATCTATCTTGATAAATCAAGAGTTCATTGCATATTCTTAATATCTCTTTAACTGGTTCTTAAACTGGTCACGTGTAGCCCAAGCCGAGCACATCTATAATATTGATGTTACGCCTTGCTCTTGCTCCGTGAAGTCGGTGACTTCCATTATTCTTGATCCGGGCTACTCGCGTGCCTTCCCAGTCATACCTTACCCATCGGTACTGCCGAGTCAGGTTAATATACAACCTGTTCTCTTGCCGCCGCTGCTGCGCTTCTTCTCATCCGCTCCTCACGATATAACATATTTTATCCTCATCCTTACTCCATAATGTCTCGGCAGCGCCCATCTTTCGTCCAGCGCTTCGTGCCAGATATCTCCCGAATCTTTGAGGTGAGTTAGCGCTCTTAATAGTTCCTACAATCCTTTATCACCAGCCCAATAACCTAACTGTAACATACCCTTTGTTATAAAGTTGACTTGACTGACATCATCAACTTTTTCTTCTTGTACCCCATGGATAAACACCCTTATATCTATTGACACCCGGCTATAGTTCCCTAATGGCGGCATGGCTGCTGCCAATGGATCTTTAGATCCTCGCTCTCTCAACTATGAGAGTAGCAATCTGAACGAGATAACCCGCCGCCAGATGAACGAGGACATCAGTGCATACCGCTATGACTTGGACTTCTGCCGAAATCAGCTCGCTTCTGCCGATCTCACCCCACAGGAGGTAAGAACACTACAGATACGCGTTCTAGACTGCGGCCACAACATCCGTACCTGCCAGCACAGGATCCAACAGCTAGACGCCCAAGCACGCAACTCGGCCGCCGCTGCTGCCTCGGCTACCCCTACTTTTAAGCCCCAGCAGTATCGCAATGCTGCAGCCACTCCTGCCTCCACCGCTGGAGTTAAGAGACAGCGTACTACGAAGCCGTTAGACAGCGATGACGAGGAAAACGTCGAAGCCCAGCCGGTCATGGACTTGAGCGGCTCAGGTACTACTAATTTCCAGCGACTTGGCTTTTGGAAGTGCCGCCTCTGCACATCGCAGAAATTCCTGGATGCAGGTGCCAATCGAGTGCCTAGTGCGCCTTGCAAATGGCCGCTCAAGGATGTTTCTAAGATGATCAACCACTTCCTTGACATGCATACAGAGCATACTCCCGGCGAACGTTGTGAAGAGCTTGGTACAGCCCTCGCATTCAATCGTAAGTAATTCATGTGATTTAGTGTACTTTATTTCACTCATATGCTAATATTTGGCTAAAAGGGGGCCCCTTTGAGTACTGGTTAGTCCGTACACGAGCGCAGGACTTAGAAGACCATGGTGTTATTGATGAGTTCATCAACACTCTTCGGTCCGGATCCATGCCCGACGCTCTGCGCGGTCTCAGTAGAGCTGCGAGCGCATTCCCCAATACAACCCCTGGATTTAAACGATGATCCTTCAATGGTGTGAGTGCCCGACAAATGGCAGTATGCTATAAGAGTCATGATGACATGGTCTAAATGAGTTTGGGCTATGATTAAATCATTGAGAATATTTCTCCAGTTTAGATCCGAGGGCTAAATCGTTGTTTGTGGCGCGATACATAGAGAGCCTCGTATTCTGCGATGAATTCCGATCACTCTGGCATGGCGTTCGGTGTTTTTACAGATAGGTACTATTTAGACTTCTTAAGAAGCTAGCTTGACAGACCCAAAGTCAAGATGATGCCTTAGCCATGAAGAATATACCAAACCCGCGTTGATATTAAGCAATGATATATGACAAGTTTTACGCATCTGGTAAACCCATTTAATTTCCTTGACATCGGTCTAAATTAACTTATTTTGCTCGTGTTGTGATATATTATCATGATATCCCTAATCATGGTATTCCTTCCTACTATGGAATTGTTGAAAATTGCGCCAAATTTATGGTAATAATTTGTCATACGGACAACATGGCCGAGACTGGAATCTAAAAATACAGCCTAGACCCAGTAAGGGGTTAAGATAACTAAGATCAGGACAATTGGATGAGGCACATCACAAGACGATGCAGGCAGTATGCAAGATAGCCAACATACAGCCGAAGGGGCGAAGAGGCAACTAGATACGGAGATACATCTCTTAGAAACGTCTACAAATAGGTCGTGATCTCCTCAGAATTGAGATAGAGAGATCAACTAGGACCTTGAGACCTTAGAAAATTATTAGTAAATATGAATCCGTTCCAAGCCCTTACAAGACCTTGTTACATAATTGGACCTTAGATATTCAATGCAGTGTAAGGGGTTGAGTAGGTGCTACACTTAAGTCTTTCCTTATGCTAGCATATTAATCTAAATACAGCACGAGTCTTTGATATAATACTATAGTATTGTATTTAGTTTAACTATACTATTGATATCATGCTAATAAGTAGCCCCTTCTTACATTATGAAAAAAAAAATGACTACCTAGAGAGCTAAGATCATGTCAGCTTAGGTTCACGATAGTTCCAACCTATATCTTATATACTTAGGTACGTAGACAGATTGTTGCTATTATAGAAGAATGCGCTACTCTTATAACCGTTCTTATGTATATTTGTTCATTATTATTTAAAGCATCAATGCTTTTCTTTCTGGTACAGAGGTCCCTCAACATACTCATCACTTCTGTATCTATACACAACAATAGATAGGATGGCCAACCCATAATATTAGCCTCATACGAATTCATAATCACTTTAAGTAGATACCTCCACAAACTCCCACGCAGTACCGTCACCCTTAGTCTCTATCAGCCTATAGGTGCCCTTCTCAACTGTCATTTTCCGCATTTCGTTGCCATGAGTTGTTAGCAGTAATTGACCCCCACCCGGATGTGCTCTGGTATTAAAGAATTCCCACGCCCAGTGATGATACTCCCGGGCGACGAACCGACCCCAGTTGTTATGGCCTATGTGCACGTTATTGCTTGGATTGCGAAATCCCAGGTACCCATCCGTTTCTATGCACAGCCAGTGATATCCTCCTTGGTTACCCATGTCTTCTTCTAACTTAAGCTCGCCGTTCACGAGTGTAATCTGGCGGTCCGTCTCCGGGTCTCGAATTTTGTATGTGTGACCGGGCCATGGCCCTGTTGGGCCTGGATTGGGCAAGTATGGACTATATTTACGATAAAAATCGACCTCTGTATTGCTTTTTTCGACCTTTGCGTTTCGGAGAAGTCTTTCGGGCGGAAAATCATCCGCGAGCCAACCTACTGCCATGTGGAAGATGAAGTAGAGGACGTTAAATATATTCATCGTGAATTGATTGGAGTTTATGTAAAAATAAATAGCTCGGAAACTCCTCGTTTTATTTTTTGTTTTATGCTGCAGAAAATTAGGGCAACGTTGGAAGACAAGTGCAAGTCTGTAGATTTCAGTTGAGATATGGTGTGTTGGGTCACAATGAAGGCGCATGGACCACCTGCTCTGTTTGTCAGGCAGCAATACTTCTACGACTACAACGGCTGTTTGCAGAGGTAATAGATTTAATTTTCATGGTAGGTTCCTAGTTAACCTTTCGAAGAGTTTCATTTGTCGTATAGGTAGTTAAGATGGCTCCTTATTAATGATATGTCTGTCATCTTTGCACAGGCTGCTAGTTTAAAGGGCGGAGAGATATCAATTAGAATGCGCCAACCTACTACATGTAGACTTATTAACTCAAGGAATTATCAAGTTCATCGAAAGGGCTACTTAAGATCCCCCATCTGGAGGGCACACTTAAGGAATTCCTTTCAGGTTACCGTTGAACCAAACGTGCTTCGAGCGTCTTCGCTACCAGTAATCTACTCGACACCCAAGGTAATGTCGACATGGACCATGGATAATATGAAATCACCTAAGGAAAACACTTTGAACGTTAGGTACTTTAAGAACTAAGGATCGAGGATATGTTTAGCTTTGATTAACTGCTATTGTCTCGGTTAAGCTTTTTATCTTGGAAGGCTAAGCGTTCTAGCAAGTGAAGAATATTAGGAGATGCATATTTGCTATTAGTTAGTATAATATTAGAAAACATCGCCCAGGGTTTTGTCTTGTTTGTATCGGCTTACAAAGTACAATGTTGTTAGACAAGCAAGGGAGCCCGAAACCAATTACTTATACGAGAACAGTGTGGCAAGAAAGAGTAGAACGATTACGCATTTACTGTGAGAACCAATTTTAACAATATTATCTTTCGAACCAATGCTCCTGAGATGATTCCGTTTCTGCGACGTAGTCATAGCTTACCTAGGTACCTAGCATTAAAGGATATACAGAGAACCCGCCCCGATATCTCCATTATATTAAATGTACGTACACGATAATTCAGAAACGGTTATTAAATGCGCGGCTATCTGCAGTTTGCTAGTGGGAATTACTTAGCTACAGATACACGTGTTAGTAATAAAGCGGACATGATTTGCCTCCATTTAGGCTTAAGCAAACGTTCCATGGGAACGCACCTAAGAGCTAGTATGAACAATATAGCAGTATACGTTGCCATTAACGGTAGTCGCAGACAATCGTTACATCGGTAGATTAAGATTCTACAAGATTGCCGGCTGCATAAGGGATCCTAGCATTGAATATCATGGCTTCATGTTGGTCCATTACAACTTGTCTCGGAGAGTGTCATCCGTAATATATTAGTTATAGTTTCCGACTTGACTTTTACATAACCAACATCCGAAGTGACGGAAATGTGTATAAGGATATTTGAATTCAACGAAGTGTCCACGGCATTAGTGGCACGGTGACAAGACCGGAAAAGATACCTCGATGCAACATAACGCATAATGCCGAAAGCATGACGTATACAAATCTGCGTTAAGGGCCGCTTTGTTTGACTATCGTGAGGGGTTTGATATATGAATTGCTTCAAGAAATCAGCTTTCGTCGGGATAATGATAGGTACTACTGCTAAAGCGGTATATGGGTGGTCAGTCCCATAGGGTATAATTAATCTCATTTGATTGTAAAGTGAATGCTGGGGTAGTTCCGAATATTTAGATACCGTGGAACTCGGAATCCCAAGGATTCGTGGGGGTCGGATGGATTCTCTCACGATTTTCATGCATTATAGCTTGACCGGGCACAGGTCTCTCAATGCAAGATTCGGCTTTATAAATGGATCGATATGGTCTATAGCAGAAGGGCTATGCAAGTTATGGCCCTTATACGACTAGTGTATCTCTCGCGCTTCGGGTACTTGCTTCTCTCCTGGTTCTATGTAGAGAAGGATTCCAGCAACGGAGACCCGCAGATACACTGATCGGCACGACCCTGACAGAGCGCCGTTGATGTCAAACGGCGTGGGTAAGGCGGCTTCGATCGACAGGCACAGCACTGCAAGCTTGTCGACTAGAAGTTACCTTCAGCTTCGAAGAAAGCTAGAACCTCGTTGTGGTCATAGTCATCAAGAACTTGCTATAACATCTTATCTTCCGAGATGGTTTGAACCCAAAACTAGACTGCATCTCTTAGTGACTTGAACGAATGATAATAAACTATTACCGGTCTGATAAACGATTATGTTTTAAGACTTGATTCATCCTTGCTCGACGACATATCCCGCGCTAGCCGTGGTATATCACCTATAGATATGAGGCATCACAGCAAAGAGCGATCTCGCCAAAAGACGTGCGGGTCCTCCCGTCAACCACGCTACCTAACCACAACGCTGGGAGTGGAGCATCTTTCAACGAACCGAATTTAGTCTCTCATCCTTCTTTGCGGGATGGGAAAGCCGAGCATGGCGGGGGGAGTACGGCGCAGCGAGGGGGGCCAGCTAGCACTAGGTAGTCTGATCCCCGGAAAGACTTTTCGGGAAATTGATCTCGCCCACAACTCAAACAGGTTTGATAGAGTATACGATTTTAGGATGTCGAGGGATAAAAAACCGCGTGTCTCCATTCGCGCGTCTACATCTTGTGATGGACCGGTGAAATAGAGTGATTATTCGACTAGTCCGCCCCATCTGCAATATCGCAGACCGAATTTCGGCAGTATAGCGTTACATGAACACTCAGCGATTGCAGCAGTGAGTAGTAGTAATAAAGGAACTACAGAGTTGGCCGAGAGAATCACACTTACGTATTTACATATACCTAGAATCCTGATTCGGAGGCTGGCACTTCCCATTGCAGGTGGCCTCATATATCCCGTAATACCTAAGAGGTTGACAGCCCTAAAAAAGAAACCGTTCACACATAATACTATGGGAGCGTCGCAGTGGCAGATAGGGTAGGAATCATGCAATACCATGGTAGTATTGTTCTCTTACTCTCCCCGTGCCAAAGGGAGCACAGAATGCAGCTATGGGGACAAGCCTGATGGTTGGAATATGCGGGTCTTTGGGGAAGGCGAATCGCGAGCTCTCTCGAGGTCGTTTTGGGTGGTCTGGACTGTCGGTATGCGGAGACAGACCAAGAACTAGGGCAGGGGATGAATTGGCAAATCTCCAATAGGATTGGTTTCCCCACATTGGCTTCTGTCACGCTTACGCCGGTGGTAGGTCCTAGACATGCTCGTGGACGATGTCGCCGCCGGAAGTCCCAATTGGGCTAACCGGCCTTCTTTGATTAAACCCGTTGAAATATACGGATCGCGGTAGCCACGGAAATTTATAAAACGAAACTTGGTTCTTCGAGTCGACGAGCTTCGTACTATTATATTCTAATTGAAGACTGCGAAATCCTTCATTACAACCCGTGGATTAAAATCTGGCTCAGTCGTGGAACGAAACACTATATTGAAGTATACTTACTACCTATTCAACATGCCGGGAATAGACTTGGACGGCAACCATTCAAATGGCCACACGAATGGCCGCACGAATGGCCATACCAACGGAATTGCAAAGAGTTTCAAGAACCCGTCACTGCAAGTTACCGAGGATCATCAGCTAAAGTTGGTTGATGCTCCTATCGAGGAACCCGGTGTCGGAGAAGTAACTTTGCAGATCAAATGCTCAGGTATCTGCGGGTAAGTTTCATTCTTGCGTCTCGAGTATCTCGCATGGCGAACTGCTAACTTCTAGTTATATAGATCGGATATGCACCTTTGGAAATCGGGGCGCATTGGATCTCTTGAAGTTAAGGGCGATTGCATCTTAGGACATGAAGCTGCTGGTATTGTGCTTAAGTGCGGAGAGGGAGTGACCAATCTCAAACCAGGTGAGTCTACTTTTGATCCCGTACCTGTGCGAGGTTGTGCCTTGCACTTGGCAAGATCTTTATATGTTGTGCTAACTGGAGATCTTGTTCGTTTGTTTAGGAGATAGAGTGGGAGTTGAGCCCCAAGAACCCTGCGAAAAATGCTTTCTGTGCATGGAAGGCCGGTACAACCTTTGTGAGGACGTCAAATTTTCGGGAATATGGCCCTACAATGGAACCATCCAGAGATTCAAGGTTCACCCAGCAAAGTGGCTGTACAAGTATGTGTGATCAAGATCCGCTGGTCTATATGTCCAGATCACGAGGCTATTCGCAACTAAGACAGAGCTGACAAGTCCTAAGGATCCCAGACAATTTAAGTTATTCCGAGGGTGCACTGCTTGAACCATTAAGTGTAATACTCCACGGCATCAACGGAGCTAATGTGAAGCTGGGTCGCCCGACGTTAGTTTGCGGCGCAGGTCCAATTGGGCTCGTTGCTTTAGCTGCTGCGAGGGCATCTGGTGCTCACCCACTAGTCATTACAGATATTGACCCAAAGCGTCTCGAGTTCGCTAGGGAGTTCGTCCCACGTTGTCAAACATACCAAATTAATTCAAAGTTGAGCGCCGAGGAAAACGCTAGAGAGATCCGAAAGCTATACGGCGAGGATGAATATTCGGCCCCAGCATCAGTAATGGAGTGTACTGGTGTTGAGAGCAGCGTCTGCACAGCTGCCTTCTCTGTTCGCAGAGGAGGAACACTGATGGTGATTGGGGTGGGAAAGCCGGTCATGAATAATATTCCTTTTATGCACTTATCCCTTGCTGAGGTCAGTTGTTAAGATAGTGGTGCATCATTTTGGGGAAACAACAGCTAACGTAATACTGTTAACATAGATTGATCTCAAGTTTATCAACCGATATCGGGACACCTGGCCGGCCGCTATACAATGTATGAGCGGTGGCATACTTGACCTCAATAAATTGGTCACACATAAGTTCCCGCTCGAGAAGGCCCTCGATGCGTTTGAACTAAACGCCACTACTGGTAACGGCAGCATTAAGGTCCATATTGTCGATGATTTTGAAGCGTCGTTATAAGCTGGAAAAGCAAGCCGAATATGAAATTTCTTGTACATAAGTTCGATATAATTGTTATAAAAGACTTGCGAAGAGTAACAAGTATTAGATGTCCTATCGTTAATAATTACTCGACCTTCATGCGCCATGGCCTAAGGTCCGAGGATCTTGGTACGGCTATGCAGAAGCAGAGGTTGGCGAGTGCTAAGTTCCGAGGCGGGACGCGAACTCTTCGCCGATAGGAATTCAAGGGACGCTGCATAATCGGACATATCTCCGTGCTAAAGCGAAATAATATCTGGAACAGCCACACTCGTATCCGCCGTGCGAGTGTTCGTGTAATGTTGGGTCACGTTGAACATATCCGGGAAATTTAGTCACACGCCGCTTTCCAGTCTCATATATCAGATATCGGGATATTCGTTGTCGTCAATACCTTGTGACATACTGCCCCACGTTGGACAACTTTTATTCTTCAAAGCAAGGTAATGCAGCATCACTACTTCCCTTCTTTCTCGTATATTGGCTGATCCCGAGCGGTGGATCGGGGTCGCGAGATTGCGAGGCGGTATTTAAGATGGACCGCTCTCCGAAGGTTATCAGCTGCTTTCGCGAAGCTTGTCACGACGGTGAGCTCTAGTCGACTATGTGCGGATATACGTGCGGACACAATAACTAAATTCTAACCCCGTGGATAAATAGTCTCTTTAAGGAAAGACATATTTGAAGACATATTTGTTGAACCATGAGCCTAGGAGAGACAGATAAGTCGTTCTCGATACTTGCCATTGACTCTGATTTATAACGTGATGATCTCACCATCTGGCCAGAGTAGAGTTTTGAATAACGCGCTATTGATGCAAGCAAGTTTTGTGTATGGTGTATGTAAGAGGTAGGGAACTTACATGTATGTGGGTTGTATGTGGGTAGGTAGGTAATGTGGTAGGTAATGTTGTTGTGTGTTTCCAAGTTAGTATGCGGCTGATTTTCAGGGTCCCAGTGGCTTTGAGGGCGGTGGCGCTTATCACTCTTGACGGTTTAATTCATACTATTTCTTATACTGTACCTGCATAAGGCATAAGAAAACCGGGATGCACGTATGTGAAAAAAAGGGTACATGTACTAGCCGACGATAATCCTATTGGATTACTTGCATCTAATAACTATAGCCTAATGCACTATACGAAAACTCTTAGTTACATCCCAATTCTAATTCCCAATCCCCAATCCCCAATCAATACAGCCCCAATCTGAAAAAGGCAAGTCCGTTTTAAGCAGTTCCCCACTATATGGAACTATGGAACTAGTGTATGTACATAGAAGGAAGCACTGGAGATCACCGTACAGGATCATCATACTGCAAACTTGAAACGTCGGCTCGTGTATTTTGAGGTAAGCTTGAGCTTACCTTTACTCATCATACCGACATTAGACTTTTGACCTTCCCGGCTTCTTCAACCTCCTCTCAACCTCCTCTCCGCCTATCTCGCCTATCACCCCACCCCAATTTTCTATCCATATCACTCATTTTACTCCCGTCGCCACACCAAACCGGTCTCTAGTGGGGTTTAGACCCCTAAAAAGGGGAAATTATAAACATATTCTTCTCTGATTGCCGATACGGGCATGAGAAGCTCTTGATTTTCAGATCGTGTGCTTGGCATCTCTTCCGACTGTTACCTATCATACCCATCCATACTATTCCATACTGCTAATGTTTGTCGGTTTCGCCGTTTGCTATCGCGATCTGTAGTCCCCGACATCCCCGTCTCGCGCGAGGACGCATTCCTAAAACATGAGACACAGGAAAGAGATGCCTCTAAATGTAAAGATCGGTACACCAGATTGTCTGCGAGTTTGCGGCATGCATACGCGATGATGCCCCACGGCTGGAGTCGCCTTACTATCCTACTCGGTTCCCAGTTTAGATATCGGCCTCTCTGAGTCTTGTCAAGGCTCGCTGCGCGTAATGAGTGGTGAAATATTATCGTGATGAGTTCGAATGGGCTCTCAGTTGCGTGACTGTTATCTGAACCTACCTGTTACCCGTCGCGCGGATAGCCTCAATTTTAGGTCTTAATCAGCTCCCTAGTGGGCTAGCTTATAGATCTCCTCCCACATATCGAGCATGTCCATGTGGTGACCCCCTGGCTTGAGTTACACGCCGTCCAACTAAAGGGCCATAATCATGCATGGGTCATGAGGACGTACCGTAGTAATAAGGATGGGGATCATTCCTTCGCTATTGATATTTGCGAGATTGATCTCGGGTCCACCCCTAGCCGGTTCGGGTTCACATACCCTGACGTGCGAAGTTGTATAAAATATCCTCAGACCTGCCAAATGTCTTATTGTTAAGTTTGCAAGCCCGCCTTCGTTGCAAACTCAAGATCGTCGCTTCAAGATGCGGTGGCATTTAAGCTTGTTGCCCTCAGTATTACTGCAAGTAGGACTGCTACAAAGAGGTGCCGTCGCTACGGTAGCCTCTATTCACGACTCGTCATGGCAACCCGAATATGTGCTTCATGTAACCTTCGAGGAGATTACTATGAACTGCGAGCAGCGCGAGTCGGTGATATTCAATGGCACAATGCCCGGGCCTCCCTTATACTTGAAGGAGGGGAAAACAACTTGGGTCAGAGTATACAACGACATGTCTGATCTCAATTTCACGGTGGTATGTAAGAGCTAAACGGCTAAGACACTGGTGTACGTCCTTATCTGACTCATGAATCCCTAGCACTGGCATGGACTCACCATGCGAACAGCGCCTTTCTCGGATGGAACGCCCATAGTAGCCCAGTGGCCAATAGCTCCGGGCAGGTTCTTCGACTATGAGATACACCCTGAGATAGGCGACGCCGGTACCTATTTCTATCATTCTCATATTGGATTTCAAGCCGTCACAGCCCATGGGCTATTGATAGTAGAGGATCAATACGAGCCGCCTTACGAGTACGAAGAAGATATCCCCGTTGTATTTGCGGACTGGTACATGAAATCGGACGAGGAGGTAGAAACGGGTCTCACGTCTAAGCCCTTTAAGTGGTCAGGCGAACCCGATGCCTTGATCTTCAACGACCGTACTGGAAACAAGTCGTTCGAGGAAGCACCCGACGACTCTTGCAAGCCATACATCGTCGACGTGGAACCCTCAACAACATACCGATTTCGATTTGTTGGTGGAACTGCTATCTCATTCGTACAGTTTGCCATTGAAGGCCACCCCGAACTCACCGTAATCGCCGCCGATGGGCTTTACTCGAGACCCGCTATTACGGATCATATCCAGATTGGAAGTGGTCAACGATTCGATGTTTTGCTAACTACAAAGAGTGAAGAGGAACTTATTGCAGACGGGAAAAATGGTCAGTATTGGTTTCGGTTCGAAAGCCGTGGCCGCCCAGAAGATACGGGAGGATACGCTCTATTACAATACAACACCGATGATAGTTCAACAACGAAGGCAAAGAGAAATGCGATACGAAAACATTGGTCACCCAATCCACGAGACGGAAAACATAAGGGGGGTAAATTACCGAAACTCCCTGATAAGCCGCCTGTTACTTTACCTCCAGATGGCAATTCAATTCCTAAGTGGCTAGAGTATACTCTCTCGCCCTTGAATGTCAGTAGTCGATTCCCTACGCTCAAGGAGGTAACCCGGACTCTATACATCACGGTGAGCCAGGATATTATAAACGGCACAGACGACGGGGGCACAATAAACGGCTCATTGGTGTGGGAGTAAGTATCAACTTAATACATCTATAACTAGCATGAGAATGGATTATTAACGAACAACGCAGGCAAAACAAACTGCCATGGACGGAAGATGAAGCGCAGAAATTGCATTATATACCGTACCTAATTCAAGCCTACATCGAAGGAAAGACGCCAGACTACAAGGCAGCATTAGCCAATAGGGGATGGGACCCTAAAACGAGAGCATTCCCGGCCCTAGTTGGCGAGGTCCTAGATATTGTGTGGCAAAGTAATTCGGGCCCTACAGGTGGCTTCGAATATCATCCTATGCACGCACATGGCGAACATTACTGGGACCTTGGATCGGGTAATGGTACATACGATGCGGTGGCTAACGAGGAGCACTTCAAGCATTATATACCTATGAAACGAGACACGACGATGCTGCATCGATATGCATCTAAGGGCGCCGATAACACCACGTCCGGCTGGCGAGCATGGCGAATCCGAGTTACAAAGGACAATGTGGGTGCCTGGATGATGCATTGCCACATCCTGCAACATATGATTATGGGTAAGCCTAGTTGATTGACACCTCCTTAAGGTGGATTTATTGAATTTTTTTTTTTTTCAATGCTAACATTATCGTGCCAGGAATGCAAACCGTTTGGGTGTTTGGTGATGCATTGTCGATCCTTCGGGAGATCCCCCCACCGTACATAAGCGGCTACTTAGAATACGGCGGCAATGCGTACGGCAACGAAACAGTTGACCCGCTGGTCTTGGAGTATTATACGGAGTAAATGACTGGTGGCATAATAAACAATTCTTGTTTATTGTGTATACCTACCTCCTATATAGGTACTTAACATAAAACATGTCATGTCATGATTAGCGATCAAAAAAGATATCTAGAAGGGCATTTATTGGTTGGTCTTACACGAGTCTTACAAGGGAGCATTCTTTATTTTAATAACTGCATGTATTATATTCGTCCTACTTTACATACACTATTATACCTACCTTGTATTGATATCCACTTCTCTTTTCCCCAGTACCATGGGTCTAGTATAGTGTAGGTCCGTAAGTATAGTTGATTGACCTATAAGCGACACTATCTTTGAACCTGCGCCACAGCGTTGCAGCTGAGCTGAACTTCAGCTGCTCAGGTACCCAGAACAACTGCCGGGGTGGCCTGGATCAAAATGTGGCCGAGTTCTCGGCCAGTTCCGGGCCCGAGCTTAGATAACTGGTGGATTAATTCGAGATACGGAAGTGACGTAGGCTCTTTTGAAGGTTTTTATCTTTATCATAGGGAAGTTCCTGCCGGTCCCAGACATGCATTGGCCACTAACGGCAACAGCTGTGCGCTCTTTAATGAAATGGCAGGAACCTACATTTTGCAAATGGAAGTGACTAAGAAGGAAGGAACTACGAACTGCAGATACTGTACAAAAGTAAGCATTTAAGATTTAAATTCAGTATTCATTACTTCTCTAAAACATCATCTCTTTCACTCAATAACTACCTACATACTGGGGCCGGCTGTTGGGGTCTCCCCCAACCCAAAGAGCGAGAAAGATCCATTTCAATACCAACTTTTCCAGACTACATTATCGACACAGTACTCAGTACGATATGTCACTAAATTATCGCATCAAATCTACCGAACCCAGCGAACCGTACCCCACCAGGTAATCACAAGCACTGTAGAAGAGCCACCTTTTTCGTCTGTCGCAACTATCGGATCCAACAAGAGAAGGCATATTATCAAAAAGAAAGAAAATAAAAAATCAAACGCGCAAAGTCCCAGCCCGTTTTCTATCCCTTCTCTACCTAACTACACTTAATAAAGAAGCTTGGCTAAACCCGAAATAAACTATCCTAACCACAGCAACCTAACAACAACTACAAACACTACTATATCCAACTATATCAGGGCTTGCAACTACACAGCAGCCCGAAGAGGTTATATTTAACGTAGACCAGCAACATGTCTGCAACGTCATAGACCGGTTCCATGACAGGGCAAGGAACTGTGATATGGCCAAAGGGCAGATGGAGTGGATTGTGAAACGAGTAAGTTACAAATATACATGTCTCTTCCTAGCATGCTATGTAAATACTAACTTTTATAAAGGGAGACAATATAGACACACAAGAAAAAAAAGTACGACAGTATGGCCGACGATTTAACAGTCAAACCTAAGCAGCCATATAATATCACATCCAACCATGAACTAAACGATTCATCCGTACCCATACCACCTCATTTTCAGCCAATCACCATCACGATACAAAGGCGTGCCCCAACAACAAGCTAGTCAATCATAACCATCCCTCCTATCGCCAATATTATCGAATAGATGGTCAAAAACAACGATGATACGAAGAAACAAGTGGTTCTTAGGAAGCCATATCGATAGACATCGACCGATACATGGCCAGCAATGCTAAAATCAATCGCACGTTACAGAGATTATGAGATTAAAGTAGCGGCTTGGGTATCATGGTATGGAATAAGAAACTAGGTGCGATGTACGACATAATTAATATCATCCTTGGTAGAGATACTGGGCCGCTTGTATTAGGTGCGCTGTTACTGAGTAGATACCCCATAGCAGCCTCAACACCTAATAAACTACCCGATATTCGAGCAACCCAGAACCGTTGGACTTTGAGATGGAGGCTTTTAGAATATGTCTGCTAATATTATCTCCGACTATGGTCGGGAAGTACTTGATTCTACCATCAGCGGATTTCACTCTTACATGAGATCATTGACGTGTGTAATGATATTTTAGGCATGAAGCCCTGCTATCCTTTTTATCCTATTGAATTTGCGAGAGCACTCTCTTCTAGCCAAATTCGATAAAATAAAGTAACTCATTCCTAGAGTTTATGCCAACCGAGACCAAAATATTCTGGACTTCATGATGACGGGACATGTGGCCCATCAACCCCCCGCCGCATATCTGGACTACAATATGGACAAATCGATCCCTGATCCTAGTAGATATGGCCCAATATGCGGTCTTGTCGATACGCCGTCTGTTATAATATCCCTATTAAAAAGGATACGTTTCCTTCACGATATCTTCCACCTCCTTACCAAAGTCAAAGGGTTGACCTCCAACCATCAGTCGAGCCTTGACATCAGTGCGGTTCTCGAGGATTATCTTTCGAGCCATGAACCCTCTGGTTAGCACGTCGCCCACCTTATTGACAGCTTCAGCTTCCGGCAACTTGGGGAAATCAATAACGTTGCCATCCTTATCCTTTAGCGTCGACGTCTGCTCGTCCCACTCCCACTCCCATTCATAGTTGGGGTCATTCCACGCCCACGGGTTAGCGATGGCCTTACACTTTCGGGTGGCGCCGGCTGGTAGGAAAGGGACGACGTATTCGACATAAGTCCTCTGAACGAAGTCGGAAACGAAGTAAAGACCGGCGGGGGTCTCATCGAGGTTGGGTTTTATGAAAGTTGGGGTGGGTTCTTGAGAGTACTTGTACCGAGGATCGAGAAACAGACCCCGCAGCAGAGCGGCATGGTTACTGGCAAGTTTGAAGGCTTCAGCTGGGGTTGGATGCTTGATTTTGTCTCCGGGCATTTTGATAAGATAGTATGTATTCGTATTCGTAGCACTATTGGAGAATTGAAAAGAAAGAGACGGAGCTGAGACAAAGAGGAAGCTGGCTATCTTACATAGGACAAACCCAAGTTTAGTAGATTCTTATTTGTTAGTTGGTTCAGGTAAGTTTCAATACCTAGCTGCTTTAAGCTGCTAGAGCTGTTTTGGCGTGGATTGATGTGGTACGATGGAACTGTGGGGTAACTTGCATACAGAATTGTTATTTTGAGGAGAAAAGGCGGGGCGAATTATGGAAAGCTGACGTAGTTTGTTGCACAGTACGAAGTATAAAGAGACGCGTTTGAGAACCTTAAAGGAGCACAATGGCGTCGAAATAAGTGCCTAACAAAGACAACACTTTTGTAAAATATTCTATCGTGACATGTTAAGCAAGAAAAAATATAAAAAATCACTCTAATATAAAATAGGTTTTAAGCTATAATCTGATATAAATTATAAAGGCACTTTTAGGTATTTCGCTGAGTTATGTGGATAAGAAAGTGAACCTTCTGGTATGTTAGTACTTACAAAATCGGCGCTTTTTTGACGCTATTCTGAGGAGACAGGAAATAATAGCTCTATTCATGCATAGTGTATAGCTGCTAATAGCATATCATGACCCCCTTTTCATCTTTTGGTGAGACGAAATAACTTGATCATGATTCATTATGTCCTCAAGTGCGAATAGGCTAACCTAAGCAAGTCTTAGAAGCGGACGACGAATTTGGACAAGTATTCGGATACTAAATTTGAGGTCCCGGAAACGACGGTTTAACTATACTCGCCAAAATTGCTATATTCATGCCTATCTGACACATTAGAGTCGAAAATATCTATTATTAATCCAGCTAGGAGATAGGATGATGCACAAGCAGCTCAGATGACCCCAAGGAGGCTTAACAGCCACATACATGTAGAGGAGAAGAGTGACCCGAAGACACATCTGCTTGATAAAACCGGTCTAGATCTTCCGCAGTTCCTGGGACACGCGAGTTTCTGGAGTTAGAATCTTCCTTTTAACGCCGGCGATCGGCACAATGCAGGGTCGACATTCGGCAGATGAGTTGACGAGGTTGGTTACCTGCGGGGTAGACGATAACCCTGGGCTGCACGATATATGAGTAGCAGATATAAATAAGATGAACGGAATACTGCATTTACTTCCCCAATGCTCGGTCGATTCACCTGTTGGATCTTTACGCCATGTCCTTTTTAGATGAGGCTCAGTCGGACGTGCCGCTTCTTTCGGAGAAGCACTCCGGCATCCCGGAATTCCTGCTAGAGAAAGCCCGTGAGGCTAAAGCCGGCATCTTTGAAACAAGAACAAAGCCCAAGGCCACGGGGGATAGGCGGCCTGTTATCCCTCCTGGTGTTGAAGAGCAGGTGTTTGTTACTGCGCTTGGCGAACTTGGACAGCAGCTGGGCCAAGACAATGTCGAACGTAATGACAAGCCGTTGAAAGATGGATGGTAAGTCATCAATACCGTCGTATAGACTATCTGTCTGCTAGGAATATGTGTCCTAACATTGATGCAATAGGTACATGGAACGTGAGTGAAGCGTAAATGCCAGAAGCTGTTGTCTCTAATATATGTAGATCCGAACACCCATGACCTGATGACAATCCTCGATGAAGAGGAACTAGTACCATCAGCAATGGTCTATCCTGGAAGTACTGAAGAAGTCCAGCAAGTTGTCCTATGGGCGAACAAGTACCACATACCCATCTTCCCCATCTCAATGGGCCGAAATCGTAAGTGTAGCGGGAAAAGGTAGAATATAATGGAGATTGGTAGCTAACGGCATCAGTGGGATACGGCGGTGCAGCTCCTCGAGTGCGTGGGTCTGTCCTTATTGATCTCGGCAGACGCATGAACAAGATACTTGACATTAGCCCGGAAGATTATACGTGTCTTCTTGAGCCGGGTGTCTCATTCTTCGCTCTTCACGAGGCGATCAAGACAAAGGGGTACGATCATCTTTGGATTGATGTCCCAGATGTCGGCGGTGGTTCCGTCATAGGGAACACCGTAGATCGCGGCGTTGGGTACACGCCTTACGGTGACCATTGGGCATGTCATTCGGGCTTAGAGGTCGTACTTCCAACAGGAGAGGTCATCCGAACGGGTATGGGCGCTCTTCCGGGTAACAATACTTGGCAGACGTTTCCTTACGGGTTTGGCCCATATTCTGAGTTAGTCATCCCCATTGACGTGGAGAATAGCGACCTTTGGCTCACAAACTGGCATCTAGTGGGATTTTCTCGCAGTCTAACTTTGGCATTGTGACCAAGATGGGAATGACGCTGATGCCGAACCCAGGCGGGCATGAAGGCTTCGTAAGGCTTCAACTATGTCTCCAAATCTGCAATTTTGAAGTACTAATATTGCATTTGCCAGATGTACACCTTTCAAAAGGAAGAAGATCTTAACCAGCTAGTAGGTGTCCTAATCGAGAGGACGTTATGCGGAGTGTTAAAAGCTAGTACCTTTAGATCGAGATCATTCGACCGCTCCGAATCAGCAACATCCTAGAGAATGTTGCGCAACTGCGCCATGTCACGCAAACTATCGCAGTCCGCGGTAGACCGCGAACCGACTTTTATAAAGGTGAGGGTACGATCCCGAATAGTGTGGTCCACGAAGTTGCGGCCAGTCTACCCATTGGTGACCATACGTGGGCTTACTATGGCATGTCGTATGGCCCCCCACACATCCGCCAGTATAAGCTCTCTATTATCGACGCCGAATTCAAGAAAGTCCCGGGTGCTCGTCGGATTGATCCGTCGGCGCTGCCACCAGATGAGTATTTTTGGGCTAGGGACCGCATCGCCTCAGGTACTCCCGAACTCCACGAGTTACGTTGGGTCAATTGGATGCCCAACGGCGCCCATATCGCATTCTCGCCTGTCAGCCCGATCCGTGGCACCGACGCGACCAAGTTGTTCGAGCTAGCTAAGAAAAGACATGACGAGTTCGGAGTTGACCTGTTTCCGGCGTTCTGCGTCGGCCTGCGTGAAATGCATCTCATCGTCGAGCTTGTATATGATCGCGCAGATCCTAAGCGTCGAAAAGATGTGCTAGACTGCTTGCGACATCTGGTGGACGACGCGGCGGCATGTGGGTATGGAGAATATCGAACGCATCTAGTGCTAATGGATCAGGTCGCTGGGACGTATAACTGGAACGACGGTGCGCTGATGAAGTTCCACGAGAAGTTGAAGGATGCGCTGGATCCTAACGGTATCATGGCCCCCGGACGCTGTGGTATCTGGCCAAAGAAGTATAGGAACCGAGGATGGGAGATGACTAAAGACAGCGGTATGAATTCCCAAGGCGATGGCGTTGCGCCACCTTCATAGGGTGACCAGCCCGTCCTGCTATTATTAGATGATAGTTCCAATTAAACGGTATATAAGGGAACTACAAGCCATCGAAATAATCTTACCTCTAGCACAGGTTCTCGGCAGTTGTGGATTGAGCAGGATATTGTCGAACCACGCTCACAAATAGAATTTCATAAACTCTCACTTGCTTCGTTTTGCCAACATACCCCAAGAGTCTGTCGCTTTCGAATGACCCAGAAACCAACAGCGATGATCACGAGATTCTACGAACCAAAGCAGTTATATCCAGTCAGATTGGTCCGATGTATCGATATATCAGTTCCAACAACTCGGAATAACTGGTCAGGTCGGCCTAGTCTATAGGTAGAGCTTTTGGGGTTCTGGCTCTGACGATCTTTCCATTGTAGATAAAAAGCAAACAATAGTGTCCAAATCGAGGACACACTCATTGGTTCCCTGCCCAAATAGGTTGTTTTCGGTGTTACACGGCATGTATTATAAAGTACGTCCCTTCCAATAAGGACCAGTCCCATACAAACAGATATCGTCATGCACGACGACGTGTAAGAGGGTTAGGACTTTACCTTATGAGTGTTTCTTCTACCATTGAAGTCAAAATCTCTGAGCTCTTTTATACTCAGTACTGAGGTATTATAAGTTAACTTAAATACAATCTGCTACCTATATGTCACTAAAATCGCGTTCCTTTGAATATATATTTCGTTGACCCCTCTAACGTTTATCCCCTAGGCGACTTGGGTGCTGGGAGTCTCCCATGATGCTTGTCTGGATTTGTCTGATTGTAGCAGCCGTGGTTTCCTTCGTCTACCAAGCGTGTAATGCGTTGAGTGAAAAGGTAATATATTTGCATGGACCATTAGGGGTGGATTCTAATATCGTGCAGGCGAGGTCATCTCTCGGGAAAGGGGGCGGCGCACTTAGTTGCGACTCGGTCACACTAGCAAATAGATGGCCTCTGGGTATCGACTTGTTAGTGAGGACGTTGATTGCGTCTGATGAACTCTGCGTGATGGAGTTCTTCCTTGACAATTTCCGCCGGTTTGGGAATACCTTTCGACAGATTATCGGATGGAATGAGTCCCTTATGACCGTCGACTCGGCGGTCATCGAGGCTATACTTCTGTCTAATGCTAAGGGTAAACAATACCTATAGAACACTCAAGGGCTATATTATTAACTACCTATCTATAGATTGGGGTTTGGGCTTTCGACGCACCATTTTCTCTCCCCTGCTTGGAGATGGCATCTTTGTTCAGGAGGGTGATGCATGGAAACGTTCGCGCGATATTTTACGCCCACATTTTTATCATCGTAACTATGAAAGTCTAGATATCCTAAGACCGCACATAGATAACTTATTACAAGTAATTACTAGCATGGCAACAGATATCATCGACTTGGAGCCTATATTCTTCCGCCTGGCGCTCGACGTGACTACAGAATTCCTCTTTGGAGAGTCTGTAAGAAGTCAGCGCTTAGACTCCAGTGTGGCAAGTCGGGAATTTGAAGAGGCATTCAATCTGGCCCAGGCTATCTCGGCTAAGAGACTTCGACTCCAGAAGCTACATTGGCTTGTTGGCGGCAAGGAACTTCGAAAGGCATGTGCTGTCATCCATCGGTTCGTAGACCGCGTGATACACAAGGCTCTCATAACTGGCGCCGATAAAGAGTATTCAGGAAGACCCCCTTTCCTAAGGAATATCGCGCAGTATTACCCTGGACGAGACACGCTAAGGGGCCATACTATCAGTATTCTCACAGCAGGAAGGGATACTACGGCTACTTTTCTATCGTGGACCTTGTAAGTCGTGTCCATCTTAGTACGTTTTAATATGTCGGATTCTCACATTAAGCTAGCTTCCATCTCGTGAGGCATCCATTAATCATGGCGAAACTCCAGTCGGAGATATCTCAGGTGGACGAGACTGTTGCCCCCTTAACGCGAGCAGATCTGCTTCGATTCACTTATCTTCAAAACATCATAAAAGAAGGTGAGTTGGGGTCTCAAGGAAGTCTGCACGCTCAATTTATCTGATATGATATTCGAAGTGTTAAGATTACACCCTCCACTACCCCTGATATCTCGCACTGCACTTCGGGACACGATACTCCCAGCTGGAGGAGGATCTGACGGGAAGTCGCCTATCCTCGTCCCGAAAGGAATGAGCGTACTATATAGCGCCTACTGTATCCATAGACGACCCGATCTCTACGGAATGGACGCCGAATTGTTCCGCCCTGAAAGATGGGATGAGGAGCCTCTCCGTTCTCACGATACCACACATCGTGGATGGACGTTCCTACCTTTCGGCGGTGGTCCTCGGACTTGTCTAGGGAGTATGCCAGCAGTCTATATGCTAGGAACTTTGAAATTTGAATCCTTGTATGCTGACCTGATCTACTAGTGGATTTCTCCTTAACCGGGGGCGCGTATACTATAGTGCGCATCCTGCGGCGCTTCCCTTCCATCAAACTGCCGGCCGGCGAGCGGATACAAGTGTCGGGCAAGGAGAGACAGATGGCAACGATATCTCTAAAGCCAGCTGAAGGGTGCAAGGTGGACCTAGGCAAGGGATGACGATTCCTTTGGGATATCGCGTTATGCGTACATGGAATTGGAATTGTTAGTGCTGACATGTAGAATTACTACTTACGAAATCACGACGATCGGGTCTGTCGCCTTAAAATAATGATAGGCATTAAAGAACTGCTGGGTAATGAATAGCGTGATACAAGCAGAAGAATGGAGTTCGCACATCCTATCTTAATGATCGATTATTCTTTTCCATTGAATCACACGTAGAGTTTTATGCATAAGTATTTAACGCCAGTCGATAGATTTCGGAGGAGGTAAAGAGGCTATTTATTTAGGACGCAAGAGGAAATTTACGGGTGAAGTACTCGGGGTGGCCGATTTTCTATTTTTTGTATCCACACCGGGTAATTTTCTCGCTAGGAATTAGAAACAAGTCGCAAGCCTTGTCTTTCAGATAGATCGTCAAGGTGCTATCCTGGAACCTTTCATACTAAGGGTCTAAAATTGGGAATACATGTAATTGACAAAAGTTACTACCTCTTAGCTTCCGAGAGACTTTAGTGCTCTTGAATCATGGAAGAGCAAAGCACATCTATGTATTTATCTTGATCCACTGGCGAACGATTAACCTATTTCAGACTTGATATCGGTACATAGTAGCGGATAAATGTAACGAGGCTGGTATTTGTGCTAAAGCTAGCTCCTATGTATCAAGGCTAATTGCCAATTAATACCGTAGGGCTGGTGTTGAAATGAGCTTGTTTGTTCGCGTTCCTAGTTTGTAATGATCGCCTGGTATTTGTAGGGAACATGCTTGAATGGGGTTGCCAAGAAGAGCCGACGAAACCCCTGGTCTATGCTGAGAAGATCAAAGCGCGAGCCATCCCCCGGAACCATACATTCTTCTTCCGTGGTTCAGTCATATCAAACTTGAACCAGGTCATCTGAAAGAGCCACAAGCTTGACATCAGATCCCTTGTCTAGTCGTCCAAGCAAACGGTTCCTGAATCCTCAGGGGTCTTTGACCCCTCTGCCCCTTACTGTCGCACCCTCCACTTCCCCCCGTTCTACATACACTAGAATCGAGAATCGTTCCCTGGTAGCTTTATCAAGGACTCATAACCCATGCGAAGCACGTTACTCCTCGCGTGACACCTTTTGTTTCGCAATATGTATGCAAGCTCTCATTTCGAATACATACCCGATAGATGTTACATCGCTGAGAATATACACTTATAATCTTAATTCGGTAACGATCGGAACCAGTACTTAGGTGCGTAGGAAACATCTACATAGGTACCTTAGATCTCGTGCCAAAGAGATCGACCCATCGAACAAGAGATTAGGGGTAGATTATTCTATTAAAATTACTTGTACCTATTAGCCCTTCGTCGAAAGTACCGTACTATAGAGCTGTAAAACAACCCATATATATCAGCACGTTTAAGCTAAGCGATTTAGGAACAGACTCCAGGGTCCAAGTCCGAAACTACTAGTATCAATGCAGCTAAACCGTGATGCAGCTTCAACCATCATACACAGTAGCTCAAGATCGGCCGGCATAGTCCTGTAAGAGGTAAAGCTCATGCTCTCGTCGAGTCAGAATTGCAGAACTGCCAGGTTCAACTGCCTGCCGTGCCTTGAGTTTAACCGTCTGTTGTGTAGCATCACCTAGCGGCAACCAACCTATCGGTTTCCGGCTACATGGATTCCCTATTTCGAACATCGCGCTCTAGGCTCTATTATTCCATTATCATATTTCCCCTCCAATCGCTGCCCTGGCAGCGCAAGTCACTTGTTTCTAGCTTCGGGGATCAACTAGGGCTAACCTGTGGGGAGATACCAGGTACAATGCCTAATGTAACAGTAAAGTCGGCAAAGGCGAACTTAGATGATGACGATTCCACTGCCAAAGAAAACTTGGGTACTACATACATAGATGAACGACGTCTAATATCATTTTCTCTTCTTACTTGCCTTTCTCGCGTGTTGCGCCAACGGATGTCGAACATGATACTTTAAAGATCGGCATCCTGTCATGGAAATCGTATTCGCTTAAATTTACCGAACGTTTTGGCAGGGCTCCGGACAAGCCCGAGCGAGGACTCGGTAACGAGATGAGCTACTACAATGGCATGAACGCGGAGGAGATCAGTCGTCTCCCGCACGACAACCGCACCGGCGATACGATAACGGCCGTAGTTTTGTGTATGTTCTTCGCGACGCTCGCTGTGGGTTTACGATTATACACGAGGCACTTCATCCTGAGGGGAGTTTGGTACGATGATTATTTCGCACTGGCCGGAATGGTAAGCCATCTATCACGCCTGCGAATTGATATCAATCTGCGGCGTCGAAGAACGAACAATATCTAACTTGTTCTACTAGGTCGGAATGCTCTCCAATGGCATAGTACAATGCATACACACAGGATACGGACTCGGCGCGCATGTCTACGACATACATGACGAAGAAACACTAGTTCAATTCTTTAAAGTAAGAATATCGACGCTCCCGCCGTAGCCCGACCGGTGAAGTTCTAATTTATCCTTCATAGTTATTATACGTCATGACAATCACTTACAACACGAGCTTGATGCTTATAAAATTCAGTTTATTCCTCCAGTATTACCGGCTAATACAGGAGGTACCCCATTACCGTATATTCTATCTCGCTACTATGGCTGTAGTTGGAGGCTGGCTTATTGCACAAGAGTTCACTCTTATTTTCCCGTGCTCACCCATACAAGACTACTGGTCATTTCGTCCCGGGCGCAAGTGTTTGGATAGCAATCTCATCGGATGGATGAACGCTGTCGGCAACATTGTGACCGATTTAATCATCCTCGCACTTCCTATACCAGTTGTGGCCGCTTTGAACTTGAAAAAGGGGAGGAAGTGGGCTGTTCTAGGCATTTTCGCCCTTGGCTTCTTGTGAGTATTCAGATCCACCCAAGCCGCATCATTATCAACTCTCCTAACTAGCAAAAGCACATGCATCGTTTCGATATGCCGCATGGTATTCTTCGCCAAGATATCTAATGATCTTTCATACGATCTCGTGCCAGTTGCCGCGTGGGGAGAGGCCGAGTCCGCCTCTGGACTCATCTGTTCAGCCCTGATCTCGTTGGGCCCACTGATCCGCCGATTTTCCCGTTATTTTAACCCCGTCAAAAAGACAACAAATACACCACCAAAATATTCGCAGAAGTATTTCGGCGCTACGAACCCCTTTTCGCGCCACACCACGAATCGAGACAGGACGAACATTTCTAGAAAGCCCTTTGACGGTAGCGAGACGGAGCTCAACCGCATTGACCTCGAACGATCGCGGAAACCCGATGGGCAAGATGACGGAAGATCGATCCGAAGTACCAAATCCGCCGAATCGATAACTAACCTTAAGCTGAACCTCGAGACTGGGATAAAAACGATCATAAGTTCGGGGAATCGTGATAGCACGCATTCCCAGTCTTTAGCCATGGCACCTAACGGCATTGTAGTAAAGCAAGTGTGGTCTGTTAGGAATAGAGAGCCCGATGAAGAAGACGATTGAAATAGAATTAATATAAAGATCAAAATAATACTGAAGCGTTTTCGCGTGCCATCGTACCTATCTTACGACTCTAACTCGGTATTATATCTTAATTTTCCAGGATACCCTGAGGCTCCTAAGCACCCCTATCACTTTACTACCTTTTAAGGTTGAGAATTATTAGCATCTTCTATTATAGGTTCCATTAAACAGTTACACATTAAATCATGCCACAATAATAATTAATTACTCTTCTATATAGGTGCATTGTTTTTCTAACATCTACAAGCAGGAAGCCGAAACCCCACCAAACATACATAGCTCCTTAATGTTTAGAAGACATACGAAGGACAATAATGGGTAGGCCGTTCTTTCTTTGGCATCTTATGGCGGCAATGAGGGGGGTGAATCAGCAACCTTGCCCGATCGTGAGGGCAGGGACAATAATGATCTATTAACTCACTAGTGTCATGGAGACAAGGGCAATAATGGTCACAATAGCCCTCAGTCTTCCAGCGTGCCCGAGGACAGAAGTGGTCAAGGAGCCCTTCGGTATCGTGAAGAGGACATCCTACAGGCCTTGCGAGTTCGCAAGAGTCGATTAAAACCTCGTGCCTTGCATGACTGGGACAATAGGGTCCGCAGTCACGTTGGTCTGCGTTATATTTGAATAGTTCAAAGACCCTGTTATCCCCATTGAGTACGTACTGGTCATTGCGGTATTCCGCAAAGTCAACCGGATTCCCACTTTCGTCAGTAGCAGTGTAAATAAAGCCATATAAAACTAGATTGTCTGGGGTAGTACCGAAAGCTACAGCGATATGGGGATCCGTGGGCATAGTTCTATGACGGAAATCTATACGATCGGGATTCCAAATATGAATTCTCTTCCCATCTCTATCGACGTACATCTTAGACTGCATAGCGCATCTAATATAGACGTGTGTTACTGTTTCGAGACTTCGAGCAGCCTTCCGTACAATGTCTTCATTAGCTTCTCTGACTATGGCATCGCCAGGGATAGCCCCTAACCAAATAATTTCAGGATCTTCAGTTGTGCCACTGCCAGATATTCGCTCTTCTTCGGTCTCACCTACAAATATAGGTCTCGGTTTACCCAACGGCATATCCATGCCCTCACTCCAAGGCTCAAAATCGTCATCTGCCTTAGTCTTCTTAGACGGTGGACCTTCCGAATGACTGACCATGTTCATGGTTTCCTCATTTGTTTCTAAGGAAATTTCGTCGGCCTTTCTCTTGTTAGAGACCTCTAGACTAAGGTTGCTTTCCATTTCGGATGATGCCAAAGTACCTAAGTAGCTTGGACGATGTGATGCTTTAATTGAGGTGGTTCTCTTGTGGGCGTGTGCCTTAAAATCCGATGAGGAAGCTTCTGAGCAGAGTACTTAGCTTAAATATAAAGACGTCAAAAATGAGATATTCTTTGAGACTGTTTATCATACAAAGTCGTTGTTTTGACAAAAGTGAGATGAACTAAGAATATTGCAGAATCTGAAAACCGACAATGGAACGAGTTACCCAATCAACAGAATAAGCACTAAGAGTTAATATCAGATAAGAATTATGAATCAGGTTACTATTCAGGCTGTCCCCATTCGTTTTACTAAGGGGGTTTTATTACGTAGCTCTAAGTTATCTCCTAAGTATTGCCAGGAATCATAACCAGTATTCCATTATTTGCAAATAGGGATTAACGTAAATGCTCTTACTGTGCTATGCTTCTAGAAGTTGTATTACTAACAGGTAAATACCTAGCCAACTCGAATATATTAGTTCAGGTGCTCGGGTTCGAGTCGCAATCACACAGGTAGTAGAATAGCCTAGGTTAGCGATGAGACAAGAAAAGTATCGCAAATCCGCAGCTTATTTAACTCAAGTAAATTGATACTCTATCCTTTTCCATATCCAACCCTTGTGCAAGTTTACACAGTCTTCCCATACTCCTGGCTAGAAAACGATGATAATACATATAGCAAGATTGCGCCGAACAACCTAATGCCCCCCTTCTGGGCCGGTAAGATATATATACACGAATAGAGAGATACTCATACAGACGGCCGGCCGTAGGCAATATATACAGTGGGGAATCGAACAAAAGGGAAAGTAACTAAGCAGTTATGCTTACCAACCCGACACCGGGTTGTCTCCTGGGAGCTGCGGGATCCACGCCTCAGTTGGGTCAGGGTTAACGGCGGGAATCTGGCAAATCTCAGTGTTCAAGCCTCCTGGTATATCAGGGCACGTATCCATGCCGACGAAGCCAGCATTGCACGTGTCGATGATCCTTTGGAGAGTGTCCTGATCCCACCCGGAGATAAAGTCCGCGTGGGAGCTGTATCCGGTATTGTCGCCGTTCGACAGAATAAATGGCTGGGTCTGGCCGTCCGCAGTCCACTCGTTCTGGAATTGCAGGGTGTCGTAGTAAACTTCAAAGAATAAATGGGGGACATGCACCCAGCCCTCAGGACAGTCCACCTTGCCATCATTGGCAGGCGTCGGCCACGCCATGTTGTTCTTGTAATCGTCCACCCCAGCTTCCGGGTTGTAGCAAGAGGGCATGTGAATATCCTGTCTGAGAGGGGAAGCATAGCCATCGCAGTTCACTACAGGGAAACCAGCTCCGGCACCAGCATTCACTGGATCCGGAAGTCCCGCTTTAGTGCCATCCGAACCGGCCGGATACCGCGCAATGCTGGCATCTTGCGTGGGACACGTCCATTGAACTGCTTGAATCTCGCCTTGGGTGGGGTCGAGCTGAAGACCCCCTGTTGCCGGTGGTGTTCTCTTGCCGGCATCGCCGCTCATGATCTTAATGCCCGGAGGGAAGGCTTTGATCTCGTCGTTTGTGGCCTCGAAGCTGACGCATCGTTAGAAGCTGGCTAGCTAGCAGCGACTGGGAGTTGGGGCTTACAAGTAGTAGACGTTCATATAGAACAAGGGCACCTTCTTGAAAGTACCGTTGACCGGGGATTGAAACCATAAGTTAGGAACCCAGTAATTCGATTTGTCGTTGAGGATCTTAGCGTTGGTGCAGTTGGCATCCAGGAGCTGGTCACCGCTAACGGTCACATCGAAGTTGCTTCCACCCATTACTCCGTGCGAGTGCGTCTTATCCGAGCCGGGGCTGGCGATGGGGTCCATTCGGCCCTCCGTAGAGAATTGGCCACCGGCATTATTAAAACGCAGTACCGCATAAGTTCCTTGGTCCTTTGCGGTCACGCCTGCGACCAGCGCAGCGAGGAGGTATGAAGTGGAGGCTTTCATTGTGAGTGAGAGATCTGAGATAGCCGCTGCAGATCACATCTCTTCCTCATTCTGCCGTGTAGGACCACCAGATATATAGCTTTCAGACCTTTCATATACTTCTTCCGAATATAAGCACATCGGGTGCCAAATGCTGAAACGCTCATCCTTAGACGCATTTTGACCTTTTCTGGTCGAGTTTAAGGGTTTTTGGCGGTAGCTAAATTGTCCAGGTAGGCTTTTGCAAGCTGAAATAGGTAGGTATTCGTAGGTTGAAACTAAATTTATTAGATTGTCTTTATTGGTAACATGACATATCAGTTATGTTGAGGGTATTGTGTAGACGTAAATTGTCAGGGTTGAAGGAGGATTCAGGAGCTGAACTGAGGGAGAATGAACTTCCGAATTGAGCATATACACGAATCTGGGATGGCATATTTTTGTTTATTCCACCGCGTCTAAAAATAACTGCTCTCGCAAATTTTATGAAGCACCTGGGTGACCGAAATAAGAAATATAGGCAAGAGACCGACGCGGGCATAATTGCAGACATTATGCGATGTGCAACCACAGCTACAAGCACAATAAGTCGTAATCACTTAATGATTCAACAGTATCGTATGAAGTCCAATTGTGAACGGTTGTAATAATTTTGATAATTACCTACGTAGGTTAGGTTACCTATCATAATATTTTATCGGCGTATCTCGCGGGGGGTTAACTTGCGAACTACGGCATGTTAAAGACTTGATTGACTTGTCTTACTACATCGCTCACCTGGTGTTGATAAAATTGGCATGTTGCCAACTTGAGATATCTGCAGGGTGAGGGCCCGGCGTTTATCTCTGACAAACCACTCGGCTCCTCCCGCCAAACATATCTAGAATCCAATATGTCGGATTGGGTCTCTTCGTTGAAGCTTTCCCACGTGCTTCCTCTTCGTGAGCGCTCAATCTACTGCAAATACCCCAGTAGATCAAATTGCGTTGATAAGTACCCTAGAACCTAGGTACTATAGAAGGTTGAAGTTGTACTATATGATGTTAATAGTTACAGGGCAGATCTAAGAAGGCCTGGAATATGTAATTGATCGCGATTATAATAGCCTACAGTATGTTAACTATCTGTGTGGTGCATCGCAAGGACTCATGATTCGACCTGGAAGCTCTGGTGGTGAGATTTAATATCTATCGAGCTCAGTTTAAAGCTATAAAATAGGTTAATGACGAGAAAGGTTGGATAATCATTGAGACTCGCCTCGATGGATAGGTACTCATCACCGTTCTTCTTAAGCTTGATGGGAATGAGAGAGGCTTTTCATAGGTAAAACTCTGCTACCTAGGTAGTCTGGATAGTTATCGTATCACGCATGTTAAGCTGTACGGAGGGGACTTGCATATGTCAGATTGACCACTTGACCAAAAGGTATCTTGTAACAACATAATTGTCATTACTAAATATATGCGACACATATAAGAGTATATATGTAGACCTAGCAAATTGACGTAGCATCATAGTAGCATCATAGCCAAGAGAACGTCGACGAGTCATGAGTATCTTGGAGTTAACAATTAGCCGGCAGTTCGTTCGGGATCTACCGTCGCAATGTCAACACCCAAAAGAGCATTCGAGAAGCGTTACCCACACGCTTGGTTTGCTTGAAAAGGAATCCGGTGAACTTGTTTTGCTTGGCGAACGGCTTATGTTCTGAATATCATAGCTTTATAATCAAGCCCCGGACAGGAAAAAAATAAAAAGGTAGTTGCTCGTGGATTTCTCGCACCTCATCTCATTACTGGTCTATACATACCTAACTATCATTGAAGATGCTGAGGTTTACGTCTTTAATTGCGCTCTTGAGCATTGGCGCTTTGGCTGGCGCGACGGCGCCGGAGGACTGTCCTGCTACAGGCGTCCCTATAATTGCCCATAGCGGCGACCCGGTCGGAGAGGAGCAGGTCTACGAAGGGAGTATGTGTTTTGGCCTAAGAACATGTCTACAACAATAATTGGCTGACTCTGATATAGTTAACATGTATGTCACGGGTAGCACGTCGGATGTAGGCGTGTTATATTTAACGGATGTGTTTGGTATCCAATTGCTGGAGAATAGACTGTTGGTCATTATGATACTCCGTTTATCGGGTTTAATTAACATCATTCAAGACTCGCGGATAGCTTCGGACGAGCAGGCTATCTTACGGTGGCGCCGGACTTGTTTAACGGCACACCGGCTCCGGGGGATATCAATGGGCGACCGGATTTCAACGTGACCAAGTTCCTCGATGACCATCGGCCCGAAGTCAGCGACCCGATTATCGCGACGGCGATTGACTTCTTACGCACTGAGCTTGGCGTAAAGAAAGTCGTTGTTACCGGATACTGCTTTGGTGGTCGTTATACGTTCCGTTTCTTGGCGGAGGGGAAAGGTGCCGACGTGGGTTTCGCTGCCCATCCAAGTTTACTAGAGGACGCGGAGATTTCCGCCATACGAGGCCCAGCTAGCATCGCAGCGGCAGGTTAGTGACTTTCGTTGGTCTTTACATATTTCTTTTACAAGCTAACTTTGACCTTTAGATGCGGATGATATGACACCAGCCGCGAGGCGGTCACAAATTGAGTCTTTGCTTCTTGAGACTGGGCTACCTTACTCCCTTGCATTATATGGCGGTACTTCACATGGATTTGGTGTCAGAGCCAATATTTCGGACCCGAAGCAAAAGTTCGGAAAAGAAGAGGCTTTCTTCCAGGCTATCAGATGGTTCAATGCATGGGCCTAATGCTGTTGAGTATGTTTAGTCTGTAAAGTACCTAGGTTAGGTGGTTAATGAGTATACGGTGTCGCGTTTGCTAGTCTTCGGCATGTATGTATAGACGTGCTACCTCGTTGCTGTGAAGGATCCCATGAAGACTCATTACCGCATTGTGCACTAAAGAGTAGGGATTGGCAGCAAGTAGAACATTGAGCGTAACCGTAAATCGTGTTTTCGTATGTTTCATATGATTTAACAGCGATGATCCTGAAGTTATGGTGATTTGCGTTGGACACGAGTCAAAACCGGGAAACCTCAGCAGGGGAGTAAACAGGTGTGGATCTTAACATGATCAACGTGTTCATGTGTACCTAGGTAAGTTAGATGTTGATATCTAACTGATTTATGGAGTTGAACTAAACATTGGATGAAATTGGACTAGTTATACGATTAACATTCTTCGATGAGAAAATAAAAGAGGTTTAATGTGCACTGGGTTTCTCAAAGCGAAGTATACCTAATTACGGAATACACTAGATAGTTAATCGATAGTGGTTCCCAGCTTATGGTAAAATAGATGGAAGTAAAATGGGAGAATGAGAGATCGCAAATGCGAATTTCGCGGGGTACGGATTACGTTTTTGCATTTTTGCGGAGATATTAAGACCAATTATCGGCCGGAATTTCGGCAAAAGCTATCAGAGGTAGGTACGATGAGGTGGACAAGTACACGTCATTTGTTGTTGCATGGCGCCTACGCTGGTTGGCCGAACTTGGTCTCGCTAACGCAGGAACAATTGGCTATCAGGGTACCTCAGGAGCCTGGCCAACCACTCGCAAAAAATAAAGTACCTATTTAGGTCGTAAGAGGGCTTGGCGGTCAGCTTGGCCCCACTAACGCTTGAGGCTTTCACTGGGCGCATCGCTCTGGCAACCCCCAGCCACATCTTTTATTTACTCGGACCAGGCCTTGGCCCGATATCACCACCCGGAAATCCTGGTGGCAGGGCCAATTACAGATTCTACTGCAACTCATGCATCTACATCTTTGAATCATACATTCGATCTTTACTACCAACCTCCTCTTTTCTGCCACAATTGTACCGTCCAACGGCAAAAGGAGGGAAAGAAGACTTAGAACCTGCTAACCGTTACCCAGTCTCCATAGACAATTCTACTCTTCTTCCCCATCTGGGCTTTTCTGAAGGGCAAAGGGCTGTTGTCCAGAAGAAACCGATTGAACTTCTAAGTTGCAATACCTAATCATATCATACCATTACCTTTTACCATACCATTCATTCTACTCCTCACCTTAATCCACCCAACCTCGTCCACCCAGCAACTGCACCATACCCTCCGTGCGTGTGTTCCAAGTGTTAATCTGACAAGCACAGAAAAGGATAGGCGATATTCTAGTATCGACGAGTAGAAGTTGTTTCGACGACGTCCGCTTTTTTATATACGTGCCGACTGCCCAAGTCTAAGCACGGTGACCGCATTCCACACGACGGCCGTGGGATTTTCGAGATTAACAGTGCAATTCGCATTCCGTCTCGAGCATCCCCTCCACGCCGCCTGAATATCGTCGCATTCCAGCGTTGGTGCTGCTCGAGTTCGTCAGACCACACCGTCGCTCCCCGGGAGGACGGGAGTGGAGAGAAGACAATACACCTCGGGAACTTTGGGAAATAAAGAGAAACGATGGCTAGATTTCAAATCGGTTGGTATCGTAAGTACACCACCTAACTAGCCTATCGAGAGACTATCATGATCGACGAGTACTAACGAGCACTCAAGGGTTTATACCGTTCCTCGGATACCATCATGTCTTGATGATACTAATAGCAGTTTCAATAATATTACTGTGTACGTTTATCACATTCCAGCTTTTCATTTCATTCAGATCGTCGTACTAACATTCCTTCACCGACAGCACTCCTATTAGCAGGTTGTTCGTCATCCTCGCCGCTCATACCCGACATCTTCCTACTCTCCCTCTACTACGAGAAGTATACGGCCGTGCCGGACACAGCACAAGTCGATTACAATGTCAACCAAGCCATCAGCAACATCGTCGGGACTGCCCATCTGCAGGCCCGCGTCGGCTACTTTGGTATTTGCATCAACCCGGACGGCGGCGCCTGGCTATGCAGCAACAACGCGACGGCGCTTGCCAACGAGGTTTCGGTCGATCAGGACCCGCTGAACCTCATCTGGCTGGCTAGCCAGTTCAAGGACATGATCGTGTTCCCCTACTTAATCATCATCGCCATTATCTTCGCTTTTGTCTGTTTCTTGCTGCTGGCTACCTTCCCCGGCTGGCACGAGGAGGAGGACGAGGATGGCTCGGACCGCGAGATCAAACCATTCCCTAGCCGACCCGTCTCCCAGGTCGCATTGGCCATCATCTTCATTGCGTCTATTTTCGTTCTTGTGTCCGTGCTATGGCAACATACGGCATCCGTAGCGGCGTCTGTTATAGCGCAAGATTTTGGCAACGGCAGCGTCTTATCCGGAATCGGCAGCAGCGCCATGGCTATGGGTTGGTTCAGTTTCACGCTGCTCATCATCGTCACGATCGGTCTGCTGGTCATGATTCTAAGTATCAGGGTGCTGTCGGCATTAGCGGACTAAAACGGGGGAATGAGGAAGGATAAAACGGCACGGAAGTATATTTTCGGAAAAGGCACTACGGCGGCGTGTCTATGTGTATATGGGAGGGGGATTCGACCGCTACGGAACACGAGGATATTTATTGTTGAATGGTCAGCATCTGGGATTGGAGTTGGCAAGAAAGGGGATCCTCGGTGAAATAATGATTTTTGTTTTTTCCCCTTTCACCTTGAGTTACCGCGTTTGCCGGCTCAATTTAGGTTTTGCCTACGAACGGTGCCGTCGACGGTGTCTTTACGAAACGATTCGGAAACGGACACGAGGTTAGGAGGAGAGGAATATATCGACGAACTACATGTATGAGGGTCAGTAATGAAGAGATGATAACAGATGAAGACCTGGAATTTCTGCGGAATGGAGCACGCTGTCGCTGTCGTGATTTGGTGAAGCGGCGTGCTAAAGTCGCAGTGTTAGAAGGTCCTAGCTGTGCATAGGATTTTGTATTATTTAGAAGAATGGCATCTTTGCACTTTGGACTCAGTCGATTGATAGTAATGCATGCATTTGAATGTGATGAATTGATTAAACTTGACTTGGAAAAATCTAACTTGGCCATTGTGAAGTTTGAATATTTTGGTTGACTTGTTGAATAATGGCTACGGGTTTGTTGTTTGGATTGAAGTTTGCGATTGTAAAGCTTCGCGCTGGATAATGGAATGAGATCACGACGAAGGCGAGGAAGAGTTGACGAGCTACTTGAGATTAATGGTGGAGGGTGAAGTATGGTGTTGAGAATACTGCTTCTAGACAATAATCCATACATACATGTCTGGATGAGAACATATCATAGGTATTGAACCAATCTACTGATGCGTCCATCGCGAACTTCAATCGTCAGGTTACGGACCACAATAATAAATTGGAGTAGTGCAGTACTTCGAGATTAAAAGAACGAGACCAACATTACTTTAATACATTCTATTGAACACACGTCTTCAACTATTTACTGAATACTGGATAATAGATGCCAAGTACCAGATCTTCCTCATGGCGATGCATCCAGGCATCGCGCACAACGAAAATCAAAAAGGTTTGAAAGACAGCAAAAATTCCGGGAACTACGATCCACGAAGGATAATAGAAGAGGGTCGACTCCGCGCTGTGCAATGCAGGTCTCCCCCCTTAAAAGCCCTGATTCTTGAGCGAGGGCTTTTCTCCCAAGGTAAGTATGAAGAAGAAAAAGGGAAAAAGAATTTCTAAGATGGCGGGAGGGAAGACGGGTATTTATATTTTTCTGAGGAGGTTGGGGAGTGGGGCAAGTGTAATTCGTACCTGCGCATTGTTGTGACTTTGCAGCTTTGGCAGTTGCTTTGTGGTCTTTGGCAGTTGCTTTGTGGTGGTCTGTGTTACAGTACCAACCCTTTAAGCACTGACTGTATGTTATTTTCGTACTTGCACGGTGCATTTATAGCAGGTACGTAGGTACATACGTATATCTTCTCGAAAACAACAACTCCATCTTTCTTGGGTACCTTAAAATGTATCCAACATTTTGATTAGATAAAGTCGTGATGCTTCGTCAATATGTCAAATTGAAGAACAATCAATTTCTTCTATCTCGTATGTACCCATGTAACTCTTATAAGTTACGTTACTACAGCAGAGAAGCCAGAAACTCGGCGAGAATAGCAAGGGTGTCTAATCCGTATTTGTTGCCTAATACAACTTCATCGTTCGAGCCAAGCTACTGCGCCGTCATGTTCATCCACAAGTTGCGCTCTCTTATCTATCCGTTCGTGTAAGGCATGACATAGTACTGAACTAAACGCGGGGGAAATATAATATATGAGAATTCTACTCATAATAGACGTCTATCAGTAACAGCATCACCAATGGCGTCCCCATCATCCGTTACAACATCGATTCCTACCGGCTCTATCTCACAATGGTGCCTATACCCCGGAAACTCCCGCGCACACTTATTTGGTCCCAGCTGCCCCCAACCCTATGAAAAAGGCACTTCCATTTCTCCCGCCGACTTCCAGAGTATATGCTGCAACGGCGTCATCGTCGATACTTCCTTCGACATTTATAGTAACTCATCGATCATCGGCCCCTACTACAACTCACATGACGACCCGCCGCGCCCCGTTAACTTGAACGACCTGGTTTGCTGCGGCATCACTGGCGTTCAGACTGCTGCTATAGATTTTACGCCTAGCCCTAGGACTGCTTGCGCCCCGGGCACCACTGGCACGCCGCTGGCCAGCTTAGCCGCGACAAATGCCACTCGAGCTTCGCAGTATCCCGTCACATATGCGGATAGCACTCCTCCGTCGAGCAGTGTTAATCCATCGGCTACCGTGACGAACGATATCTGGGGCTGGGCGAGCCCGACGTACGGCGCGTCGGGGTGGCCTATATGCTTTGTGGCCAACACGAAGGCAAGTGGTGTTAGCGTGGCTGAAGTAACAGTACCGGCAACATATGTTCCCCCGACTACTTCGGCTACAGGCTCGGACTCGGCTGCAGAGCCCACCTCGTCGCCTTCGGGCGCTGGATCTTGGGCTCAGCCGAAGACTCGCCTATGCCTTACACTGGGGCTTGTGACTATTGCCTTGCTTATAATATAGGAATTGGCTTGACTAGGTTTTTATTTATATATGATTGGATGAGTTGGAAATGATGAGCACGATGCTTGGAATATTTAGCGTATACTATATCTGAATAGAAATGTACAAATGTTAATTATTATGATACGTTTTATGAACGATGGGAGTGTGGAGTGATAGTTTCGTCACAAATAAGGCATAGTTAATGCAATTTACAATTCGCTATCGGTATTACGCAATTCGACGTTTGGACTTAAATCTTTCTAAATCTATCTTGCATGGGTATCTATTCAAGATTCTCCCTTTTGAGGTATCATACATAAACCCACTACCCCGCCTCGTATCACCAGCAAGCAAAAGCAAATCAAGCAAGCCAAAACCACACCTTCTCATACCAATTCCGCGGCACCCGCTCCTCCTCCGCCGCGCTCAGATCATCCATCTCCTTCTTACCCGTCCAGACATCCACGTCCTCGATTTTAATCGCTAAGGGCGTACGGTAGAAGATCTTGTGCGCGAAGTACAGTACCAGGAAGATCGGGATGGTGATGTAGGCGGCGAGGAAGTTGGACACGCTCCACTCCGATGGGAAAAAGACCTGGAACCCGTTGGTTAGGGTCAGGATCACGATAATAAATAGCACGACGTATGTGGCGTACGGCTGCAGCGGCGTCCGGTACGGTAACGCGTCGAGTAATCCGTGGTGTTCCATGGCCTTCCGGAATCGTATGTATGTGATCATGACCACGATCCACGCGATGAAGCCGGAGATGGTCGAGATGTTGGTGAACCACTGGAACACCTGCGCACCCGAGTTGGACACGTTGAGAAAGGCTAAACACGCAACCAGCAGGGTGAAAAGTACCGCCACATACGGCACACCCCGCCGCGTGGTACGCCCGAACCACCGCGGCGCTTGGCCGTTGATCGCCATGGAGTAGAGCACACGCGATCCCGAATAGCAGAACGCGTTACCGGCAGACCAAGCCGAAGTAAGAACCGCAGCGTTGATAACATGGTTGAGCCCCCTAATTCCGGCGCGCGAGATGCCGAGGACGAAGGGGCTAGCCGTCGCGTTCGACTCGCCCGTTAGGTTCTTCTCATCGTAAGGGACGATAATGCCAATGACAAGAGATCCCAAGCCGTAGAATACAGCCAATCGCCACACGAAGCGGCGCGCCGCCTTAGGGATGTTGCGCCGCGGTGCGACGGTCTCGCCCGCCGAGAGCGCGATAAGTTCAGGCGACGTGACGAACGAGAATCCAGCGCGCGCAAAGGCCGTCCAATAAGCCAAGAACCGACCAGTATTCCCCTCCACCAGATACGGGTGGAAAGCCCCTGGTTCCTGCCAGTACCTAAAGTACAGATGATCGTGTGTTGGCCCGCCGCCAAAGAAGAGGACGATACCCAGGATGATCAAGCCGGTTATAGTAATAAGCTTCACACTCGCGAACCAGAACTCCGCCTCGCCGAAGAAGGAAACGGCGACGATATTCAGCAGCAAGATGACGATGAGCTGGATGGCGATCCAGACGGCTACGGGGACGGCAGTGGTCCAGTACTGCAGGATTATAGCGCCGGCCGTGCACTCGGCGGCGAGCAGCATGGCGTAGGCGTACCAGTAGTTCCAGCCGTCGGCGAAGGCGAGACTGGGTTCGACGAAGCGGCCGACGAAGTACGGGATCGAGATGCCCTTCATGGGTAGGTACGTCACCATTTCCGCGAGATTGTTCATGATGACCCAGACCACGAACATCATTGATAGGTACGCCATGAACAGCGGCGCCGGGCCCGTGGTGGCTAGGATCTGGCCGGAGCCGACGAACAGACCGGTTCCGATGCTAGAAATATTTAGCTAACTACACCAATTCGCTGAAGATACCTAAGACATGTGAACGCAAGGGATAAATGGGGTAACTTACGCGCCTCCGAGAGCGAGGAATTGAATATGTCGACTCTTGAGCCCCCTCTTGAGCTGATGACCGCTCTCGAGGTTCATCTCCCCGACCCGATTCGACGTGGTGCGGTCAATCACATCGCCTTTCGGTTCAGACTCAACACGGCTGGAGTCTCCCGTGGCATACGCCACCTCTTCACTTTGACGGCCCATTTTCCACTCTCGCAAGACGGATTCGAATATTGCGATATCATGCGATAGAAAGGACCAAAGGAGGTTACTTTTACTTAAAAAACACTTGCACGGATCTTTCTCGCATGGACGCAACAAAGAGAACGAATGTATAAGCGATAAGCGATTGGCACATACGGTAGGGAATGTGAGATGCAACGTGCAATGTGCAACCTGCAATGCGCAATGCAAGTAAGACGCGCTCAGCAGCACATGATATGTACCTAATGTATGTAAAAATATCGAAAGCTTCTAGATTTACTATCAGGAGGGCTATCTAGATCTTATTAAATAGTGGTATTACGTACAGAGGTAACCTACCTTGTATAAGAGATAGAGCGTTTTTGTTCTTCTCCGCCTTGTTGGGGTTTAGTGGGAACTTCACACCTGGTCGGCCTTCCTAAACCGCAGGATCGGGGTCGACCGTTGCCTCTTGAGGATTAGTGAGTTGCGGAGAAGGTGGGTTCATGATTTTATTTGTTATCGTAAAGATAACTTGGAAAGATATGATCCCTACCACAGGTATTGTACCTTACTTACATAGGTTAGATAGGCCCGATCAACTAGGCGGGACTTATCTTTAAGCTGTTATAACTATTATAGTGCCACGGACCAAGGGCCCTCAAGGGGTAATGAGTAGCAGAGGCTGAAGGTCCATTGTTCGATACGAAAATCTATCTTTACCCACATAGGTATCGCCCCTATCATTGCAGTGCTCGGCGGAAGGCTAAGGTAAAAGAAATCTATGACGATGCATGAATACACCACGGTCGGTGTCTCAAATTGGCCTAGGTATGATATCTCTAAAGCCGTCTCTATCCGAGTTTGCCTACAGTTCCCAAAGCGCCGGTAACACTCAAGTCGGTGAAGCTAGAATCTCATCGAGATAGTTTATATTAGGAGGTATCTATGTTATCTCGTCGCCTGGAATAGGTATGCGACAGACCACACTTTCCTATCATGTAGGGACGAGCGAGGATAAAAGGACGGGTAGTGTTAATGTGGTTGGATGTGGTGGATGTGATGGATGTGATGACGACGCGCCACCCCTGCACTTACGTGGAACAACTCAATAAGTAGTCCACGAATTCCACAACTCTTGTAGAATAGAGCCTCCAGCAAACGAATGCCCAACTTTTAAACAAAACCTAGCCAAACCCGAGTTCTTACGATCGACTTGTTGCCGTCTTGTATTCTATGCAAAAAAATCATGACTTCTTGAGTCGATTGCCCAGGCGCCCGTTCAAACGGGTCGCTTAAAAGGATGCGCCTCCGTATTTAACACCCACTCATCTAAGCTGATGAGGCTAGGATCTGAATATCTATAGAGCCCGTTAGTAATCCGCCTCGAAAGATATCCTGAGTTGGTGCGAGGCGACTTACAGCAGGTAGAAATATTTGAGCGTTTCGGCCAACCAAAAACTTTCCATCTCGTCCGTTTTGACGGGGTTCTCCAATAAGACGTTGTCGATAGCACTGTTACCAGCCTCCGTCCGAGTTTGGCTAACAATGGCATTGAACATCTTCCATCCTTTCTCCTGCCAAGAGCTGTCGCCCGTGATGCGGTACATGTACCAAACGGACTCAATGGCTTCCGGTCTGCGAAAAGAGGGTTAGCCGGGCTTCAAAACTCATACCACGGTGCAGCTACGCTTCCACCCTTATATACCATGTTCACTTACCGGAGGATATATGCGTGGTAATTGGCACTGACGAAACCAGGTGGGAGGTTATCCGATTGAATACGGTTCTCTGCGTATTCTTTAGAGGATAATGGACGTATTGGTTCTGGAACTTCGCTGTCATCTTCATCCAGCTGGAGAGGGGCTTGAACACTTTCGCCACTCGTGGCATCCGTCGAACCGCGTATTGGCGAAGGGGGGGCTCTCTTATGAATTCCAATACTCTCCGATCCGTCCTCGCTCGAAACTGTCCCCTCGGCCACCGTACCGAGATTCGGATGCCCCTTCATCGTCGCTTTTTCCGTATTCTGTAACTTTTTGGCCTTTCGCTCTTTTTCATCCTTTTCAAACTTTATAACCTCTTCGTCGTGGGTCTCGTGAAGAGGGTCCAACCATTGCCAGTAGAGGGTCTCGTTCCAGTGGCAGTTGTTCGCCTCGGCACAGGGGACGACAGTGGCGCCTTCGGGCATGATACCGCTCGGTGTGCTTTCGTAAGCCCATACGCAGCCGTCGGTAAGCTTCTTTCCGATCTCTACGTCTTCCGGTACTTCGAAGATCTTCCCGCCCAAACCGAACATTCCTCCAAGGAAGCAGGTGAGATGGGTGACTTCCCACTCGGTTATGGCATCGGTCTCTGGGTTCCCTCGGGTGTTAATCTTAGCAGAGAATAGGATGTCACGATCATCGGGAACCATGGGCCGGAATAGTAACCATTTTTTGACGGCTGCGACAGCCTTGGTATGCAAGGTTTCGTACTTAGGTTCGAGACCGCCAAGAAGCAACCACTGTTTGGGAAAATATTCATACGTGCTGTCTTGACTTCCACCCATGCTGTATTTCTGGTTGGAATAGAACGACCCGGAGGTGAGCCCCTGAGGAATACATTTATCCGTTTTCTTGGACTCTTCCGAGTCCTTACTATGACCCCGTGATACGGTACTACTTTCTCCTCTATCGCTCTTGGGAGAAGCCGACTTCTCTGACGGCGCGTATATCTCCTCGCCATTGGTTACGATTTTGACTGATTTGGTGCCATCGTCGTTAGGCGTTCCCACTTGAGAACGGCTTTCTAAGGCATGGAACTCGCCCTTACCGGATTTGCTTTGGCCACCGTCCATTTCGACAGCCTTACTCTTAGCAGTATCGAAGCCAGACTTCTGGGGCTCAATTTGCCGTTGCTCTTCCTCTTCGGCCTCCTGGGCGGCGACTATGGCCTCTGCTGTCCTATTACACCCGCTAGCATCTACATTTTCCGGGAAGATACCAGGGATTGCCGTTCCTCGCTCTTGCCATTCGTAGAAGGCATCTGTGATGCGTGCTACAGCATCGTAGTACTTGTTCTCCTTCGTGATCTGCGCCAGGCGCGTAAACTCCATGGCGAGAGAGCCTAATTCAGCCACGCTCGCTCCTTGAGCTCTCTTTGGAAGCGACACGGATGATGGTTTCCAGTTGTAATACAGAATAGGCATACGGTTCGGCGTATCGAAGACGCCCATGAGGATCTCGGCGAGCTCGAGCGCCTTCTCGAGAAGAATATCGTATCCCCCAGCTTTACCGCCACTGACATCGTACGCTGCGACTAGCCCGCCAAGATATCGAATGGTCGTTTCGAAAACAGGAATTTCGTGACGATATTCAGAGATGGTAAAGTCGATCTTCTCGACTTCGAGAAGAGCCTCTTCAAACTCTTCCTTCATACCCATAATCCATAGCGTGTCTAGCGCGTCGACTAAAGTTGCGGCCCAGCCACAGAACGGGTCGCGAAACTTCTTAGATACGGGACTCAATTCGTCATGTCCTTTAGCGTAAGTCATATAACCATTCCAGCCGCGCACCATCTCTGCCTTTACCTTTGCGAGCCGCTCTAGACGCTTCTCCCGAACTTGGGGCAATTCCTTGTCGAAATCATATTGAACCGCAGGGATAGGCTTGGGCTTCCCAGCCGGTAGGGGGATTATTTCATCTTCGGGGACGGGGAAATGCTCAGGGAACTTCTTCCAGTGCTTAGTTGGTTCGCCTTCCGTCTTGGACTTATGCGTGCCCGGTTTTCCGTGGACGCCTTTACCCTTGGCGCCTTGGCCGATGTTCTTATCTGGTATATCGATCAATGGAACGGTAGTGGTCCTCGCAGCGCCATCCTTATCGTATACGACTACTTTGGTCCTGCCGGCGTCTGTGGTCGCGGTCTCCGTAGAAGGGTCGAATTTACTGAGGACATCTTCGCTGGTCGTGGGTTTTAAGCTTGGGATTTTGACTTCGTTGGTATCCTCGCCCGCCTTCTTCCGCCCTTGACGTGCTACGTCACTATCACCATCCGACAATCTGGTCCCGCTCTTACCGGGAAGAGGTTTCTGGAGTTGCCGGTTGGTTGTGCCTGAGCCTCGCTCCGGAGACGATTTGGGTAGAGCTTTATAGGGAATGGACGCTGAGACGGACTCCCACTGATCGCTATTCTGGGAGACACGATATAGCAAGAATACGATGATAGCGGCAAAAAAGACGTAGTAACGATATCTCCGTATGCGAAACATGTCCGCGGTTACAGTCGATATACAGTGGCAGTTGGGAGGCGGGGCAATGATAGACGAAAGGCCCTCGAGCCTTCAAGCCAACGCCTTGATCGCGCAAAGTCGGATAATGGTGAGGAAGGGCGCAAAGACGACGAGCATCAACCTAAAATCAATTCTACCATTTTCATCCGAAAGCTATACAAGAATCGCTAAAGAAGATCAAGCAGATCTAGAGCTATTACAGCGTAATCTTAAGCAAAACGAGCTATGTGGGTGGAATACGAGCTCCAATAGACCGAGGCTAAACAAGCGACGCGGATTCAAATGATTCAATCTTAAAGACTAGCGATAACAAGAATGAGAACGAGAATGAGAACGAGAATGCGAATGTATAAAAAAGTAAAGAAATAGAAAGACACACAAAAAAGTTGGCCAAGAACGATAGAGGGATGGATAAACCACGAATTACCTAGAAGGACAGATGATCAGGCAGAACGACCACAACTGGTAATTGCCGTGCCGCAGGGCGGATGAAGTAAAGTGCTACTGCAATGGAAGTTCTAGGGGCCCAGGGGTCCAAACGGTATGAACCCGTACAGCTGAGCGGATAAGGCCACAGAGAGACTTGGCATCGTCCTTTATTGGATCTCTTAGGTGAGCCAAGAAAGCCATAATGTCGTCGGAGGCTTATGCTCGGCGTGCCATCCGACCCAAGAAACCCACTATAACGACCCTTGGAACACGGGAAATAGAACCTGACAAATAGAGAAGGTATTTGATAAGAAAGTATACCGCAAGTTGGGGTAGATGGTTAAACAGAAGTTGAATGTTGTTGTTGAGTTTATGAAATTTACCAAGATCTATTGAGACATTGAAAAAGAAAAATATTCAATTGGACTATGTAATTGAAGGATTTAAAGTAAGCACACAGGTACCTATGCATGCACGCAAGGGACTACCTAGGCAGCGACGAGGGTTTAGCACTGTAAGGCTGCTGTATACAAAATTCAGCGGCGTCTCTCGTCCCGCAGTTCCGCTTTAAATACATAACGGGCAGGTCATATTCTCCGCCGTGGCTGTGTGATACAGACACAGTTCTAGACCTTGACATCCTTTTTTTTCCCCTTCTGTTGGTAATCAGATTCTGGTAACAAATCACCACAACGAAAGAATAAAACATATATCGTCAAATTATCAAATGTCATCACCAATATAAACATCTACCGCACACAAACTCAGTTGCATATAAACATAAAATTTAGGTACATACGAGATATGTATATATTCTTCAAATGTCCCATACGCGAAATCATCATAGCTCAATATCGTACTCGCAAATTGGCCGCATTGTTCGAATTGGCGATCTTTGTGGGGTGCATTGAACCCTTGATCAATGGTTGATAACCCCTGGTCGAATCACTGCGCGACATTGCTCGTAACGTTCCCCTAGCGCTCTAAATTGACGGTTACCGAGTTCTAACAACCACCCTCAGTTCGCATCATATCCACCGTTAATATCAGGTATTCTAGCTTCGTCATAAAAGAGTCGCTACTTTTTCGATCGCAACATAGGCGTGCAAGGCGGCGGTCCGCCGTACCGTACCTCAATGTCTTGCGCCTGGAAATCGCACCGGTCACAGATGCCCATGCCGCGCACCCCAGCGTCGAGATAGCAAGGAATGTCGAGGTTATCAGCTAGCTCCGTCGCCCATCCCACAAGCGCTGATGCGTAACCTCTTCCTCGACTATTAGACTTCGTGATGACGAATTCGATGACTATGAGGATCAGGTATGCCACCTCTAGGCCTTCTAACGTGGTGATAACTTACAGACGTGACCCTCCTTTCCTACGACCATGTAGTGGGCTTTCGCTAGAGGCTCGAAGAATTCTGCGAGTTTCTCTTCGCTTATCCCTGGTATGTCCTCGCATCGCGACCATCGCGTATTCCACGACTTGTCGGCAATGTTTTGACCTGAGCGGACGATGTGGACGATGGCAAACGCAACCGGCCTGCCTATACTTCTTTTAGCGGCCGATACTTCAAACATAATAGGAGATAGGAGGTGGTATGCAAGATGGTATCCATACCGTTATTATTCCTAACAACTGCGACCTTTGCTTCAGGCCTGTAGAAAGACCTCTTACCCAGAAAGTTATCAAAACTTCGCTGGAGCCACTTTCGGCCTGCCTCCGTATGGGGAAACACAGCCTCTCCCGGTCCGCTAAAGGCTTCCCAAAATATCTCAATGAGATCGGGGATATCATCTGTATTTGCAAGACTTATTTTGTCCGCCATGTCGTATTTTATCTTTGATTATTGATAATGAGAAGATCGATACAAATGTAGAAGGTAAGTAGATATGTCGATAGAAACGTCGATCTGAGAGTGGCTAACACCCCGTTAATTTATCTTGGATGATATCGACATATTTAACTTTAAAAATCTAGCTTGCCGACCCGTTACGCTGTCAACTTTAACTCTGTCCATGATAACATTTGACAGTCCCATCCGATGTAGCTTTAAGCTCCACTAGCACTTCGGATGACAGGTCGTCATTGTGATTCATAGACCAGCTCGTAATGCGCTCTAAGTACGAAGCCAATTCGTCAGCACTTGTCGAAGATATCCTTCACACGTTATGTTTGCTTTCAAAAGGCCAGTCTATGAACAGCACTCGCAAAGCTGCCTTACGAATAGGGGGCCTGACACGAAAACCTTGCGAGGGCAAAAGCCTACTGATGATGTATTATATCGGCTCTCAAACTGGGTCTCAGTGCCAATCTCCTTCCCCATCGAGGAAGCCTCTTTTAATAGCCTGACGTCCTTGATGATCATCTAGACTCCCGTCCCTGACACAACGATTACAACATTTATTCAGATAAATATTGGGAGGCACGCCTTGAGCTCCGGATTCTACCATGGCGGTTTGCTGTTCTGCTATCGCCTCTACAACAATTATAATAAAGTTTGCAAACTACCTCCAGTCGTCAAGAGGTATTATTTCCCGCTCTTGTTCAATAACGGACTTGTAGCCCCCTAGGCTTTCGAACCCATCTTTCATCCTTCGAGATATATTACATACTCCTGAATTAAAACTGACTTCTCAAATTATGAACCATTGGTATAAGCTATGATAACACGGTCACTCTCTACCTGCTATCTACATGAACAACTCCCAGGGAGAAAAGGAGTAACGTGGATCCCTAGCAACAGTGACTCAGGCACTCATTGTAATGAGGCAGTCACTGCTTGCATACGCATATATAAACAATAGCCAGATCCTAATCCTGTAATCCTAATAATAACCAATACAACAACGATGTCACCATAATCTAGGGAATCACAATAGTAGTTTATGCTAATAAGTACTCAGGAGACATCAAGTCGACCCACCCAAGATTTGGCTCCGATTGCTTCCAGCCTAACCTATCACGTACCAATTGTGAGTAAGTCTTCACTTCTTCTATAGAGTAGCTAAGGAAGGGAATTTCCTTTTCAAGTTCGTTAGCAAGCGTCGTTTACGAGATACCACACATAAGCGGCATAATACCTCCTGACGATGTACACCGCTACACATGAAGAAGATATGTACGGTGCGGCTCCCGGACGGCAGCGAATAGTGCCCGGCGCCATGGTATAGACTCCCGAGCATAATAAAAGCGTCCGTTTTCTTCAATTCAGCATCGACGACACCTTTATCGCCATTGGGACCGAAATCAGGCTTTTCGTCGCCCCAAAGGTGCGACCCAGGCACAATTCTTGTTGCGCCATTCGCCGTGAATGTGTCACAGCCCGGTACGAATAGCCCTATTAACATATCTCGGCCTTGGGTGTACTTATCAGTCTTTGTGTGTCTCGCGTGGTGATTCTTGTCGTCTCGATGTAGCCGTTGAGCTTTGCATCCGGGCCGGGAGTCCATTGTAATTGAGATGGAGATGAGAGGGTGAGATTTGTTAACTTGTGGTTCATCCCCATACCAAGTTGTTGACTCGATATCAATAAAGTGCTCCGCGAGTTCCTAGTTTCCAAAGCTATTAGCCTATGCTTGTTGGACTTAAGAATTTTCCAGGCAAGAATTTTCGTGATCAACAACTTCTAGCCACTTCACTCTGATTTATCTCACTTAAAGGACCGGAATATATGGTTCTTGACGCCGAAAACTTCGTGGCCTACTGTTGGATATACTGATGAGGGGTTGCTTTTAGTACCTGGTATAAGGGATCAGAGAAGAACTTTTCACGAGCTGTTTTGCTTCTGCCAATTAGGCGCGTGCAAGTGGCAGTGCCTCCGTTCAACGCCCCGACTGTGCTTCCGCTAGCTGAAATGGAAGCATCGAGGTAGGGCTGCACTTCTTCTTGCGCATTCGCCAGCGCCTCGAGGGTGGTAAAGCCTTCGATAATGACACAGCCATCCTTCTCCATAGCATTAATGAAGGCCTGTAGGCTGGCTTCTCGGTTAATGCGCTGAACCATGATATCTTCTGTCTAACTTTCGATACATATATGCGAGGCTTTCTGTGTATTGCTTTATCGAGTACCAAGCCATTACTCGTACTGGAATATAATGGTTATAATGCGCTTTCTTAACCATCGCCTCAGTTATCGTTGATTTCGACCAGGATTCCCCTCCCCCACTGAAGGAATAATGGGGACCATTCACCTCCCCTTTTCTTGATAAGATTCGCCGATTAAGACAGCTCGAGATAGGGGGATATCGTCGTGATTTGTTCGGCTTAACTCGGCTATTCACTATCGTTTACAGGGTGATTTCACATAGAAAGTAGATAAAGCATGAAAGCAATTGGTATAATCTCTACTATTTCATTATTTACATAAGAAATGTTTACTGCTCGGGTACATACATTATTACGAAATAGTGTGATAGGCGGTTCTATTCTATATAACAAACATATAGAACATACATCCCACCTGACTTGGATGTAACGTTAGGTGGAAAGAAACAAGGAAACAAGTTCGTTGTTCCGCGGAGTTCTAAGCTACAAGAGCTTAGGGTTATACATTAGGTACCTACTCAATATATCCTTTGTCCTAGATGTCTCTCTTAGAATCCTGACGAGGTGCTCATGATTACGGCTCATACGACATGATTGATGCCCTTTTTATTCAGTGAGACGGCAAGTGGACCAACCGACTTAGTTATATGCAACTCCATGTAAGCTCAAGCTTCAGACTTGAGAGCACATGTAAATGTACCTAAACTAAGCTATTCCTACCAATACGCACGCGGCTTTAATAATACTGTGATTACGCTTGCAACTTGGGATGCAGTGTTGCATTGTGGGGATGGGGGCTTGGAAGCTTCAGCCCGAATGGCTAGACCTTGCCGCGTCCCAACTCGAGGCTTAGCTACCACCTAGCAGGGTTGTACGAATAAGAGCGAATTCGTATCAGCCTCGTACTTCGTATACTATTTATATAATATCGTATATTATAAAGTATTATAATATTTAATTTATTAAACAATATAAAAATTAAGCAAGCATTATTTTAAAAATAAAAACTTTTTCGTTATAACATAAAAATTATAACTTCGTTATAATTTTAAATTATTTATTTACATGTAAAAAAAGTAATATATTTAATTATATTATATATACGATAAAAAAAAATTTACATAATTTATTTTATAATAAATACACATATAATTAATAAAATTTATAAAATAATAATATATAAAGTAATTACCTTATATAAAATTAATATTTTTAATATAAAAAAACACTTTTTTATATTTTTCGTTACTTTTAACGGCTTTTTTTAAAAAGCGTTTATAATAAATTATTATTTACGGTAAACTTTTTTTATAATTTATAACACGTAATTTAATTAATTTATTAAAACCCCGTTATTAAACATTTTAAAAAAACCTTATTAAAATAAAAATAAAACTTATAATATTACTTTTTAAATAACGAAATAAAAGATTCGTAATGTTAAAAAAAGTTAAAAAAAAAAATATAAAAAAAAAAAATAATCGAATAATTAAAAGAAAAAAAACGTCGTATATAATTAATTATAAAAAATAAAATAAATAAGTTAATCACGTGGTATAAAAAGTAAATTAATAACGTATATTTAATAATAATTTATTAATAACCTCGTGTAAAATTATAATAATAAATAAAAATAAAACTTATAATATCGTATTTTTAATAATAAATTAAAATATATATAATATTAAAAAAAGTTAAAAAAAAAGTATAAAAAAATAAAATGTATATTTAATAACCTTTTTTAAAACCGTATAATTATAATAAACTTTTTATAATAATTTAAAAATAAAGTTTACGATATTATAATATTAATAAATAAATAATATAAATTTATTTTAAGTGATTTTAAACCGAGGTTTAATATTTAATTCGAAGGGATGTACTTTTTATAACCACACCACTCCTTAACCAATCACAACCCGTATAACACCTTTTTTAAAATATTTTACTTTTAATTTAAAGTTATTTTAAACACGTGCCTTTTAAAAAATTAACTTACGGGGGACAATATTAACAGCATTTAATTAATAAGATTATTAAAAATAATAACGCTAACGCGTCTTTATAGTAAGTATTAATTGATTATATAATCGTATTAACCTTATAATTAAATCTCTTGTATTTTAAGTTTTTTAAGGCGTTGAAAATAGCCGCAATACCGGTCGTAACGCGTTAGCTGTAACGGTTGCAATACCGGTCGCAACGGTAGCTGTAATACGCAACGGTAGCCGCAATATGCAACGCGCAATAAAGCTATATAGGTATTAAAAAGGCGGGAAGGTTTAGGCAATAGTATTGTTGCTCCCGAGTATAAAATAGACTATTTTACACGTGGTTGTGGGTGTTGTTATGGGTGTTGTTGTGAATCTCGGTGTAATACCCTTAATATGCTATTACGTTAAGGCCTGCGATATCATAACGCAATGCTGTATAGGTATATAAAAAAGGCGGGAGGGCCTGGGTTATTATGCCAAATAGAATATAACGCGTTTTATTTTATTTATATATGTTGTTAGTTGTGTTGTTGGTGGTTGTGGTGGTGGTATTACCACTTACCGCAAGGTAGATTTAACGTTTAAGGCTAGGATATAACAACGTAACGTCGTACGGATATGTAAAAAATTTAGGCAGATAGATGCAATATATTACTAGCTCCGAGTTATTTAAGTTGAAGCTATTTTATACGTTGTAGTATTGTATTAAAATTTTTATAAATATAAGGCCTAAATCTATTATTAAAATCCCACCGCAACGTGAGCTTAAGCTTAAGGCAGCCTTAAACCATAGTTCGTTAAAAAGTTTGCCTGTGACCCATAGATATAAACACACGGGCCATGCATTGTGTGGCGCCGCAGGCGTAAGCGGGCGCAGCCCCGCGCTTTAACGAACTGTGGTTTAACGTACATTAAGATAAATATAAATATAATGTTAAGTAAAAAAGTATAAAAAAAAAAAAAAAAAATTAAATATTAAAAAAAAAAAATATAAATAAATTATTAAAAGATTAAATTAATTAATTAACGATTAAATTAATAAATTAATAAATAAATTTATTAAAAATTAAATTAATAAAAATGAAACTTATAATATTATAATATTAATAAATAAATAATATATGTATAATAATAAAAAATTAAATTAATAAATAAATTAATTAATTAAATTAATATATAAATTAATTAAAAATTAAATTAATAAAAGTAAAATTTATAATATTATAATATTAATAAATAAACGATATATATATAATAATAAATAAAAAAATATAAAAAAAAAAAAAAATTAAACGTTAAAAATGTAATTATTATATATATAAATTATTAAAAAATTAAATTAACGAATAAATTAATTAAAGATTAAATTAATAAAAATAAAACTTATAATATCGTAATTTTAATAAATAAATAATACGTATATAATAATAAAATAAAAGGTATAATAAATAAAAAAACTTAAATTTCGAAAAAAAAATAATATTATATATATAAAAAAAAAATTACGTTAAACTTATTTTTTATTAAAAAAGTTTAAAAGTTAAAACTATTATTTTAAATAACATTAATTTAAAGTTACATTTAATTTAATTAATTAATTTATTAAATTATAATTAAATTATAAATTTAAAACTTTTAATAAAATACGTGCGTTTTATTTAATTAATTAAATCTTTATAATTAACCTTTTTTTTTATTATTAAAACGTTTTAATGTTTTTTTTTAAAATTTAATTTAATTATAAAAACCTTTTATTAATTAATTAACGTAACACTTATTATTACCTCATTTTTTTATTATAAATAAACGCTTATTAATTAAATATTTTATTTTATTTATTATTTAATCAATTAAATTACGTATTAATTAATATTTATAATTAAGTAATTTAATTAAGTACATTTTTTTAACCTTATTAAGCAAGTAATTTAATTAATCGAATCTTTATCTTATTAGTTTTATTACGTACTAGTCCGTACACTTGAATTTTAAGCCTTTTCCTTCCGATTAAAATTTAGAAGCGAAAACTTTCCTCCGAAAAAATGTAACGTAAGTAAGCAAGGAAAGTTTTCTTAATTATTAGCTCCCTGTTGTTTTGTTTGTATAGAATAGCCCATTGATAATGCATAATACCCGAAACTATCATGAAAATCGTACGAGAAATTGGTCTATGTAGTTGCTACCTGCGAGTTCTTCTAAACTAAGGGGTTACTCCTATGGACTTAGTTAAATATTTCATCTCTTCTCTGTGAAAATGATTCTTTATCATTATAGTCCTCAACACATTTCAGATTTCTTGCATCTATCGATTATAAACACTGCGTCGAAATCATGAGACTTATTTTTCTTCCAGTCACCCTTAGCATCGCGCTAGCGGCTGCTATTGAACCTCTAGACAGTCATCCGTGGCAAGCCCCAGGGCCAAATGACTGTATGATAAAGTGCATAATACTAGAGGTTCTTGGTTGCTAATACTATTGATAGTCCGTGGGCCATGCCCAATGCTTAATACACTTAGCAATCACCAATTCCTACCTCACGATGGTCGGAATATCACTAAGGACAAAGTCATTAGTGCTATGGGCTCGGCTCTCAACTTTAATGAATCTCTCGCAGCCCTGATGTTCCAAATGGCTATCGTAGCTAATCCAAGCAAAAATGCCACGTTTTTTACTCTGTAAGCAAACCAAGACTTTATTTCCATCTAAAGCATATCAATATACTGGGTTTTGGGGCCCATCTGGCTATATCCTCGAACTGGCCTGGAAGCCCTTGTAGAGCCACATCAGCCACACGAGATTTCCCATCCTCAGTCCACCACCACTCTGCTGAATATAGATCTATTAACAATCGCCTACTTCTAGGGAGCAGCTTCAAGTTCACGGCGTGCTTGAGCACGATGCAAGTTTGAGGTGAGATCATGATTTTGATCCTAATTTACGAAGAAATGTAGTACTAATTGTATTCCACAGCCGCTCAGACGCCTTCTTTGGTAACAACTATGTCTTCAACGAATCCATTTTCAACGAGACCAAATTATACTGGACCGGCGAAACCCTTGATGCGAACATGCTAGCAAATAGCAAGGTTGCCCGTCAGATCAGCTCCAAAGCGTTCAACCCTAACTACACATTCACGCCTACCGTCGAAAGCTTTAGCCTTGGCGAAGTTTCTGCCCCGATTATTGCTTTCGGCGACATGCAGGCAGCGACTGTCAGGAGGGATCTGGTCGAATACTTCTTTGGTAAGTTTAGTTATTCATGTATCTGTGCCTTAAGTACCTAAGTTAACATTGCGTAAAGAGAATGAACGTTTCCCCACAGAGTTGGGATGGAGTACACGGACTGAAGTCGTCAACATAGATGCTATTTTGAGATTATCAGAAATCATCGGCAACGCCTCAAGCCTCATTACAAGCTCCGAGGCAGTCGTTTCAACTCGGCGACGGGATCTACATGCTGGAATCTACTAGTAAATATGGCATTTGATAGCTGTGTTTTTTAGTAGTATAGTATGATGAATATCTATTATTGGAGATACTTTGTAGTTACTTCCTGATAAGTTAGTTAGGTAGATTAATAATGATGACTTACTACTCCCTCCGTGGGAATAGTGTCATACTGTACTTACGGCTCCGGTCCAACTTTACGGACCCACTAATCAATCAATGTACCTGCGGCTCCGGTCCGGACTTGTCGGATTGAAGTGGACCCTATATTTAGTGGAACCTACGAAGTACTATGTACCTAAACTCCGGAATGGTTTGACAAGATCTGATAACAGAATATCACCAAACTTTACACATATGTTATGAAGGGGCTTAATGGCACTATATGTATTCCTGTGCCGTACTATCATATTGCAGTAGATTACTTAAGTAGGTGAGTATCTGTACGGGATGGACACCGCAGCGATGTACTTCATGTCCCTAAACCGACATCATATCTTCGTGATTGCTTTGTTTCTTTCGTGTTCATCCCGCTGTACGACTCCACTCAACATAACGTTCTTGTCCATTATGGCTAGAAGAGAGTAAGAGGGCAAAATATTCTTTTGCCTGTTCTGTTAGTTCCTGACTGACTCGCATCGGCCATCTCTCGATTATCGTATGCGGATCTTTCATCCGTAGCCCAGAACTAAGCGCTGCAGAGTCAAATGCGTGTAGCATCGTGTACCTATAGTATGGAAGGTAAGATATAGAAAGAGACGAGGTTAGGATAATATTTGATACATACCTATCGAAGTTCCCGTCCATGTCTTGAACTATATTCATTGCCATCATCGTTTTAACCATTCCAATCGTAGTTAGCTGTGAGGTAAGTTCAGGCATATATTGAAAAACTTTCTCTCTGTGGTCCTCCTTGTTATCCTGCGGAAATTTTCCTGCTTTTTTCATCATATTAATCTCTCGGATGGCGTTTAAGAATAACGTAATGAGAGTCGCATGTCGATTGATCGTTGTAGGCTGAAGCAATGGACCAAACTTCTCCAAGGTTTCACCAATGCCAAGATAATACATATCCGTGATATTTCCCACCTACGTAAACGATTAGCCACTCAAAATATATTAATTAGAGAAGCTACTTACATCGATGCGGTCAAATTTCTTCGCATCTAGTTGTAGAGATCTTGCATCACCTTGGAAAAGATCAAACTTTATTGGAAAAGCCCGTAGTCGGTGATGGAACTCTACAAATAGCTTCCTGAGGTAATGATAGAGCTTGCCATATGTGTCGTTCTTCGTTGGTCCAATGTTGACCTCGAGGAATGATTTGAGCGACCAACCGGATGTAGGATCGGAATTATCCATCATCTCCCATGAATATGTCGAATGGAACAAGGTTCTGAGAAGGATTGTTAGCTATCTAAGGTATGGATTTTGAAATTTATATTGAAGTAGAGTACTGACGGGTTTGGTACTCTAAACTCCTCACGAGTTTGACTGAAAGGTAACAAAATGCCGTCAACACGAAACTTGGACATGCAGAGCCTTCCAGCCGGAGTCTTCAGACACATAACACGATCAACATAGTCAACTCTCTCGGGAGCTAACATAACTGCTCGTCGAACCCGCTGGGCGGTGTCTTCGGTTAGCCCCTGGGGAACGTCAAAGTATGATAGGAAAGAGAACCATTTATCCCGGGATAATACTAGTCGAAGAGAAGAATTATTCCCGAATGACCATGTCTTGGCTAAAAGCAAGGAGCCAGGCTTATCTATGATTTTGTCGCATATATTCTTTATCATTGGTCGGATCCTGTCCCGTAGGAAGCTTTGACAAGGTCCTGTGATCAAAGCCGAATACCAAAGGTGAAGAACATATTCTGCAGCGATGATTGGGTTATCCTCAACGAAAAAGGTCAATAGAAATATAGCATTCCGAGCTACTATATCCATTTCCTTATCGTTCAATACTATACCGAGAGGTCCATTATAAGAATGGAGATTGGCAATAGAGAGAATAACATTTCTCATATCCCCCGAAGCTAGACATAACTTTTAGTTAGTGGTATTTTACACCTAAGGAACATTTCACACCTGGAAAAAGGAGATTCAACGGATTCTGAAAATCGACCCCTTCATTGTGTTTCAGTTGAATTACATCAAATGCTGGGACGTTACCCCAAGGGTATTTATTTGGCCCGTAAGGTACGTGTTTAGGAATGCTGCTTAGGAAGGTGGGTATTCGGCCTTCTTTTACCCACGAAGGTTGCCAACTATTCATTGATCTGCAATCCTTGCGATGAATAGGCCAGTGGGCAGCTTGACAATCCTTGCTGCAATACTGTCTCCGTTTAGAAGGGTCAGCACCACTGCTATACTATTTCAAATACAGCTGTATGTGAAGTGTGGAAGAAGACTTACAGGGACTAAGAGACAATTTTTACATGCTAATGTGCCAATGCTTCTGCAGGGTACAACTGCATTTGGGTTGTTCGCACATAATAACTTTGTACTAGGCGTTGAACTTTCCATCATGGTATCAGAGCTCTCTAGGGACTGTAGACTTGCTACTGGGCTTGGTATATGGGGGGGAATCATCTACTTTTATGTTCTTTCGTTCTGGAGGTATTGAATTTCTTTCAGGAGTTTCCTGGGAGATACTTTCAAAGACGGCAGCTCATTCACGTCATATCTTGGGCAGCAATGGCAGGCGAAAGATCTGGAAAATATTACTGCTGTAGGGCTGCTGCATGTTGTACTACATAATGGATAGGCTAGGTAAACATGGCTTTGAAGTCGGCGTATGTGGTTATGCATACACATATTGAAAATCATGCTATATGGAAGGCTTTTCTCTGACTGGTCATATGCCAAGACATATGGAAGGTGTGATATCGTACGAGCTGTAGTAGTTGCATAAATGATAAAGTTTGGTTGTGAGATTTTATCTTCGTTGCATTGTGATGGGCTAGTCGGCTTAACCCCTACGAGATGCAATCAGGACGTGGGTGTATTAGGTACCAAATAGCTCATTTATGTACTCAGCAGGCTTTGTCCGTAGGCACCGAATATATCAACGTTGTTAGATGCCTTTGTTCGTATGATATATCACACGTAGAGCAACAGGTATTATGCTTCCTCCCGAGCACCATCCCCGTAATCTCACCAACCTAATCCCTGTATCTTGACAACCCCTCAAGATTCTTCCTATTCAGATATCTTGATAACCACCTTGCCAAACTGTCTATGATTCCACTGTTGATAAAAGAGGTAAGTTAGGTACTTTTGGTAATCTGGCTATGGGTTTTAGGTAGTTGTTCACGTACCACATAGTCATATGCTTCCCTAGTACTTTCAAAGTCGAAGACTTTTTCGTCAATTACGGGATGAATGTCATTGGCTTCGATAGCCTTTACCATTTCCTCCATTTGTTGTCTTGAGCCCACATGAACGCCGCGTGCTGTGCAGCCGCGAAATAGGAGTTCCGTTGTTAGTTGAGGCTTTTTGCCGCTAAGGAAGCCGATCAGGTTAATGATGCCTCCAAGCCTTTTGTAGTCTTAGTTAGTTGAAGATATATTTAGCTACCTGGGAGGTAGATATGGCCGTTGGCGTTTACCTGACTGCATCAATACTGTGGGGGAGAGATTCACTGCCTCCCACATCAATCACGAAGTCGACGCCGCTCCGTCCGTTCGTTAGGGTTTTGGCGGTCTTACCCCAGTTGGCATCCTCTTTATAATTGATTGTATGATGAGCCCCTAGCTTTTTCAGTGCCTCCTCTTTTTCCTTCGTAGATGTGGTAGCTATGATCGTAGCTCCTGCAGCCTTTGCAAACTGTGAAAGCGTGTAAGAAGCGAGGTCACTTATGGTGATATTGAATACGTACCTGAAGTGCGAAGATACTAACTCCACCTGTACCTTGAATAAGAACAGAATCGCCCGGTTTCAATGGCTTCAATCCGTACAATGCATTCCATGCAGTCAAGGCAGCACATGCTTTTTCGGGGTTAGTTACCTGGTAATTAAGGGCAGCCGGGGTCGATGTTAACTGACACAAAGTACTAAATAACATGCTAGTTAATCAAGAAGAACCAGAGCTTCGATGAGAGTTACTAACCTTGACTCATTTAGGTCGAGATTGTTGGGGGTTCTAACCAATCCGTTTTCGTTATAGACGCCGAATTGTCTAAGTGTTCCGTCTTCCACCTATTCGTTAGGTTATAAGGGTTAGAATAAGAGAGAAAAGACAAACGAACCAAGGAAACCACCCAGTGATGTTGGGATGATGGAAACATCAATATCTCCATAAAGATGGCCCTGATGAAAAAGCGTTGCCACTTTGTCCCCTATTCGAAAATTTGTCACTTTAGAGCCAACCTCTATGACTTCGCCTGCGCCATCAGAACCAGGGCAGAATGGAAATCGTAATGGGCTGGGATATTCGTTCTTCGCTATGGCTACATCTCGGTAATTCAGAGATGCCGCATGAAGTTTCACGAGGACCTCGTTCTCTCCGACTTTTGGGATAGGCACTTCGAGGAACTCTAACCCGTCGAATCCTTTCTCCTGCCCCTTAATAAACCACTGTTTCATAGTTGAGGGTGCCATATTCGATAATAGAGGTAATTGGAGTTTAAATCTTCTGTAGGTTCTTGCGGGTAACTTGGCCAATTCATATCGACGGTCAATCGTCTCTAATATACATAAGAATGTACCCTTCGTGCATATTATCTGGTCGGGGTTCGGATGCCGAAGGCCGGCAACGGTTGAGTGGTTATCCTAAGCTACCTAAGTTATATTTCTGCGTAAAGTTACAATTCTAGTTTTAAACATAATCCTCGGCGGCCGATTTGGATTGCAATAATTGATTATAATGATGATTACCATCTCTATTGCGTTAGGGGGTAAAGAGGCACTCGGCTCGGCGGGCGAGCTCCGACGCAACGAATGAGGTAGCATCTGTAAGCCAGAAACTGGCACACCATTTTATACGCACCGATACCCCGATAATGAAATATATTGTTATTGTAATAAGCCTCAAAAATGATTAACCTAGCCTCTTTAAAGTGTTACGCTTCGCTCGGCTCAATCTGCTACCACAAAGGCTAAATGTAACCGGAGATAATCTAGATAGACCACATACTAGAACTACCGTTATACGACGTTAATATATCCTATATGAAGCGTGACTTAAAGTTGGAGACATACTAGTCAGTGTCATTGGCTTGTTTATGTTATGGAATGGCGATCGCGATGAAGGGAGATAAGATGATTGTCATTATCTTGAAAAAGGGGTATAAATAAAGACAGAGTCTTCCCGCGTCAACATTAGGTACCTGTTTTACTGTTTCTAAGGATAGGTGCTAATATCAATGCTCATATCACGTAAGAGATGAGACTCATTTCGTATTTAGTTGTGGCCCTGGCCTTTGGGACGAAATACGTAATAGGTCAATCAGAATATCAGTATGTTATTGCGGGTAGCGGGGCTGGAGGAGGGCCGTTAGCTGTGGAAATAGCGAAGGCCGGTTATTCAGTACTTCTCTTAGAAGCCGGATCGGACCTCTCCGAAGATCCATTGTATCAAGATCCAGATAAAGCTACGGAGGCGGCTAACGATCCTCGAACAAGGTGGGATTATTTCGTGAAACACTCCGCTGATACGGAGAGGGAGCAGAAATATGAGCATACGACCTGGCGTACCACCAATGGCTCTTTATATGTTGGACTAGATCCTCCCACGGGGGCCGAGCACCTCGGTATCTTTTATCCAAGAGCAGCAACTCTGGGTGGATGTGCCATGAACAACGCCGCCGTTCTCCACATGCCGAGTGACGATAATTGGAATTATATAGCTAATATCACCGGCGATGACTCGTGGAAGGCTTCTGAAATGAGAAAGATTTATGAAGAGATCGAGAATTGTAATTATTTGCCGAAAGGTTCGGCAGGCCACGGATTTTCAGGGTGGCTTCAGACCAACCAAGACGACGGTTCTTGGTTGAACAATGCTACCGACGGTGCTACAGTCCTGAAAGCCATAGCGGAATTAACTGGCTCGATAGGAAACAAGACTGGATCCGCAGTATCAAATGCTGAACTGAAAGCACTGTTAAATAGAGACATCAATGGAGTCGAACCGAACCGCGACCAGATGACAGGCATTTTCGCTATGGCTACTCATACTGATTCGGTTGGTCGGCGTTTCAGTCCAGCGAATTATATTAAGAAGGCGTTTGAGGAGAATCCGGACCTTCCACTAACAGTCCAGCTTAACGCGTTTCTCACAAAGATCGCGTGGGATCAGCTACAAGGTGACCCCGCCGTTATGTCGGTAGACTACGTCGTCGGTCCCAGCGCGTACAAAGCTGACCCTCGGTATGACCCGAGCCGAAACACCACCACTGGCTTTAGCTGGGTCGGTAAAGAATTGATCATCTCCGCAGGAGCCTTTAATACTCCTCAAATTTTGAAACTTAGTGGTATTGGCCCGGCGGACGAACTCAACAAGCACAACATCACCGTGGTAGCAGACGTCCCGGGTGTTGGCGAGAATCTTAGGGATAATTACGAAGGCGGCGTCTTGTCTCTCGCGTCAAAGCCGTTTAAGGGTTTCGGTAAACCCTATGCGGTGCAGTTGAAAACATCTGCTTCAGCACGGAATCGTGACATATTTCTGTGGTGATTTACCCCATGACGAACGTATCTAAACCATCTACTGCAAGTAGCTAACATTTAAACTTCATTAGGCCGATAAACTCAGCATTTGAAGGCTTCTGGCCGGGGTATCCCTCGAATCGTGGTCCGAGCGCGTTTACTCTTCCGTTCGTCCTTATGGATTCGCGTAGCTCAAATCGGGGCACGGTCACCCTACGCTCGACGGATCCATTTGAACAACCCGAAATAAACTTTCGATTCTTCGAAGGGGATAGCGAAGAGGACTTGCAAGCTATGCTCGAGGCTGTCAAATTCGGCCAGAAAATCATGGGCTTGCTCCCAGACAGCTCCGGACTGACCCCTTTTGAGGAACTTCATCCTTGCACAAGTGAAGCTAAATGCACTGACCAAGATATTAAGGAGTATCTTAAGCTGCAGACTTATTCACGCCATGCGACCGGAACATGCGCAATTGGCAGTGTATTAGACTCGAGATTTCGCGTTAAGGGAGTAAACCGCCTTCGTGTGGTCGACGCATCAGTCTTTCCTAAACCCCCTGGGGCATTCCCTATTCTCCCTACGTTCATGATATCGAAGAAGGCAGCCAAAGTCATACTGGAGGATGCCGATGGGATGAGCTGAATAGAAGAAGGATCTGTATTTCCCCACGTGGAGAGGGAGTGAATTAAAAACCCAATCTTGTGTGACGTCTTAGACAATTACCATTTAATGCAAGATTGCCGTCGTTGATGTTCAATGAAGTCAGAGCATCCTTGACACTGTGACTGTTGAAGTGACAGCCTTCGCCAAAGAGCAGACGGGGAGGATAGTCTCGTCTGTTGGCGGAAGACGTTGCTCGACGTCTCGGTAGCCATAACTGGTGCATGATACTGAGGGTAAAGTCTAGCGTGCCGCTAACTCGCATCAGCTCTTCGACTTTTGGGCGCAGAGCGTCGACTCAGAAGGGTAAAGCAGGGGCCGGCATTTGAGTAATAATTGGGGACCCATATCAAGACGGGACTTAACCCGATGAACACTCGGAAATAGACCAGGTATGTTTCCATCCACCAATTTCTCACCCCAATGACCGCGTCTGAACTATTTTCTAATGTTTACTCAGGTATCTCACCAACGAATACCGCGTGGGGTCGTCTAGCCAGAAGATTGCCGGGGTTATTGGGGCTGATACAAGTTAGAACGGTCGGGTACCGGCAGCTTTAGACCCTACTTAGCAAGCGGTAATGCTACAGACGTTCCGAAAAGGTCTTGGGGAGTTCGGCATGACCCTCACCACGCATTTCCAGCCGTCAGATAGGGCCATCCAGTACGTGCGGCTGAAATGCAAGAAAATGCAAGCCCATAGCGATTTGGCCGTGGAAATGGCGTTGGCTGCATCGGTCACGTATATGGATCGGGTCAGACTCAGTCTGGATATGGCCCCCTGTAAAGGGAGCGAAGAGGTTAACATTGGGAAATCCCCCACTATCAGCTACGTTAACAACCCATGGAAATTCAGCTGAGAGACTGGCCACCGCACCCGTAGCTGTAGTGTACGTTTGTTTATCTCTCCTCGGTACCACTCATCACACTCGATGGAGCATTCCAGAGCCAAGATCTCCAGAGCTTCCAAGCTGCGATAGACGTCCATGCCAAACAATTCACCAACAGGAAAGTCTCTACATTGGTGACCAGCAAGCTCAGGCCACATTTTGAATGAAAGCCCGAAAACTGTGGTCTGAGCTTGCTGAGATAACTTACCGCTCAATTGTATTATTCGATATTGAGAAAAATCATGTCGGATAATCCAGAACTTTCCCTGCCTGCCAAGGCACCGTCGATGGCACGTTACCACAACGAGCCTATGACTTTACATCCAGCAGCTCTCTATACTCTTGTCGACCTGGATAACGCAGAGCTTGAATATCTCGAGCGCGAATGCGAATCTGGGTGTGTCGCCACGGGCAGCGAGCCGGGTACCAGCGTGCGTCTTGCCCCGCGTTCACGCTTTGTCGGCCAATCGCTGCGCGCCGTCTTTGACTACCATCTCGAGTTGGGACCGCAAAACACGTTTGAGCCCAGGTACTTTATCGTCACCTCCGAAAAAGATTGGCAGACTAAAGGGGTCATACTGGTAACGCTAGACGATGACGAGCTTGATTGCAACGTCGACTCGTTTCGCATCAAGGCTGCCGATGCCGGCTTGAGTGTCGTGAATCTACAAATTGGGAATACTTCCTGGGGTGAAGAAAAAGATGGTTATGAGCTCCATCTTAGTAATGCAGATGGCGACAAAGATGACGACAACGACAACGACAACGAGGACGAGGGCGATGATGATGATGATGGGCCACCAAGGCCGAGGAAAAATGTTCCCCTAGGCTACTACGTTCCCATTTACATCCATTCGAGTCTATCCGAAGATAAAGTCATCGCCGACCTGGAGCCAGCGTTCAAATATAAATCGCCCGAGGAATATGCCTGCCGCATCCAAGCCAAACTCACACCTGCACCCTCCACCTCAAACACAGTATCGACCCAAGACCTCATCCAGCAAGCTGTCTCCCTACACCCCTTACGCTGTGCAAAGAACCGATATCTGCAAAAAGAGTACATCATCGTCATCGATACAGAAGACCCTAATGAGAATGGTATGCTGATGATCAAACTGCCGCCGTGGGATGCGAACCGCTCAGGGACGACTGAAAAGGCAGACTTACGCCGCATCGGGGAGGAATTGGCCCTTGCTACCACTCAGCACATACGCATCCCGTATTCTTGCTACGAAGGACTGCAGACGCGTTTGCTAATCTTGGCTAATGGCGATGCTGACTGGCCGTCAGAAGACGTGCGTGTCCAACCCGTCTTCGTCGTCTTCCAGTACAACACGCACCACAAGGAGCTCGGTTTTGGCGCTAGTTTAATTGATACTGGCGCTGCAAAACGAAAGTCTGGCGAGGATCGACTGGTATATGCGCCCGAAGCGGTCAAGCGCGTCGGAGAAGGTCTGGACTTGATTACATGGAACTACGATGAGGCCGTGAGACGATTTCCTTGGTTTTGCCGGGAGAAGCGTTTCGTCGAGGGCTTGGATACGACTTATTTTATCTGCGTGGATGGAGACGATGTGGCTAAGACGGGGGTGTTACTGGTGCTGAGAAAATGGGACGGGAGTCTGTGGGGCCGGACACGGGATGAGTTGCTCGGTTTGCCCGTTGATGGTGTGAAGGACGAAAGAGTCCCTATTAAGGAAGCGCTTGCTCTCTTGGAAAAGGGGCGAAAGGGCGAAATAAATGGGATGAGTGAAAGCTTAAGAGATTTCTTTTCGTAAACGCTTATTTATATTTATCAGAGAGAACCCTTGATGATGTCATACGGAGAGTGAATGCTAGAAGCAGCAGCAAAACTTATGTACAGTAGCCGTGCAGTAGTATAAATCTATTAACGCTCAACCTGTGTTAAACAAACCGCTATACCACTAAAAGGTTATTTGGGTAATAGATTTTATTCTATTATGTTTTATATCTCTATATCGGACAGATAGTCATATCTGACAACCTGCTATCTTCTGTCGAGGGCGCCGCGCGACCCCTATATTAGAGACCTTTGTTTATAGATCTATACCTGTTCCTGACTAGCTCCATTTATACCATAGAAATATGTCATCAAGTGTCATGATCCCTCGTATCTCTGTCCCTATTTCCATCCTTTATGGATATCATCGGGAACCCTAATCCAATTGCCTCCCATATTAGTATATCTAGCAAGCTCAACGTGTGTCGTCACGTTTATACCAGAAATATTGCTTTCAAGCTGCCCAGACGAAACATCAGCAGTAATTTGAGGACTAGTGCGAATACTGCCACCGCTGTTCCACTTGCTATCTTTGCTATCGATGTTGGCTGATGAATTAATCAAAGACGGACTGCATATTGCCGTAATGTGTCGAAATAATGGCCAGTATGTCGGTATTGATGTATCAAGAATGCCAGCCACAAGCTCAATAAGTGAGAGAAGGCTCAAACGTATGTTATCGTCTATAATAAATGTTAATGCCACAACTATCTGTTTTACTATGAGTGAAAGTGACTTACAGCTGGGATCACCAGTCGCGTCAAAATCCAAGGAGAACGCAAGGCGAACAATAGAAACGATACAAGCACTTCCACCCATACAGAAGGTGAATATCAGGAGCCTCTTTTTCTGCTTGGAGGTGTGGAGACGTAAAACCATCGGAATAGGGCAAAACACTAGGATAAAATCGATAATGACATTGATGATTCCAACAAGAAGCATGAAGAGCCCATAATTAAGGCAGTATCCAACCGAAATTGTGACGTCCCAATAATACTGGATGGGAATGCATTCGAGAATATTAACGATGGATATTGCTATGTGAAAAGCAATGATCAATAGGGCGAATACCCATAGGAATCTATGGAACGTTCTCGATCGGAAGATGCTACCGTATAACCTAATAATACCGAGTTTCAGGAATCCTAGAGACGCGGTATATGATACTTCATCGATAATTTTCCAAATATTAAGCAAGCGCATGTCCGTAACCATGATAACATGACGCCCTCCTCCGTATTTGGTTATCTTGTTTTGTTATAGTTAGCAGGGGTTAGTTTAGGTACTTTGGTCGGTCAGGTTTAGTTACCATGCCCAGCCCGATGCTGTATACAACATAGAAGACCCAAGCTATCAATAGTAGAATATCACTTTGTGTTAAACGAAACTTGTGCGATACAAGATACTGCGAATAGAGACGGAGAAGGATGAATACAATAGATGCAATACCGCAAATAGAGACGCAAATAATTATATTCGGCACGAGGCTTTCGTCGCTGTGGGCTATCATATAAGCTATCTGCTCCTTTGATGGTAGCGCGGCCATATTGACTTCTAGTGGCTATAACGGGGGAGAGATTGAGAGTAGAACACTCATATATTTGTTTATATACCGTAGGAGGAGTTGTCCTAATGATATAGGCGACAGTTAGAGTGCGGCTTGGAATTCTCAGAGCACCCAAAGCTCGTAACCGGCTTGAATACTACCTAATGTAGTATTAAGCAAGGAGTGTCATATTAAATGGAGGCGAAGTGTATTGTGCTACGATTTAATATCATGCTACATCGTCTGCAAGGTTCTCACATCACCAGCATACATATATTAAGTTCAATATGACTCTGGTTCTAAGTGATGTCGGGGCAGATGGTCGTCTCCAACGACTAACTCATGTAGACTTTACGCAACTACTTCTGAAAGTGGCTTTGAGGTGTTGATTCTGGCATTGGCAAAGTCAATTAATTAACCTTGGCATTTACCTAAGGAAGCGATCGCGTTGCATGTTATATCCTAGGTATGCAACCACACCACTCAATACGGTATATGATACGTGCTATACTTGGCCCCCACATACGAAGTACCATAGCGGCAAAATGTGGTTTCGTGGAATGATTGCTAAAATTGGAATGGCCTAATAAAATGTGGAACCCACTGCAGATTTAAGGCCTTTAATTGGATGATGGGTGATAAAAGTGGGTAAAAGCCTGGAACCATTCCGCAAATGTCGGAATGATTCCCAAAAGTGGAATGGTTCCATTATGGTTTTTTTTAAATAAAAATTATTAAGTTTTTTTCAATGTAAAGCTTATAAGGGTAAAAATCAATTAAACTTTCGTACTAATTCGATGAGACTGGCCACCTCGTCCCATTAGCTCAAACGTTTAAACCCCACTGTGGGGTAACACAAACGCGGGAGCTATGGGTTCGAGGACCAGTCTTTTCAAATTTTTAGCCTTTTTTCAATTTTTGGACCCACTTTTCTGATTTTTAGGAGGGCATTCCAACTTTTGGAATCATTCCAACCTTTATGGAATGATTCCAACCTTTTGGAATCATTTCAGCCCTTGTGGAATCATTTCAACCCTTATGGAATCATTTGGTCTGAATTGAAACATTATTATACATGGAATCATTGTAATGGGTTGGAACCATTCCATGAAACCACATTGTGCCGCTATGGTATGTAGTATCACATCTCGCCAACAAATCGGTAGCTAATAGGTTATTAATTAAGGCTCTGGCTTTGCGAACCACAATTTAAATATAGGGGGCTTATCTATATATTTATATGCAAGTACCTAGTTTGTGAGGTGTATAGTACAAGTAGAAATTTACTGAAGGAATTGAAGCCAATAAGCTATAAGGCTTCCGAAGTGAGTTACGGCTCGCTTGACACTATTCTTACGTTTTTAATAGACAACTTTCTCGATCATATAACGCTTATCTCCTTATTGGTCTACGTCACGCCTCTGCTGCAGTAATACATCTAATTTAACCGACATTGTTGACTACGAAATATACCCCGTGCTTGTTGCATTTCTTTAATCGATTGTTTCTGGGGGCGCCGTGACACCGGGGCTCCATGATAGCAGTCCCGGAATCTTTGATATGAGCGAGCCGAGCCTCAGCATTACGCTCTGCAGCGATAACATTGCCCCTTTGAGCGCGTAACTGGCGAATGAACAAGGCTCCAAGTCACTAAAGCACCCTATAATTAGACAAGTAGTCTTAGGGTTCCCCGCCATCGTAATAATTGGGTTATAGTCCATGCAATGCTATGCGAGGAGGCGAAAGTCAGCACTAGGTAACACATAATGTGCATAATGTAACCTTATCTATATGTAATTTCTAATAGCGACGTCGCAGCTACACTGTTGATTTATATGAATGAAGTTTGATCAATATCGTATTTTAATGTCCTAAATTTCATCAACTTACGAGGTAATTGCGTCAACACCATCAAAATGCTGGTTTAAAGTGTCACGTGTCTAGAGATGAGCTACCTACCTCTGATATACTCATCACTCGAAAAAGCCGCTTTATGTTTGGAGATAGTTAACAGAAGTTTATATTATGAATATTAAGTCTAGAAGTACAAGTGCCCGTCCTGCGCCTCGGGTTCCATCGACGTCAGCCCCTCCGTCTTCAAGCTCTTGGACTGACAAGGTTGTGCATACAGTATATACGTATATACGTGAGATCAAATTAGAAACAACAATAAGCAATATAAAACATAAGACAATAGGTTCGATTCATAGCTAGCTAAGTAGGTAGCTAAAGGGGAGGCTATCGTAGGCACACAATAGATATAGCTGTTATGTGTGTGGGTGTCTCTCCGAGACCGCTAGGGCTACGCTGCCCCGTAGCATACGTGGCAGCTATGCCCAGCGATATCGGGAATAGCCTCATTGTACTAAAGCAGCCGTTAGGATATTACCTAATAGTAATTATCCCAACACAAGCAGCTGGCTCCACTGGCCAAGGGCCGCGTCAAGGTTACCTGGGGATACTCCGGCAGCAACTCTGTTCGCGTAGAGGATCTGGGCGCCGGCGAGATCAGGCTCGAGTTGGTCGATGAGGTGAATGAGGAGTATGCGAAGTTTGAGGATGGTGACGAGAGCGAGTTGTAAAGATGGAAGGTCGAGACATGTACATTATCTCCGCCTTGGTCCAAAGCCTCGTCTACCGAGTACAATCAATAGACCAACAAGCGAAAGAGTAGCAGCGACGCCAGCGATAATACCAACAATTCCCCCTGTGCCAAGGTAGGTACCCTGTGCCATTACAGGTTCTTGACGCTTATTATATTGCAAATTAGTTGTGATGCCGTTTTCGACTAGCAATGGTAGAGCTAGGGCCTCTGAATCAGAAGCCAGAATCAGGTAAAACAAGATATAAGACATTTTATGATTTATGAATTGTTTATGGTCGCTGTGTACTATCGTGATGCTGGACTATATAATTAAAGCTTACGGTAGGTATCGAATAGGTGTTTATATATCTAATTGTCAGGATCGGATGCCCTAATGAGGTGAATCATGCATAGAGTGAATGTCTAGGGTAGGTAGACCATGTAGTAATTGTATTGAACCTAGTAACGCCTGGCCATCCAACCTCTGACGAGAGCGCTTCGCACCTCTTATATACTCATATAAACCCTTGTAGCCACCCTAACCCACTATACCCTAACACTAATACTTCACAACTATCAACAATAACCTTTGTTAATTGTAGACGATTCTGTTCTGCCGACCATCAAAGAGGTATTACGCCCCTTTGTGTACCTATGCAGTGGAACATGAAAATGAGTTAGTAATCATTAATGAAAGTCATTTGTACAATGGTATAGTCATGGACATTTTAGGAGTCATATTTTAGCTCTTGGCTATTTGTCCCATGTTTAGGCATAATCCTATTGTGACTAGGTACCTACTCAGACAATGCTGGGGTTTCCATGAATATGATGACAAAGTGCCGCTTCTATTGCAAGTTCATTGTAACCGGATGAATTTTCTTCAGACGAAAATAAGTGAGCATGACTGACGACTTATTCAGGAGGTGGGTATCTAGGTAGCTGTAAGCATGCTAACTGGTTTTGATGCTTCGTCTACGATTCACTCTTTTGGTGTTGTCTGCTTTTTAACACAGGCATAACTACCTACCTAGGTACCTACCTAGCGGTATTAAAAGGTCTAGCTATATATTTCTCGTCTCCCCATAATATAATTCCCATTTCCCCTTCCATTGCCATCCTCAATATCATCTCCTTTACATCAATACGCTCCCTAGATCTACGTCAACCAATTATCAAAGTTCGACGATCATTACTATGAAGGCTTCTTGTCTCATCCTTGCCGGCACTTTCACTTGCCACGCCGTCGCAGATGGTGGTTACGCGAAAAATTGTCAAAATATGATGCTTGTCGACCTGGATAATTCTCACGTTGGCCTGAAGGCATCTTGCAAAGCTGGAAATAAAGATCAATGTTCAATCCTTAATCTATGGCAATGCTATGGAACTGACAATAATGGCGCCCTGAAACCTCAAGAGAGGTAAGTGATTCATAGAGTCCTTTATATATCCGGTCATTAAAAAGTCGTGAATAAAGTACTAACCAGACGACCTAATTTAACTCAGGGGTGCCGCCCCTAGATGCCGATCATGTAAACTCAACGGCACAGTTTTACAATGTGATTGCCGCGACCGTTCACAGGGGCGCTACCACATCAGCTCTGTAGATACGAGTAAGTAGCCTCCTTTAAACAGATATCTATGTGCGGGCTAACAGCACTTTCGCAGACAATCTTATTGTCAACGACAACGGAGTCCTCAAATGTTTCGGCAATAAAGCTATCACGCCTGATGACTGCGCCTCAAAACGATCGAGTGGATATGGTAGTAACCTCTCTCTTGTTACTCTAGGATATGCCCTATCCTTCTGCGGTCTGGCCCTTATATGGGTTTGAGTTTATTTTTATTTACCTTTGACACTTTATGATTGCCAATTCACGGGCTTGCCCCTAAGTCAAGGGCAGCCACAAGAATAGAGCAGCATTATCATAATATATTAAGCGCATCCATTAGGTAATACCTGATTGCATCTAAGCTTGTGATATTAATATTCTAATTTATTAACCTGCGTATTACTTTTAATAGTCTCGCTTCATAGTGCAATATAATATGAGTGCTAGGTTACCTAGGTAGGTAGTCTTATTCTGATGGTGTTATAAAATGATTTGACTGGAAAATCATCTTAGAGTGCCTGTATCAGTCCCTCTATTTTTGGTCTATTTGTTTCATATAATGCGAGTTAGAACGAGGGTGTTTGAAAACACGTTATCAGGTATCTCCTCGAGTCCCCCTGACCCGTTTCCGTCATGTGTGATGAAAATATCCAACATATCACATGATAATTTATGTACCTCTAGTAATGGATTACTTGGGATTGGCTTTGTTACCAGCAATTTATGACTACCATTAATCATATGTGTATCCCGGAGTCACTAATCTCCTCAGAGTACCATACGGTAATGTTTTAACTATCACATGAAATTCTTTCGTAGGATGATAAGAGCAAGTTCCAGCCGCGCGGCATTATCTTGCCTTTTGCCAAGGTCGCATTAATAGGGGTTACATTGCGACTCATGCCAACAGTTCCCCATGGTACGGCCCCCAAATTTCGGATGTTACCAAAGTGCATATCCATCTCTTCTCGACCATAAGGCTGTAAGACAACTTCCAATTAAAATCAGGTCTCGCTTGGCTATGCATGTTTCGTCTCTTTGTGGATGCTCTTGTTCTGGCCCCCAAGCACGTCGCACCCCATGCCGTGGGTTTAATGATGTGAGTGAATACGATATTCAACCAACATACGTGCGGGTACTCATGTATACATGACAAGTCCAAAAAATAATATGAGAGCCAATTACTTCACGGGTAGTATTACCCGACAGGAATGGCCAGTGTGGCAATGACTTGAGCGCTATTAATGCTATAAGGATGATAAGAAGGTAGGATTCAAAGTTCCATCGTCACACAAAGTCATTTTCCCCAACTTGTTTACTTTCGGTAGTTATCGTCTTCCCTTTCTATCTACATACTCGCAGCCTAGTAGCAGCAAGGCAACTTCAGAGACTAAGAGGTAGGTAATTCGAATTCCTTTTCCAGATTCGCCCGCGCAATTCGACCATGCTTTCAGCAGCTACTCTATTTGAATGGACACTATTATGTGCAGGATGCATATTAGTGCCTTACGTACGTACTGTTATATTCGATTATGATTCTGGGTTCATGCTAACTACTAGGAGTATGCCCTTACATTCGCGTACAATGTCTTCCTACACCCCTTGAGAAACTATCCAGGCCCTCTTCTGGCTAAGATGACTGATGCATATGCGGGTTTCTACGCCATGATGATGCGTCTACACCTTACCGCATGGGAAGATCATCAAAAATATGGCAAGTTCAATTGTATTCTACTAGTCAGTTGAATATGTTTTCCAGGCTGACCAAAACGCAAATAGGTCGAGTTATGAGGCATGGCCCGAATAAGCTCGTTTTCAACTCAGCTCAGGCTCTTAAAGGTCAGTAGCTACGTACCTGTATACCTACCTACCTAGGTATCTATTAATAATATATTGCCGTCCATCTTTCGCTACCTCGGCTCTCCTCTTACTGACTATCCCTTTAAGATATCTATACGAACGATAGGTTGTCCAAATCTCATGTGTATCTAACATCACTCCAAGCCACGACTGGCGAGAATGTATGGAGTACAATCGACAAGCGCACTCACCGTATTAGGAAACGGATGATCGGTGCTGTACTCAATGATCGTTCTTTACAACAATTCGAGCCTACTATAATTAGAGAGGTTGATATATTTCTTGGTGTGGTTTTATCTTCATGCCAAGGTTCCCGACTTTTGAATATGACCGACAAATTCAATTATCTGATGCTAGATATTGTCGGCCACCTTGCTTTTGGACATGCTAATCGTACCCAAACCGTTCCAAAAAACCGGTTTCTATCAAAAGGGATCACGGTGGCCAACTATCATGTCAATGTCCTTTTGCAGTACCCATATTTAGCACGATCTTGGCTAGTATCTTTGATACGACATATCACAGCGCGCCAACAGGAAAGGAACTTAAATTCGTTACGAAAAATCATAACGAGGCGGAAGATGCAAGGGATAGACGCACATTACGATCTATACCATTTTGTCACTCGACAGATGGGAGCCGAGGACACCGAAAGCGTTGAGTTGAGTGAACTGTGGTCGGAAGCGGCCTTATTCTATGTAGCAGGTTAGTGTCTCAAGCTTTAAATACTTGGTCTCGTGGTTTCGTTCTGTGAACGCTGATTCTATTACTAAACGGCAGGAGTAGAAACAAGCTCAACGACTCTATGTGCATTGTTTTTCTATCTATCACGATATCGAGAATGCTATGACAGACTTGTCTCAGAGATCCGCTCTTCATTTACTAGCGGAGATGACATAAAAAGGGGTACCACGTTGGCTAACTGCCACTACCTTCGCGCCTGTCTCGATGAATGTATGCGTATTTCGCCACCAGCGCCGGGGATATTCTGGAGGGAGGCTTCTCATGACAACAGCAAAGCTAGTGGCCCTTTAGTTATCGACGGCCACGTTATCAATCCAGGGACGCAGGTTGGAGTCTGTACTTATGCTATCCATCACAACGAGGAATACTTTCCCGAGCCTTTTGTATTCAAGCCTGAGCGGTGGATGGCGGAAAGCTCAGCTCCTAAACCATCGGTACCGCTTGCTGCGTTTTCATTAGGAGCCAGATCGTGCCCAGGGCGGTCCCTTGCCTATCTACAAATAAGTCTCACGGTTGCTAAAACGCTATGGTATTTCGACTTTGAGCGGCCGTCGGGCAAGCTTGGTAATGTTGGTAGCAGAGGTGGTAAGGGTAAACCAGACGAGTTTCAACTGTACGATATACTCGCGTCAACCCATACAGGACCCATTTTATCCTTTAAACCGCGAGGTGAATATTGGAAGGATCTGAAAGCAATGTAAGGCTACGATACTGTAAATAAGTTGGCGATCAAGATGTCTACTGTTACTTTATAATATGCTTAACTGAATATATACAACTATCAAGTATAGTTCTTTTACTCATCGAAGAAGTAAAAGCATCGCCAAGAAAGCCAGAAGACAAGCCGCGTGAGTGGGTAAAATCAATCCAAACTTCACTGCTAGGCTCAGCTTCTTATTTGTCTGGGTTTAGATAAAAATTAAAGATTACCTAGGTACCTAGGTAGGTACCTTAGGTACCTCTTATGTTACTTCGTCTGCGAAAGACTGATCAAAGTTTCATAACATCGGATACGGTTCGGTTTGGGCGGCTGCTTGAAGGGTGCCAGACGCTTCCAATGATTTGTATCTCTAGGTACCTACCTACCTATTGGAGTCCGCATTTAATTCAGATCCCCTGCTGGTGGTTGCTTGAAGCGGAACCAACAAATCGATTTTATGCAGGCCGACTTTTACGACAGCAACACAGAATTAGAATCAACTGCCACACTTCGGGGTTGTTTCCAGCAAGCAACCAACGGGGTATCCGCAATACAGCCTGCTTAATCAATGGTAGGCTACCGGTGCGTATTCGCTTTGTGATCGGATATGGCGCGGCTACCTCTAGCGACGACACCGCGCCCATTCACGCCCCCAATACATTATCGGCAACGTGTTTAATGAAGTTGTCAGAAGCCTGGTTTTTAATTTTTTAATTTTCTTCCCCCATTTTGTAACTATTAGCCAGGTGCACATTGCGAAGATGTAGAATGACTGTAAGTACTATGTTACCTACCCCCTAACCCCCCATATTCATCATCTGTCAGTCAGTATGGGAGTGATCACCAAAAAATGAATCTCATCCTCCATAGGTATAGAGTCACTAGAACAAGAATATGTAGCTAAATGGATGCTGAAAGATACGGTATATGAGCTGTAGTTGTATATTGACTTAGTCTACCAACTGTATGAGTGAGGAGGGAGGTCCTTCTTATATATACATTCCATGCCAAGATACCATGTACTGTACCTGAAAGTAGTCCCTTGACCACTCGCTTCAACAATGGACTCCCTATTCTTCCGCAAAGCGAGAAGCTCTATTAGAGTGACTGTTTTGCTTTTTACTAGACACATATTTGGCTACGGTCCAGTTAAAGGACCGTTTTCATCATGCGCATCTTTTCTAAGATCTTCTTTGATTTGTCCATAGGCGCTTATGCGTTACTCCAAGGGTAATCGCGACTAGATGACCTCCTATCCACAGTGTCTATTGCGACTACAATCTCCGTCGTCATGAGTATACCATCACTGGGTAAAGCTAAATCACTCTGCTCGTTTCGGCTCGACAATGAGGGATATTTGACTAATGGCATCGTTGCGTCCCTCATTCCATGGTACATCCTGTCGGCATCCCATAGCTCACGTTCCACATGCACCTGCTGAGATGGCCATGTATGTGATTTGCTCGTCCGTCTTGAATTTCTTCTAGAAATACGGGTATAAAAGACAATTTTGTCGATGATACGACGAATTGAGTCGGTGTTGGAAAAGGCTCTCGGTATCCATGGTGCACAAAGGGCAAGGAAACAGCATGTATTCTCTGCCAATGTCCAAAGATATACGCCATTGATCGTGTATGTTTTATCATCAGAATCTAGAAACTTGATCATTGCGACCGCACGAGCAATTGACGATGCCAAAGCCCTGGGGTTGGTTCATATTAGGTATGTAAACTGCTTGACAGAAGAGGGGTTCAGACTTACAGTAAACCAACGAGAAATAAAAAAGAAACTCCCATCTTTTTCTTTGTGGCGACCTGTAAACGCCAAATAGTTCGCTGGGTTAGAACCATAACAGCCGCTATGTATATCGTGTTCATAAAACACCCTGGAATCTGAAATATTTTCTGGTTGATACAATAACCTTCGAGAATAGTTTTATCCCAAATCTTCCTATATGGAAAACATGACATGTTTTCAGCGGTAATGTAAGCAATTGTAGTTATAGAATTGAACGCCAACAGGATGTTGCCTATCCAGTAGAATGAGTTCCGGGTACCACGTGGGACGAAGATGCGATTCCATTCTAGGAGAATAGCGGCCTTCCAAAGACCCGACGTGGCAGCGCAAAAATTGAAACCGAGGTGGTGAATCTGGTTATCAAAAATGTCAACATCCTGCAATGCCTGTGTTTCGAGTTAAACCACAATATACGGGGGTTGCATACGTAAAAGATCGGAGCGAGGTCCCTCAATCGCACATCCCATTGATGAGGGAAAGCACCAATCATATGTAATACATAATACGAGCACCATAAACTTCCTATGAATGTTCCCTGATGGATGATCCCTAAGTTAGTTGCACATCCAATGCTCGAATACGTAGTTGATGAGAACTAATACCATTCCCGCCAATGCAAGAGCTGTTATAAGGGGTAAATACCGTCAGGTTCTCGTATGTACGTGGAAAAACAGGTAGATAACGCACCATCTTCGATTTCTAGTTTATTTCGATTAGACACCTTTGCGTACGCGCGGATAAGTGTAACGAGCGTTATTGAACATAGGCATATGGCGTTGGTAAATTGTGCTACGGCGTTAAGGTTGGCAGGGTGCTCGAAGTTCGGTTTATGGCCTGGGGGTGGTTGCAGAGCTGGTCCATTTAATATTTCTTCCGGGGTCATAGAGATTTGTGACATGCTGGAAGGCTATCTGGACGGACATGAATCGACAGTTTTGGGGTTGGACCATAGATATTAGAAGAACAAAAATAATAAGTGAGACATATTGTGAAAGCTGGCTTCAGATGTCTGAGATAAGTACCTAGCCAGCCATTGATGGCTTCCTCAATCTTCTGCTTCAGTACGAGTTGCTGATATTTCAAGGATCCAACAGTCTTACAGCAGTAACTTACTCAACTCTATATCCATTAGCCAATCGGCGCGTCCATGATTCGAGTATCTCGCAGGAACCCCAATACTAGTAACAACGGTTCATTATAATATTTATAGCCTACAGAGTGTTGGTAGCTATGTGACACCATATGTGTACCGTTAATCAAGTAAATAAGCTATTACGGCTTACTAGGTCATATATGAGCCCAGTCACTAGAGGACTCATCTAGGTTGGAGTCTTTTACGTCTGTAGAGGTAACCGTACGTGATTTCTATAGAGGTATATATAAAGTATCTAATACGCAAAAATACACCTTATTAGTACACATAACCGGACGAAAATAGGTAATATTAGAACGATACGTCTACGAAGAGCTCATGCCAGAAAATTGCCGAATACGCTACATGTCATCGTAAGGCTTAGCGGTGATCATAAAATGGCGATGCATTAATCCTGATTGCCCCCAATGATTGTTGGACGCTTGCAAGTGTGTAACCAACAGAGCGGCAAGTTGTAACATGCACTCATGTGTCTATCCAATCACGTCCCGGTAATACATTTTCGTACGATCGACGTTTCATTTGGTGACACATAGCTACTATCGTATGCATGTAATCGCATGCCGTTGGTTAGGGGCGGGAATGGGGGCCATATTAAGATGAGGCTCTGCACTAGTTTTACGGGACATCGAGAGGGCGTAACATTTATTTTTAATCTCACTCCCCTCCATTATAAACAATAATACTACGTCAATATATGAGGGCCCATACACGATACCTGTAGGCGGAGTTCCAACGCTACCAATCAGACATGCCATTTTTTGTGACGTTCCTACACTACATTGGATCTTTAAATGTACTACTTTTGAATACTACCGTACCAAGCTCTGCTGTATCGAGAAAACCGTTTAATAACTTTAATCCATATTTACACCGTTTATGCCACCTAAATATTTAAGATTAGAAGTGTTAGTAATTCTTAGCGTTTACCACTATTTTCATATCAAATATTATCAAACGTTTGAGTTTTAAAATATTTAACCTTCTAAGCATTCAATATAGTTTCAAACGTTTAAGCGTTTATACCTCTTCCTGTGTCGCTCTCGTCGTTCTCGTGGATCTAAAGACCTCGAAAGAGGCTTTGCAACAAGATCTAATAGATCCTCGACGTTGTACAGGCAATACAGGTATACAGGTATACAGGTCTATATAAAGGGTCCTCCCTCCCTTCCTATTCATCTTTTTTCTCTCTAAGTCATCAACCTCTCAGCCAACTCTTAAATAGTAAAATTACGGTCTAGTAACAGTTTTCTGGATCCACCAAAACTTAGTAGGTACTACCCATGTGTCAGTATACGTCTTTTGAGCCAAGCTGTTGGCACTCAAAAATAGTTTAATCACACCAACTCAGACGCGTAAGAGTGACTTTGCACCAACATGTCATTTCGTTTCCTTCTCGTATGTAATTACTGGAACCTAACTGCCTGAGGTAGTTGGTCCTATCTATTCAAAAATGTATTATGATTGTTTATCCGTTTTGCTACTAACAATCCCGAATCATTTTAAATATGCAGTGACCTGATAAATATTCCTACTTAATATTTCAACTTAACTCTGTATCTGTCCTACTTTCACCCATACTGCAGTCGTCCAGCTCACCATGAATAGTTCAGAAAATGCTTCTACCTCTGACAGGGAGGTCGTCGCGAAAGACAATTCTACTACCGACTGGCCATCGGACAAGGCGACGGGTGAGGCACAGGAGTTAGTAGTAGAAGAATGGCAACCATCCAAGCACGAGAAAGCTATTATCTACACTATCGCATTCCTTAACCTCATCGTCTCTCTAGATGCCACTATCATTGTCACCGCTTTGGCTGTAAGCATAAACTTTCCTACACCATATATCCTTCTACAATCTGCTGACGGGGGGTTTGGCTAGGCGATTATCGACGATATCGGTGGCACGACCACTCAAGCCTTCTGGATCGCCACATCATATCTCCTTGTAAATGCCGTTACTATGCCAATGATATGTTCAATCAGTGATGTCATTGGCCGACCCGTTTGCCTTACCTTCTCCATTGCCGCCTTTACAGTGGGAACAATAGTCTGCTGCACTGCACAGAGCATAGGGGTGCTTCTCGTGGGGCGCTGTATCCAGGGGATTGGTGGTGGAGGTATTCACTCCCTAGGGCTGGTCATCCATACCGATTTTGTGCCCTTGAGATGGCGACCGAAATGGTATAGTATCACGTAAGTTTCTCTGCGAGATCACCGAGACGTCTCAGACACTGAACCAAAAACAATATAGACTTGCGGCATGGGCTATTGGCCTCTCGGTAGGCCCAGTAACAGGTGGTGCTATTGCCCAAAGGACTACCTGGCGCTGGATATTTTATCTCATGTTTCCTATTTGCGGGTTTGGCCTCGTTGCCGTACCATATCTCCTCACGCTACGACCGAAAAAGGCCACTTTCAAGGAGAAAATGGAAAGGATTGACTGGCTGGGAGGATTTATCTTCACTTGCTCCGCAACAGCCTTTCTTATCGCAATTTCATGGGGCGGTACACAGGTATGCATATATAACTATCCCGCCCCGATACATAAGTGGCCGATGTGAGTTACCTAACACTATCATAGTTTGCATGGAGTAGCGCGGCTACACTGGTTCCTCTTATCCTAGGCGTTCTAGGCTTAATCGGCACGGCGTTCTATGTAGGGTATATTGCGAAATATCCTTTCATTCCAAATGCTTTATTTGGTGATGTGAGCTCTATCACCGCGTATATTGGTGCTTGTCTTCAAGGAATTTTGGTATGCCTCTTCACATCTTGAACCCTATACATTGGATTATGACGGCTAACAGATATGGCCTCTCCAGTTATATGGGACATTATACTAGTAAGCAAAAGCCGCCACGAATCCGTTGAGAGCACTCCTGACTTTAGGAATAGTTGCCCCTTTTACTTCATGTCTGTGAAGGAATATAGCCCAATTGATGCAGGCGGTGAGTAACATATGGATCAATTATTTATCAGCACGTCACATCGAAAACAGTGTGCTAATTCGTGATGCTACAGTGGCTACACTTCCAAATCTTCTCCTGTTCGCTGTATCCGGAATTATAACTGGCCGCCTTGTAACCCGGTTTAACAATTTCCGTTGGGCTATTTGGTTTGGCTGGTTCTTCAGCTGCGTGGCGACAGCCATGTATACGGCATGGAGGGTCAACGACAGCAAGCCAGTCTGGGTTATCAGCTATATGATAGGCGGCATGTCACATGGAGCTATACTTAATGCGCAAAACTTCGCTTCGCAAGCCTTATGCAAACCCGGAGACGAAGGTGCCGCGGCGGCGATGTACATCTTCGCAAGGCAATTCGGCATGGCCCTCGGCGTAGGAATAGGAGCCACGACGTTCCAGAATGTGATGAAGTTGAAGCTCAGGTGGGAGGGGCTACCAACTTCAATCGCTGACTATGCTGAGGCTTATATCCCTACCTTGCACTCTCTCCCTCCAGGCCCTGTTCGGGACGCAACCTACGACGCATACAAGTTTGGTTTTCAAATCGTAGTTGCCACTTGGCTTGGGATTTCAGTTCTCGTCCTCTTCCTCACGCTAGTGTTTATTAAACACGCTGATATGAACAGGAAGCTTGATACCGATCACCACATCGACAGCACGCGAATGTTTAGGCATTGGGAGAAGAAGCAGTCTTCTCCAAACAGTAATGAGGAGTAAGACTTGGATATGTCTCCGTCAAGCATGGTAGTTTGGGCTTATTTGGATAGTCGCTCTTAAATGTACCTACCGAACTGAGCTAGTCTTTCGTATCTAGGTAGGTAGGAGGTATTCATCGTTATCGATGGTGTAATTTACTGTTTCCTTCTGTCTTAGAATGCAGGATTCTATTATATGTAAAGAGTACTTTTCTATGTTTCCATTGCTATATCTTTCTCTAGAAGACTACTTTATTGCTATGTACCAGACTTGGTAGTAGATATTATGTTATTGCTGGTTGACTCCTTTCCAACTTGTGGATAGTGTTAATACTTTGGATGCTTACGGCTAGACACCAAAATAGGGAAGCACGTATTCAACCAATTGATTCAATTAATCAACAACATAATGGTTAGTCCAAGTGAACTAGTAAAGTTCAAACGGGGCTATAAATAGCATGAGGAATCCGTGATCTTGGTGCAACACGATTGCGATTTTAGGTCACCACCTCCGAAGTTCGGCATTTGTCGGCTATACTACCTCATTACACTACGAAATACATCACACATTTATACATACTACCAAGCCACCGCTTCATACTACAGCAAAGATATAACCGACAATCTTTTTCACCATGTCGTCGCCTCCTACCGTTCTCTTAATCGGGAACCTAGCTCACACAAACGAAGAATGGAAGTCCCTCGGTAGCAAATACACACTCCTTGAGTTCCGCACGGGAACGCGAGAGCAATTTCTTGAAAACTGCCGAAATGGAACTTATGCCGCGGTCCGCGGATGCTATCGGTCTAACGTCTCTACCGCAATAACGGGGCCATTCGACCGTGAGCTCATTGCGGCGCTACCAGAGTCCTGGAAGTTCATCGCGCACAACGGCGCGGGCTACGATAATATTGATGTGGCGGCGTGCAGTGAGCGCAAGATCGCTGTCTCATCGACCCCCGTGGCTGTCGACGATGCTACCGCTGACGTCGGCATATTCCTTATGCTGGGTGCTTTGCGATATGCGCACGAGCCGCTAATTGCGCTACGCCAGGGCCGCTGGAAGGGGAGGGTGCAGCTGGGCCACGACCCTCGCGGCAAGTCCCTTGGAATCTTAGGAATGGGTGGCATTGGGCGGGCAATGGCAGACCGTGCGCGCAGTTTCGGGATGAATATCATTTATCACAACCGACGACAGCTGGACCCGTCTCTGGAGAAAGGAGCGAAATACGTGTCGTTTGAGGAGTTACTGGCTCAGTCGGATGTACTATCCCTTAATCTAGCTCTGAACGAAAGCACCCGACACATAATCTCGGCGCCGGAACTAGCCAAGACGAAAAAGGGTGTGGTAATCGTGAATACGGCGCGTGGAGCGCTGATCAATGAGGCCGACCTGGTGGCTGCGCTAGAGTCGGAACACGTCTCGGCAGTAGGTCTCGATGTATTTGAGAATGAACCGGAGATCCATCCTGGATTGGTGAAGAATGACCGAGCATTTTTGCTCCCTCATCTTGGGACGACTACCGTCGAGACTCAGCGAGAAATGGAACTTCTTGTGTTGAGAAATTTGCAAGCGGTTGTTGATGAAGGGAAGATACTGACTTTGGTAGGGGAACAAAAGGGGATGGATTGGGTGCCTAAGGAGGCAGATTTATGATTAACTTGGACTATTGAATGCTTTGCTATGTTGATGCAGTATAAGGTACCTAACCTAGGTTAGAATGCTATATGCTTTAAGATAAATATAGACCATTTTTGAACCCTGCGAACTTTAATTAATTAGACTTTCGGATCAATTTATGCCTTTTCAATTGTTGCATAGTTCAATTACTTATGTAATCCCAGATGCAAGTGATGAGGGCGAGGGCATATTTAAGTTTTCCACCAGATAAAAGCGGAGTCGTAAGATTTGTACCTTACCAACATCCTCTTTCCATCGAATCGACAATCCCGACCTACCTTAGATTCATTACCTACCTGACCAAGTTCTATTTCCTTCCGAAGATAGCGATGGTATCATTCTTCTCAAAGGCGCTGGCAACATCCAATGCGCTCCTCCCCCTGGCATCCTCCTTCAATGGATCTAGCCCTTTAGCCATGAAAGCCTCAAACATTGCTTTATCATGTCCTTCTCCCGTATAGTATGTCTTTTCTCTCCTAGCAATCACATGTAACGCTGTCTCGCCCTCATTGTTTACCGCGAAGATATCAACACCGCTACCGGGCGAGAAAAGCTTATCGTAGTGGAGAAGATGGCATTCTCCAGGATGCTCCATGCGACGGTCTCTATCCTTGGCTAATAGATACATAAAAAGGGGAGTGTTACCAGCGTTATCAACTACGTTGACAGACCCGCCTGCCGCTATGAACTTTTGCCAGAGAGCTAAGCATTGATCAAAATAGTCTTCGGGCAGCTCTATGTCTATGCGTCCGGAGTTGGGTGGTTTGCGACGCGTTTTTAGACATTGAGAAGCTATATTATGAAGTACTGTAAGACCGTTGGGATCAGGTTGAAGGATGTTGGCGCCTTTCGAGAGCAGCAAGTCGCACACCTTAGGTCGTAGGATACGCAAAGCATAGTGAAACGGCAAAAACCCATGGTCGTCTTTCAGAAGTAAGGTAGGAGCAACTTCTTCACGATTGATGAATTGAATAAGGACGTCATCAGGAATTCCTGGGTTCTGTAAGAGATGATGCAGCGCCGTCTTTCCTTCGCTATCCGCCAGCGTCGCATCAGCCCCGCGATCCAAAATTCGCAGTGGGGGCCCCAATGCTTTCGGATCCCAATGAAGATGCGAATATCCAGGCAGAACTTCACGCCAGTCGCACGAAGCTATCAAGACTGTGCGGCCACGCTGATCACGGTTGTTGAAGTCAATCCGAGACACACATGGTTCTTGTAGAAGCGTATCCAATACCTCATACACCGGGAATTCGAAGAGAAAATGAACCATAGTTTCCTTCTCGTTCAACGGCAAATATAAATTAGCACCCCGCTTTACGAGAGCCCGGAGGAGCGGTACTGTGTTTTTGACGCTTGTGTTCATCTTCTCAGCAAAAGCTGCACACAGCAGCGCATATACTTTTCGAGGTTCTTTTAGCTGGTAATTCACCATCCGGCTAGGGTGTTTTTCGTCGAGCGAATCCACGCTGAGTCCATGGTCTAGTAGTGTCTCTAGCGCTGAGAGATTCTGCTCGAAGATGCTAAGGAATAAGGGGCTTCGATCTCCGATAGCAGGATCCGCACCTCTGCGAAGCAACTCTTTCGTAATACCCGGAGCAGTAGAGGCCTTGTGGAGAGGTGAAAGCCCCGCCTTGTCGAGTATATTTGGATTAGCCCCGTAATCCAAAAGAATCCGTACCATATCAAGTTTCCAAAAACCTTGGGTATAATCATTTTTATCATTATTGCCGCCGGCGGCGATGTGCAAAGCAGATCTCCCTTCCTCGTCTAGGGCGTTTACATCAGCTCCATGAGAAAGAAGATATTTCATACCCTCCAATTGCCAATTATGATCTGCCGACGCAAGTGAATGAAGCGCGGTCCCAGTGGGAATTATCTCTCTGTCATGCGTACGGTCCTGGTACCGGTCGGTACCAATGCGTGCACCTTGCGCATTGACATCAACATATAGCTTTCCTACTAGGAGACGAAGCGTCAACATATTCGATTTAGACTGCTGACATGCTAATTGTAAGGCGGTTCTGGCTTGGGAATCATAGTAGGATCCCTTAACTTTTCGTTCTATCTCGATCTTCTCTCGAAGGGACGTATAAGAACTATAATGCAATATTACTCGAGATACCCGTTCAGCAACTTGCGTATGGCCGGGTTTCATAAGTTCCTCCAGGAGCTGGTAGTAAGATGAGTCAAGCGGGTTGGTTTCAAAGCCGACATTAATTAACTGTGCAGCATCATCGTCCGTTAAAAGGTCCAAGTATGTGGAAGGGGATTTCATAACTTCGTCAAGGGCGGTTTTGTTTTCATTCAGATTAGTCAGAGCAGATCTTGGTCGTATTAACTCCATATGGGCTCTCATCTTTTGTCGAATCTGTTCTGATCGCTTCGCAGTGTCCTTATTGTCATCCAAACCTTTCGTTGCCTTTTCGAAAAGTGCCTCATCCTTGGCAAATACCTCGACAAATCCGGCACAGCCAGCTAAAAGGGCAGCATCTAATGCTGTCAATTTATTTTTATCGACCGCGGCAACATCGGAGTTGGCATCCAGAAGCATTTTCACGATCGCCCCAATAGTACGAGAGCCATTATTGGTTTTTATCCCCTGCCTATCCCGATACCAAGGCCAGGTTTGGGGTTTGGAAGAATGTGGCCGAAAGGCATCCCCGGTCGGGCCGCGTAGCCATTCGTACTGCTGGTCATATGCAACCCATATGTTTTGCTCCAGTGTGGACTGAGCACAGGCGTGAAGAGGAGTAAACCCATTTAAGTCTACTGCCTGGATATCGGCGCCGTACATTAGTAGAAAAGCCACGGACTCTGGTTCTCCTGAGCTACATGCGTAATGAAGCGGCGTCCTACCGAAGTTATCCCTCTGATTTAAGTCGATGACCCCTCGTCGGAGTATCTGACAGGCAATACTAGGCATCCGGGCCCGACAGGAGATGTGAAGGGCATTTTGCCCATCGTGCGTTAAAAAGGCCAAGTCAGCTCCGGCATCGATCAGCAAGCTCAAATTCTTTTCGCACCTCATAGACGCCAAATGTAAGGCGGTTAAACCGTCATTATTTCGTATTTCGAAATCAATATGACTTTTATCCTTGATTACGTCGACGAAATGGATGCGCTCCTTGCTACGGATAGTACTACCGTAGGACATTTTGGTCTGGTATACGTGCAAAGCTGTAAACCCCTTGTTGTTCACGGAATTTACGGGGATCCCAAGACTAATAATCCATCGTAAAAAGTCGGCTACCTTTTCATCGCCATTATACCATGAAGCAATATGATGGAGGAGAGTATCTCCTGTATGGTTGGTCCTGAGCGGATCTACTCCGTCGGTAGCAATACGTTTTTCCAGCCTATCACGTCGGCACGAAGTGTCGCAGCAAAGAATATGGAGGGAATTGTTACCAAAATTGTCGACTACGTCAGCTTTCGCGCCGTGGTCTCGGAGTATTCGTAGCTTGTCCTCGGAGGAAAGGCATGAGAGATAAAGAGTTCGGCCATTTGTTGCATTTCTGGAGTTGATATCAATTCCTTCTGCGAGTAACAACTCAAGGTATTTAGTGAACCTTTCGACGCCGGACTGAGAGGATAACCCGAACCAACATTGCTTTTTGGCAGTGTCGTCCTTGCATCTTGCGAGTAGTATTTGGAACACCTCGAGTCCGGCAAACATCGCTTTATATACGGGCGTGAATCCATAAGCGTCCTTAACATTTGGATCAGCGCCGTTCTCGAGCAGAAGTTTAACAATAGATTCTGTGCCCTCAGTCCCTTTTACCATTCCTGATGGGTCAAGTGCACAGTGTAGAACTGTTTCACCGAAACGCCCTTTTTTATTTGGATCACCCCCGCTCTCTAGAAGAAGTCGTATGGCCTTAAGGTCACGATTTTGGCGCAGAACCAAATTCATGGGAGTATCTCCATGAACATGAATCTTATTCAGGTCTGCTCCTGCTTCCAGCAAGGCTTTCAGAGCAGGTACGCGAGGTGATGCTCGACTGCTTCCTAACGGGGCACCAGCAGCAAGGAGTAGAGCGGTATTATTCTCGCTGTCAACCTGCTCAAGATCGGCACCTGCCTTTATCAACATTCTTAAGATAGCCCGGCACGACGAATCATTGTCGTCGCGCCACGACTTCACTAAGCAGTGTATTGGGGCATCTATGGTGCCTTGACCCCTAGGACCACCGTTACGAGTACGTCGAGGGGCCCATTTTGATGTTTGAGTTACGTCTGCTCCCCGGCTTATGAGGGCTTCGACACATTTTACGTTGGCTGTACTGCACGCGAAGTATAGAGCAGTCGCCCCACGATACGTCGCGTTTGCCGAGACATCCGTGGTTTCCAGTATAGCCAAGACAGCCTCCGTTCGACTAAATCGACAGCATTCGCATAGGAGTCGCTCTAACTTTTCCGCCTTGCAAAAAGGGATCATCGTTATAATAGTCTCTGTGTATCCGTCTTGGCAGGCGTAGAGGATTGCGCACTCTCCCTTTGTGATCTTCTCTCCTCCCAGTAGGTATCCTGCATGATTTTCCTTTGTTTTAATCGTGTCAGGTTCCACGCCAGCTTCGAGTAGTACTTTCACTACCGAGGCATGTTTTACGGCAAGATGGATCGGCTTCAAACCACGTCCATCTTCTGCATTTATCTCACTCCCATGCTGGATCAGCAATGACACAAGCTTTGTGTGGCCATTGGCAGCTGCCCAATGCAACGGGATACGTTCTTGAGCATCCACTGCTGATACTTGTAGGCCTTCTTCTATTAACTTGAGGGCAAGATATGATAAACCCGAGAAAGCGGCGATGTGAAGTCCCGTCGGCAGGCCTTCCGTGTCTTCTTTTCTCTTTGACGTTGACCCCCATTGAAGAACGAGCCACCTTCTGAAAGCTATATCATTTGGCCTGAAAAAGCCTAAGACGGCGCTGGACAGCTCCTCATCTTCCACATCGCCGTAAAGACCGGCATGATATGACCAGTTTTCCACAGCATAGCTCAAAAATGGATGGCGCAAGCGGGCCTCCCTATAACTAAAGGGGTCCTTTTCCTCTTTCAGGCCTAGATGGAAACGTTTATAGCGTTCTTTTCTTGGATCAATCTGATGACAAGGCTTCTGATAGGTGACTGATGACTCCGCAGCCATATTGTCTGATTGCTCGCCTTCAAGAAGCAAAGAGCCGGATTGGAGGTATCGAAGACAGTTCATAGCCATATGCTTATGCGCCTTTGATTCAATTACGGGGAATGCAGTTGCCGCATCAACCTTCTGCAGGTTGCGCGTTTCGCCACGCAAGAATTCCGTGAATGAATGGTGAATTACTTGTAGCGTTTCGTCTTCAAGAATTTCTATCAGAGGCGCGCAGCAAGTAGCGACTAGAACCTTGAAGCCTGAAGGTGCATCAACATCCGGACAAACGGATTTCATTAAACTTGCCAATTCGTTCAATCGCAAAGGGCGTGAGGAATGTGTTACCGCCTCAAGCACAAATACCTGAGTGTCTATACTTACTCCGTTCTCTTGGCGCTGCTTCGCTAGCAGGCTTATGTATGTCTGTTCCAACCCCATGGGTAGAGTTCTTTCTAGAGTAGATATATCTACCGGGCCACCTGCGAGTAAGGAAGCTTCCACTTGGTCCATCGTAAGCTTTGCAACCAGGAATAAGCCTTGAGACATTTTTGCTACCATATCGATGACCTGCTGCTTGATCCCTTGTGTATTGTCGGTTTTAGGGAGCTGGCCAAAACGATGGTGTAGATACGCCGCTATATCGGCATCCACAAGACGCTGTTGGAGGCTAATGTGAACGATGGACGAGTCTCTTAAGGCACTTTGCAGATACTGCTTAGGCCTACTGGTGATAAGCAGTTTCAAAGAGTGAGGACGATAGGTAGCTAAGCTATTAAGCCTATCGAGAAGCGGCCTGTTTCCAGGAGTCGTCTCGTCCATCTCGTCCAGAGCATCAGCAACACAGAAACATTTCGGGACAGATGATACTCCATCAAGAAAAAGCTGAAAGAGTTCGCTGTCCAAAGTCTCTACTAAGCTCGTCTTTAGGCGTGACTGGAGAGAAAACTGTAGCTTAGGAGAGTAGGGCAGAAGCTGGGCAAGCCAATCTTGAATGAGGGCACGCGGAGAGAAATTGGCTGCAACGATGTTCCGGAAAAACATGAAGAGAACAGGACAGTCCTCAGATGTGCGCAAATGATTAATAATTGAAGCCGCTATGACGCTTTTCCCTGCGCCAGGGACTCCTTTTATCCAAAGGCTACCATGCTCTGAAGAGTCATACCATTTCTTATATTCATCAGTCTCGCAAATCCAAAGCCCGGTCCCGGGAGCTTGGGATGAGAGATGACGGCGGAATTCGCCAGATTCGGCCGAGTAGTCGGTGGGCTTAAGCCAGTTGCGTATTTCTTCCAATTCTTCGGGGCTCAACGCGATTTCTGAATGATCGACGATATCATACTCGTCATGATCATCTATGATGCTAGATGGACCTGCCATGTCGAAGAACAATTTATATTTGATATTTTTTATAGTGTAAATATGTTGAAAAGGCGACTCATGCTCATCCATGTCCTTTTATATACGTCTTCTGCGGCACAGCCACATAAGATGTTAGTATAGCAGGCAACAATGGCTCATCCATAGCGGGACCTGATCCGGTCGTCCAGCTATATTATTGGCCAAATCTTCTTCCGGGACATAGGTATATTCGAAACCAATGTCGAAGGGCCACGGAGATATCAAAAGCCCAAGTATGCTTTACTCTGCAATTTTTTATCTCATACCTATGTACAGTATAGATCATCTTTACAAGGAATAACGGATGTCAGATGACACTATGGAATGGCTTGTTCGAATTCGGTTCGGCTCAACGTAAATCCAACCCCTCTTCCCTCTTCCCTCTTCCCTCTTCCCTCTTCCCTCTTCCCTCTTCCCTCTTCCCTACATCACCAAGAGTGGATAAACCCCGAATACAAGTTAGATTGACACCCCAATATCGCTATTGATAGTCCTCGCTCTAGAATTGCTTTATAATGATGCGGGATTTCAGAGGCACCGTATCTAGACTATATACAAATCTAGTATTTGGTCATATAATACAAAAAGGACGCGAATTTAAGGGTTCTCAAACGACGAATTCAGAATTATCGCAAACCAAGACAAGGTTGCAGTAACTAACTTAGGCAACTATCAACTATAGATAGCCTTCGACACTTTCTTTAAAACACACAGAGGTCTTCTTAAACCCGTTTATGGTCAACTATGCCAGACCCCTATCTGCGGTATGCCAGTCCAATCATGCCCCTGAGTGCTTATCAGTTCCCCTCATCACTGGTCACCTACATGTAGCATACCACACTACGGCCAACCCCTATCAATATTATAGCCGTCAAAGTATTTACTACCGAGTGTTATGCCTACGACCTATCCTTTCCCTAAGCACTTTCTTACTCGTAGTTTCTTAGAAACACAGTAACACATACAATGTCTCTTATTCCTCGTATACTCATTGCGAATCGCGGTGAAATCGCCGTACGATGTATCCAAGCATGCAAAAAGCTATCATTTCCATGCATCTCTATATTTACCACAGCAGATGCTAGTTCCCTTCATGTGCGTCTTGCCGATTCAAGCGTCTTGCTCAAAGAAGAAGGGCCTCGAGCATACACAGACATGTAAACTTGGCTTATACCATGCTCATACCAACGTTACTAATAAAACAATGACAGCGACGCAATCCTTGAAATATGTCAGAAGCAGGACATTAATGCCGTTTTTGTTGGCTATGGGTTCCTAAGCGAAAATGCGGAATTTGCTCGTCGGGTTCACGACGCAGGCATGATCTTCATAGGCCCCGACAGCGAAGCAATCTATCAAATGGGCTTGAAACATCTAGCGAGAGACCTGGTCACCGCCGCAGGTATCCCTGTTATTCAGGGCTCCGGCTTGCTGAGAAGCGCAGCGGAGACGCTCGAAATAGCACAGAGGATAGGCTTCCCGGTTAGCCCCTATTCTCCTATATGATTTGATTCTGGTACCATGCATACGGGTTCGATGATAAGATACTATGAGCTGATACATTTATTGACTTCGAGCTTGTCTAATTTAGGTCATAGTAAAAGCTTCTGGTGGCGGCGGCGGTATGGGCCAATATATATGCGAGAGCGAAATCGACGTTCCGAAAGCATTTGCCAGCGTGGAGAGCCGCTCAAAAGAACTTTTCGGTGATACGGGAGTCTTTTTAGAGAAATACTATGGCTCGAGCCACCACATCGAGATTCAAGTATGTTTAGCGGATTGATTCAATATTTAGCCAGTAACCATCCTAACTATCATACTCAAGGTCTTTGGAAACGGGACAGGCGAAGTAGTAGATTTTGGCGAACGAGAGTGTAGTATTCAAAGGCGCCGCCAGAAGGTAGGTTTGTTCATCGACATCCGTCTACGTATCACATCCTGATCACCGATATCTTCATATTAGGTGATAGAAGAGTCTCCTAGCCCGTATCTATTTGGCCGGCCAGAGTTAAGGAGTCGCCTTATCTCCTCCGCGTTGACCCTCGCAAGATCTATCAACTACTCTTCAGCTGGAACTGTAGAGTTTCTCGTCGACGACGAAACGGGTGACTTCTTCTTTTTAGAGATGAATACCCGTTTGCAAGTTGAGCACGGCGTCACGGAACTTTGCTACGGTGTCGATCTTGTCACTTTGATGCTACAGCAGGCCAAGCATCAACTGTCAAAAGAACCCGGAATTCCATCTGACGAGCTTTTGAGGATACGCGCAGAGGCGGCCCCGAAAGGATCCGCAATCGAAACTCGGGTATGCTGTGAGAACCCAGCTGATTCTTTTCTACCTAGCTCTGGTTTTGTCCAGTCAGTTGCTTGGCCTAATCAACACGCTCGGGTGGATACGTGGATTCAGATTGGCACATTCGTTAGCCCCTATTTCGGTAAGTGAAGCTCAAGTTCCGTTCAAACCTCATCTGACGCGGAGTCAGACTCGCTGTTGGCCAAGGTGATCGTACATGGTAGTACAAGGGAAGAATCAATTGCGACTATGCGAAAAGCCTTGGATATGTCAGAAATCGGCGGGCTTGTGACGAACTTAACAATGCTAAAGTCAATAATTAGTTCGAAAGGTGAGTAGAGTTATAACATTGCGTCTATTTAAGCCTATCCTCAGCTAACTTATCCAAGAGTTCTCTAAAGGAAGGACCCTTACAACATTCCTAGATACACAATTCACTTTCCATCCTACGGGCATCCAAATCGACGATCCAGGTGTTTTCACCACCGTCCAACAGGCTTGTAACAGGACACGCAAAGGCTACGGAATACCAACGAGTGGACCAATGGATGACTTAGCTGCGACTAGTACGTTAGATTGATCAATTAATGATAACTAACCCAATGCTATGGCAAAATCGTCACTGATGTTGCTACAGTTGCCAATTTGCTCGTCGGAAACCCGGAGGATATAGAATGTCTCGAAGTCACCGCCCGTGGACCCAAGCTCAAATTCTTTAGCTTGTGTGTGATAGCTATTACTGGCTCACCGTTTTCCGTGGAGGTGAACGGAAACGCTAAGCAGATGTGGTCCAGGATCATTATGAATCCGGGCGAAGTACTCAAGATAGGAGCATCCGCCAGTCCGGGAGGCCGATGCTACATTGGGATCCGAGGGGGGTTTCCAGGGGTGTAAGTAATTCTAGAACGTTATGTTAACTTTGTTAACCCATGTTAGGCCTAGATGGCTTGGATCTAAGTCCACCACGCCGAACCTCGTTCTTGGAGGTATACAAGTGAGTATGTTCATAATCAAAGGAACTCACGTGATTACTAAAATCGATGGAAGGGCCGACAACTACGACGCGGTGACCACATAGAAATAACCCATATCGAAAAGTCTGATCTACCTGATGCGTATCAACTCCCACCGGGCCTGATTCCTCCTATTACTGTGACAGATATCTACGTGATGCACGGTCCACACGATTCCGACGACTACATCACAGAAGCCGGCAGACAGATTCTCTACTCGACTGAGTGGATTGTGGACCATAATTGCAACCGAACGGGGATACGTTTAATTGGCCCACAGATCGAATGGGCCCGAGAAAATGGAGGGGATGGCGGTAGTCATCCAAGCAATATTATCGACTATCACTATCCATCGCCAGGGGGGGTCAACTGGACAGGCGATACCGGCGTGATTTTCCCGCAAGATTCTCCTGGGCTAGGCGGCTTTCTTTCTTCCTCTACGGTTGTCTCTGCGGACTTATGGAAACTGGGAAGACTTAAACCCGGAGACAAGACGAGGTTGACGCCCGTATCCTACAGTTCCGCTCGGAAGCTGGCGAGCCAGAAGGCGAGTTTCATCGGTACAGTCGCAAAGCATATATCTAGCGGTATTCTAGAACACGAGAACGCGCTGTCTCTTTTAGAGATAAAGGAAAAGCATCTAAAGCCAGATGCGGTATTGCAAGTGATTTCGAGTAGCCATGGAGGACCAAGACTAACGTTACGCCAAGTAAGTTCTTCGACACGATAGAATGGCCGGATTTTGCTAATTCCCACAATTATATTTAGGGTGGCGATCGCTTTATCATCGTCAACGTAGACATCTCTCAAAAGGCAGGCCTCGAGACCTCGGTGGCAGCAAATAATCTGGCCAGAGCCATCGAGAGCCGCAATATCCCAGGGACTTTTATACACATCAGCATTAATTGTCAGTATACCTTTCGGGTGATAACTAATACTTGATAACATGACTGAATTCTTTAAATAGCCATCACGGTCGAGTACGAACCGGGAACGATTGCCCAGTCAGATGTAGTACTCTTAATCAAGGAAGCCCATCAACAAAGCAGCGATATTCAGAGACCTTTGGCAGCGCGTCGCTTTCGCCTCCCAATTGTTTTCGATCATCCTTCGGTCCGTGAAGCAGAGAGCCGGTATACTACCTTGCAACGCAATAAAGCTGTATATGTCCCAGATAACGTCTCTTATGTGCAGCAGAACAACGGGCTTGCCTCCCGTAACGATGTTTTCGATATCCTTCTCAAGACGCGATTTCTCGTCGTCACTGTCGGCTTTATGTCCGGATTGCCACTATTATGGCCTCTGGATCCTATGGCGCGCCTAACATCTCAGAAGTATAACCCAACGCGCATTTCTACACCCCCTGGGACAGTCGGTCTTGGGGGTGGTATGTTCTGCATATATCCGGCTGACCAGCCTGGTGGTTATATGATGCTAGCCAAGTCGATCCCAGTATGGGACACATACGCCTTACGACCAGGCTTTAGGGAGGGCAAGCCGTGGCTATGCGAGCCATTTGACCTCGTTGACTTTTACCGGGTAAATCTTGACGAGTACGAGGAAATTTCAAGGCAGTTTGAGGCCGGTGTATACAAGATACAGGTTGAAGAAACCGTATTTGATTTCCAAGCCGAACTTGCCAAGGATCATGAGAAACGCAATTTACCAGAGACGCTTGAATTTCAGGCCAAGCAGGTAGCAGCAGAACGAAGTATGCGTGTCCGCGAAGAAAAGCTACTATCAGAGTGGCAGCTGGACCAAGAACGGAGTCATGCCTACGCCCAGGAGATAACTGACGTAGGGTCAGGAGTAGTGGTTGTCCCGTCGCCTCAGGTAGGCAAGGTCTGGAAGATTGAAGTTAATCGCGGTGACATAATAGAGCAAGAGAAAGTAATTGTTATCCTCGAAGCTATGAAAATGGAGATTCCCGTCGTGGCAGAGGAATCCCATCGCGGCCTCGTAGTTAGGGAAGTTCTGATCCAAGAAGGGGCGTTGGTATCATCCGGCACGTCGCTCGTTCTTCTTCAGAAGCCTGATTAAGATGGACTACTCTGCAGTTACGAGTCGGAAATATCTACGTAGGGGATAAATCATTCGCTTATACAACTAAGGAAACGTGCGGCGGTTAAGGGATAATTGGATTCTCTAACGTGTTAACAAGTCCGATTATTCCGCGTGGAGAGTCCCTGGATATCAGTAATTTCAACAATTAAGTTTTTATCCTCTAATACCATACGAGGGCTCTTAGCTACTCTAATTCACCTTATTTACCCCTATGACTAAGGCCCGAAACATCTGATATGGCCTCCCAGCAGGTAATTACTAGGGATTCAAGTAATAAATGAACCGCGTCTTTCAGCAATGGTACCTCCTAAGATACCGGGGGGTTTCGTCACGGTGACATTGAAAAAGCTCTGTCTAATCCGTGGACACCTCACATACACCTCGAGCCATCGCGGTCGGGGTAACTGGAATTAATTGGCGGGTGTCTACAACGATCTGGTCTCGTGTAGGGATATAGATAACAATCTACCGCAGAGACGGAGCCCTCCGGTTGATAAACGATGCGAGTTACGTATCTGCGGGGTGAATTCGGGGATCATCAATCTTCAACGGCTATACAAAGCACCATCTTAGTATAATCAAGGTCATAGCTGCTAAAGTCCAAACAAAATATATATCATAGTCTATAATTCATAGGTCTAGTCCAGGAACATCATGTCTGAAGATAAAGCCCAGTCGCGATGGATAGAGATCAACTGCGACTTAGGGGAAAGCTTTGGAAGATGGAAACTAGTAAGGCCTCCCTCCGCCGTTTATCGTTTTCCCTCGCTTATGCATAAATGGTCGATAGGGGCCTGACGAGGACTTGATGCGCTATATCGATGTGGCAAATATCGCCTGCGGGTTAGTTCTCTTCTACTCTATCCGTATTCCATCTAACCCCGAAGAGTTTCCACGCCGGTGACGCTTCTACTATGGTGCGCACAGTTCGCCTCGCAAAGCAACGTGGCGTGCGAGTTGGTGCTCATCCGGGAATGCCAGATCTCCTTGGTTTTGGTCGTCGCCGCATGGAGATATCTCCTGACGACATGTACGCTTTGGTCTTATACCAAGTCGGAGCGCTAGCAGCTATTCTCACCGCAGAGGACGCGCCGCTGAACCACGTCAAACCACACGGCGAGCTCTACTTCTACATCCAGCGAGACGCTGGCATTCGAGATGCCGTTCTCCGCGCCGTCAAAACTTTCAAGGTCCCGATTTATGGACTTCCAAGTAAACAGATGGTCGAGGACTGCCAGAGACTTGGAGTAGAGCTTATCCCCGAGTTCTATGTGGACATCGACTACGATGACCAAGGCGGACTGGTACCAGTAGCAGAGTCCGCCCCTGTTACTCCCGAACTCATTGCCGAACGCATCCGCATCTTCACGAGTAAAGGCCAAGCCATTTCCAAGAACAGGAATGCGGTGGATATACCCGTCGATAGGCAAGGGTTTAGTATATGCATTCACTCGGATCTGCCAGGTGCATTGGACAATGTTACCGCTGCAAGAGCAGCTGTTGAAGAGCTGATAGTATCATAGGCAATCGCGCGTACGAGGATCCTGTTTGGTTCTGTGACGGTTTGTTCTATTTACATGGGGATATTGCTGGTAGGTCAGTCGGGGTTGATGGCGACAACGACATAACGATATTAGTCTATGTGAAATTAGCTTTATCAAGAAAAAACAAACACTCGACTGTCTACTAAATTAGATAGTCTTTCTCCCAATGTTGCCTCACCGAGTTCATGTATCCAACAATCTCCTTTTTTTTCTCTTGGCTCCTAAGTATGTAGAGTAGCGTCCCATGAAGAACGCCTAGATCAAAATATATCTCGTCTCGCAACGGTTGGAATCGGTAAAGCCATCGTCTATACGGCCTAGATCTAGCTAGAATGGCCGAAATTATGGACCCGGAGCCGTCGATACCCTGCAGCAGGCCGGGGTTGTGGACCGAGCCAAGATTTCGCCATCGGACCAAATATTGTGTAATGTCACAAGAAAAATGAAGACTTCCAACGTCGACGTGCGGTACTATACCATCGGTATTATATAAAGATCATATTCGTCGCCTCTCATGTAAGCTGGCAAGTTGGATTAAGGCCTCTTGTGGATTTTTTGTCTCGTTCCGACAGCATTGTCGATAGTCTAACCGCTGAACTTGGGCTAGGCAATACCTACGATCTACTCTAGTCAGCCTTCAAAATGAGTAGCTCACCTATCGCAGACGTGTCGACGGACCGTCCCGCGGTCAGGCAGAAGCGCACGTGGTACCACACAACGCTTTTCAACGCCTTCGTCATCGGCGCCGTTGGCTTCATCGCTCCGGGACTATGGAACGCGATGAACAACCTAGGCGCCGGCGGCGCGCAAGAACCGTACTTGGTTAACGCGGCCAACTCGCTCGTCTTCGCCACCATGGGGTTCATGTGCTTATTTGGCGCGCCCATCGCCAACCGCATTGGTCTCCGATGGACGCTTTTTCTAGGCGCTATTGGGTATCCGGTCTACTCGGCTGGCTTGTACGCGAACAATCGTCACGGCAATACATGGCTTGTATTAGTTGGCGCCGTGGCGTGCGGCTTGAGCGCCGGTGGTACGACTCCGTTCATATAACAGTTATATTTATACAATCTGCTAACTTGGAATTGGGCAGCTTTTTGGTGCTCGGAAGCAGCCATCGCGGTAGGCTATCCCGAGCCTGGAAAAAGAGGTCGTTATCTGAATATATGGCTGTGGTTCCGTACGGGCGGACCTTTGGTCGGTGGTGCTATCGTGCTCGCGCTGAACCACGACGAGGGCAACAAGGCTAAAGGCAAGGTAGGATACCAAATATACCTCATATTCATCGCGCTGCAATGCGTCGCGGCTCCTCTCGCGCTCGCGCTGTCACCACCGGAGAAGGTACAACGTGCAGATGGATCGAAAGTTGTCATCAAGAGCGAAGGCTCTTTCGCAGGGGAGCTCCGTGCGCTATGGACAGCCTGCAAGCGCAAGGATATCTTACTCCTGTTACCGATTTTCTGGGCGGCCTACTTCAACCAATATGCCAGCAACTTCCAGTCGTATTACTTCGGTGTGCGGGCGCGCGCCTTGATTGGATTCGTGAATAACTTCGGCACCTTGCTATCGTCGCAGCTTATGAGCTCGCTACTGGATTACAAGGGTCTTCCGGTCAAGAAGCGCATAGTGATCGGCTTTCTCTACGTCGTGGTGGTGCACATAGTGGCCTGGGTATACGGTTGGGTGATTCAAATTCGGTATAATAGCAACCCACCCGCCTACGACTGGGAGGACAAGGGTTTCGTCGAAGGTTTCTTCGTGCTGGTCCTTTGGGACTTTTCCCGACAGGCACTTCAGAATTGGCTTTGTAAGTGGCTTCACATTTTCTCAATGGAGAGGTATCATGGAAGGAGGATTGCTAATTCGCAGCAGATTATCTCATCGCTAGCATGACTGACAATATCTCGGAGCTGACACGGTTCTCGGGCATCCTAAGAGGCCAGGAGAGTTTTGCTCAGGCCATTAGTTTTGGAATAAATACGCAAAAATTCGAGGTCGCTGGGCGTGTGCCCCTAGCCGTAAATACCATCCTGCTTGGTAAGTTTGATCTCTGATCAATATCCTGGGCCTCGACATTTGGATCCCAAGCCATTTTATACACCCACTAACATCTGTTTCTATAGGTCTATCGGTATTCCCCACATGGCTTGTTGTCCGTAACCACGTCCCGGTCGAGCAAGATGCCAAGCACGCCTCCGACGAGGAAAGCCACGCAGAAGAAGGACTGGCGGGTCAAATTCTGGATTCTAGTGAAAAACAGAAGTTTGCCGTTGAGAAGAAGAGTATCGGAGGAGATGCTGCGATCTGAAGAGTATGATGTAGATCAATGGAATTCAGTTCCAGCCTCACCCTAACGGATGATAATTGAAAATATATTTCTTCCGTGGCGTTGAGATACTCTATAAGCATACGTAGAACACCTGTTCTAAACCTGTTAGCTAAGGCACCATAATGACTTGTTGCTGATGATTCGTCTATGGGCATAGTTAGATATTGTCACTTATACCCCAGCTCACGATTGAGGAGCGGCGCCGCAAAATATCCTAGTCACCCAGGTAGGGCAATTAGTTAAAAAGTTTGGGCTCTAGAGTAGGTAAATTGGCTTCGAGTAAATCGACCAACTAATGTATTATGATATGGGGCGCAATACTAAAAAACGGTATCTTCAGAGATATCACAGATGTAGATCGTTTGTCAAGTTCGCGGAAGGCATAGATGGGGTATTGATCTCGCCTTTCGGCGGTATTAATATATTTCGTCATATCCTCTAGTATTAAGTGTATCGTGGTATCATAATGCCAATGCCGTCTCTTCTATGCAATTAATCTCTTCTCCTATCGCTCTTATCGCTCCGGGTGCTTGATGTTGGGCTCGAGCTCCCGCTCGATGACCCCGAGTGCATGAAGCTATCCAAGACGGTAAATTCGTCCGACAGGTCAGCACTTCGCTTAGCGGCTCCGATGGGACCATATCCAAGCTCCTCGTCTAGAGTCTTGTTCTTCTTCGTAGCACCAATTTCGACGTACTCGTATTGCCAACGGTATGTCTTCCCAGGCTGCTGAATGGGCAGCCAGTATTTCCTAACGACAGCGAAGATGGAATAAGCGATGATGCCACCGCCGAGCAGATCGACAGCGTAGTGGTGGTTCAAATACATCGTCGCCCAGCAGATCCAACAAACGTAGAATAAGCATAAACCCTTAAGCTTGGGAAAGCAATAAGTCATGAACAAGGCTTCGAGGATCGCGTCGGCGGCGTGAAGACTTGGGAAAGCTCCGAAAGGTACGGGCGCCGTTGTAAAGCTGGTGGTGTACATGTCGATGCCGAAGAGTGCGTCGATCCGCGCTAATCCGGCCGGGGAACCCTGCATCCCGTATTTTGCGGGCTCGAGACCGTGCAGCCTTTCGTACCAGGGTGGTGTGCATGGGAAAAAGAGCTGTATCGATACACCCAAAACGCTCATCCATCCGAAGCTTTTAGCGAACATCGGGAGGGTGCCCGGAGCAGCAAAGATAAACATGATTACGGAGCAAATAGCGGGAAGTCCGAAGTGGCCCAATCCATCTGTAGGGGTTGAAATTAGCAATAGGTTCTTGCAAGTCAATTGGATCAATGTAAGATCTTTAGATGAAATAATCCGAACAGGACCTCGGCCTTGTATAGATAAGATGAAAATTTCTGAAAATGAGGGCTTCCTTACATGGAATCCAAGCGAATAGGTCAAGGACAGGATGCGTCCATGCGGAAAGGACGTTCGAAAAGCTGACGCCATATAGAATATCTTCTAAAGCAGGAAGTACTTTCACGAGGATATCCGGACGAATGTCGTACGGAATAAAGCTAAAATCAGCTAGTTAGCAATAAGAATAAGAATTGCCACCCTTCTTAACTAGAAGGTGGAATAAGTAGAAGCGCCGATTAGGGCATCTTGAAAAATATGGACGCTTACCGACTAGAAAAAAAGTAGAGGAGATAAGTCCATATAGGCCATGACGGAAGAAAGAATTGTCTTGTTATGGGCATGAACAAAAGCGACAGGTACCCCGTGGCGGCGAGGGTCTTAATAATAGGCGCCGACGGATCAATAATCCATAGCGAGAAAATGGTGAAACCAGCCAATCCAAGATATTGCACGTCGAATACGCTCCATCTTCTTGTCCTCAGTAGCTCAAAGGTATCTGTGATCTTAAAAGAGGTTTGCAAAGCGGAGATACTCCTTGTCGGGTTGGGGCCGGATTCTCGCATTTGTTGCTTAGACGAGTGGCTAAACATTCGGGGTAGGTTATAACGGCCTGGTATTGTCTTTAGCTTGGACGGACTCAACCTCTCGCGCCATCCCAGAGGGAGTTGTGTCTCCGTTTCGACGACGGTGTTTGTCTGCTGCATCGGAACGCTCTCGTACCACGCCGGGCGAAATCTTTCTGTCTTTCCAAGGAAAACCCTAGGTATGTTGTCTGCAGTTTGTGGGAGTCTGACCCGGGTCTGCGAAGTCTTGTCGTACCGGAGGTTACCAAGTTAGCCAAGGTGGGTTGGGCTAGGAATGTTGGGGCTGGTTGTCCTCCCAGACGCCAGGCAAAGGCAGATAAGGTCGAGGTCGAGGTCGTCGGCTTGTCGTGAAGAATCACATACGGGACGCAATTCCTGGATCGTGCGATCGGGAAGCAAAAAGAAAAGGGAAGGGGAGGTACATGATATATAATAATAATAAATAATAAAGAAAAGCAGAGCACACTAAAGGTAACTCTACCGCACCACCGCTGGTCTGCTCTGCTACCCTAACCGCCCCCGGTGCTTTGTTGCCCGTACAATACATAATAACTCAAGTATCCGGATATAACGGGGACAGGGATGTAAGAGACGCCAAGTAAGGCATGGCTGATTGGGTAGAATTGTGTCGGTGGTCATGGATATTTCGTCTAGGAGTGGATTATGAGTAATGGATTTTAATGGATTCAAAAAATGATACCTCCCATCCTACTCGGCCTTACGACAGGGGGTATCAACTTAGCGGGGACCCATGCCGATTGTGCATCCACTGGGCAGACAGATACGTGTAACTAATTGCACAGTAAATATCAATGTACAGTACATCGGACATCATTTACAATTCAAATGTTTCGAGTAACACAGGGCGGAAAAGAGCAGGAGGCGAATTAAAGATTTCAATATGCATGCAAGTGTGTAGGTAACTAATGTATGTGATGTAGAAGCAACAAAGCAGTCACATTAAGTTTTACTGCAGTCTCCCGTATATGTTTAAGTACTTAGGTACAATGGTATTTAAGTACCTAACATTAAAAACCCGGTGTAGCGCAAGCGCCGTACCGCAACTTTAAATTCTAAAACGGCTCGGGATTGGGAGTTTTTTACCTCTGCGTTAGCGCCAGCATCCGAATACGTCGCATATGCCGACATGCTAGTGACTTCCTTCGTAACGCAACGCGATTCGTTACTTGATCCTACCCGACGGCTTCTGATACTGATTCCATAATGTACTGCAGACCATCGGCCGAATCATAGGTTATGCTTAGCTTTAACGAAAGTGAACCGCTTACTCATTTATTCAGCCTCTTTAAAATTAGTCGTCTTTCCCATAATGCAATTCTTAGTTTTTAGACGCATATAATAGGGCTTGTAAGGGAGGCAGACACGTGGTTAAAGAATAAGTTGGACTTTTTTCATTTACATTTAAACATCAATACACACTACGCACTGTGGACGAATATAGATATGGAATTGCAGGCATATATGGCATAGAAGATATCAAATGTGTAAGCGTAGGGGTGCTCCTCAGCCTAATAATACCTTGGAGTCTTACGCCGTTGTCGACTTCGACGAAATGTATATAAGATGTAGCCCTAGAACGCGTTAGCCTCGCTTCAAATCAGCCTTAAAACAATTCGAGCCTGGTCATCCTTTAGGTTGGATTACTACTACCACTAGTGATAGTTGGGACTTTCAGTAATTTCTTGACAGCAATGATGCCGAGGCAGCGAGGTTTCTCTCTTTTTTTTTTCTCCGTAGGTGTCCACCGTTATGCTGTGTCCAGGACAGATGACATAATCGATTCTATGGGTCTCGATTTCAAAGCACCAGAACGTCGGTAACGCTACAAGGTTCGATTGTTGAATTTCCCATGCTGGAATTCCTATATTAAATTCACGCAAATTCTAAGCGAAAGCGAATTGTGATATAGGTCAGCATATTTATATATCATCTCATCCTACAGTCCCGTCCCTTGCGGATTTCACCAGTTGATAATATCAAACCAGAGAACCTTTTGGAATCCGGCGAGCGGGAATCAATCAGCACTAGCGAGGCGGACACCATCGGAAGGGTCGGGACTGGGGGTGGCATATGTACGTGCTTAAATGGGTACACACGTGCATAACTTCTATATACGATATACGAAGTGGAGTACGAGTAATGTACAGTACAAGATGCGCGCTTGTGCAACAACAGGTAGCGATGCAACCGGATCTTGGCATTGAAACGCTAGTACAAGGTTCTGGCGTCCTAGTGGTCCAATTTATACCGTTTCAAGGGTCCCAGAGCCGCTCGTCACATATGTCCTACAAGTTACGGTACTGCAGTACGCATATATACATAATATCATTATCAATTACCAATAAGTTAGAGAACTTACCTAATAACCAGGATCGAGGAATGGACACGTGAGGGTAATAACAGTAATGTGTCGTGTGTGTATATCCGTTTCTCAGCTATTGATGAGCAGCCATATTGAGGTTGGATAGATGCGTTTAGATAAATACAGATACAGATGCAGATACACTCATCCAATACCACATGCCTAAATGTATGCATGTACCATCTGCATGGCGCAAATGGGGGGGTCACCTTTTGCACCTCTTGTAAAACGTTATCAGTAACAAGATCGCGTGCGCAAGAAAAGAAAAGAAAAAAAGGTGAGTTAAAACGGAAAAATAAGAGAAAGTGGATCCCAAGTCTCGAGGCCGCCCCCAATTTGATGTCCAGGTTCCCGCTTCGGTCTCCGCTTCTGCCCGACTCACCGACCGGGAACACCATTAAAGCCAAGCCAAGCAAAGCGGACTCTTCCTTAACTGACGGGAGGAAATAAGAAAAAGAAAAAGAAAAAGGAGATTAGATTACCTACTCGGGTACAATAATTGCATAATTGAGCTAGCTATTCGGCCTACCTATTCATTTGTTGCCCGGTCGTAATTCAATGCTAACCTCGGGGTTCGGAGTCCTCCTTTGAATCGAGATCCCAATGCGGCATCGTGCCATTTATCAAATCCTCCCTTTTGAAAAAAGTCTCGACTTTTCATAATACCTACCTACATATTATTTATTAATCCACCGTCCGTTATCCAACCCATATGCGTATACCATACATGGCTTAAATACCACAGTTGTATCGCGGATTGTCGCGACGGAGCATCGGGGCATCAAAGTGGCACCATGCGAAAGATCTGACCAGAATCGACGGGATGCGCCTGAGGGAAAAATGCTACTCTCTCCGCGAATTACCGACCCACGGACTCTGTCACCTCGGTAACTTTATCGCCTAGCCGGTCTAAGCGTTGCCCTGTCGGACCCCGTCGAGGTGAAAACAATTTCCACCCTTCGACCGTTTTGTATTCCCTTTCGCGAAATTCGATCACGCGACAGTAGTAAATTCCCATACCCATCAGGATGTCTGCTAAAATGCTCCCTTTTTCAGTACATAGCAGCAAGGGAAGCTTGTTATGTACCTACCTACCTAGATAAGAGACGGGTTTCGAAATATTAAACCCGGACACATTAATTGTTACATTAAGTCAAACTTCGGTAACATTTATTAACATCTATTTACGGAGTTAAGGGATGATGTATTGTACTTCGTAGCTACATGAGGCTTTACTTTTTCTCGCATCAACTTAGGTGTCACACCAATAGCTTCATCTGTATCGATATATTCATAAGGTACCGTTAGGGAAAACCCTTAACAACATGGATGTCCTGAGTGAGCATGGACAGGGTAGGCATCGGTACTCGCATCTTATCTTTTTTTCCTGCTTTTTTTTTCTTCTTAAGCCACCGTAAACTAGGAAACTAGTTCGGCTTCATTAAAGAATCAGTACCTAAGGGAGCGTTGTGGGGACGACGTCTGTTTTTATGATGTAAAAAATCATGCTGCTGCCGGACTGCCGGGATACTAATTTAAATGTGCCTTAGCGAATTATTAGAAAAGACATCTCAGATGATCATATCGAAGATCGTCACATGCTTGTTCGATACAAGCACATAGTGGACATACACTATCCCCAAGCGTACCCGGACGAAAGAAGATCCGTCTAAAAGATATGTAAATCGCTATTGGTATTCCCATATTTGAATTGACTTTAGCTCTACTGCGCGCACTGCTACGCTAGCTTGGCGACTCATAAAGGTGACCAATTATATATGCATGCATATATACAAACGAGAAGAGTTTCGTTATTGCCATTACTGTCATGAGACCAAGAGTCAGATATCGGTACCGTTTTTCAGTTGCATTATGTGTAGATACCTAATATACATACCTGAGCTATTCAAGATCTTGATTTGTCACTGAGCAGATCTGTTACTCAGTCGGTCGTGTCGATGCAATCTGCATCACGGGTAAGTTTACATTAGGTACATTGGATGATAGATGTACTTGACGTACATGTGTAGAGATACCGATGGCTTTCCTACGGATCCGGTATTTAAACTGATCTCATCCATCATCGTCACGATCACATGTTAAGATATATCTATGATATCCCCTGTTTTGCATCGACTTCACATTTCAGTAATTGGAAAAGCAAAATTGTTAATAGTGAGATCAATACCTCTAAGTGGCTATCCCCGTATAGAACTCGGGCTATTCTAATCCTAATTACAACACCGCTATCGCAAGATCTACGTCGCTGTATCCGCCGATATTCGCTCGCTATCCAAAAATGCGACTGCTAATGCGCTCGTTACCGCCATCTCTCTCGTTCATGTACATAACTGTACCGTAGTCCATCTCATCTCGTCATAAAACTAAAGGGGGGTTCAGTCTCTCGTCTCGTCCCTATATATACCATCGCTCGCTCTCGCAAGATGCAGTCTAGATAAAATTGCCCCACCCTGTCGCCTTAAATAGTATGCAACTCCAGCTCCCGATATGAGATAGTGCTGCTTCATCGTCGTGGTTGGCTTGCAGTCCATAATCCTTTCGACGTTTCAACCACTTTGTTAGCAGCGACACCGGGTCTTAAACTCGCAGGTACGCCCGATTCAGGGCCCATGCCACCCATATCTACGTCTTCATTCTGCGTACTCGAGTAGCCCGAATCGCCTTTTGCTACCTCAGCCTTGTCTAGCGGAGGCGCGCCCGGCTTCGGCTCTGCCGATCGGGTGCCGTCCATTAGGTGAGCATTCGCGTGGCCCTCCCGTAGCTTGTTGATGGCCCGCACCGTGTCGATAGCTGCATGTAACGTCTTGCGCGCGTTGAAGTTCTTCTTGACTGTGGGGAGTAGGTTTTGGCCTCTATCACCGTCGCCGCCCAGGCTATAGTCGGCGACGAAAGGATGAGATAGGGCCTCGTGCGCTGTCATACGCTTATTAGGGTCGACGGTAAGACACTTGCAAATGAAATCCTTTGCGTTATCGCTGACACCGCGCCAGTATTCTACTGGCTGGAAGCTGTAGTCAGCGTTTAGGATCGCCTGCATTTCGTCAAAGTCACTGTCGCGGTCGAACGGCGTGTATCCGCACAATAAAAAGTACGTAATAACCCCCATAGCCCATATATCAACTGGTTTGCCGTGGCCCGTCTTCTTGAAGATCTCGGGCGCCATGTATCCCGGAGTACCGCAAGTCGTCGTCAAGACGTGGAATTGCTCCTCATCCATAATACGCGACAGGCCGAAATCGGCAATAAGAAGGTCGGCGTTGTCTTCGGGGGTACGGAAGAGTAGGTTCTCGGGCTTAAGATCACGATGTACGATTCCGTGGTCGTGGAGATACGCGACGGCAGATAGTGTCGCGCGAATCAAGTCGGCAGCATCAGATTCGTAGTACGATCCTTTGCGGCAAATCCGATCGAAGAGCTCTCCGCCAAGCGCCAGGTCAGTTACAAGGTAAAGGTTGTTCATCGTCTCGAAGTAGTCAACGAGGGTCAGGATGTTTTGATGGCCCATCGAGACCTTTTTGAGTACGGCAATCTCGTTTCGAACCTAGCGTAGTGTACAAGGTTAATCTTTATGCGCCGTTCCGTCTGAAGACCATGTAGAACAGACGCCAAGATACAATCTAAGAAGAAATAAAACGCACCATATGTTCGCGACCGGCCATTAGTCTCTTATTAATAACCTTTGCGGCATAGTAACGACCCGTATCAATGTGTACACACTCCTTTACAACAGAATACGAGCCTGCGCCCAACGTCTTTCCCACCTTGTATCTACATGGCTGTATTTGAGGATTCGGACGAGGAGAGCCGTTGCTCGGGACAGTCGCGGCGGCGGTGGTGGCCATCGTAAATGATAGGGAAGGTAATCCCGTGGCTATAAAAAACTCGGGAAGGCCTTATGAGCGATATATATGCTTAGGTACTAGAAACGTAGTACTAGAAACGTAGGACGAGGTTATTAGGGTAGAGCAGGGCCTGGCTTATAAGCAGAACGAGAACAGATTCGGTGGTTGCGGAATGTCGATCAAGGGGTAAGTATCGTCATTTAAGGATAAGCAAGTCGCGCATACTTCGAATAACTTATTATAATATAACGAGCACTTCGTTATAAAAGGAGAAGATAATCTGCCGTCTCAACTTCAAGAGAATAAGTTAGACGGGCTGACGGGACGGGCTAACAATACGAGAGAAAGAAGCAGAAGGCTCCGATGAGAGACTAAATCGAATTAGCCTCGGGACGGATGTGCGCCGTCGATCCAATCGGGAGGGGCTAGTCGCAATTCCCCTGAGCTTCTAATCGTAGCGCACGTAGCAGTGGGGACACTGACAGGTGCCAGGAACGTGCAAAGTCTTTATAATAACTTTCCAGTCTTACAAAGTATTTTTGGGTGTTTTTAGGGTACCTAAGTTGACAGATGTTTTTATTTTGCGAAAATGAGCAAAGCTGAGACAATCAAACGGAAAAAGGGACTCAGCTGTTGCTCCACCTTTCTGCCCCTCATTCTAGGCGTTTTAGTCAGCCGCAAAGAAACGAGGTGCGTTCCATGCTTGCTACCGTGGGGGAAGGGGCAAAGGGGATAGGGGGAAACTACCTAAGGTTCCTATGTACCTCATATAATCACATGTCTTTATTAGATATTTTTCTATACAAATATTGCTATATCATGTTTATCAGAACCATGCCTAGATTTTTATAGACGTTCGTTTGGATCTTTTCTCCTCGTTACGGAATACATACTATTCCTCATCGATTTTTCGGAGTCGGCGATTAGCAGTAAGCAATTTTAAACTGCCCACATAACTCTCACTCGCTGACAACAGACGTCTACGGTACTCTGTTATGTATGCACCCAGTGGCCAAATTGACCATTCGTCAAAGCCCTTCAAGTTGAAGGCGTTTCTAGATGAGCGTGTGATACGTTTACTCGTCACCTCCCCTGCCTTTCCGAAATGCCTTTTTAGAACTTTGCTGTTTCTTCGCTCTTAGCCTGCTCTCGCGAGCTGATTTCTCCCTAATCCTCGTGCATCAGTAGTACTCCTACGTATTTGAGATAATACTCAAGGGAAAGTGTGAGAAACGGATAAGATGACCAACTTACAAGGCTTCGTACTTCTTAATCTTTTCACTACTAGTCATTCCTGGGACTTGTTCCCTGTAAATCTTCTGCAGTTCTTCTACCAGTTTCAGGTGATTATCATCAGTGTTGGCAGACCTGCTCCGTTGGGTCTGGGCTTGAATTGTAATGGAGTCGTTTCCTTTTGAATAGTACCTCGAAGAGCGCAACGCCAAACGAACGAGTTTTGGCAAGCCTTTAGACAACTCCTCGACGGGCCATACTGTTGTGGCTTTGCTCTCGGTCCTATTCGAATTAGACCAATTTTGAATATTAGCACGTATCGGATATACTCACTTGTTCACATGCTGCCCCCCAGGCCCGCTTGACCTAGAATAACTTGTCTGACCCTTTGGTAAGTTACTTTCGGTGAACGAGGCATGCCACTTTCTAGCTTCGGTGAGGTCATCTTGGTCGAATGCAGCATCGTACGCCCGATGCTGTATAGTGCGCACAAGACAGTGCGCTTCGTTGAAAGTCCTAGATAAGAGAGGTAGGGTAGAATTGGCTGATATAGCTCGTAGTGTCGCCATCAGGAATGGAATGTTTATATACGAGTTATCTCCGTCGTCAATGTTGTTAGACAAAAGCTTCTTAGGCTTTCTCAATTATGAGGTATTGCATATATTACATATAGGTACCTAGATACCTTCTTTAAATAAATATGGGTCATCACTGCCCCTATTCATGTCAACTATAAGGTACTTAATATAGGTAATAACAAGAAAGGGGAAGAATAAGAATGGGTAAGGACTAGTAAGGACTATTCGCCTGCCTGTAAAAGCTCTTCGAGATTATACAATCCATCTGCTTAGAGGATAAGGATGCCAGTTTATCTTTTACAATTAAGCATAAATTCTTCGTCATGGTTTCTTGATATCTCGGCCGGCTTACACCCAATACAGAGAATAGTGATTGCTATGATCTTAACGGTCTTAACGACAAACACTAAGATACCTACGTAAAGTTAATATTAAGATAAAATAGGCGGTTTTTCAAGCTGCGAATGGTTTTCGTAAAGGATATGCAGGCATCATCCTTCGAGGGGACCCCTGGGTTATCCATTTCCAACTTCTGCATGTTCACTGGGAGAAGATTCAGACCAGCCTAGCATACTAAATTAGGTCGGCAAAGATAATTTTTACGGAGCTATTATATCATTGGATTGGTCCCTTGAATAAACTTCGGGGATTGATGGTTCCTATGTTAGTTGGAGTGCTAGTGTGGAAGCCCTTAAAGCTTTTCACCGGGTACCTTAGGTATTATGCGAGAACTTTCGACCTTCTTAATAAGGTCTCCTAGCTGCTCAGCGACGAAATACGGGTTGTCCTTTTGGATAAAATGTCCAGACTTTGGTGCAATGAGTGGCCCTTTTGCTCTTTCTGGATCAGTCAGCCCACAGAGTCCTTCGTTGTACTTCTCCCACATACTGTCTCTTATTAGCCAGATGTTCTATTAGGGAATAATCGTCCATTTACGGCTGAGTATACATGACAGCCATGTCCAATGGAACCTTCATCATAGCCCATTCTTCCTTTGACAATTGTTCAAGTTCGTGGCTCACAACGGTCACCCAAGGACCTTTATCCGAACACTTCGACCCCTTAAGCTTTGGCTTTTATGGGTCGGGAAGAATGTTCTTAATATCTCGTCGATCAAACCCCTCCTTGTTCTTCGGAATTGCTGCGAATATTGTAGTCGTTTGGTGTAAGCGGCTTCGTATACGTCAAGCGAGGTGCCAGGGGGAGTCACCTGTTCTAGATTAAAGGACGGGCCCTTCGAATTCGGCCAGATGCTCTCGTAGTCATCATTTCCGGGATTCGAATCGAGGAAAAAAATTCCCACGAGGACTCTAGGATGCCTAGCTCAGATACATACTGTCAGCTACAAGGCAAGTAGCGAGTTGTAAGTATCCTCTAAACTGGCATAAAACAGCAAACCTTTTATAATCGGTAAAGTACATGAAGTTTAACGCGATTCATTAAGATAAAAGGAAAAACCCTTGCAATGTACCTTTATAATAAATATGATTGGCCAATCTAATAATATAGACTTCTTTAGCCAATCTCGATGTATTAATACTGAAAATAGTGGGTTTGCTGTTTTATGCCAGTTGAGGGGATATAATGTATTACTTGTCAGCATATCTTCGCGCAATATGTGCCCCTATGCTATTATTCACAAAGACAATACGCGAGGAACGATCAGGACATCAAGTTTGAATTAACTCGTGGAGATCATCTGTGACATCTTCTATCGTGTGTGCGTATCCAGGATCTTTGCTTGGCCAGCTTTCGCGCGGATCTCTCGGAGATGCGCCCTGGCCATATCGGTCATAGGTAAGTATCCATGGCATAGGAGAGAAGCCAGATTTGTGTATCAGTTCAATGGTAGGCTTTCAAACGGCTTGTGGCAGTCCAAGGCTATTCAAGCAGACGACAAGGACACTGCTTGCCACGTCGCCTTGGTAAAGCTCATAGGAAATTGGGGCATCTGGCTTGGAAGGGAGTATCACAGTAGGCATGTTGACTTACAGAAATGATTTTAACAAATTACAAATCCAGAACAGATGTTTTTATTGACAGTGCTTCTTTCGGGAGTAAAATGGAAGATATATTTGAGAAGTTAATAGTAGGAAAACCCTATATGTTGAATCGTGTTAGACATAGGTCCCCGCGATTCTTATATACACGGAATACAATGGTAGGTGTAATACAGATTAAATATACAAGAAATACTGAGAGATATCGTGACTGAAAGCTTGAATGTATTGATGCTCTCCTTGAATACATAGACAGTTTTAAATCTATCGTAGCCTTAATGTGTTAATTAAAATGTCGTTAAACTCACAGTACGACCTCTACCTTTGGATTTCCCCCCTTTTGATTTTTTTTATTAGGTAAACCTTCAACTACCAGGTGTACCCATCCCTGGCTAACTCATCGTATGATTTCCAAATTGAAATAGAAACAAAACCATATAATTCCAAAATACCAATATGCCTATTAGATAACTAAGAAGGACTTGCGGTTTCGAAGGTATCGAAGATGAGGCCTATCACATGGTAAGCTTTCTTTTGGTGGCCTTATCAGAAGCTATTATCTTCTATTAAAACGGCACTTTTATGGTATTTTTAACTAGGTCAGTAATCTATCAAGGAAAGCAATTGTGAACTATTTAACAGAAGCGTTAATGATAAATTGCCAAGCTTGGTAGTTGAAATGCGTTTGTACGTGACAAAAGGGGGGGAGGAGGGGGGGTAGCACCTACGTCATACCGTAGGTACTTACTCAGTACCTAAGGTTAGGTGCATATTCCTTTATCGAATTATAGAATGCACTTAGACGAGATAATTGGCGTAGATTCTTCAGAGGCTTAGGGTTGCGATATGGGCGTTATCAATAGAACTCTGGCGGGGCTCTTCAGGTATCTAAGTGACGCACGGACCACATACCCCCACTAAATTGACCAATGGCGCATCAACCAAGTCGATGCTTCTGTCCAAGTTTCGCTAGAGGACAATTCCTTTCTTGAAAAAATTCCTGCCCTCTCATTGTTAAACCTTGCTTTAAAGCTGTCCAGCCTTGTCTGTTTGCAAAGCCTCAAACACAAGCCTATCTCTCCCAGCTTTTCTCCTCGTCCTGCCGAATCATCTCGGATAATTCTTTGATGGTTCCATTTATCTTACTTTTTGGCTTCAATTGGATGTTATTGTGCCATTAATTGCAATCGGCTCTTGATGCCTTGACAATATAACCTGACATCCATCACAACATACAGAACTCGCGCGCCAATACGATACAACATCTCTTAGACGGAGCCTATCTGTATTCTTTCTTCTGCACCTATTCCAAGTGTAACACTGCCTCCCACCATCTATACACTTATACGTACCTATCCACACCCAAATCAACGTCCTTCACCTAATTTTTACCTATTTCATCCACCGTCTTCCTTTCTTACCAGCTGAGTCCCAAATCTCAAGCTGTCCATTGATCCAGTTACCGTGACCTCTGCCAGCATTGATAGCCCGCCACCTCGGATGGATCAGCCCCAAGACGACGTCACCAGCTACCCAATCCCAATATATCTCCATTCTTGTTCTGGAGTTTCTTGGACTCGTCTGGCCAGCTCCGACAGCAGTCGAGCTTAATTCCAAGGCTCTCAACCCTGGTGCCGTGGTGCCGTATATTGATTCTAAAACAACATTCTCTAGACTGTCTTATCGCCTCATGCTACCTGAATGATCGAGAAGGCCCCTACACATTTGGCAACTGCCGACCTTACTCCAGTATCTCCGGAGCCTCTTCATCTATCCTCTCCTGTAGTAGTACCTAGTCTGCAAGACCAGGCCGACACGCTGTGCACGATGTCGCCATCCAACGACGGCCCGGTCCCCTCGGCCTCTGTAGCAGCTGTGGAGCAAGCTGAATCGTATCAGAACAGTCTCCCTGCTAGTACCGGTCAAGATAATACTTATAGTGGCAACACTGCTATTTCACGTCGGGACGGTTTCGTCGTCGATATTAACGGTACTGGGAATCAGGGTGAAAGAGCTGCATTGCTCGGAGGTGAAAGAGACGCCCAGCACCCTGGTCAGCAGAATGGTGCTGAGGTCCAGCAAGATCAAGATGTATCCAACACGATCGAATCCAGTATTAGTTCTGCTACGTCTGATTCCTTAACAAATGGTTTTGAAGTCACCGCTCCTTCACATGACCTCTCTTCTACCTCTTCTACAAGCCCTGCTCAGTCCGTGCGTCAGCCTGCCCTAAACTTGAGCCCATCAGAAGCCCAAGAAACCCAAGAGCCGCAAAAGCCACAAGAACAGGCTGTAATTAATTCGTCGACCGACAATTCCGGTGTACCTCAGCCACCTTCAGCAGCGCCCGCTGGGGAGGATGATCGCCCATCAAATGCTGCCAATAATGAGCAAGACATCCAAAACATTCTCGATCAGATTATAGGAAATGCCTCCGTGGGTAATGCCAGTCAAACAGTGGTTCCGCAGAGTTCTGCCAACATTCCTGCTCCCCCGCAAGCAGTATCACTGCCACCTAGACCCCCAATGCCGCAGTTCCCCCCTACCCAGCCATATGTGCATCCCGATGATAGTCTCAATTACCAATCAGCATTATCCTATCCTAATGCCAACGCCAACGCCTTATCTACTCTTCCGCCAGCTCCTGGCACTTACTCTACTGGGGCTCCCGGAACGGCTCTAGAAGCCCGTAATAGCAATAGCCTTCCACCCCCACCAGCCTCGTCCCTTAATGCCTTGCCAATTCATTCGTTCCCGGTGCCCCAATTTGACCCTACTTATGCTGCAGCTACAGGTACAGGTTCTTCGTCGCAAGCTTCTGACCAACACCCACAATGGGAAGCTTTTCTCCAGGAAGAACGTCGTTACGTATCAGAAGCCAAATGGGACCGTTTCCCGGAAGGATCAAGATTATTCATTGGCATGTCTTCTCAACTTAATCGCAGTGGTTTGACTCCTAACAGTTATATAGGAAATCTGTCTAGTGACCGGGTCTCTAAGAAGGAAGTCTTTGATATCTTCTCCAAATATGGACGTCTCGCACAAATTTCTCTCAAACAGGCATACGGTTTCGTGCAATACCACACTCTAGAGGAAGGTCAGGCTGCCATGGACCACCTACAAGGGATAGAAGTCAGGGGGCGTAAAATCCGTGAGTCACATTACTGGATTGGAACGATCTGTTAGGTGCTAATAAATTATAGACCTTGAATTCTCTCGCACTCAAAAGAAGGAAGGGGATGGGGAGAGGCGAGGAAACAGGGTTAAGAAAGAAAACGAACGTCACGATGGTGGACGCGGACGACGTGACGATTATCGCCCAAGTCGGCAGCCATCCCCGAGGCGGGGAAGTCACCGACAGCATGGTTCTTATGATGGTAGCCGCGGTTATTATAACGACTATAGCACTCGTGCGCGCTCGCGATCTCCTGGCTACGGAAGACGCGACTCGGACCACTACCGTCGCCGAAGTCCTAGCCCCTATCGTCGACATCCATCTGAAGTAGAGCTCGATATTCCTCGTCGCTATGGAGGTGATATTCCAGATGTACAGTTCGTACTACTCCACGAGCTCGACAGAGACTTTATACGCTGGGCCGAGAGAGCCTTTCTCAACCAGGGATTAAGGGTGCAGGTTATGTTCCTTCATCCTCATTTACCTCGAGAAGCCGTGATCCAGCGTCAAGTGATGGAAGGCGTCCATGCGGTCGTCGAGCTAGATCATCGAGCACAACAAACTGGTGTTATCTCCTTGCAAGTATTTAATCGCTCCGGCGGACACGCCAATGTTCAGTATGATCAATACCAGGACCTTGATCCCAACATCGCCGCGCAGCTAGTCGGCCGCGCCAAATCTCAAGTTCAACCGCACAATCCCTACGGCGTTCAATATCCGCCTGTCCAATATGCACAACCCCCACAGCCTTCTTACCCACCCCCGTCATATACTGGCCAACCTTATCCTCCCGCCAATATTCCAACCGGTAATCCGAGTGGCTCTTTAGATAACGCCACATTGCAGAAGATCCTAGGTTCTCTCCACAACCAACAAGGTGCTCCACAGGCTCATTATCCCGCGCGATCGGCTGGAGGCGCGCCTGTTGATGTAAATTCGGTACTAGCAAGCTTAGGGGGAGCCCACAGCATGGGGGCTGCTGGGCATAACCAGCCGCACAGCGCAGGTTACCCGCCTGTGCATCCGAATGGTGTTCCCAGTGGCGATTCTTCACAGCACGTCCAAAATATCATGGCACAGTTGGCGAGATACCGGCAGTGAGCTAATAACCCCTGTATATATCCTGAGATGAGTCACTAGTCGATCTCGTCTAGCATCTTGCCATTGCGTGCAGTGTAGATAGATGCATCTGCCATCCATGGGATTTATGGAATAGGTGTTAATGCTTTGTACGCATAGAAAAGATGATAGCTTTTGCTAAGGGCATGAACATAAACGTTGCGATGGCGACGTTTGCCTAATTGAGCTGATTGGTATATATTGTACAATGCTTTTAGTGAGCCAAGTTCTGTTTGAGCCTTACCTTTTAAATACGTCCGGTATCACTATATAAATATACATGACCTTGAAACATGACAAGAGTATGGGGCCCTTGACAGGCTAGGTAAAGTAGGGCATCTCCATAAACCGAGCACTTCATAGGCGTGCGGTCTTTATATCCTGCCATCTAAGCTAACTAGTGTCTCCCTTGTCTTCTCCTCAGCTCTTTTTAGGGCTGGCTCTCCCAAAGAAGAATCGGACTTTTCCGCTGCCACCCCCTCAGGAGCAGTCTTACGGAGCCATTCCTCTAATCGACTCCTCAACTCGTCAATCGGTTTCCCTAGAACATCAATACCTCGGTCTTCGCACGCAAGCACGACTTCCTCATCAACAAGAACCTCTACACCTCCGCCCTCGCGCAGCATAGCATCATCAGCTGCTATCCGTGCAATCGCTCGCTGCGCCAACGATGCCGCGAACGGACCATCCAGACCGATCTTATCCCACAGGGAGCTCGTCAGCCCGAGAGTCCGGCATATGTGGCCGTTGCTAGCCGGTTCGCTACCCTTTAACGGATCGGGCCGGTAAAGTAGACCGCGGAAGCTGGCAGCCCGCCTGGCCTCGGAGATGCGCCGTAGAGCATCGGCTTGCTTGGGGATGCGGCAGGTAAGCGGCGTGAGGCGCGGGAACAGCAGTACCACAAGCGGGGTTAGTTCCCCGCATACGATGAGCAGGACACCGAAGATCGGGAGGCGCGAGAGATCGTGTCGTACGCGGCGGCGCAGGAGGACGTCTGATCGTGTTGGGAAGGATATCGAGTCGGGGACGAGGGGTAGCCGGGTGGAGGATTGCGAGAGGAGCTTTCTGTTGGTGAAGATGGCGCGGAGACCGGTCTTGTAGAAGGTCATGTATGCCTTGCCGAGGTGGTAGAAATACGTGAAGATGGAGGACGAGGGGTCTCGGGTCGGTAGGTCGAGAGGAGGGGGGCGTGTCGAGGCTGGTGGGTTGAGGGTTGTTGAGGCGGGGAGGGGAGATGTCAAGCGCTCTGAGGAGGAGACGATTTCAGAACTCGACTTAGGCGCTTCTTTCGCTTGCGACGCTGTCGATGCGGCTCGGCGCTGGCTCGTCCGGGATATTATCTGCCATTGCTTTGAGGCGCGGCTCGTAGCGACGAGGGACACGAGGGCAGATGACGATCCATTGGGTCTGAGGAATTGGGAGTGGACGCGCGCGATGCGCAGACCGGCGTTGAGGGTCATCGAGGGGGAGGGGGGGGGCGTGCTATAGGATGTTGTCGTATAGCCGCGGGGAGTATATAAAAAAAAGACTGTATGTATTGGGAGGAAAGCTGGAAATTCTGGGTTAATAAGCTTGGGTATTTCGTACTTTAGGTAAGATACGTTAGCTGCGCTGCTACGTCAGCGTAAGTGGCTGTAATCTAATCTGATAACGTTGTTATCGATAAGATAACTATAGATTCAACATAACTACCTCTGTACTTCGTAAGTACCTAGCTTCATTATCTCTCCCTACCCAATTCTAAATTCTATTTGCTTTGGTAATAAAGGCCGACATAGTCTAAAATATATATTTGATAACCTTCGTTTATTTGTTAGGTAGTTAATACTGTAGTTTTCCATATATGTCTCCGGATCGTTTTAGTAATCCGTATGTCGTGAGCAATTATCAATTATCTGATAGGTCTGTTAAACCACCCATGCTTCTAGGGCTTACTCGAGGCTGAGATTCCTTCAATTAATCATATCCATATGCGAATTATCATATATACCTCCATTTACTACAATATAGCCCCCAGACCGAAGCCAAGAAAATGGATGTCCTATCTATCCTTGTTTTCTTCATCCCTGGTATCCCCCTTTTCCCATTTTCCCGTTCAGACGCTGAAGAGGCGGAATTGTTTGAACCCTCGCGCCGTAGTAACTTCAAGAAAAGATGGGTAACACAAAGCTTAGATGGGACTGTCATTTCGGTCGAAATTGATGAATCTTATAATATAGCCCGCGATTCTAAAAGAGGCTTCTCTGCTCTTGTGTCGGGGTTGTGGAATGACAACCTAGAATCGTGGTACCGATTAGAAGGTTATGATTTCCTTGACACTGACGAATCTCGTGCTTCCGGCCAAAATAACAAAAAGGTGCGACCATATCTCAGAGATTTAAAGGAGTTTGTAAAGGGCCCCGATAGAAAATGGGGTCGGGCGATTCGGGCTATACGCTGTATAGCTGATGGTGGTGGGGACTTGAGAGGTGATAATACCACAACCTTATACACTTAGAAGTTATAATGAACTAATATTCTTAAGTTTTAATCTCATGCGGAATAATCACATCCACGTCAGTTCGTGGCTATTTTGTGGGACATCCCGACCGCTCTCATATTGCCACGGAACGGTTTGCGGCAGAACTCATGAAGCTTGATGATATATACTGCAACCTAAGAACTAGAAGAAACCAGAGGTCTCTGTTTCTCCTGCAATGTCAACATGCCGCTCTAAATATCTTTTCCAATTTCCTCGAGTTGATGGCAATAACTTATACTGATCGCCGGAGCCGAGACTTCGACCCTCGCTTATCTGGGCTTCGACGGTGGCAGCTTGAAGCAATAATGAGCGACTCTCAACTCTATCGAGAATTCTCAGATTGCGGAAGTGAACTAGTGGCTACGATAGAGTCGTTACTAGACATAGTCATGAGTATAACAGGGAACGAAAACGAGGACCAACAAGCTGCGCTCCTGGTACTTGACAAAGCTCTTCGAGGTTGCTGCAAAGACACCAAGCTACGCCTCACTAGGTTCTCCGATGGCCTGGAACACAGCCTCAAATTTCTGAGCATGGCTCGAGAGTTAAACCAGTCCGGCAATGTTCAGAATTTGACTCTTCTGGCTACCATTTTTCTGCCCCTATCGCTCGCTGCGGGTGTGCTCAGCATGCAATCAAGATTCAAAGACTTGGGGACTTTACTATACGACTTCTTTGGTGTCGTGGTCCTCCTGGCGACTATTGTCGTACTCTTCCTCGGCGCCATGTTTATCTTGGCTAATATAAAGGAGCTCGAGAGCAGGCTACTGAAGTACCAGATTTACAGACATTTTGGGCGACGGCTTCTTTTGAGTTCATTCGCACTCATACTAATAACCTTCGGGGCTCTTGTCCTGTCATCCTTTGTTGTGGGCATGTTCAAGGATGTCGTCCTTGGGGCTAGCATCCTAGGCTATGGAACACTCGTATTGGTCTTTGGGCCAATAGTTATCGCGGCTCTCGTCCTGGGCGTAAGATTAATCGTAGACGTGTTAAAGGAAATCTTTGAGCGTTTATTCGGTCTTATTACCGGGGGGATAAATCGTAACCAGAAAAATAAGCAAAAAGACGTAGAGAAGAATCCAGGACCGCAGCAAGGAGAAGCAGAATCCGGAGGGAAGGGCGATAATGGAGATCCGGCTACAGAGGTCCAGGTACAAGACGTTCAAGACGTTAAAGATACAGCTATACTATCGGATAAGACTCCTACTGATGCAGTTGACGGAGAATCTAGCCGGTAACCAAACAGATGCGTTTCCGGTTGTTTTGACTCGGTTGGCTGCTCTGAGATGGCCACACACTACCTACCCGGCTTGACGCGAGCACAAAGTATGGGATGTATATTCCTTGAATATGATTACTAGTAATTTGTATATATAAATCTTTCTTATATTCTGAGGTAGTTAGTCATCTCCTACTTAAATTATGAGCAAGTGAATCTCTAATGAAGACAAAATTACAGATGTAGCTATCATCAATTTCCATATCATACCTCAACCAATGGTAGTTGGAGGGGACGGGGAAAGATATACGCGAGTCTGCCCAAAAAGTGACAACCTCCAAATTGTCACGAGGTGGAACCAAACAATATGGAAACAACTTCGTAACATTCCCCAATAATATGGGCTCCTTGAGACCTAAGCTGTGACGAGTTGGTTCAATACACATTTGCAAGCTAATCCGTCGCAAACGTCGCAAGATATAGGTGAAAGTTCCCGGTTAAGATCCCCCAACACACCTGTTGCAGCATAATGCCCACTAATCATAGCCGCAACGATCCCACGAAACAGCCCACAGGCGTCACCAGCTACCCATACAGGTGCGTTGAGAAGTCTCAGAGCGGTGTCAACTTTGGGATACCATCCAATGCCTTCCAAGGTTGGTCCAATGAGTTCCGCGTCGATATCTGAAGCCAGATCCTCGAAGGAATTTGCAAGAGAAGTGAGTCCCTTAATCATTAACTCCCGAAGCTTAGGACCGTAGATGCGGTCTAATTGCGCCAATGCCTGCGGATCGCCTTTGAGAACGTCGGACACTGGGAGTTTGTAGTGGACTTGAGTATTTCCAAGGGACTCTAATAGGGGTTTCAGCGTTTCTTCAGCGATTTCAGAGTCCGTTATCCGACAGTTGAATCCGCAGTTGGATAAACCGGTAGGCGGACAGTCTGATCTGCCAGATACAGTCCACAGTCCACCCGTTTCAGTAAGACAAGTTTCTCCACGCCGACAGACACAGAATGTGCGCCACTCAACACTCCCATCAGCTTGCTTGATTCGCAATTTTGGGTCTAGCTGTTTCATGCCACGAAAGAAAGCTTTGTCGCTGTGTTGCTGGATGCGAAAACCCACTTCCAACCGTTTGAAAGTGAAATCGGTGGCCAATTGCTTCAGGGAGTATTGTAGTGGACCGAATCTACCAGTGGCCATGATCACCCGCCTGGCTGTGAGCTGCCGTGACACTGCTTCTGATGTGGACTCGGCTTCTACACGAAAGAGGTCGGCAACCCGGTCGTAAGATATGCTATGAATGTTCGTCTGGCTGAAGATTGTAGCTTTGGAGCTGGCGACCAGTCCGTTGACGAACTTTAGACGGCTATCTAGAGACAGATAATCTGACGGGTAAGCCTTCAAGATCCATTCGTCTACTCCTGGTTCGTGACCCGAATATTGGTCTATATTTTGAGGGAATGGCGGAGTGTCAAGTCCAGCATCTTGAAGGACGGAGCAGGTCCACTCATAAGCTGTCCGCAGTCGGTCGCCGCTGAGAGACCATAGCTCAGACGCCGAAGGGAAAAATGAGAACTTCCCATCAGAGAACAGACCTGCTCCGCCATGACCCTTCGTAGCATCGTTGAAGTCTTGCCGGTCACGGTCGTAAACGGCTTTGCCACTGTCGACAATGGCAACTCTCAGGTTAGTAACCCCAAGGCGAGAGCATGCAGAAAGACCGGCAGGGCCCATTCCAACAATCAGTACGTCAAAGTTGGTTTCCATATTGGATCTCGAGCGGCAAACAGAACAGATCAAATCTAAATACTAAGAAGGCATGAAAATGTAACAGAATTATATTCAACGAACCTCGATCACCATCAGCCCCTTTATACTACAGGAATAAGAGACCCGTCTAAGCACTTTTCGCATACTAGTTCTCTAGAAAATGTCGATAAGTAGGTACTTCGGGGAAATCCGGGGAACTCGGGAAACACTACATGGAGATTTCTGACCGTTCCTCAAAGATATGACTCCCATTGAAAGACAAAAGCCGAGTAAAGTATCGACCTCTACGACATCGTGATATCTACAACTGGAGGCTTTCGCGTCAGACGTAACCTTGGCTCTGACCTCCACCAGAAGGCTACTCCAAGCGTCCCATGCACCATCATTACACGCCGACACTAATAATCTTTCTATAATTTCTAGTTGCCTATCTAGTAGATTGTCCACGTCTCTCGGACGTTGAGAAAAAACATCATCATTCTGCCGGATTCAGGCCGATCGAAAAATAAAACCACGGTGAAGACACCGGGATTCACGTATGCAACGTGATCACTCGACAAGCTTCCAGCGGGTAAACCAGTAAGCTGACTGATGTCTCAATACTTAAACCGTATCCATTCTGCGAATTCTTAATCTCAGAATTTATAGTCTGAGTCAGCATGTAAGAACCATTAGGCTAATAGGATAGGGGTACCAATAATGTTGTTCTACGGAGGCCATGAGCTTCAGTAAACTCAGACTTTACAACGATAAAGCGGGCTTTGACCATGTCAGATTAACATAATTGTCATTACTTAATAGGTATATTCGACAAATGGCCTCGAATTAAGGACTTGGCAGCGCCTGTAGCGCTTGGCATGCTGGATGTTTAAAGAAAGTTACTGGGCAGAATGGGGCCATGCTATTTTACTAGTGGTTTTGGTGGGTAATCTGTATGGAAGGGCTGTTATGGTAATCTGTAACTAGTATGACTCTCAAAAAAAAACTGTATATGAATGTGATTAGTTGTATAACGTCGGCATTTGAAGGTGCGTAAACACATCTCCGGGGATTCTCCTAGACCTTGAGAGTCTGTATGGAAGTATGGAAGATTCCGGGGTCGATACGTGCTGTATCACTAGGTTTATATGAAAGTATTATTAACAGAGATCTTCCTCAGACAAAACTAATATACTGAGGGCACTATACTAGGTATTAGACTTACCAAATATCATCAGCTCCCGACCAAGCGGCATTGAATAATCTCTCTCTCATCACTCCCAATCATGGAAACATTGAAAGTTCCTGAGAACGGGATCATGGCCTGTCCACCTGCATCATTAGGCAGAGTCCCTGAAGATGATCCGCCAGAATATTCCGTATTTAGTTCGCGGCAGCGAGCCATCATCATCGCCATTGCCAGTATCATTGGCCTTCTTAGCCCTTTGAGTTCGAACCTATACACGCCCGCCATCCCCTCGATCGCGGACGACCTGGGCGTCTCGAAGGGGTCAATAAACTTGACCGTCACATCCTATCTCGTACTTCAAGGCATCAGTCCAATGCTCTGGAGCACAATAGGAGACCGCGTCGGCCGACGACCCCTCTACCTCATCACCCTTCTTGTATACCTAGGTGCATGCATTGGGCTCAGCTTTTGTCGATCGTTCGGGCTTATGATCGGTCTACGCGCCATACAGGCAATCGGATCGTCGCCCACCACTTCCATTGGCGCAGGTGTCATTGGTGACCTGGTGGATTCGAGACGGAGGGGCAGGTACATGGGTTTCTACAGTGCTCTTGGTGGCTTCGCCACCGCCTTCGGCCCAGTCCTTGGTGGTGTCTTTGCTCAGTACACAGGATGGCATGGCATCTTTTGGTTTCTACTTGCATTGACAAGCATGCTGCTACTCATCACAGTGTTAGTGATGCCGGAGACGAAAAGAAGCATCGTTGGGAATGGCCAAATAGAGTGTTCGCCGTATTGGCGGCCCCTATTTCCGTATTTGGACGCTCCTAAGCAAATCAAGAGAGTCGAGAAGATCAACCATTCCACAGTTGGCTTTCTTCCTATTGGGTTTCGGCTGTTGGCATCTCCAGAGGTCTTCTGCTGTGTTGTCTTCACCGGTGTGTGTTACGCTGTGTGGCAAATGACCATGGTAGCGGCTGCCACTCTATATTCAGAGAGGTACTTTCTCCAGGAGCGAGATATCGGACTGACATACATCTCGAATGGCGTGGGTTCTCTCTGCGGGAGTCTGATCACCGGTAAAGCTCTTGATTGGCAGTACTCGAAACAGATGAAACATCAGAACAACGAGAGTGATACAGTGCAAGACAAAATCGACAACATCGAGCGAGCCCGTATATTTCCTCTCATACCGCCGACAATACTCTATATCATATCTGTTCTTGGGTTTGGCTGGGCAGTCGATGTTCGGGGCCATGTTAGCGTGCCTATAATACTGGGTTTCTTTGTCGGAGGGTTCGATACTTGCATCCTTGCTGGCTTCTGTAGGTCATCTTCTTCTGAATATGAACTCACTTGTCTTTTTGAGACTAATCCATACCTAGCAACCCTAGTGGTCGACCTGTTCGAAAGTCAATCATTCAGCGTGACCGCCACGATGAATCTATCGAGATGTCTCTTAGCCGCTGGCGGAACTTCTCTCATACAGCCTCTGATAGAAAGACTGGGGGTTGGATTCGCATTCACTGTGTGCGCGGCTGGCTGTGTGGCTGTTTGCCCACTTGCTGCAGCTGAGCTATTTCGGGGAAAGCATTGGCGACATAAACGAGCCAAAGATCAGTGATACTGAGTATCGACATCCTGTCACATGGCGAACCTAAGAGACCGGAAAATAACAATGTTATTAAACAAGGAGTTTTAAACTACCTTTTACCAAAAAATGCGGTATACTGCCACACAGCCGATACGTACTATTAGGACGTTGAATGAGGCAATGTTGATGAAATTACTGGTGATCTGATTGATTGAGTTAAGATCGTGAGAACGAGCGACGCACTAGTAATTACAGTAATTTCAGAGATTTCAGGTCGCCTGACAGGGATGACTATTCTGACGATAAGCCTTCCAAAAAGTCGGGCTCTTGTGGTCTCCCTTGGGGGTGGGGGCTCTGTTTTGTACAACGGATGTGAGATGTGAGAATGCATGACTACTGGTTTCACCAATTGGAAATCGGATGCCATATTGTGCTTCCCCGTGCGGCTCCTCGCATAGGTAAGAATGAAGCTATGCAAAGCCTCCCGAAACCGGCTCAACGTGCGTTTAACCACGCGAATGATTCCCCGAAAGAATATGAGACAAATAGCTGTTCTCGATAGATGGCTAACATTTTTTTCCAGAGTTATATCATCATAATGCTCTCCCCTCGACCTAGATTCCGAATCCATCTCTTGTAGTCTTCATTATTGTCCAGTGTTGTTTGCTCAAAGAGAATTCATTCCTGATGAACGTTTTGGCGGATGCATATGCGTATGCCCTCGTTGTATTGTTGAATGGAATAAGCTCCGTGGCCTATCGTCTTCACCTTCATATATATCTAATTAGAGGACCTGCTTACAAAGTATCAAGCTGTATCACACAACTCAAATTCCTGGGAGTGTACTGGAAGTTTAAGTGGATGGTAAAGAAGACCGCGTTACGTGCGTAGCTAAACTCGTCGTCTGATCATGCGAAGACCTCCTTATTTCATTCGCCCGGCATGTATGCTAAAACATAAAGTTTTCCGCTTCATTTCCTAGGTATATAAATATCTATAGCCATTCCATATATTATTTGTCTTTTCTAAAGTTCTTATTGTTAGGGACGAGTATTTCGACTGACCTTTGATAAAACCTTTTCTATTTAATTGAGAAAGCGTGTCAACAAATCAAAATTTCAGCTTACAACCATACATGGAGCCTCAAATCCTACCATTAGTATCCATTACCACGAAGCCAAGGGCTTGTTGGGTATAGAAGTCATGTCTGTATTAGTTTCTCAGCCGGGCTCTCGCTCCCCGGGTAGCAGCTCGGGGGACCCACGCATTATCCCGGCCGTTGATGTTTAACTCCTCGGAGTATAAGTGGCAAAGCATTATCCTAATCGGAAGCGAACAAAAGCGTCCTGCCTATAGGATAGAAAGGAGTGGGGGTCACTCGATTGTTTGCTTAGGTGAAGACTAGTTTCATACCTTACGTGAGTCCTAAGGCTATACTTATCGTAAATTAGAGAGAATTCACCCAACGGTAGGCTACAGGGGAAATATCTAATGCAGTATGATGTTAGGGTATTCTTTTGGCATGAAATGAAACATAGGAGTTTATCACCGAACGTCGGGTTTCCTTTTGTGTCTGCGATATGTGCACGATGAAGGAACCAAATCTTCAAGGCCCGAATACAGATAACTATTCCATGCGGCCTCCCGGTAGCTCTCGTTAAATATGGACTCAGATTGGATGGAAAAGTCAATTCGTTTCACTCAAAATTGATTATTGCTACACGGTGGATCGTCACCACCTGAATCGAGAGCAAACATAGACCTTGACCCCCACGCCACGCGCGAACAACGGCTCTTAAAGCAATATGTGTACTTCCGAATATGTCTTAGGATACGGACCATTAGAGCCTATGCCGTTGACATATTGCAAATGAACTTATATGGGACTGTGTGAGAGGGGAACTATGGCATCTGCGATAGTCAACTTGTGGGGGTCCCCGGTTTCGCGTGGTGGGTGGGTATTTCTATAGGAATTTTCATTGAAATTTAAATCATGATGAATAAGATAGTAGTGATAATCCCTCATCGACTTCAATAGAAGAGAGAATACCTACCATAATGAAGAATACCAAGTTACCTATGACTAATCCAAGTCGATAGTAATTTAGACGAACCTAATCCTTGAAGCCCCTATCCGGTGTCAAGAAGTGGTCAGGGGAAGATATGGACAATCGTTGGAAAGTCTTTCGTAGACACACCACGGTTAGGTAATAGCCAAATGGAAATGACCAGCGAGCCTGAAGGACAATTCAACGCCCGAGATGTCTCATGGTTGTTACTTTCGAACGCCTAATGAACTTATAAAGGTTCCACCACACGTGTTATACATGTGCTGGGCCGGGACACTGCTGTAGTAGTCTGTCGTGAGACCATCAGGTGTCGGTTCTATCGGATATTCGGCGATTAAGAAGGGTATTAAGTACCGCCGGGAGATTTTGTATGGGATCTTAAGAAGGGCGGATGGGTTATAGCACTTAGTCGTGGGGGTCTTATTCATCCGTAAGCGGTTCATTTAGACTAGGTGCAACTGTAATACCAGATCCCAGATGCACCAATAACTCTGTAATAAAATGTCGGTCAAATCCTCATATTTAAGCAACAAGGACTATGAACGGCTTTGCATCGGGTTTGCTATAATTTACGTTACCTTGGTAGCGCCGTACATCAGATAAAACAGTCTCGGAATGAGACTGCGTTCGACGACGGCTTAGTACACACAAAGCCGAGCGTGAAGAGGAAATAGATTGCGAACGAATGGAAGCTCATACCTTGGTAACTCCTCGTCGAAGTGGACGGAGGAGGCGGCTAACTAAATAATAAAAATATATATAAAGGGGTAAAGGCTATGTCAGGTCTCTTCATTTAATTGCAATTTTTAAATATACTACATTGGCACTAAATCTAATCACTCACATACAATTTATACGAGGCCCATAAGCTACATACATAACAAAGTACCGGCCATTTATTTCACGAGCGTAAAGATTGCTTCACCTCTATAATATATAAGGTACCGAAACCTTACTATTTCATACTACCTACTCCCGTATTAGGTAGCCATGGCGTCTGAGTCGACTACTGGGGCCGTACTCAACGGGTAAGATATAGCCTGTGCTTCGTTCAGAAAGCTTCCGATTTGAGATTATCTATACTGGGCATAACTGATTGAGGAACTGTCCTACCCTTCTGTGTAGCGAAAGGCCCCTAGGGTCCAACGAAGTACGAACTGCCCGTACTACTTACGATAAGCGAGATCTTCGAGTGGATCGATTGGAGGCATTCTTGACTGTTCCCGTTGGCACCATCATCGCCTCAGACATTGACCCTAAGGATATTCCGGCGGCTCACATAGCGCGGATTGACACTGAACTTGCGAGCATCCTTCCTAATCTTCCTTAAGTCTAGTGTCCGTGCTCTATTACATAAGGCGAGTGCGTAGTACACTGGGTATATATAGAGGTATATATGTATATAAAGCACATCAAATGGGGATACGGTCGCGACTTTGATTCCCCTAGTTGATACAGCGAGGGAAGGCATATTGGTATGGGATATTTTGATATATGCTCTTGGATGGAAAGCTTAAAAGTATTAAAGAGGAGTATTGACATAGTTATTTCTAGTCTGGGTGTAAGCACAAGACAAAAGTCATTCCACAATAAAAGTTTACCATCGATGTCTTTCTTCATTTCCCTGACGCTGACTCCTAATGGCCTCTAAGATAGATACATAGGTAACCAATACAATGTTTATACTATGTGTTTGTTCATGGCTGATATGAACGACAGCGTAAGCATTGCGCCAGTATAGGATCCCCAACTATTTTTCGTTTTTTTGTTCATGACGGGGAAATTTTGATGAATTACTGCTTGTAGTCACCATAACTGCTAGTTCTTCTTCATCGGGACCTTACTGATATCTCTTTAGAGTACATTCTGCTCAATACTTTACTTGATAGCCTCGCAATGTTCCCGTGGAGAGATATCATATCCTTGTATCTACCATCACCGGCACCCCTTATTCTACTTTAAATCCAAGCTCATGTCACGTGATTACAGGATCTTTATCTTATCGGGGCACGGCGAAACCTATCATCCGAATTCTGTCTCGAGACCCGTCGGGATCCACCATCGGCTTCGATAATGAGAATGTGCAACATGAGAGGAATATTACAATACAACGGCAAATGATATCCCTCTAGCATCGAGGGGCTCTGGATGCGAACTGCCTTAATGGCCCGGAATCATAGACTTGACCACGTACCATTTTTTACGACGGTTCCAAAACGTTGTTTCCGACGTTATTTACAGTGATTGTGTACAGCGTTGAAAAGCAAGACCCAAGCGAATTGTGAACCCCCTAAGTTACTGCCTTAAGTTCAGGGTTGGCTCAATTAGAATCGTGCATTCAGGTGAACGGACTCGACTACGAAGGTCCGCGCCAAAAGACTTGCACATGTAGTCTTGGCAAACCATGTACGAGTAAAAAAAGGACCGCACGGTATTACTTAAGCTGTAGTGGCTAATGCCGCTATAAATACAGTGGTAAGCCACCTAAACTTAGCGTACGGGCCACTATCTAAAATTTAGCTTAGTACCTAGGTAGCTGATACGGTATTAATAGAAAAGGATGACATTCGAATACGGTGTTAGGGACTTTTACACGTGCAAGACTTTTAGCCCGGACCTTCATACTTTAAGCCATTTCTAAACATTCTTCAGTGAAGAGATTTGCATGGAATTTGTTTATTGGAGCTAAATATTCGGTCTCATTCAAGCAGGCCCCTTACCTTATTTGCTATAACTCAACAACCGACAAATCCTTCAGTTCTTAAACTCCTGGTACGGCTCATCATTTTAAGTAACCACGACCCTCATTAGCTTGATTGGCTTTGGGGGACTATGCATGGGCTAGACCTTCATATAATGTCACAAGCAAGTGCTCGGACGAATGTGGTCTCGATAGTGATGCAATGATAGTAGGTGTATCTATCGTTGGTCATACAGCGGATTCATATGTCGACGCATACTATTTCAACCCATCTCCCATTTTAACCAACAGCGTTATTCTCACTGGTTGGTTTTGTCTTGTCGAATATATCAGTGCTATGTTATAAATCAACAATACATTGACGGTCTTATTATCTTTCGTTCCCGAAGTGCTTATATTTCCCAACTGAGATACATGACCTAGGATATAAGCCGAATGGGGGTCGGTTTGAGTTCACTAGAGAGCGGAGGTAAATTTGCAGTGATCACAGCTAAATCTAATGGGTCATTTGTCTTATTGCTACATGGTTATTCTATAAACCAAATGTTCTTATTGACCTTTTAACTCAAGTCTTTGGCCGCCTCGCTATCATGCAAGACCGCATTTGTGAAAGTGGCTACAGGGGTCTATCTACGACTATATAAGAAGCGCCTTCGTCAGAGGATAGAAGGCCAGGCGTTACTAGTTCAATACATCTATTACTTGGTCTACCAACCGGCGAGATACAAGTAATTTGTATCTTTTCACATGGATCTAAATGATACACCCAAAATATCACTGAGATATTATAGTATATCTACCGGCTTGTCGGCGTGATCACCAGCCTAAGTATTGGATCAATATACATCGAGTACCAGATTCACGGCATTGAGCTTTCTTGAGCATCTAGCTTTCGTAATACTCACGGTACGATTCAAGACGAAAATATACTCTGCTTAGACGCTATGACTCAATCCTCAGACAATGCCGCTCATAATGGGTGAGTTATCCCATGTCACTACAAATATGTTTCCGACGAATGTTCTAATGACAGTAACTATTATTTATCCAGCACAACTCCACCTAAGCAAGCCCATTCTTTCTCCGAGAACCCGCCTACCAGTCATGCTACAGATAGCCAGAGCCTTAGAGAATATCGTCTTGATAGATTTAAAAATGAACCTAACAGTGTACCCCTCGCGAGTGTCCAGCCTGATGCTCCCGACAAGGCCCAAGAAACGCGCCGAACAAACCTTGCCGCCGATTTAAATACTATCCTCAGCGAGTTCGATAAGTCCAGTCTGGCCAAATAACCGTATAGACTTGAGTTGCTACAAGTCAGGTCAGGTATATTGGCTTACAAGGCTTACCTGGTTATATTTTTGGACTGGTTTGAACACTCTTGTAAAGCCGTAGCTTTAGCTACATTAGCTAGAGAAAATACCAATTATATAGCATTAAAAATATATACGTATACCTTTAATGTACGTATTTGTTAAACAAATAAAAAATATTTACGATTTATCCAGGCTAAGTTAAGTCAGGTTCAAGTCAGGTTAAGCTATTAATTGACTCGTCGAACTCGTTGACTATCTTAGCTTCTCTCGGATAATTCATTAGTAAGGAAAATTGGCTCGCTCTACGTGGTATGATAGATAATGGGCACGAATGAGTTCGCATTATTCTATTACATAGGTGACGGGAGATGTTTAGGCTGGCTTGTGTGTTATTGACTTGCTGGAATTTTGGCGTATTTCAACTTGGAGGAATGGTGGGTGGTTTCTTTAATAGGATCGGTTCATGTACTATAGAATACATTGCATCTAGGGATCGTATTGCCATGGCAGAGCACATCGTTAAGCCCCGTGCAATGGCGAATATTCCGCATCTTATGCACTGTTTTACGCTGTAATCTGATCACATGATAAATAATACCTCTACAAAGGTACCAGGATCTGACATACCCCGCATACTTACTTTTTTAGATCTAACTAAACATTATCTTAAATCTCGATTGCCTCGTAGTTCCTTATCCCACGCTGAAAGTATAAACAAATAGGGAAAGTTAATTGACAAATTATGATCTTAATTTATTTATAGTCATGCCGTTAGTCTGTTTAGGCGTTATAGCTTTTAATGCTCACCTTACCAAATGCCTGATCCTTGTTATCCGGAGGCTAGAACCGAAGAGTGCAATTAAGCTTAAAGGATACTCCCGCTATGTGGGGCCGACCCTATCTAAAAATAGAAACATTCCCGAATTGTCGGGTACCTCCAACAAGGATGAATAATCGTCTCTGTTGGAACATAACATTATGATCTACTGGATATAAAGCCCTGGTATAATAGGTAGTTGAGACGCTTTAAAGGGCGTTATTCTATTCAGGATTAGAAAGCCTGTTCTGTATTGTGCATGTCCGAAAAACTAAGAGTATTTCAAGGGGTGTACTGTATAATTTGGGAGATGGCGTCAGAATATAAACGATCCTTCTAATCAACGTAACCTCCATTTGCATATCCATCACTCCTGTAACTATTTAGCTCCATCCTAACCCTATCCATCTAAGCTTTAATAGGATAACTTTTAAATTCGAGGACATGCACTATGTAACCCCTACTATTGTTTAAAATAGAATGAAAAACCTAATAAATGTTACCGCGCTACTAACATGGGCTATAACTTATAGTTAGTATAAGTAGTTGTGTAATGAAAACACGGCTTAACGTATAGAACGAAACACCCTTCACGAACCATATATTAGTAGATTTACCGATTTTCCAGTGTATATGTTACCTAGGTCATAGCCTGGACCTCGAAATTCTTAGCACGTATCTCCTCCAGGTTCTATTCACATGAAAGAAAGAAATAAATAAAGAAACTTCACCTACCATGGGTAATGGCGATGTTTTATAGTATACACGCGTCGTTGTTAACATTCGTGAGGATAATATCGTCCCAATCTAGTATCTAGTTAAGATTTATCTGAAGGAAATTATCAAGTTTTTCGACCATAGCTGCGCAGTGCAAAAAGGTAAAGCTTTGGCTGGTTACAGTGCTAGCTTATCCCCCGCAACTTAAATATCTTGTAATATCCTGTCCATGTAGTGATGTGAAATACAGAACTATCTTAGACGTCTATGGTGTTAATATCAACTCTTACCTCGAGAAGTATTATGTAAATGTTGTCTATCCGAGTGTAGAGTACGACACCAAGAGGTAACTATTCGCAAATTCTCTGGCGGGGACATTTGGCTCCACATTCTATTGTTCAAGCAACACAGACATGCGATGGCAATCACTGGTAGCGGTAGCATTAAGTGCCGTGGTAGATATGCTCTTATCTTGGCGTGTCTATGTGCGCACCCAATTTATTAGCTCCTTATAAAGTTATATTTATCTTTACATTATTTTTTTTATTAGTATGGCGTCGTGATACGCGCTACCTAACCTCGACGCCTGCATAAAGAAGTAGACTTAAAAGGTAGGAAAGAAGCTTCGCAATTCCCCGAGGGATTAAAGTCTAGATCATAGACGCTGGTGGCTATAATATACGCTAATATAGATGGGCTGACAAGTTCCGTGTAGGCCATAGAGAATAGGGTGGGAAGTTTCGAATCGAAGGGTGATTACCAATAGGATATTATATACTGGTCTCAGTGTCTGCTTTAGAATATTACTGCATGCTATGCCTTCGTATTGATACTTTCGTTTTCGTGGCGTGGTCATACACCACCTCCCTTAGGAAATTTACATGGATATACAAAAGGAACAATATAACAAAACAATATGGAAACTATCACGAGCTAGAAAGCATGCAAATGATTATCGGTTTCAAGGAACTGCAAATCCAAGTACGGAAGCCTGTATACACAGAATTATCTGTTCTATCTGTTCCAACTGCTCTAAATGTCTCATCCAGAATTTTAGCGGAAGTTGGCCGGTGAGCTTAGAGCGTTGATTTTCATCCTTTTTTCGGTGTTCTCCTCGTAGATCTGCAAATGGCCAGCCAATCGGACTATTATGCCCATGTTAACCTAGGTACGTTTATATCTACCTAAGGTATGTATGTATATGCATTGTCGGTAGTTTATCTTTTTTATAATTTTTTTTTTTTTTTGTTTTTTTTGAAGGAAGCAACCAAGGATCTAACTGACCCCAGCTTCCGCGTGTAAACATGTCATATGCTTCCATGGTCGTGGTGGGGAGTAAAAGTATGAAACCTGCATAAGTACCTAAGGTAGGTTAAACGTCAATATTTTCCCCCGGAGGCTTACACTGCAGCGGAGTACAGGTTCGAGAACGTAATATCCCACTCGTGATACAGATTGAATTGGCATTGGGAAAGATATAACCGTCAGGGTGGCACTCGTAATACTTTCACGAATAGACCAATCAAAGTATCGTGCGTCGTCTGAGGGCAAGCGAGGTCCCCGAGGGAGGTCCCCGAAGGAAGTTGATTGGCAGCGCCGTCATTGGCTAGTCCCTTTTTGTCCCTGTTGTTTAATCCGTACCTCCCTTGCAGTGGCGTCTATTTAATTGCCTTGACTAACGTGGATTGAGTATATTATAACCATGGAAATCTACCTAATTGTCCTTATATTGTCCTTGTTCAAACATAAACTCTGCGATCCCCGTCTACGGGGCGGGAGGGTCAAAGATATCTTCTTGATGTCAACTACGAATTACGCTGAAGCTTTTGTCTTAAACACCCGACTACTCAACTTCTAGAAGACATCACCGCAGTTTACGACACTCACCAGATATTCAATAAGATGGGGTGAATTGATTGGATTCCCTTGGTACCTACAAGGGATTCAGTCGTTAACTAGTACATGGCTCAATGTACTAAATTCAAGGTAGCGATATAGTTGTCTTCCTATACTCTGTTTTGATAAATGCTCATGGCATGTGATTATTTAGATGGCTTATTGGAAGCCGGCGATATCTACCATCCGATTTTACGGGTCAACGGGTTTACGGGAGACACTGCTGCCGACCGTCTTTACATAATCCGATCCTCCTCTGTATTCGACGATTCCTGCCCGACTACAACACTACTTGACTACAACACTAGCGTGTCGGCCATCAGCAGGCTATAGATACCGCGGTGATGAGGACGTGTCAAACTAGGTACCAATTAGCCTGTTTGGAAAACTCCGTTGCCAATCTTCGTCGGTCAAGGTCGTTAAACTGATTTCTCACTCCGATTCGAAGATTTGAAGATACCCTCGCTGTGACGTACATACTTGCCGCTGGCTAATGCGAGGGCTATCACCTTGCAGACGATTAGTGCAGAGAATCCAATTCGAGGGTTATTAGCAGGCCTAAGCCGTTTCTCTAATCACTTGCAGATACGAGACGGGATTTGCATTATTTGCGACTTGGTTATTCGGCACGTCTCGATAAACGTTACTGCTAAGGAATGTGGCTTGAGCAATTGTCAAAGCGTTCGGCGTTCCAACGATTTATCCCCTCCGAGATTATTCTAGACGTCGTTTCGACCACTCCTAAATTTGCTCAATATGCGACTAAGGATTCTCCTACCTACTGGAATGCGCTCCGTTAAAAGTCGTTTTGCGACTTCTACGGACAGGTGCAGAGTTTGAGTTGGCGGAAATCAAGAATTCGCGCATCCAGGGGGCTTTTGAATACTAATCGGAATAGGTGCACGCGACAGTTCATTATTAACTACCAGAAAACTTTTCGTAAGTTGTCGCCTTGATGATCGGACTGGTCTGCAAGAAGGCATTGGATTCTGGATCGGAGCTATCCCCTACGTCGCCCGACTCAAGTGACGTTCGCTTGATAGCGTGGAATTTTTGTTGGAGTTATATCTCAAGCACCAATAGGACGTGAGCGAGCGTTCTCAATTGCGGGACTCTTGTAAAATGTGGCTGCATAGCTTCAAACCCTACTCAATTGACACGTTGGTCAACCGAGGCCTTCGTGGTTTTTGGCTGCATTGTCTTAGGAGGTGTTATTGCATTCAGCTCTGCGTGGTTCTGGATACAGATAAGCGATTAAGGTGTTTGGCATGCTGAACTGCTTTTTGATGACGCGACGGCAAGCAAGATGCAAGAACCTATCTTGTCACCTATTTGGTTGTTTGGTTCGGCACATGGAATGCGCTAATAGGGGTCTCGGAGGCAAATGGCAACGGCTTATACGGTGTTGTTAAACGGTTTTCTCCGTGTATTTCGACGACGCCGTTGTCTCATCAGACCTAACAACTCGGAATCTTATCCCCGCCACTACGCTAGCCTAATCCATCCATTCTGTTCTGGTGTCGGTCATTTTAGAGGCAGGGAATCTCGATGGCATCGTCAGGTTAATTGGGTGCTGTTCGAACTGGCGCCTCGTGCAACCACCCTATAAGAGTTATCATATTCTTCCACGGGGTCGAGAGGGTATACCATACTCTAGGATCATCATTAGGGGAATTTAAATAGGTACCTTTGGACTGCCCCGACCCAGTCGGGCCTTTCCGTCAGAACAGCATAATATACCCGATTCTTGAAACGATCAGATCAGAAATCTATAGCATACGCCGTCAAACTGGTAAGAGAGTATCACATATTTCTTATCATAATGCCAGGAAGTTCGAACAAGACAGTATGTAATGGGTAGGTTTCTTCCATTGATGGAGGCATTTTTACAGCAATTTCTAACAGATATGGCTGGTCACTAGAGAAACTCCACCGAAATCATCCCATTACTTCTCCGAACACCCTCCTACTTCGCACGCCGCCGATACCCAGAGCCTCAGAGACTACCGTCTCCGAGAATTCAGAAATGATATCAGGAGTGTAACTCTTGCGGACGTTCAAGCTGCTGCCGCGAGTAGTTTTGGTGCTACCCGCTCCGCAACGGATGCCACCCAAGTAAGTTTCGTCCTGCCTTACCCAAGCTTAATCCTTCACTCACCAGTAAGAATGCCAGGACTAGTAAGGATGTCTAGGAAGGAGTGAGCTGGTGAGATATAGTGCCGAGGTATTGTAATTGCGTTGGCGGGGTGGTCTTTTTGGCTTAGGAATAGCAAATTGCATTGTGTGACTACGGATATAGCCGTTTTCAGGCTTTTGCTATGCATTGCAAATATATCATTAAGATCTCAGTTTACATGTCATATATCACCTAATTAGAGATTCTATACATACAGGTAGGTAGGTATGCGGTGCTTTCGTGTTACGTTGCTACATTATGTATGGAACAGATTTTATCTTATTAAAAGAACATTTGACCGCGGCCATACTATTTAATTTAATCTTCTTAAGTGAATAATAGTTCCTTGAGACCTTTACACTCTGTGTGCCTCAGTAGTAAGTAGTAGCCGGTAAGCCAAGTGGATGCCCATGCCGCAAGCCCCCTAATTCGCCTTCTAACATCGACATCTTTGATCTGCCTACCATAAATATCAAGCCCCGACACGGCGTAACAAATCGGATTGAGTGCCGATCATATTATATTATTATTTAGCTCGAGTGACGAATATGAATTAATACATTTAATGTTATGGTGAACACGGTATAATACTATTCGGCCGATCGTTGGCTGTCATGTACAATACGTGGCAACGCGCATGAACTTATTTACAGGTGCTCATTTAAGCCCTTCCTCGTAGCGCATGCATTACTAGTATTGCGACCTTACCTGTCATCCGTACTTGATCAAGCAAATTTTGCAGGCCGTCTTTTGATCTATTCTCCCACGAAGAATACCGTTTAGTCTAAAATATGCTAGTTTAAGATTACCTAATGTTCTATGGTTAAAGGTTAGAAGTACATAATTCTAAGGAGAAGTTCAAAAAGTGGCCGATTATTATAATGAGATTATTTATTATGTAACATCTAGTGACCTTATTAGGTTGCCCGCGCAGTCTTTAGCCATGTAAATCCCGAGCTTCCTTAAGATCTCGCATTGAAATTATACCGATTGTCCCGATCGTAACGTTTCGATAGTTAAGAGTCCCGTCTATTGAACCCGGTATGTAAAACGAGCTTAAGGTTCATCCCGCAGCGGAGCCGGACCTATCTAAAGCGGGGAAGCCTTTGAGATATGTACCCAGGCGATCCTTAACAGGGGTAAGGTGAGAAATTATTGGTTAACTGTAAGTTGGGGTGGGATCCATCCACCGAGTGGACTTCCCGTATAAGGGATCTAATCTTTCGGATGGATTAAACATTTCGATTGGGGTGAACCCCTGAAAAGGGGAAATAAGATATGGATAAAAGGGAAACCCTCATAGATAGAAAATAGTTTACTACATAGCTTGAGATTATATCTTTGAGATATATTGATCTCTTCCCTTATCATTGGTAGGCTACGAACAATGATAAGTTATGGTCATTCTAGCGGTTAGCTCTAGCTGGGGCTGGGTAAATTCCAACGTGCCCCAGGATCATTTTAATAGCCCAAGACCTTCGTGCTGGCCCAAGTTAAGCAACTGTAAATGTAGAAAGTACGATTAATACTTCCTGGTAACTAGGGTATGGGTAATAAGTATTGATGGGTATTAATGGGTAAACTAATCTTGATTAAGTGAAGTTCAAGAATATCCACGTCTATCTGGTGATTATATAAGCCATAATCTCTTTACAATATAATTGAGAGAATTAAAACCGCAAATATGAATGAAAGCTAGTGTACTGAAGTCCAATATTTAGTTTTGATACTTGTCGCTTTTTTGCCTGCCTTCACGGCATCAAGCCCACTAAGTTGTACCGAGGTAAGAAATTGCGATATTGCATCGGAAGCGTGTGGTGGCGAAGTCAATACCAGTATGGGTTACCTCAGATAGTCGTGGCTTAGGACATAGGGGTGGGGGTTGGGCATTAACAAGTTCTTTCGTCCTACGTCGTAAGCAGGCTACAACTGAGCACACCGAAATCTATCTAGTCACTAGGAACTTTCTTGCATACGAAATATCGCCCAAATAATTATAACGACGATCTTTGTTGCTTGGACGCTTTGATGTAACCTTGGAGCAATTTACAAGCCTGACTGCTACCGAAACATCGATTTGAAAGGTATGCTTTCGGTGAGCGTGCATATTTTATTAACCCTATATTTTCTACTGCAACCTTAGATCAGGTCTGCCTAAAGCGAAGGCAAACAGATATGAGACGATAAGTACCTTGTAAGAAATATGCCTGGTTTCGGTGAATGCCTGCAAGACAAATGCTACTGCAGGTTACTTTGCAGCATCTGGAGCTGTCTGCCTAATGTAAGACTGGGTGATATCAACATATATGTAACAACCATTAGACAAGTTTGCATTCGAGGTGACTGGACAGACGTAAGGCAGTAGATCTTTTGCCTAGGTAGTAGTCATTTGATTGGTCACACTTTATATGCGGCTGGAGAAAGTCCAACTACCCATAGATCGCAAGGACAAGGCAGACAAATTGGAGTCTTACATATGAAATCATACACACTATACACAATAGTGTAACCCATAGAGCCTAGCGAGAGCGAGGCTGTGCAGACACCAGATTTGCAGAAGACGCGCGCAGGCTCACAAAACTCGATACTGGGCTGACTTGAATATCTATGACTTGAATATCTATATAAACAAGGACTCCCTCGTATCTGTCACCACACCTTCATCTTCAAGAACTATTCTTACTTCACCCGATATCGTATTTCTCTTTGCTACAATCACCCACGTAGCTCGTTTTTTGCGATCCTGCTACCTCTATTACTATGTTTTCGAAGAGATGTGCGATTAACTCGCTTAGGATATCCTGTCACTTTGGTTATTAAGAAATTATTCCACAGTCGTTCTTGGGTCAAGGACCTATAGAGCCATCCATAGACAAAGGACTCCTGCATTTCCCAAGGAGATACTACCCTAGCTTCGGTCAAGGGCCAAGCTGACAACACACCATTGCTAGGTGGCTTTTGCGAGGCATATGCCTCAACCACCACAGGTTCCTAGTCAGCCTGGTATTATTCAACGTTTATTATTAATATCTTCTCTTGGACGACTTACCTACTTGGCCGCGCACCGTTCTTTGAATGACAGGGTACCCCTGAGGGTACTAGTGGAGGCACTACGACGGCCATACTAGCAATCTTCCCATACATATTCATTACTCGTTGGTACGACGAACAAACATCCATACGAGTAGCACGAAGTCACTTCTTCTGGTGAGTAGCCTTTAAGTTATTCGAATGCTTACGATATATTTTCTAGATGTTGCATAGTTGCATTGAAGGAAGTTGGGCTCAGGAAATATGTGGTAACTAAGCGCAAGTAATTCCCGCTCAAGCCTGTCTTCGACCTTGTATCTAGAATGAATTTATATTATGTTTTGCGAAGTATTTCCATGTCTATGCAGTGCTAGTCTGGTTCTAAGTTAGAAATATCACGTTTTCCGTGTGTAGAGTAGACGGGGTACCCAGTAGGCGTCCTAGGCTACCGGCTGACCGAAGACATGTTTCGACATAGGTAGGTAGTCAAGGATCTTGCTAATCTCAGTTCCACTGCAGCTTGGAACCACCTTTGACATAGCCTGGATGCAGCAATCCACAAATGAACGTACAAACCAACGTTCATGATATTCTGCCTCAGGGTGTACGACCATGTCGTTATTACTCAATACATTGGCATCCTCCTTTCGCGCGTTATGTATGGTTGATGCCTTTGGACGCCTTAGATGCCTCATCAACCCTTCCGAGGACAGGTTCGCAATGATAGACGCAGGTTGTCGAGCTAAGATGGACGGTGTTGTCATATATTAGGTACTTGAAAGTCCACTCCACACGAGTTATATTACCTATCAACCCATTCAGCGATAGACGTCCTATGAGTCTTATATTCATACCATTCCAACACTTTAAATCCGGAGACTGTCTATATCCGTCCAGTTCTACAGCCATCACTGAGTATCAACCATGGCCAACAACTCAAACAGCGCGGCATGCTATGGGTAAGTCATGGTACCTATATCTCCACGATAATTCTAAGAGCCTAATCGGATTCTAACGAGTGACAGTGCAACTCCATCCAAGCCAACTCACAATTTCACTGAAAACCCACCAACAAGCCACCCGGCCGATAAGAAGAGTCTCCAAGATTACCGCCTGCAATTATTCAAAGACGGACCCAACAGTGTACCTCTCGTAGATGATCGTACACCTAGTTCAGATGCCTCGGAAGCTTCTCACAAGGCCAAGATGGCCGCCGAGTTGGAAGCGATCCTAGCTCGCCTTGGTTAACTTGTAGATGATTCTATCTATCTATCTATCTATCTACTTTAATCAAGGACAGCGGATGGGAATTAAGAGCCCGTCTATTAGGTCCTTTATGTACTCGTTCTACACGCGTACATGTATTAGGGCGGTCCTTAACGTGTCTCTGCTAGGCATTCATGGCTGAAATATTCGCCTGAATATCTGACACGAACTTCGAAAAGACTCTTCGCTTCGTTATAGCGACTCGTCCAGATCCTTCCCAAATTTACTCGGAGTCATTTAGGAAGCCCTCAAGTATCCCTACCCACCCCTACCCCCGGAGTCGACGTTATGTTGATCTACCAAAAACCTATGACGAGGTTCTCGTCGCGGCCTTCCTCGTCGCGGTAACTCCTCCCACATATATCGTCCATCCGTTATTCATTCAATCCGTATCTTCTTTGCGGTATCGCTCTTGGAGCTTCTTGAACATTTTATTGTCACGCTTGCCCTTATTTTATCAAGTTCTAGTCCTCTTGAAAGGTATTTGATCTTACTGCGGCTTCTTATGGTCCAAGTGGACCTCTATTTAACGTTTGATTGCTTTGAGAACCTCTTGGAATCATAGGGGACATTGCTTGATGGCACATTTTGAAAGAGAGTATTGAAATCCGGTCTAGGTGCTGGATGTTAAATACTTCTCATAATGCCGCTTGTACCCGGCTATGTTTTACGTTACATGCGTGATTTGCGCATCGTCCATGTTCAGTTTTACATCGATTCAGATTATATTGTTCAACGTTAGCGATACGGATTTGGATGGATGAAGACTAAGTCAAGCTATGGTACTTTGGGCTTTGGCTGGGTATTGTAACCAGGCTTTTTGATTTTGCAGATAGCAATCTTATTATATCTTATTCCTTCGTGATGTTGAAGACCAAGAACCAATAGGGTATGAATAAGGTTACCGAGGACCCGGCACTGTGGGACGGATCTACCCGTAGTGGAACCATGATTCTATATATAGCATAGCTCCACCGGTAGCCGAATTTGAGCCCCACAATTAAATAACAAAACCCAATCGAGTTGACATTGGATTCCACTAATAGACTCATGGAACTTTTCGAGATATATTCTTTTAACAGTAACGAGTGGCTTTTACTAGGTCCGTGTTAATATCATTAAAGAGCCTTTTATGGGATATTGGAAGGACTGACGCTACTAAGCACTTACATCCAATCATGGAGGTAAACGGAAGAACTGTATAAATAGAAGTGGATTTAGACAATTCGAAACATTAATGACGCTAGGGAAATATTAAACTACGTGAAATGCACAAGCGCATTGTTTTCATATGTAGTTCGAACTACCTACCTATACAGGTTCACTTGTATGGTCGTTTTGACGCCGTGTATCGTAGTATTTATGGGAGTAACGCCAGGCTCGCATTAGTAGTATCTCTCAAAGCACCAGAAAACCGCAGTACATTACCCAGTCCCAATCAGTTGGCTACCTACCTACCTATGTACCATAAGTGGTTTTCTAGCGCTCGGGGACATACTTCTCAAAATGTCACCTTCTAAAGTATAATTATATCCTAGTTCCTCAACTTCTTGACTGAATTAAATATTATGATTATTGCCAAGTTACTCTCCATGTTACTGATATCAAAGTCCTGCCTTCTCTTCACGCTTCCCTAAATCGTTTTAAAATCTGAGACCCGGTGTTCGATCTTATGCCACCTTGCCATTCTGCTATGCTCTTCCGGTGTGCATTGTAGAACCCGAAGACGTTCCTAGAGATGCTCCCGAATGTTGCCCGGCGGTTGCCCTCTGATTGGAATGATTTGAGGGAGGTCTGAAAGGGTTGACCCCATGATCATTCCCCTCAGATGAATTGTTATCATTCTGCTTACTCTCTTGCAGACTAGCTGCGTTTTCGTCGACATTAGGCTGGTTGTTACTTTCCTCTCTAGCATTCTGTTGTCGACGGCGCTTTAATGACCGATAGCATGCAAAGGCAATGCAAAGGGTTATAATAAGTCCAAGTGCACCCGAGAATGCCGCGATGATTATTATTAAAGTATTAGGTGGCGTTTCGGAGGGGGGGAAGAATGTGGGACGCGGTAGTCCTGCCGTCTCTATAGGGTTTACCCCTATCGAAGAAAGTGGTATAATATTGGTCGGAGTAGGTTGCGTGATAGATGTAGCAGGCTGCGACCTAATTATGGTCAAAAATGAGGCGGTCGGGTCAAAGGGAGGAAATCCACAGAGGTATAGTGGGTTAGACGACGTCGCATCTGAGGCAGTAGTCAAAGAGTCCGGCTCTGGGAGCTCTGTACGCCGAAAAGGGATACACTCAAGGCCTTGGTCCTTAAAATATGACATATTGAGACACCACCTCGCTAAGCCAACATCTACTTGTCTCAACTATCTATCGCAAGCCAATCTGGGGACAAGGACTGGCTGTATAGAAGCGCCGACAGTATGAAGAGTATTGATTACCTCGGAAGAGATGTTGGAAGCGGAGTGGGCAAGAACAATAAAAGCAATTGACAAGTCCTGTATGTTTAAGTACTGAATTTATTAGGTACCTGTGGCATATATATTGGAAGCATAGGACTCTGTCTAGTACTGTTGTTAAGTGATTCGGGGTGGTATTGTCTATTCCGCAGTCACAGACATCGATTTACTAATGCCAATTATTCCATTGAAGTGATATACACAAATGCTAGTTAACTAGAAACATTGCTCTACAAACCCGGCGACGGAGTAATACAGCATATCTTCAGAGAATCAAGGGTGTGTTGCTAAATAGCAAGACATCACTGACGTTTTATAACAAATGAGTCTTTCCAAGGCGATGAGCAAGTCCCTTTGCGAATCTGTGACGTATGATTATTATAAACTTTAGATTTCGAGTTCTATGAAAAGTTGGACTTCATAGAAGGTACCTAAATGCATACTGTAAATGGCAAGAATTATTTACTGGTCGGTATCAAGGGACGTATCGTCGTAGTTAATTCGCGAGAGAACGATGGGAAACATGATCAATTCTTCTTTGCGGACTTGTGCTAGTCTCGGAGGGAAGACGTCCAACAACCGGCAAATTCTTGGCAAATATTGGTTCTCGGATATTTAATGATTGGCTATAATCGACAGTCCCAAGGTTCCATTCCTATCAGTTTTTCTATTCACCGCCTGGAATATATCGCACTGGGTGGAGCTCCGACTTTAGTCGACTCTTATCGTGAGTTTCGACGCGAAGTCTATAGTAACGTTCTTATCGATACCTATGAGAAACATCAAATTGATTTACTGATTAAACTATTAACTACACTGACTTTGTTAAGGGACGAGGCAGGATATCATTGTCTAAATTTTACCTAGAGATAACACTATATTTTCAGTTTTCAAGTCCATCGGATCAGTGTGGGGCGAATACTTTTGGGGCGGATCTTGACCAAAATATTTCCCGGGTGGGACCGAAAATCTCGCGTAATTTTTGCCGATTAACATCACCCGAGAAGTCGATAGGAACCACAATAAAAATTGAATGTCTGATTCCCACAAATATGAAGCTAAAAAATATACTTCACCATAAAGCAAAAGCAAAAAGAACTCCGAATCGGGGAATCGAACCCCGGGCTTGACGGTCCTTCAACTGGGAAGTTTTTGAGAGCGTCAAATGTTAGCCACTACACCAATTCGGATGTGAAAATTCGTTGAAGATTTTCATTTATATATCCCCCAGCGTCCTTGCAAGGTTGAAACACTACACCCACTTAGGCCTTGCCACTTTTCGGATACTTCAATCTATAATTTCCATGTGATATATCGAGCATGAGTGTACATAAGTTTGCTCAGGTATATATTTTAATATAGTCAACAAGCCTTAATACACCATTCTAGAATCATTAGGCAGTGTCCGGTTGCCTACGCCGTAATTCCCTCATACGCTGAACAAAGAGTGCCCTTCTTCCACACACCCTGGATGTTAAGCGTGTGGTCGATATCCTCGAGAGGATTACCCTCCACCAAGACCAGATCTGCCCTAAGCCCTTCCGCAATTCTTCCCCTGTCGTCAAGACGCAATCTCTTAGCGACTAACGCGGTCCCTGCTCTCAATGCCTCCTTTGGAGTGAAGCCGCATTGTTTAACCAGCACGGCTAATTCCTGATGCGCAGTGAGGCCAAAAGCGGTTCCGTGTGCAGGGCCAGCAGAGTCGGATCCCCTAGATGAAGGTTTAGTAACTGACCAGAACCTATAACTAGCCGTGATCGCACTTACAAGATAATATCGATTCCGGCAGCTTTCAGCTCCCGTACACTTTGGTAAGCGTATTCAGCTTTTGCCGCACTGTCGCTAAGTGCCATGCATCTGTGAAGGTTCTTTTTACTCTGGTCGCTCAGGTGCTTGTGGGCTCGAGGATCTTCGCAATATCTCTTTTGCTCTTTCAGCCCTTCCGAGGTCAAACTAGCGATGGTCACTAGGGTTGGGCTGCAGTATCTATATTCCGCTCGTTAGAACAAACCTGCCAACGCAGAGGCTTCGGATGTTACAAGGGCAAGGCGTACGCATTGTTCAATAGGTATGCATCGATTACTTCTTTTGTAGGTGGCCGATCGAAGAATGTATGTACCATCCCATTGACACCAGCCTGTAACATTTCTATCGTCCCTTTAAGACTTAGGGCATGCGCGACTGCGAGGAGGCCATGCTGGTGGGCGGATTCAACGATAGCTTTCTGGAGCTCTACGGGTATCAATGTAGGCTTCATGGAAAGGCCGTTGCCATCCTCATGTATCAGCTTTACATAATCCACCTTGTCGTTGAGGCGGTCTTGGATGAAGGCCTCCACATCAGCCTGAGTCTTTATATTCGGCCAGGCCGAAATTCGAGCTATCGTCTAACTTCCTATCAGTATCTTCTTGGATTTCTAGTATGTGAAAGTACTCACCTCCTCCGAGCTGTCATGGGCTAATATAGCAGGCGTTGGCCACCCCCCGGATACAGTTGCTGCTTGGCTAGCGGTCTTGTAATCTGCCGCATCCGAGTCCTTTGCAGCCTGTTCCCTTAGTTTACTGATGTTCTCGGCCTCCTGGTGCATATCGCAGACAGTAGTGAAGCCAAACTTCAAGAATTGCTTCAGTGTTGCGCCGTCATCGTCGACGTCCGCATGCATATGGCCATCGATAAGTCCAGGGAGTAGCGTATGTCCTTGTTTTGAAACGACAATGGTGGCTGGGTCTGGTGCGGTTAGTGATCCTTCTACTACTTGCTTCACCAAGCCGTTTTCCACAAGTACACTGCCAGATGGGATCTCTCTTTCGCCGTCAAAGATGCGGACGTCTTTGATAAGTAGTGTTGGAGACATTTTTATCGCGTGTTTAAACTTAACTACTGTTACTAGAATAAGACAATTGTATATAGGGTTGGAGGATCAAGGACTATCATGGTGTCTTCTAGTCAAGGTACATATATAGGTAGTTCATACCAACCGCCGACCTCGCGCTCTAACTCGCGAAACGCGAACGATAGCCGATTTCATGACGGTGCTTCTCGGAACTCCGTGGATAGTATCGATTGGTCATAAATTTGTTGAATATGAACATCAAGCTCAATGATTTGAAATCGTATACAAAAGCGAGCGTCCGACGATGGTCCAGAAATGCGGTGATGGACGCCGAACTGTCTTCCTTCTTGGATAACATAATATACTTGCAACCTGATTGGCTACATTGGTTCCAATATTTTATAATAGCTAGGCACTGCAACGTTATGGAGACCTAGTTGGTCTCATACATACAGGGCTTGGTAGAGATTGTCCGAGACCTTTTGATACCCCTCGGAGAAATTCGAAACCCCTTCTCCCTAACCCCATCGTTTACTGATCTATGTATTCTAAATACCAGCTGATCCCCACATAGAAGTTCCAACGCCTTTCCGCTTTTAACCTCCTTTTCCCCCATTTCCTGGAGTTGAGAGGGGACCGCAAAAGCTTGGCGCAGAGTTCGTCGTTGGTGAGTACCGAACTATTAGATACCTGGTCGCCTTTATGTACAAGCTATCAAGCCAAGCATAGGTCACATAGCGCGAAATAAAGCGAAGTGGGATTGCTTGGGCCGACTTGCTTAGCGATACACGTTCTTTGGCCCTGCATCCTGTGATACCTACCGTATATGGCAAAGCCCCTGTCAGTGAACGCAAAACAAACTCCTCATGTTATGGGGCTACTACACAGTTGTCGACTATTCAGTCGATGGGAGTATAGAAATATAATGCAAATGCCAATCACCCTGGTCATCGCGGTAATAATGATGCATTGCCATTGCTTATAACTCAGGTGCTGGTAAAGTCCGTATTAACTCCGGAACAAGTATCTTTAGAGACCTTCCGACGTAAATATTGAGATAGGGAATACTGAAGTTGCTTCATAAGGTGTACAATCACTTGCCCTAGAAAATATGGATAGGTAGATATACCTATGTGATCATCTGCTATCATTTATAACGTATGCTTGTCTGCTCGTAATATAACTTGCTAGCCATTCGGCCTTTATGGATTTATAAGTCCTATCACATAACTTATGTCCTCAAGTGCGAGGGAGATACGATGGGTTAACCCCCCAAAATCCGAGTAACTTGATTGATCCAAAACAGTTATCATGAATTCTGATTGAACATAGCTTAGTATAAGGTACCCACCGTGTCTCCCTCGCACTTGAGGACATAGTAGTGACAACTTTCTAGAAGTATATCAGATTATGTCCTATGATGTAGCAGTTAATATATTGATGTAAGGAGTTGAAGAGAATAATGAAACTACGTCAAGGATAATTACTTTAAGTAATTGTATTCACCCGGGTGCCTCGTTCTCTTATTTCTCCTACGGCCAAATCTTAACGGATTTCTCGAGACTTTGGGGCTAGTTTAGTCGTAGTGGCATCAGATCAAGGGTACTTGGAAGGTAATAACTGTCTCTTTACTTACCCCTAAACCATATGTAGGGGGTATGGTTAGTTTCTACTCAGAGTAAGAAAATGCCTAAAGATCGGGAAGAAAACTGTAATAGTAAAGACATGAGAGGTAAAATGGACAAAATAAACCTTTAATGCTTCAATTAACTAAGGATAAAGTTGAAATATCTTGTAGAGAGTCCTAGGTTAGATGAAAGTGTACCTAGGTAGTTATTAGTCCTATTATAATCATACTGATACAATGGGTTGCTATTTGCTGTTACTCCCCAAGTCTCGTGGATGCTTGTAAATTGTTGACGCATATTCTAAAGGTGGACATAAAAAGAGGTTGCTTGAACAAGACTAGATTGGACTAAATATGAATAACGTAGAATGATTATAATAATACGCCCTTTCAATAGTTTCTTTGGGAAGGTTAGTATAGGATCGCATAGTTACCTAGGTACCTGTTAAACGAAGTTAAGTCGACTTTCTTACTACGCAAGATCTGTGTGAAGCATTATACGCACTGTACAAAGTACATATTAATAATTATGTACTTAAGTACTTAAGTATAGCAGATAAGCCCCTCCATCAACCCCTCCAGATCCGATAAGAAAAAAAAAAGGTCATCATTGCGACGAAGTCAACTTATAACGACACCAAAGTATTCGGTTTTTTTAACGACACATAATTGCAATATGGCCCCTTACGATAGTGATTCGTCAGCCGGCGAAGAGGATGACTTCACAGAGACCAACGTGCTCCTCGGATATGCGTCAAAAGACTCTGGCGATGATACTATAAGTCGATTAGGTGGCCGTCCGGTATGCGATACCCAATTTTTATATTTCCTTCCTGGTTTTCCATTTCTTATTGCCTCGCGACTAACTTCGGCAATTATGATATATATAGGAATGGTTGGATCCAAACAACGCGCCATCAGCTGCTCTCGCAAGATGCAAGATATGCAAGGATCTTATGGTCCTACTCCTACAGCTAGACGGTGGGCTACCGGATCGCTTCCCCGGTCACGAGCGCCGACTATATGTCTTCTCTTGCCGGCGGAAGACGTGTCGTCGCAAAGAGGGTAGTATCCGCGCTCTACGAAGCGTGCGCATAGCTCCTGGAAGCGCGGCCGCAGCCGTCGCAACCGCGACGAAGGAGGAGAAGAAGGCAGAGCCTAAAGAAGAAAAGCCGAAACCGCAACCACCGTCCAATCTAGGAGAGACACTCTTTGGCGCCCAGACACTCGGCTCCCCATTCGGCTCCACCAACCCATTTTCCACATCTACAACTTCCTCGTCCGGTAGTAACCCATTCGCCACCGGTCGAAACCCCTTCAGCACTCCCTCATCGCCTCCACCTGCTACAGAGACAAGCCCCGAGCCGAAACCAGAATCCCCCGCACCATCTATCAACACACCCACAGAAGACAACACCAAATCCCTACCCCGGACCTTCGCCCAAACCCTGAACCTAAACAACGACCAACAACCACCCCCCTCCCCCCAATCCCCCTCAGAGCCCTGGCCCACCGAAGCCGACCAACCAGCCCCTTACCCAATCGCCTACCTCTCCGAAGCCGAGTACGAAACCCTCGACCCGACCCCCACCGCCGTCCCCCAAAACACGCGCCTGGTAGACGACGTCGACGACAACGGAAGCAACGCCAAAGGCAGCAGCGGCAAGGAAGACCGCGAAGTCTTCGAGTCCTCTATGGACGCGGCCTTCCAGCGCTTCGCAGACCGGCTAGCGCAGAACCCGGAACAAGCGATCCGGTACGAGTTCGGCGGGCAGCCGCTGCTGTACTCCAAGACGGATGCCGTGGGGAAGCTGTTTGCCGCCGTGCCTGGTACGGGGGGTGTGACGACGGCGGCGGCGGCGAAGGGGATGCCGCGGTGTGGGAACTGTGGCGCCGCGCGGACTTTCGAGGTGCAGATGACGCCGCATGCGATTACGGAGTTGGAGGCCGATGAGTTGTCTCTCGAGGGCATGGATTGGGGTACTGTTATTGTTGGGGTGTGCGAGAAAGACTGTCAGGCTCGCGGTGTGGCTGAAGGCGAGGTTGGGTATCTCGAGGAATGGGCTGGTGTGCAGTGGGAGGAATTGACTGCTACGGGTCCTAAACGATAATAAGGGAGTTTCTAGGTGTTGTGTGTCTCTGTAGTAAGTACGGTACGAGGAAAAGAGAAAGGGAAAACAAGTATCTATAGGAGAGAACTCTTGAGAAGAGTAATTGAGACTGAAGAGATTAAGCGTATCTCTTCCTGCTATTTCTTGCTTCTATTATGCTAGAGCCCTTAACTCGCCCGGCTGCATTATTTAAAGGATTGCGAGAGTCTGAATATCGAAGTAGAAAGCTCTGAAAGTAGAAGGGGAGAGATTGACGAGACTACGTAATGATAGGGATAGATGCATTATGTTCATTCAGATCGTGATTTTGATTCATTTCTGATATCTCATGGCCGCCTATCTAACGACGGCGGAGCAAACAGCACATCAAATCCGGAAATTACCGAACTCGCCATCCGTAACGCCAAAGACGTATTATCGTCTTTCCCAATGCTGTTTTAGTCTCGCTACCGATCCACCACCGTTACCGCCAAAGTCGTGACCCTGGACAAGTTTTCCCAGGTAAGATTTTATACGTTTTCTTCCCAGGCCCGTCTGATGACTCTCGAGAACATGTCTACGTTGACGTCCTCGCGGACTTCGCTCTTCTTGGCCTCGTTCTCGGGGTTGCGGGGGATCTTGACGAGGGCACCTTCGACTTTCCAGCCGGCGGTCTCGGTGACGAACTTAGTAGCAGCCTGGCCCTCGAGGCCGAGCCACTGCTCAAGCACAGATAGCTCTATCTCGCGGTAGGCGTGGCTGATGAGAGTGGCAATGCGGCCGCGGATCAACTCCTCGAAGCCATCGATATCGGTAGTCAGATCGGCATACAGATCGTCCGAATCTAGCGTCGCCCAGAACCGCGCATACTGCGCACCCTGCAGCTGCAGGTTCAGCTCCCGCAGCTTGGAGATGGCCTCAGGTAGCTCGGCACGCTGGTTAGGCGCCACGAGGTTGGGAGAGATCAGGTGCAGCGCCAGGGAGAACTGCGGTGATGGGAACAGAGTAAGGGACTTGACTAAGATGTTTGTGATGACCTCATCCTTAACGCGGTCGGGGTTGAGTTGGTATCTAGAATTTGTATTTAGGGTTAGCTCCCTTGGCAATATTACCGTGATGGATGGAGACGTATGTGAGTAGCGGGAGGAGAAGTCGACTTGGAGGTCAGATAGAGCTAATAGAGAGACATCACAACGGCAGACGTTTATTAAACGTCGCTGCCCGTCAGGTAATAGGAAACGTGGATAATTTGATCATCGTTCCAACCAAAGAAGACAGTAACACCATTTTAAAATTTAAATATTCAAGAAAACACTCACAGCTTCAGTAAGGTCCGGTTCGCATTGGAATCGGTATATCTGTTTTCGCACTGGTGGCGCAGGTATTCCTCTAGGTTGCCTACGGCTTCGGGGTTATATCGCTCTAAGCCGTTGATGATGTTGGTGACGTCCTCGGGACGCTCTTGGGGGTCTTCGGAATCCATCTTGGTAGGTGGTCGCGAGGAAGTCGAAGCGAGTCCTTTCACGATGGTCGAGGTTCAGGAAAAAAGTCGATTTGGTGGGGCTGTGATCAAGTTGCCGAAGTTTTGGAATTGTCAAACTGCGTGTGCGCGCTAGCACCCAAACGGATAAGCGTATGTACTTATCGTTGATATCCGATACGCTCACAAATATGCACTTACGGAGTATAATGATGGCACATTACCTACCTGGTAGGAGGTATATAAGGTATCGAGCCCGGGAAATCGAAAGCTTCAAGATTAAACTCTAACCTAGTGATTTATCTTAAGATTGTTATTTACTTAAGCTTTCAACTTAACAAACGATGATTCAAATTTCCGGTCAAATACGAAGAAAGAATTAATCAAAAACGTCTATTTTCAATAACCATATTTATCATCTAATACGGTTGGTATCTCTACGCCTCCCATGTCGCCTCTAACTAGTCCCTACCAACTCCTCATCTAACATAGTGTCCCAACGATGATGCTTTACGAAATAACCCCACTTATTCAACAACTAAGAGACTGTGGCCAGTCATATCCTCAGGCACCGGTAGACCCATAGCCGTCAAGATAGTCGGGGCAACATCTCCAAGAACACCATCGGTCTTCTTCAATGACCAGCCCTTGGGCGCGTTGTCCATGATGAAGGGAACCTTGTTGGTCGTGTGAGAGGTCTTGGGCTTGCCATCAGGGAATTTCATCTCTTCAGCATTGCCGTGGTCGGAAGTGATAAAGAGGATATAACCCTCTTTCTTGCAGGCATCGCGGATCAGGCCAATGGCCTTGTCGGTAGCTTCGCAGCCAATGATTGCTGCTTCGTACACGCCTGTGTGACCCACCATATCCGGGGGAGCAAAGTTGTTCATGACAAACGGGAACTCTTGCTCCGCAAGTCGCTTGCAGACCTGCTTTGCAACGCCGTCGGCACTCATCTCAGGAGCCTTGTCATATGTCGGGACGGACTTGTTGGATGGCACCAAGTCCTGAGATTCGTCTCGGGTCTCTAGAGCGAAGACCTTCTCGACACCACCGTTGAAGAAGAATGTTACGTGGGCATACTTCTCCGTCTCAGCAATGTGGACTTGCTTGACGCCTTGTTTGCCAAGCCACTCGGCCAATACGTTGTCCATACGTTGAGGCTTAAAGGCAACTTCAAAGGGGTAGTCGACCTTGTATTGTGTCATAGTGACGAGGTTGATCTTAGGGTAAGGGAAATCGGGCAAGGGCGACCTGTCAACTCCTCCGAGCAGCTGAGTGATCTGTCGGACACGGTCTGATCGGTAGTTGAAGAAGAAAACCTCGTCATCATCCTTGATCCGTGCTTCTTGGCCGCCGACGACGATGGGTTTAAGGAACTCATCGTTCTCGCCCTTCTCATACCGTTCCTTAACGGTCTTGACCGGATCGGAGCTCTCTTCTCCTTCTCCCAGAATCATACCCTTCAGAGCAATCTCAACTCTCTCCCATCGCTTATCACGATCCATAGCGTAGTATCGACCGACAACGGTAGCTATCTCTCCAATGCCAATTTCCTTGGCCGTGTCGATGAGCTCCTGCATATAGCCAGCTCCCGACTTGGGGTCGGTATCACGGCCGTCGCCGAAGAAGTGGATATAGACCTTAGGGACTCCAGCGGCTTTGGCGGCTCTGAGGAGAGCGTACAGGTGGGTTTGTTTAGCGTGCTAAATAGTCAAGTCAGCAACAAGATGTGCCAGATTTCACAGCGACTTGACGTACCACTCCACCGTGGGAGACCAGACCACATAGGTGAAGCCTTCCCGTACCATTCTTAGCTCTCTCAAGAACATTCTTGATGACATCGTTGTTGGAAAGCTCGCCCTTCTTGATGGTCTGGTCGATTCGGACGACATCTTGCCATACCACCCTTCCAGCTCCAATGTTCAAGTGGCCGACTTCCGAGTTACCCATGAGGCCCTCAGGAAGTCCGACGGCGAGGGAGGAAGCTTCTAATTCGGTAAAACCAGTTGCGCTCTTGGACAGATCGTCCATGACGGGGGTCTTGGCAGCAGCAATAGCATCGCCATTTTTGGGCGAGTCGGCGGAGGGGATACCCCAGCCATCAATCACGACTGTAAGTTCGCAAGGCGTAGAAGATTAGCCAGCCAATCTCGAGATATATGAGGAAGTAGCAAGCAGAAGTAAAGTAATCGGGCTTTCTAGGCCCAGTTCGAGTGATATGAGGAGGAGGAGCAAGGGAAACAGAAAAAATAGAGGGATAGGACGTACTCAGACACGCCTTTTGCTTAGTCGCAGCCATTCTTGCTTTTCAAGTTATCTTTCTTCTTAACTAACGATAGTATAAAACAAACTTAGGGTAGAGGTCTAGTAGAGGTCTAAGGAAGAAGAAAGAGAAAGGGGAATGTTGAGTGATTTTCTACGGAGGTAATGGCTTGGACTTGAAGTGTTGAGAGCTGTTTCGTATGATGGTGGGCTGCTATGGGCTAGGGATGGCTTATAGTGGGGGTTGGTTCTCTTTGCTTCGTTCAAATACATATCCGTCTATCGATAACACTATCTTGGCCATTATTACCCTCAGGTGATTATATTATGAGCTCTATATTATTACACCTCACGTTACGTATGTATAAATGCTATTATTCATTAATATCTTAATATCAGGTACCTAATCCAAATACATTCGAAGATGAATTTTATTGAATAAAATGCAGAAAATAAGTGAGCAGAGAGAAATGAGCTTAGACTATCAAACTGAAACCATACGTTTTATTAATCTTGAAGATCAGTAGGTTATCACCTGGAGGTGGCCGGATAACCCCACCATGCCGAAACTACCTAATGTGCAGAGGTGAATTTGAACTTGACGTCAATGAGCAAACCCCACATATCGGATGGATCAGCTCAGATCTCCGATCCGTTGGAACGCGGTCCGCCTTGTACATAATACAACACCAATAGTCAAATCATCGTTGACGAAACAATTGACAATCACGTCTAACTCTATTAATAGGGTTTAAGGCTGATTTCAGCTGCCCCTTCGCCATCAAGGTTCACTTTTACGTAAACTAAGTCCTCTCAATTCTGAATGTCTTTGTCCTTAGCCAAACCCCCAAACTTCATATTCAACTTTACATTTTTCGATCAAGACATCACGTCACATTCACACCCACATTCGCATTTACAATGGCATCGACAACAGCACCGCCCAAGACCCAAGTCCTCGCCATGCCCGACGGCCTAAACCCCGACACCCTCGACACCCTAACCGAGCTCGCCGTACTCCTCAACCGCCTGCGCACCCCCTCCAGCACCGCAACAGGCAACACGCCCGCGCCCACGCCCTCCCAACAACCCCCTCCCCCTCCATCATCATCCCACCGCCATCCGCACTCGCAGAACCAGCAGTCCCAGGCGCAGACCAACAACGGCGCCACGACCACCACCAACACGGGCGAGCTGGCCCTCAAGGAGATCCCGCCTGCCGCCGACGTCCTCAAGCACCGGTTCCAGCGCGCGCGCGTGCTGATCCGCGGTCTGCCCGATATGAACCGTACTATACCCAACCAGGAGGCCGAGATCGCGGCGCTGGAGGCGAGGCTCGCGCGCCAGCGGGATATGCTGGATAAGCTGCGCGAGATGGGCGCGCAGTTGGCGGCGCAGCAAGACGATAGGATGATTACGGATTGAGTGAGCGAGTGGTGGTAATGGGGCAGGCGGGAAAGCTAAAACGGGAAAGTGGCTAACTACGGGTTGGTTGGTTGGTTGGTTGGTTAGTTTATCGTTAGATATGCGCGATGCAAAAGCTACTGTATACTCGCATTGGCGTGGAGTTTCGGCGTTCAGGCTATTTCACGATGCGGTACGGTACGGTACGATACCACGAGGAAGCGTTAGGAAGACCAGGTGTGGGAATACGGGGAGGGTTAATAATTCATAGGAATCGTATATATTACAATGTTGCACAGGATAAGACCGCAATAAAAACTGACACCATACGCTAAACCTGATGCTTATACGTCGAAACTCGGACAAGGAGACAGTTTCAAAAGAGGTATGCTCGGAAGGAATTAGGATGGTCATGAGCTAAGGACACCAACTTTGCGCAGTATATCGACCGTACTGAGGCTAAGACTTCCACCCACAGAATCCTTCCATACTTCCTCCGGGATGCGCTTCTCTTCAGACAAGACGGCCCAGTTCGGGGATGGTTCGGTCTTCAGCCACTTGAAGTCGTCAACCTGGTCCCACTGGTTCTCACCCTTGATCTCCAGCTTAGTGGCCTATTGCAAGATTATCAGCGCAACTTCTTTGTATGAATAGCTCGGAAGAACTTACATAGAGCTCCGGTAGAGGTGCGAATCGCATCCCCGAGCAGTCTTCGATAATAGGATGGCTTGAGCAATGGAGGTATAGATCAACATTCTCACACTCGTGAATACGGACCTGTCGCGCAGCTACTACAACTATGCTATTTCTCAGCCCAGTAATGTGAACTGGTCCCGCAACATGGCCAGCGACAATCAAGCTCTCCTTGATATTATTTAATGCCAAACCGGCAAATGGCGTTCTTGCACTCGTCGGTGTCGTCATATCCACGACGCATCGTTCGAGATTCGTCAGACTCCCCGAAGACGTCGCCCTGGATGCCGTTGAGGGCAACATAATATGCAGTCCGGAATGGTCGTAGATAGAAATACTCTTGGCGTTGGAGAAACTCGGCTTCCTCACACCTGATTGCTGTTCAAGTTCTTCGTTGTAATTCTTTGCTATTTCGGCAGCGGTGCCTGCGGCCTCACGTTTTGCTGCGTCCAAGACCGGCGAGTGCCTAGATCCCACATTGCTGAAGGAAGTACGTTGGCGGGGATCGGCTGGACGTTCTGTTCCCGGTGCTGCTTTGGAGGATTTTGATTTGAATTGAAATCTTGACTTCGGGGCAAACTTGGCCGTCGTCTCGTTTAGTTTGTCTGTGAGGGCTTTCATAGCCTACCCAGACGTAAGAATAAGGGATCAATGTTTATCGGGGGGGTTAGTAGTTCGTACCTGAGCATATGTCCGTTGGTCGTAGGCTGGGATATAATCGCCAGCGTCCATAACCTCGCTAGACAGGCGGGATATTCCAGCTAGGACCGTGTCGATGCAGTCCTGTCTCTCGCCGCCGACAGGGGCTAAAGTCTTAAGGTCATCGATTTGGCTTTGTATAGCTTCGATGAGTTAGTTTGAAGGGCGGTTGGATAACTAAAGAGCAATGAAGACAATCTCACCAGTTATTTCAGCTTGAAAATACCGAAAGAACTTCTCTTTCGAGTCGGGTGTCATGGGTTCCGCCATTGCCCCCGGATAAGAGTTGAGAGCTGGGCTTGGTCTAAAAGGAATAAAAACTTGAGTTTCCATAGTTATTGGATAAGATACAATTTGCGAAAAGAATATTCTCAATGGATTATGTTTAGGTTGTTTTTCAAAATAGTACCTTTGTATTTACTCAGCTGTATTTACTTGCTGCCTAAGCTACAATGTCTACCTGCGGCAAGCTCTTTTGAAGTCGACGGACACGGAGAAGCTCAGAATGAGACCGTAGTGGCATATATATCCCTAGTCTCGGGAGAATGCAATGCGATGTGATGTAATGGGCTCCAACGTAAGCGATCGGGACAAGATAAGACAATATGGGGAATCACGATGCCGTGCTGCAAGATGTCGTCGATGGAGACGGGATGCTTTGGATTGTTTGAATGGTTAGAATTAAAAGCATCCGAAAAAGCATCTGTTGGAGAGAAACGGCGTCGATCGATTGGTTAAACAGAACCTTGTTTGGCGGGGTATCGCATGACACTAAATTATTCACCAATCATACATCGGTACGAATACTAGTCATTCCGCCGTGCTACCCCATTAGCCCGTCAGGGAAGTCCCCTAATTCGATCTGACGTAGCCCTGTACCGATGCGGTTCCTTGTGCGTCTATGTAAGTCATGTTCTCCACGATCATCAGGTCTCCTGTTCTCTCCTCCGACTTTAAAAGTTAAAATTTATTACCAGCCAATCCACCATACATGTTGGGCATTTCCCATTCGTCCAACGCAATATTAGTAAATATCTGCTCAGTTCCACTTCGGCTTCATACGGCCTGAATATCTCATGACATCGGAAGAGAACAGAACTTCGGTGGAATAGGAATTTTTCACATGCGGTGACATATGATGTATCCCATGATTCGGACGGATGTTATGCACAGCGATACCAATCATTAGGTGAAGATACTAGAAATCAGCCGCCTAGGCTAAGAATAAGGGAAGTACTATGTTAAGCTATAGCAACATCTACACGTCCAATTCCCCAATACTATTTTGGCAACCTCACATCTCACAGCAGGTCAATCCTCTATCTTCCACAGTTGCGAGTCGTGCACACGGTGACTTCGTGGATGTACCTGAGCTTGCCGCCCTCAACCCGGATAAAGTTGGTGCTGGGCGTACCATCAGGTTTTCCCGCATCGATGAACGGGAAGTCGTTGAAGATGTCAAGACCGCCCACTTCTTCGTCGATGACGTATCGCCGGTTCCCGACCTTGAATGGCTCCGGGAACTGCGGCATCACGCACGTGTTGGCTGTTGGTTGCGAGCCCCCCGTGTAAGCGCCACCCTCGAGGCGAGCGCACGGCGTGCCGTACGGCACTGTGACGGTACCGTCGCCCCAGCTGTCGAGGTACGCATCGCCGGCAGCCTGGATGACCTCGCGGGTATCGCGCTTGTCCTCCGGGATCGTGTCCCACTTCTCCTGTTTGGTCCAGTACAATTGTCCCGTCGCGTTAAACGCCCAGTCGCCTTGGTCCGCGACAACCGACTGTACGGCCGTGATCTTGTCGTCGGTAAAGAGCAGGCGCGTGTGGATGACGTACGGGTTCTTGTTGGTAGCCGCAGACAGCTCGGTGAACGTGGCGCACTGGGTCGTGTCGTGTAGGCTGCGGTTGAAGTCGATAGTAATGGCTTGGCTTAGAATGCCCTTCTTGATATCTCCAGGACTGTCGTTCTCCAAGTAGCTGACGTTGCTAGCCAGACCAAGCAGATTCGGGTCTCCGGCGGCTTGCGCTTCGACATACGCCGCTGTGGCCTCCCGAAGCAATTCTCGGCTGCATGCTGCTGAGGCCCGCGAGGCGAGACCTGCGCCTAGTAAAAGTAGCGAATAGATCATTGTTCCTGTCCTATCTCAAGAGTCAAAGATATTCCAAATATCTAATTGCTTCCCCAAGCTGGTGATGAGCATTGTCGCGCTGAGATTGTCACTGCATTTTGTAGGAGGCGAAGCCGGGAAAGGAGGGGCTCCTGAATTTTGCCTCAGCCCGCCTCATTTTGGCTTATATACCCGGCTTAAAACATCATGGCACTTGCAGAAGATAAGGATGAACTGCTACCTGCACCACTTGGGGGCTGGAACACGATACTCCGGTACAAGTTACCTTGCATTAAATCGAGCAGTTACTATTTTTGGGTGCTGTTGTCTCCAAATGATGCTGCTAATTAATGAATAATAGAATTGCCGTCTACACTTATTTATATGAAGGTGGAGATTGTCGACCGTAAGATGTCCTTACAGATCTTACTCCTCCGGGGTCTATCTTTGTACTAGATCTCGGCAGTTTAGCCGTTATCTTAAGACTGCCGGACTCCGAACCGGCCAGAACGCGGCAGTCTACAACCTTCGGCAGTGACAATATAGTAGAGTATAGTACCTAACCCTATAGTAATAGTGGCAAGACAAGTGCTCGACTAATGATACGGCGCGCATCGACGGATTCAAGTGTAGAAATTAGTGATATAGATTGTATTGATGGGATTAATAATTGGTATCAAGGAACGCTTATGCTAGGTAGAATTCAGATATGGTCCTCTTAACAATCAATCACAATCCTTCCCTTACCACGGCTCACACAGGTCAACATACTGCTCTCCTTCTGCTCATCTTCAAGGGCCACACCTTGGTGAACTACCTCCCCTTTGCAAACATCTACCATGCAGGTCCCACAATTCCCTACGAGACATGAGGATTCTATCTCGAAACCGGCTTCGTTGAGGATGTCCAATAATGATTTCTCTTGAGGGACCTGAAGGACCTCCCCGGTATTTTTAATCTCGGCTTCAAAAGGGTCGCCTGTGCCAGTTCCAGCACCGCCAAACTCCTCGAAATGAGTCTGGGATCGGGGATACCCTAACTTCGTCGTCGCGTCACGGCAAGCGGTAAGTAACGACGGCGGGCCGCAGCAGTAAACTAAAGTCTTGCAATTATCCCTGCAATCATCGAGTGCTGGAATAAGCGCAGCTACGTCTAACCGTCTGCCCTCGCTCTTTGCGTAAATAGTGGTTTTGCTGGCTGGTAGATGATCAAGGTATGCGGCCTCCTTTTCGCTACGGACAGCGTAGTGAATCTCGAAGTCGGCGGATTTCTTCTCCAGGGCCCTGATCTCGCCAATGAAGGCGGTGACACCGATACCACCCAAAATAAAGATGTGCCTTGTTGGTGTATCGACTTGGTCGCTACTTATTATAGGAATCGCCGCATTGTGTCCCTTGGCTACCTCCAGAATATCGCCAATCTTAAATTTATCGTGTAGATATAGCGACCCACCTCTTGACTCGTCATCTTTCGCGATTCCCAGCTCAAATGATCTCATATCACCCGACACGACCGAGTAAGCTCTGGTGAACTTGGAATCGGGGCCGAACCTGAGACGCACATGCGGAAAGCGCCCGAAATTCAAGTCTTCCGCGTCCGCGTTGGATTCCTCGGATTCGAAGATGAATTTTTGTACTCTTGGAGTAAGCCTGGTTTTCTCAACCAACTTATATAAGTGCCATGGCACAGCAAAGTTACCCAGGAGGCGTTGGTTCATGTTCTCGACCCCTTTAGAAAGTCTGTTCCGGGTCAAGTTGAGAAATTCCAGGCTAAGTCCCTCCAGTTTGCTAATCTCCTCTATCGCTTCCATATTACTAGAGTCCGTATAAAGAACATAGTGTATTCTCAAGAGAGACCATCGCGGGTTGATACGTTCAATCAATTCGATCGTGTCGCCTTCTTGGATATCACCTCCTTGGAGAACTCGATAGTACCATCCGGTAAATCCAGTAGTCTGAATGAGTCTCGACATCTTCTTGTACTCAAATCGGTGGTTAAGCTTATAGCAGGGTTGCCTTAGCATAGTAACCTGAACTATGGCGTCGGGCCCTAATCGGAATTTGTCCCCGAGGCATATATTGGCTTCCGATAAGTGCGCGGAAGACAGATTCTCGCCGAACGCGCCAACTTTGAACTTGTGAGCACGTTCCGGTAAGATATTCTTCCATTCTTCATAGTGGCGGGGATCATATTGATGAATGGCGTTATCCGGACTGTTATGGTTGGCATACTGGCGCTCATCACCCTCGAAGCCGCCTGCTGTGAGCCGGATCTTGCCTCGCCGGGGTTGCTTGTTGATCGCCGACGATAAACCCTTGACGCCTCCGAAAGGCCGGATCTTCCCCGTCCGCAAACTCGCAATGAAATCCTTCGGTGGGAGCGGAGCTAAATCAAGATCTGATCCGGAGAGATGGGAACCCATGATTAGATATCGCAATGTGAATTACCCTATTTAAATCTCGAGATGCAACAAGTATCCAGGTATCAGGGTACGAAATAATTGGGACCTTTGAGGAAACTAGAGAGTTAGTAATCTATATGTCCGACTCGTAACGGATGCTAGCTCTTACGCGATCTCAGTTATACCCAGGCTAATGGAGTCGGCAATTCTGAAAAGCGCGATCTTGATAGGGTCTAGATTTTATAGCTTATCAAATGCCTCTGTGGGCTTTGACGTGACTGGCCAGCTATATCACTATTATCTCGACGACATATAGGGGGTAGCTAGTAATGAACTCATCATCACCAAAAAAAATATATATTTATCAAAAATTCTAGGTTATCGAAACAAAAGCGTTAAGAAAATGTTGATGAGTAAGGGAATGCGGTTTTGACAGCTGTAATAGTGTTAGGTATCTGACGTACCTATGTACTTACTCCCAAGTCTAATACACATGCAGGCATGGTCACGTTATATCTATAAACCGCCCTTTTATGCTACTATGTAGATAAATCGATTGAAAATTATCCATTAAATTCTTTACCCCGGATTTGCTAGACGGTATAGATTGGAACCTTCGGAAGCTAATGAGGTGATGATGAATATGTGATGCCGACTGACTAGCATTAAGATGAAGGTAAATCAGTAGCTCCCTACTAGTCTACTCACAATCCTTATGTTAATAGTAAGAAGCATGGATTTATGAGATAGACTTCCAAACTATTCGACTGACAATGCTGGACACAAGGTTCACCTAATGAACATCAAGCGTAGTTAGTGCAGGCACCTAGCGAGTAATGAGCATAGATTTTAGAATATTATCTATCTTTACGTCGTCGAACAGATAATGATGGCTATGGGGAAACTCATCTTCTCGTAATCATCGTTATCAATCTTGAAGATTAACGCTGGCATGCCAGCGCCAGTGCGATTATTATATTAGCCTACTGTAGGTCGTTTTCGTCATTCACTCCCTTTGGCTCTAATTTACCTACGACACCTAATGGTGCCGTGATGGTTCCAAACGGTGAAAGGATAGGCTTACCCCAGGCTGGCGTACCTATACGTGGGTGTGCGTCTAAAGAGAAAGGCAGCTGTCAAAAGGCGCCGCCGGGAGTCGAAGAGCAAGACTTGGATACCTCTAAATCATCCACTTCGCCGATCCAGAAGTTGATATTTCATTTCGACTGGAGCAAGTCGGCTCTTGGACCAAGGGATCAATGGAGCTCGGAGCTTCGGCACATGTCCCGCTTCCTCTTAGCTGACACGAGCCCGGCCATATTGTTTTGGGGGGAGCCCTCCTGCGTCATTTATAATGAAGCCTATCTGCCGATATTAGGGAGCAAACACCCAGAGTCCATGGGAAAGAATGCTTCCGAGGTCTTCTCTGCCATTTGGGACCAACTCTCCGGGAAAATCTCTACGCAGCGACGAACCGGCCAAACATGCACGTGCACGAGAACAAGACTACTAATAGAAAGGAAAGGCCATGCTGAAGAGACTTATTTTGATTGGAAGCTTATACCGGTCACTAGCGACGAAGGGGAGGTGAAAGGATCATACGGAATACCCATAGACAGGACCGATGATGTTATTTGCTCGAGACAAAACGAATGCATCCAGCAATTATCCCGTCACACCGCAACAGCGAACAACATGAAGGAACTCTGGCATACACTACTAACCGGACTCAGCTATAACAGTAAAGATATACCGTTTGCACTGCTATATTCGTTAGACGAGCAACATGGCATTAGTTTCACCCCAAGTCAGCCCAACTACACGTGTCACTTAGAGGGAATCATTGGAATAGACCCCGAGCGTATCATGGAACAGGAATATCTTGACCTTTCATGCGACATTAACGGGTTTGCACCGACCATGCTCAAGGCGTTGAAATGCGACTCGATGATTATATTAGAAGAGAACGACCCGTCGTTACATAAACTACTAAACGGTATCGGATGGAAAGGAAATACGTTAGCTGAGCAATTCGCCATCGTACCGATTAAAGATGATGTTAGAATAGCGGCGTTCATGCTAGTTGGCTTGAACCCTTACCGGAGGTACAGCAGCGAATTTTGCGAATTCTTGAGATTGGTGGCAGACGTTGCGGCGTCGCAGGTATCGCGGGCCAGGTTATCGGAAGAAGTTTCACGCCATAACTACTTAGCTAAACGGGCTCAGCTGGATCGTAAACGAAGCGATATGAGATTCTCTCGATTTGCTGAGCGGTCTATTGTTGGCCTTGCGGTTACCGATGTGAAAGGCAAGGTAATATTATACCTAGCTACCTGTCCAACTAGGGATGGCCGAGAATTAGAGCTAATCACCTAATTGATAGGTTATATACGCGAATGATGCGTGGTATAAATTCTCTGGTCTCAGTCCTGCCGACCAGGATAATCTGAGTTGGTTCGACAGCGTAGTTCCAGAAGATGCCGATCTACTTCGAGAATGGCAAGAAAAGGTTCTTGCTGATAAGACAGGAGGGACGTTCCAAATTCGCTCCAGAGAACCGTTCCGCCGAGGCCACATGTATTCAGACCATCGAACGGGGATCTGCGCCTGTTATTCGGACTTGGACGAGTCTGATGAGGTTGAAAGCATAATGATCTTCACAATGGACATAAGCGAGCTTAAGTGGACCGAGCAGCAACTTATATCCCGTTCGAAAGCGCTTGAGGAGTCGGAGATAAAATGGCGGAACTACGCAGAGCACTGTCCTCTCGGAATCTGTCGTACGGATGGGGATGGCTACGTCCAATATGCCAACGATGCCTGGTATTCTTTCTACGGCTTTGGACCCAACAGCCCCCCTCCGAATATTTCACAGCCGTGGCTACCCTGGGTCCGAGAAGATTACTTAAAGCCGTGCAAAGACTTCTTCGATAGACTCCAGCACCACACCGGGCCAGAATCTGTTGAGTTCCAGCTAATCAATAGGACTTATACTATTTCGGGCGGCGACAATACTGTGACTAATGGTGCCTACGTCGTCGCTACCGGGTTCTCCCAATTCAGAGAGGATGGAACCGTCGATCATATAGATTTCTGGGTAACAGATATCAGTGGCCAGAAGATGGCTGTCAAGGTTCTGACGGATAAGATGGAGGAAGCTATTCGTTCAAGGACTCAACAGGAGCAGTTCATGGACATGATAAGCCACGAAATACGGAACCCCCTATCAGCAGTTCTGCACTGCAGCGAGGAAATTATCGAATCAATTAAGAGAATCCCCGCCACACTAGATGTCCTATTCGATGGCAAACTGGCTGCAAGCTCAAACAGCCCCGCGAAAGAGATCTTGCAGAATGAAGTTGCCAACGCACTGGACGCCGCCAATACGATTGTATACTGCGTACAGCACCAGAAGCAAATCGTCGACGACGTGTTGACAGTTTCAAAGCTCGACTCCGACTTGCTCGTGGTATCTCCTATTCCCGTACAACCGATGGCATTGGTTCGCTCGTCATTAAGGATCTTCGATGCCGAGCTAAAGATGACAGGTATCAAGCTGAAGGTTATCGAGGACGATTCCTTGTCCGTACTCGGCTTAGGATGTGTTTTACTGGACCCTACCAGATTCCTTCAGATCGTGATCAACCTTGTCACGAACGCCATCAAATTCACAAAGACCTCTAAAATAAAGGAAATAGTTGTAACGGTGACCGCCACGGCGTATCGTCCCCTCGAAAGTGAGTTAGGGGTACATTACGTGCCCCGGAGATATTCACCTATTAGCCCTGCATTCAGCGCCTGCTCCCCTGGTAGTTTAGGAGAGCCTGAGCAAGATGTCTTTCTCTCCTTTTCCGTAAAAGACACGGGCAAGGGTTTGACGGAAGGCGAGAAGGCGCAGGTATTTAATCGTTTCGCTCAGGCATCCCCGAAAACGCATATCGAGTACGGGGGATCGGGTCTAGGCCTCTTTATCTCTCGCCAGATTACCGAGATGCTTGGAGGCGAGATAGGTATGGCTAGCAGCCCCGGGTCGGGTTGCAAATTCGCATTTTACGTCAAGACCCAGCGTTGCGAGTTTCCTCGCCATCCTTCGAATGCTTCAGAGCCTGTTGTTAGACTAAGTCGGTCACTTAGCATAGCTGCAGACGGGACCCCCCTGCCACTGGAAGATGAAGATGAACGGGGAGGTTTCCCCCAAATATCAGAGGACCCAAGGGCTCCACCACGCGAACACCCGCCAGTCAAGGTTCTCGTTGTCGAGGACAACTTGGTCAACCAAAAGGTCTTGTGCAAGCAGCTGCGTAACCACGACTTCGTCGTGAAAGCTGCCAACCACGGAAAAGACGCCCTCAACGCCGTGCGGGATAACAAAACCGAGGTCTCGCACGCAGAGAACCCGTTCGACGTGATATTGTGCGATATCGAAATGCCGATTATGAACGGGATCGAGTTCACGAGGGAGATTCGGAGGCTAGAAGCAAAGGGTGAGCTCGAGGGACATATACCGATACTCGGAGTTACGGCCAACGTGCGTAGCAAACAAGTCAGCGGCGCTATGGAAGTAGGCATGGTAGGTCGAGTCCAGAAAATATGCTATTTGGTGCAATGTTGACTTTTTTACGTTAATTAGGACGGCGTAACGACGAAGCCGTATCACATCGAGGAGCTTATTACGCATATTGGAGATGTATGCGCTAAGCATTAAGTTACGGCTGGCTTCTATTTACCGCGCCATGCCTATACCTGAGGGGAGTCAAAAGGAGTTCATTATGCATTAGCTACCGGGCTGGGGGGTCTCCTATTTCTAGTAAGATGGCGTTATGGGTCTGCTGTGTTTTGTATATGTAGCGTAGCTATCTGAGGACGTATTGACAGTGGAAATGAAGTATATGATATATATATATATATATATACTATAATATATGAATATTTTCTCACGATGTAATTATGGGAAATCGTTTATTACAATAAGGTGTAAAGTGACGTCGAGGTTGACGATGTAAAAGGGGGATATATACAGTGCGAAATACGTACACGTTACGGTAACAAGGGTGGCTCCGTAATAGACGTAGGGTTACCATTGGAACCGTTCTTAACTGACACATAAACCAAGTCACATACGGTCACTATCATGAGCATCACCAAAACAGTGGACTCAACCTCTCATTACAGGTTCCATGATGCAAATACATCAACAGAATATGGAAGCTAAGCTAAGCTAGGTACAGACTGCAGTAAATTCAAACACGGCATTTCCGTGCTTTCCAACATTGCAGTTCAATATGTCGGTTCAACCGTGATTCAATAGGTAATCACGATAATGACTCCTGGAACTCACCCGGTCCCCCAAGCGCACGTCCAGTGCAGATGTAACCCATAGGCGTGTGCAAGACATCCTGCGTCTTGCGAAGTAGCGTGAGCCACTCGAGCAGGAAAGAGGACGGATCGTCCGCAAATGGAGTGGGCGTCACTCCATTGGCCTGCTTTGAATTTGCGCTTCCGCTAGACGACTCGCCTGCCTCATCGAACGACGATCGTATGTAACGGCTTAGCGGGTCCCATTCGGCCAAGCTAACATACAGTCGGCCACCCAGTACACCCAGTTCGAATCTAAACCACTCCGGGAATTTGTAGGTGGGCGGTAGCGCCGGAAGACTGTAATACTTGAAAGTATTGAAGATCTCCATAGTTTTCGTAACAGGCGCTGCGTAGGCGATTAAATGGACCCGCGGGGAGCGGGTATTGGTACGAAGCAAGGGAATCAACGACTCAGCCTCCTCGGGAATAATAACAAGTGCCGTCTGTGTTGAGGGACTCCAGAGGATCCATTCCACGGGACGCTGTTATCACAATGTCAGTCATTCCCGCTAAAATATTTAGTAGCTATCACTTACTATGAAGTTGTCAATCACGTTGTTCTTCTTACACTTAACCGTCCGCCCGAATTCAGTCGATACGAAGATTCGCGAGCCTGTTTCTCGCACACGGAATTGCTTCCCCAGTGTAGTCCTTGCTACGTATGTAAATGCGTGTTCGAACGCGGCCTCGTTCTGATTCGATGTCGTATGTTCTAGCACGCCCGTGCGCGCGAAATATGAGACGACCGGATGGAGGCCCGGAAACGTCAAGGCTTCATACCGGAGCGGCTTCTGTATCTGGCGCACCTGTTCAACTTGTACTTGAAGCTCGCGCTCCTGTTCGACCTCTTCCATAGCACCTACGTGAAGAGTACCCCGTTCTCCATAGGATTGATTGAGTTGATCCACAAACTTCTGCAACTGTGGAGTAGACATGCGGTTCACGATACCTATTCGTGAACCTGCCAGAGCCCCGCCATATAACTGCTCTAATGTCTGGCGCTCCGGTTGCTGTATTGTCTCTAGCAGTTTTGCGCGCTGTGTCGGATCTGCAAGGAAGTTGTTATAATGCCAAATCGCGTCGGTACGTTGACAGAAGTCGATGCCTTGTGCTACGTATAGGCTTTGCAGATCCTCATTTACGCAGCATGTTTGCTCAAGAAGCCAAGCGACAACATGAGCAGAGTCGATGCTCGTACCTCTTGCCGGACGGCAAAGGTCCCTGATGCTCTGATCAACTTCAGGGGGAGCAAAGAAACTAACTGACTGAGTGGTGCGGAGCTGGCGGAGGCGCATAGCAGCTATCGATATAATTAGACGAACCGTTCAGAATTACATACCTAGGTACTACCGAAACAAAAGGGTATCAAATATAAGGTCCGTATAGCGAGCAGTACTTACCTTGCATAGTGTAGTCTTTAGTTTGCTTCAGTGCCAGCGTCAGTGCACCGTGGGCGTCTGATGGCAGCTTCAGGTCTACACCACGTGTATGCGCCTCGTCCAGATATACGACACAGTTCCGAAGATCATCCACGAAGGGGGTGGCTATGAGCGGAACGTCGTTCTTTTTATCACCGCGATAATGAACCCAGGCGCGGTTATCTCCGCCGAAATAAACAGCAGCTTCGGCTTTGGTGTCGATTCTTAGCCATGTCTGGGCAACCGTCTTATTATCCATCTCGAGTATGTAGGCCCCGGCATCGATGAGGGTGCGGATTTCTTTACTATGCAGCTGACGTAGCAGATCTTCCTCGGTCAATCGCTTGCTTTGAGCGTCTGCAGTGACCTGGTAGCTTCGGTTGCATCGTTGTAGGAGGTACGAGAGAACCTCCGCGCTTGTCTGCTGCAGGCTGGGAAGGTCGTCTTGTCGGATAGTCAAAGGCAGATTCATACGGCTGTCATTGGTGCCGCTGAAACCCGTCGTCCTAGCACCACGTTGATCCTTCGAAAATAGTGGGATATCCCACGCCGAAACTTGCAATTTGATTTCGAACTGCCTGGCATGAACCGGGAAGACGAAATGGTTACAATAATGGTCAATTACGATCCGACTCAGACGCAAATGCTTCCATAACTCCTCTAGCTGCCCCCCATCATCAATGTTTATTACGTTCCAGTGGTGCAATGCCTCCGGCAAACTGTCGCAACCGGAAGACCACAGCTCGTACTGTGCGGCTGGATCATCTGACTGAAGCACATACTGTAACCCTTGACGGAACTGCGCAGAGGTAAGACCAGTATAATAGAATGCTAAGCAGGTGAACAATATGGACACATCGGGATGACCAAACTCGGATTGCTCGGACGGGGTACCTTTAGCCTCGAAGGGAACTGCGATAGGATCACGTTTAGGATGAAGACCGTATTGGACATTCCATCGCTTGTTGAGGCAAAGGAGGAGGATCCGATTAATCAGAAGGCCCCGAACAACAAGAAGTATCTTCGACGCCGCCTGCGGGTTGACGAACGCACTAACCGCCTGCATGAAAATACGTTCGTCTAACTTCGGCTCGTATAGGACTCGCCGAATTATCCCCTGTCGACCCCAGAAACTTGAATCTGCGGGACGAAGGAAGGTTGTTTGTCCCCTACAGATACTTTCTAGTATGTAGTCATGAATGGCCTCTTCGACATCATTCTTCAAAAAATGCAGGATTGGAAAGGATCCCGAGCGCCATAATACCTCGATACTGGTTGGAAACCTTTTTGTTAAGTTCGGAAGATAGTTTGCCACCAAGGCAAGCAACTCTTGGGCAACTTGCCATCGAAATGGGTGACCGTCAATAGCCATCTCGGGCCCGCTAGGGTAGTTGAGTTGCGTTTTAACTGCAAGGGTGAAATCGCATTCGTCTAGGACATCCCGGCAATTTTCATCTAGCCAACGCTGGAAATTGTTCATACTTCTTGCAGCCTTTAATTTGCCGTCAGCGAGTTGCTGCCATCCGCCCAGTTTGTATGATAGAACATGTTCATGGCTAGTGAGTATTAACCCTCTACGGGTACGAGTAAGCCGGTGAAGCCTCTCGTATAGCTCTAACATCTCAGGGGATGTTGGGGTCTTCCGCGAGAAAGGAATGTGAAGAACCTCACGCCCTACAAGACCTCCTAATCGCGACTGAGTGGTCTGCGCTGTCTGCATGAGAAGCGCTTTTGGCACAATCAGACGCGAAAGATTTTTACCGTCTGCTAGGATGGCTATCACCATCGGTACGATGCATGATGTTTTTCCTACACTAGAGTTAGCGCTGGCCCTGTAATGGCACCGCCTTGCTATACTAGCCGATATACTCACCTTTGCCCATGTTCATTTGTAACACACTATTCTGACCAGATTTAGGCGCTATCATGGCACACGCAACATCTACCTGTTCGGCTCGTATAAGAAAGTCGCTATCAATTTCGAGCAAGAGCCAGTCTGTCGATTTAAATGGCGACCAGTTCTGATGACCTGGGTTGCGCAATTCCTCGTCAGACGCTCGCTTATCTCCGCGCAGAACTGCGGAGCGGAGCCGCTCTAGTCGTTGTAGACTTGTAACAGCTACACCATAGGAAACTAGAGCCTTCTTCATGCCGACCCCAAAGTTGTAGGCCGATATCGATCTTAGAGATATAAGCATCTCGGTCGGCGATGTGCAAGGCCAGATAGCGCCCAGCTGCAACCATTTGAATCGGTGGTCGTCACTAGCAAGGGCGTCGTAAATTTGTTGGTGACATCTTGAAACCGTGAGGCGAGCTCGCTCTATTGCGTGATTAACCTCCTTCAGAGCCGGCACTGGGGCTTGAGCATCTAGTTGTCCTGTGTCTTTCAGTGCAGCTAGACTCTGTAGAAGATCGTTACCGTATTTATGCCGAATGACGTTGGTAGACCTTGCGAACTTGCGTAAGATGGCCTCTAATTCTGTGGCTTCGTTGAATAGGGCCTTTGATGGCGATGCCTGAGCCCTACCATACGCGGATTCATTTCCGGTATTCAACTGAATGTCGGCTATCGTATTATCTAGGTTTGGTCCGGCTTTAGTTACCAATTCCTGAGCCACTGACGGGATAACTCGAGAATTCTTTCGGCCTGTAAACACCGGATTGACGTCTGTCCAGTTAAGCAGCGTAGATGAATCTCGTGGACCTTTAAGTGAGTTTAAAACTACCTGGACTCGGTTAATATAGTGCTCAAGTTCGATATTTTCTCGCCTACGATCCCATTCAGGTCGTATTTTGTCCAAGGCTAAGGGGACGTTGATGACATGAATTCCTAGTGTCTCCGTGGACAGTTCGTCAATTGAAACAGGCCACTGTTCTAGGAGATGATCGGCGAGCAGCCGACCCTGAAGTTCACAGAATTCCTGATGTT